TTATAAGAATCTTTATTAGAGCCTTAGCCTTTAAGTCTTTCTTAAAGTAAGTCTAGTTTAAAACTAAAATAATATTATTTCAAAGCTAATTTTAAAGAAACCAGATTCTTATATAGTATAATAACGATACTATTTTAACTATAATATCTAATAAAGATTCTATATAATTTTATATCTTTTAATATCCTTATCTTTCTAAGATAATTCAAAGATAAATTTAAGAGATACTAGAGATTTATAATCTTTAATATTAAAAGATAATCTATTCTTCTCTATTTATATTTTCTATAATTTTTAGATTATTCTGATAAAAGAAAATGTTAATGTAATAGCTTTAATAGGTAATTTAATATAAAACAATATCTTGTTTGTATTAAATAAGATTAATCTAATAATTAATTTTAGAATTCTAAGTAGAATATTAATGAATTAACTCTTAAATAGTACTGAAATCTAAATAGTTCTAAAATAGAATTTATCTTAGCTATTAATTTATATTTGATATAATAGATTATTAAAGAGCTTTTAAAGCTTTAACTAAGATAATATAATATTTATTTTAATCTTAAATTTAATCATCTTTTAATTTATTTTTAGGACTTAAAAGATCTTAGAGTTTAAAGTCTATTTTATGGAATGATTACGATTAGTTATATACTCTATTATTCTGGTCTTTTTCTTATATAAATCCTTTTAGAAGAAAATATTAAACTTATATAATATAGTTATTATATCTTAACATATATAAGATATTATAGTTAGATCCTTTATATCATTAGAAGCTTTAATATTACTTATAATATCTATTATAGTTTCTTTTAGAGTTTAATTCTTAAATTAAATATAAGAATATTATATTTACTAAAAATACTCTTATAAATAGTACAATTTCTTATTCTATCTATTTTATATAGGAATATATATAGAAATAATTAAGAAGTAAAAATATAAATAGGAGTTTAATGGTACTATACCCCTAATATCAGAGCTACGCCCCTATATAACTAAAATCTATTCTACTATGATTTTCTAGAGGTTCTACTATAATTTCTACCCTATCTTCCTAAAATATAAGTCTTTAATCTTTATCTCCCTTCTCTACCTTATATATATCTTACTATCTCTATTAAGAAAATAATTTCTATAAATCTACTTAGTAATTATATTTATATAGTAAGTTATATAGAAATTATATAATTTTAATACTATTCTAGAGCTCTAAATTTAAGTATTATAACTATCTATTAACTATATCTATATCTATATCCATACCTACTATCTATTAGATAACCTATCTTACTATAGATATATATTGTAAGAATTGGAGATTGATTAATAGCCTTAAGATATTTCTTAAGCTCTTTTATTATATTTTCTATAGCTTTCTTTAAATTATAAGTAGTCCATAAAGAAAATAAATACTTATTAATATATAAAACTTACTATTGTATATAATAAGCTTATTTATATAGTATTATTAATTAATAATCCTTATAAAGTTAAAAAAAACTAATTAAAAGATGATTAATTGAGGTTATTAGATCTTACTTTAATAGCTAATAAAATATCTTTGTATCTTAATATAGATATGTAGTCTAGATAGAGATAAAATTAGATAAAAAACTTTAAGTAATTCTAATATTGTTAAGGATATAAGAGATATTTTTATATAAAATATTATTTTAATAACGTTTTATAATCTTTTATAATCTTGATAATAGCTAATTAATTATTTTAAAGAGCTATAATTTTATTATTAATTAATTAAATAATATAAGCTCATCTAGACGAGCTATATTATCCTTAATTATTACTCTAATTTATATCCTCGAGATAGGCCCTATTCTTTATATTAAGAAAAATAGTTATAATTATAGATATTAATATTTACTTCTTATTTATAAGAATGACTTAGGGATAAGACTAATTAGATATAGTATAGAATAACTTAGTAAGATGTTCTAAAGAGTATATTTATATATCTCTTTATATTAAGATTATATCTAAATATCTACTCTTTAGTAGCTCTTATAGAAAAGCTTAAATAAATATATAATCTATAAGGAATTCTAATTAAAGCTTTTAGTAATAGTTATAAATATCCTAGGTAATAATATCTAAATATAGATATTCTTTTAATATAGAATATCTATATCTTTCTATAATTTAGATAATAATATTAATACTAAGCTCTAGTATACTATATATAATACCCTAAGGTAATAGAGATATAATAATAAAAAGTAGACTTCGGCTTTATAAAGTAGGACTTAATAAGTCCTAAGGATTAAGGTTTATACTTAGTAAGTTAGAATTATGATTAGAGATATCTTTAGTAATATACATATTAATATAATATTTATAAGTAGAAATAGTTAAGCTAAACTATTTTAGGATGATTTTAGTTATATAGGGGCGTAGTATAATTAAACTCCTATAAATAAAAGAAGGCTATAAATTAAACATTATTATATACTAGAAAGAAAAAAGAAATATATATAATATATTATATTACTAGAACTTTCTTAAATATCTTAATTTTAATTAAAGAATAATATAAGTAATAGATAAAAATTAGATATAAGATTAATTCTACATAAAAAGAGAGATTAGTTATTATAAAAGAAGTATAATAACTGATTTTCTAAGATAGAAATTATAGAATATCCTAGATATTCTTTAATAGTAATAAATTACTTCTAATCTAGTATCTAGATTAAGAGTAAACCCTAGACTTATCTAGAGCTAGTATTATAAAAGAGATATTTAGGGTATGATTGTTATAAATCACTTACTTAGCTCTTATTTCTTCGATAATAAGAAAGAAGAAGAATCTCTCTCTTTTGATTATTTCCTTCCTTATTAAATTCGCCTTAATTTAATACCTATCCTAGTTAACTTATATACCCTAGACGTCTATACATAATCTTTGGAGATATAATTACTATGTAATAAAACTTAATCTATAGTATATCTAAGTATAAGAAGGATTAAGAAGCTACTAGTTATATCTTTTTTAATATATTATTATCAAGATTTTATTCTTCTAAGGATATAAGACTTATAAAGATTAAAGAAGTATATTAAGACTGATCTAAAAATAAATTTAGTACGTAACATTACTAGCTAGATATATAATCTTTTTATTATAAGTCTTTTCAAAAAATTTTTAATTTTAATTTTATAATAATCATTTCTTATATTGTATTATTCTACAAAAGGATTTATCTATATATAGTTAAGATATTCATATATATAGTATAGTAATAGTTTTTTTTTAATACTACGTTGTCATTGACACCGTTGGTCTCAGGGTTATTGCCAGTATCTGCAGCAAACATGGTATCTCAGATTTCAAAAACAAAAGAAAAAAAGTCATCACATCATTGATCCAGTAGATCAAGCCAGTCCTGAGATTTCCATGGATGACAAAGGAAGCAGCTCCGAATGGATATAGCCTCTAGATCAAACTAGGATTTCCCATTCTTTAGTTCTTATCTAAATTTCCTTTATTTCTAAAACTTATTAAGTATTAAAACTTTTAACCTTTTTATAGAATCAATTTATTTTAAAATAGAATAATATCCTATAAAACCTAATTTCAAAGAGGAAAGGAAAAAGATACTAGTGAAGAACTATAATATTATATCTAGAAAAGAAAATAAGATAAAATCTTATTTTTCTTACTAAAGATACTCTTTCTATAATTGTAATATATATTATGATTAGCTAGGCTCTAACTATAGACTAAAGATATAAATTTTACTCTAACTCTTAATATCTATCTTAAAATATATAATATCACAAATTATGACAAAGGTTAACTTTTGAAAAATAATTTTCTAGAAATTATTACGTATATTATACTATTCTAATTTCTTTTTAAATAGAGCTTAGCTTACTTTACTCTATTTATATAATCTACATTTATTAATCTATAAAAAACTTTACTTTCTTAAGAATATAAAAATAGAGAGGTAAAGAAAAGTAATTTCTAGATTAATTAGTTACTTATATCACCTATAATAAATTATTAAACAAAAATATTTTAATATCTTAAATTGTAATATCTTTTCAGTTCTATGGTAAATTTAAAATAGAGTAGGAATAAACTAGAATTTTCTAAACTAAATTATTTAAAGATATATCTTTTATCTTTTAGGTTTTCTATCTTTTTTGATTATTTTCTAAGCTTGTTCAATGTTATGATTACTTTTTAATGGATTGAGATCGTTTTTTCTAAATATTTAAACTAGAACTTATTCTAGATATAGATAATAGAATAATATATATATACTCTTAACTTACTATCTTTTAGATACTCTAAGATAAAAGAATTAGAAATCTTAAGAAACAAAAGGGATAAATAAGAAAATAATAGTAAGTTACTATTAAATTATACTAAAAACACAGGTATTATATAACATAATCCCCAAGCGAGTTAGATATTATCTTAGGTAGGGGCATACCATAAACAGCAAGAAGAATGAATATACCTAAAGAGAGGTTTTGAAAGATAATGGTTGAAATGTCGAATTATGATTAATCGAATGTATTATATACATGTTTTAGGATGGCCAGGCCAACTAGGTGTCTGGCTCGCTAGGGAATTACGTTATATTATATATTGTTGTATTATGTACTTGCAATAATAATAGTTTTTCTAGATTATCTTCTAGAGTACATTAACTATCTCTAGATCTTAGAAATCATATTATAGGATTGTATCTTAATTAATATATCTACTATATTGTGAATTTAAGTATACTCAAAATTTGGCATCCGTTTTTAACCATGACCAGGCGGCCTATTCGATGTTTAGATTTGAGTCATCTGACTGATATACTACAATACTCGAAAACCTCAATCAGTATATGATCTCTATAACTATACCTTATATATATAGCTTGAAAATTCGTAGATTGGGTATTACCGTATTTTGTTTAGAGTTTTCTTTTCAGATTTAGATGTAGTGGTGGCAGCTTTATTGTTGTCTAGACCTAGAGAAAACTCCCCTTGCTAAAACGCGAGCTATAGTCGCTGGCTCGATTCACCATCTCTCGGCGTTGTGCACTAGAGATCTTGGATGATATCCCCATGTCCTTTTCCCGATCGAAAACCCGCGAAGATGGGTCATCCTCTACCTCCTTACGCTCATGATCTGGTTTTTCTATACGGGTGGCTTTCTTAGTTTGGCCCTATGGAAAACAGAAACAGCGTTAGCATGATCTTCTAGATGTGAAAAAAAAACACCACCAATGATGGGTGCTTACATTAAATCTTTTGATTTGCTCTTCCATGGCCTGAGCTCGGCGCGCCTCAGAGTTAGAGGATGGTTTGCTTGGACTTCTAGAATGGGTCCCCACGCCCATCACCTCGTCTCCAAGCCGTCGCATTCTCTCCTCGGGAGTTTCCACCCAGGAAGAATCAACCTGCTTAGTGGCTGATGTGCGGGCAGACTTTCCGGTTTGAAACTTTCGATTTCGCAATTGCGTGGGATCGATTTTGGAGGCCCAATCGCTCTGCTCAGGCGGATGTAGCATCCACTGATCTCGCTGACTCTCCTTCTTTTCATCAGATGGGGCTGAGCTCGAATCAGATAGTGGTGGTTGTATCTGTTGCCCGGAGACACCGTGGGGAGGTGGCATGCTGGGTCCGAAATCATCATCACTATCCGTTTCACTCTCGGCAGATGAGGCCTTGGATTCGGGGGACTGCGCTGCTGGGGGTAATGCAGGGCCAATAACCCTCCTCTTAGAGGAAGCTAGTTGATCTTCCTCATCAGAAACAAATTTCCGTTTATCGGGTTCCATTGTGCAGGGTAGTTCATACGCAAAGGAAGAGAAGGGAAGGAAGATTGTGGAGTTGAAACCTTATCTTATCGTCCATGAGGTTGATGTCATCTTATCGATCACCGCCTTTGTCCTTATCTGTGTCCCGTTACTTCTCCCATGTTTCCCCCCCTCATTCCTCCTACATAAAAACAAACATCTCTTGGATAAAACCACGAGATTGGGAGACCTTTTATAAAAGTTTCTTTAAAAATTCTTGCTTGCTTAATCTTCTCTACATCCATCTGGGGTCCATAGACCTAAGACGCTTGAGGCTATTGAAATTGCAGACCTGATCTCCGGGCCACACATCCCCGCCCAGAAACCATGCCATTCCACATTGACTAAATTACCATCAAGTGTCATAAAATCAGAGCATGGTTTTCATGGTGTGCAAAAGTTTGCGTGGAATCGAAAATGGGCCACCAGCCTCTCCCGCAAGAATGCCGATCACTATGGGAGGATCCATCAGGAACAGCCAAGCTGGAGTCCAGCACGCCTTCCAAACACGATTCAACCCTGCAAGATGACAAAAATCCATCCGATCAGCAGGAAGAGTCGCTGACTCGCTGTTCAAAGAGGTTCTTGCCTCAGCCAATCGAAACATCATCTCGAAGCTCCAACATCACACCGACCAGGTCAACCCTCGAGAGTAGAGACAATTCGGACACGACCCATGGTTTCTCTCAGAAAAGCGAACCCCAAATCAAGGGCCAGGCACGGCAACGAATTTTGCCTCAGCCGATCGAGACAACTATCGCCAGCCGTCGGGGACTGTCGCGACCGCAGGAGAAGAATCGTTCTCCTGTTGCTTCTGGCCCTAGAAGGTTTAAACCGGACTTAATTGAAACGGACCGTCGCTCTGTGAAGGGCAAGGCCGGAGAGCCCTCTCGTTTCAATGCTCAGGATCTTACTTCCGAACGTTTGGGTCCTGCCTCTCGGTCAACCCCCCGACGGAATACTGCCCCTCATCCCACCGAGTCAAAATTCTCATACGCGAGCCTCCTTCGTCGCCAAGAAACACGGAGGCATTCATTTCGTGTCCCGGATCTGCCATCTATCCCATCAAACAGCAGCGAAGACTCCGAAGACTCTGCCGGCTCACCCCTATCATCCTCGCCAACCAACCGTCCCCAAGGAGGCACGGGTGGCAAGCTACATACTCTGCTCCGAGAAAGCTATGATGGGGAAATTTCCGAGTACTTACTTTCTCTGGCAGCTCGTTCGGCGCAGAAACAGCTGAAGGAGCAGGCGCTGGCGGCCTTCCCAAACGAACAAGTATATGAGCCTGTGGATCATTTTGCCATCGACGAGGACGAGAGTGACTCCGAAGACGAGAACTTCATGTATCCCTCTAAGCACCATCTGAAATCTCGACGGCAATCCTCTGCGGACCTTTCCTGGGAGCTCGAGTATATGCGACAGCACAAGGAAGAGGCAGAACAGCGCCTGAGGGCGATGGGTACATCGGGTAAGCCTAAATTGGCGCCGACTGAACCGAAGCCCGAGCCAAAGAATCTGGGCCCAAGTCCTCCTATGCTCGGGGGTGACATTGTCTTGCCTTGGAGCCTTTCTCCCGATGGGACGCTCTGTGAGAACACAAGCACTAAGAATGATTCCCAGGCAGCGGAAGATCGGTGCACTGGCTGTGGAGGTCTTTGGTGCGAGGAGAGTCAAGCAGACGGTGGACGAAAGGCAGGATTATGGATGGGCACCTGTCGTAAAGCCGATGGTCCCGAACGGGAGTCACACCTCATATCTGGCATCATGACTCCAATGACTCAAGACTACGAATTAGAGCTGAACCTTAGCCCTCGGCCCAACGCCCCCTCGAGCCAAAGTGATCAAAGAGGTCCACTGAGGTCACAATACGGCGTTAGTCCCGTCCTTTCTCAGGACTCAGATGATGAGTTCCATGATGGCTTTGTCACGCAAATCTACAATTATCTATCCCTGGGGTACCCCTGCGTGGCGCGGTGTTATGACTATGAACTCGGTCGAATCTCCGGAATCACTGTGGAAGATCTTCGACGAGATGATCTCGAAACCGACGCTAGAGGTTATGTTGTTGCCCCGGAGAACAACAACAACGAAGTGGCCTGTATACGATGGAAGGCTCTCCGTCTCTACATCCGGGAATGGGCACGGCAACAGCCCAATATGGCGGAGGATGAAAATGGTCTAGAAGCTTGGGGAGTGCCGGAACGAAGGGGTAGCTGGGCTATTTGACACTCTTCATTTTTAGATATCTTGTTTGAAATTTTCTCTTTCTCTTTCTCTTACCCTTGTATCTATGGCCTACCAGCATCAGCATTAGCACCAGCACCAGCATTAGCACCAGCACCAGCATTAGCACCAGCATTAGCACCAGCACCAGCACCAGCATCCAGCCATATTACAGCGTTGTGAACTAAAGCATTTTAACATATCCCGAAACAACCATATTGGCTTTGCTGGTTCAGCCCTCTCTGTCCCATGCAAATCAGCGAGCTTTCATAGATATACATTGTATCTTATCTTAAATCATATCCACACAAGACTGAGAATGTATAGCGTCCGTTGACCCATTAACGCAAATCAATTCTCCAAAGGGGACCCAGCGAGGTGGGCAAGTTGATTGCCATATTAGAATTTACGTATTGGCTTGGACCATTCGACTAGCATCGGGGAGACGAGATATTATATTTGCTCTGCGGACCACCTTGTATAAATTGCTAGAAAGGAAGTTTCTGCTCCGCTGGCCCATCTGAACCCACGAGCAATATCTCAGCTATAACTTTTGGACCAGGGAATCGTTGAAATTGCTATTTATGAGGGTATGGGCCCTTGATGTTGATGCTTGATTTAGACCGGTACAGTCAGGTGTCGATTAGGGCGAAACTAATCGAATCATCCGGAATCAGTTCTAGACTTGTCTCTATTTGAGGTGAACAATGACATACCGTGAGGCCCAGGCTTAGCAGATGCCTGATTAGCGGTGTGTAAGAGACCTGGGGCTAAGACATTCTGCTCCTCCGCAACTGATCCTTCGGAATACCGTGCAATTCTAACGTGATAATTAGCGATTGAAGTCCTCTTCGCTCAACGATGTAATTCTCTTCCCTCTATCGAAGAAGTAAATGACTCACAGTGACAACTCGGACTGCAGGGTCTCATGTCGGAACGCTTCACGAATCTCCGGAACATTGCTCTTGGCGACATTGTTGCCTGCAAATCCTGGAAGGCTGCAGTTTGAGCCCAGCCACCGCTTCTTCAATGAGAGCTCAAATCCACTCTGTATTACAGAGTGCTTGGCCAATTCGCACATGTCAACGGCGCTGAATTTATAGATTTGAGCCGCCACCGAATATTCCTCAATGAGAGGCTCTTTGGTAAAGGCAAACTGCAGCGGGTCATCCGTTGACAACGATACATTGAGTCCACGCTTGAAAAAGCTGGCGCAGGGATTCTTGTCGTAGGTGAGGAACAGAGCGTTGTTGCTGAGAGGGGACATGGCAATGCCAATCTGGTCCAGGTAGTACAGGTACTGCAGCAAAGGTACCTTACGCAGCAGAATACCATGGCTGATACTGTGGCAGCAGAGGAATCCAACAGCGAGGTGATCTGGATCGCCCGCTTCTCCACAATGGGGCCGAAGGACAAAGGTATTGAAACCCCGCTGTTGTCGCCAGTGGTTGAGGGAGGCGATATTAGCAAACATGAAGTAGATCCAGTAGGTATACGGCGGGTTCTGTTTTGTGTTCCAATCCCGCGGGATGGGGTATTTCCGGTATAATCGACGTTCGGCCTTACTCTCATCGTCGACACTGTCAAATCCCACCACACGCTGGAGGAAAACATGAAGTTTAGGGTGGCTAGATGGATCCTTGGTCACTTCGAACAGTGGCTGGAAGACATTTGCGATGACTTGCTCAAAGTTCTCCATCATTCCACTTGACTTGTAAACATCATATAGCCGTGGAACCTGAATCAGCCAGCGGACATTGGGAGAGAACAATTTGTTGTCTACCACCCAGGCAGCGAGCTTGTCCCATTCATCAGCGGATCGTCCATATATCGAAATGCGCCATTCGACCATTTGGTATTTGCTGGATTCCAAGTCAGAGATGACTTCCTTGGTGATCTCTGCCAGATAACGGCCCTTGATGTAATTATCGGTTTTTAGAAAGATCTCACGAAGACGAGACTCGCCAACAGGGTTGTATTTGAGATTGAATTTGTCGAACCGATGGAAGGAATCAGTGTGTGCCTATAGACCGTTAGTGACTTGCTTTCCCCAGATGACACCATGCACTCGTCTGGGGCCAGCAAGGACTTACATGCATGTCCAAAGTATCAATGCTGAGGTCATAAGCCGTTAGGTTGATACTCTCAAACACCTCCCGGAGTGTGAGATGCTTGCCATCTCGAAATAGAACGACTTCGTCGGGAGACTTTCGCATTTTGCTTTTGATGAAACGCAGAAGATGCTTCTGGTTCATGCACGCCGAATGGTGAACATGGGTGTCTACCTTGCGCACGTTGTAAAAGTCGCGATGTGGTACCTTCTTGCTGTCTGCGATCTCTTGATACTCATTCAGGAGCGTGTACAGTTGAAATTTGCCTTCAAGATACGAGAGGCGCTTGAAAGCAAAGCTTTTGGCGGGCCCTTCTGACGAGACATCTACGACGGCATCGAGGTCCATATAGAAATCACGCAGGGATGGGATTTGGACCGTCGGTTCATGCCGATCCGCTGCTGCTTCCGACTCAAACACCTGGTAGACACTATTGCTATCCAAACGATAAGTCCAAGAGGACTCGGCGGGCAGCGGAATCAATTCGTCCATGTCGAAGTCTTCACCGATATCTTGCCCCATCTTCCTCTTCTTCGCGTTTAGATCGGCCGGGCCCCCAACATTTCCAGGCTGGTATTCTTTCCCTTCGTCCCAGGCAGGCTCGGGTGGTGGAGGGTAGATTTCCCAATTTTGACGGTCCCTGGGATCATCGCCGGGTCTCTGTAGCGACAGAGCTAGGTATTTGGTACGTCGATCCAACAAGCCCTTGATCTTGCGATAGATGGCATGCAATTCAGAGGTGATGGCATCTCCGCCCGGCCCCTGGGAAACGATTCCTAGGCCAGTTCCGTGGGAATTATTTCCACTCGACAGGTGCGGCCCTTGGCCATGCGTTATCCCCGAGGGTCCCGCGTGGTTCTGACTCGAGTGGTCGGCCAGCTGGCTACCATGGATGATCCCGTCGGTAACCTGATCTGTAGATGAATCCAGATCCCAGTCTGACTCCACCACCATGGAGCTTTTACCCGCTGGATGGCTCTTATGCCGGGGGCTGACCTCTGTAGCCATTGCTTGAACGTCGTCGTGTGAATCGCCCATGGGGCGCCACGAAGGCACCGGGCTCACCGGTCCTGTATTTTCACCACTTTTGGACGCGAGCTGGTGGTGCTGGTAGAACAGTTTCGCCTCCGCGTGGCTCATTGATTTCTCGTAGGCATAGTCGTAGGTGGCGGTCTTCTGCTGTTGATCTCGGGGCAGAATATCGGCCGATGCTTTTGCATCCGGGTCTTCAAGAGCGGGAGAGCTCGCAGATGTGTGATCAAAGCCTGGCGAGGCCAGCGGTTCAATCTCGACCGATAGGCTGGCATTCCGATTGGGAATGGGGCCGAGCTCGTCGGACTCGGAAGATCCCATGACTTTGGATTCAGGTTTGTGATACACCGCAGGTGAGGGGGAAGAAGAATAGGTGGCCGCGAAGGGAGTTTGCAATTAAGGAATTGCGTGGTAAGGAAAATAGACAATATGATTAACGAGATTCTATTGGGTCATATTAAAGAGAAGAAACAAAGAGGATCTCCAAATTCCTGACCTTTGGGAGAGCAAGTGAGGGGGAACAGGAAAAAAAATTACAGTGTAAGCCACAGCTCTAAGGTCCCACTTCTCGGTGAGTCAACCTTGGAATTCATATACTGCATGATATACATGAGAAACTTATATGTTGGATTTGGAGTTTATTATAGACGAGCAAATAAATACATACACTCTCTGAATATGCCTAGTCTACATTGTTCAATGTTTCTAGGTTATCTACGTCTTGGTATTTGACAAGGAGCTATTGTGGAGCTCTCTTGTTATGGCGATAATTAGAGATCATAGTAGTCAGGAATAGATAACTTGATAAACTATATCAACGGATCTATTTATATCCACAAGCTATCTTGATTCGACTTAGTGACGTGGATATCTCAGTTTACGCCTTAGTCATCGTTCTTTGCGAAGCTTGGAATCCTCTGTGTCATTGTTTGTATAGAGTAGTACCGTAGAAATGATCTTAGTTGTTAGTGATTACAATCTGATTGTGGTGATGATCATCTCCAGTTGTATTAATACATCAGTGTAGAGAACTGATTATCTAACATAATGTGTCAACCTGGGAAGACTCTCTGCGTTGCCTATAGCACTTCCCTTCCGCAGCTTTCCCCTCTCTTCTCTTCCCGTCTGTAACTCTTCTCTCCACCTACACCTGTGCAAAACGTATACGAAAGTGATTATCTTCAACACCTATCGAGGCATTGTGAACCCATCAAATTAATAATTGCGGATCTATCAATAGCTTCGCCGCCGCCCCTTTCTTCCCTCCGCCCTCCGCCCTCCCCCACCAATCTTCTTCCAACCTCGTGCAGCATTACAGCTTCTCTACTTAGCCTTCTTAACTATGGCCTCTCTCAACCTGTCCGCTAACGGGCCTTCGATATCGAAGAGCTATCAATCTGTTGTGAACTCGACCCCTCCCAAGAATGGCTCACCGACATATGCCCAATGGGCCGTCTTCTCCGTCTCAACCCCACTGGTCAATGCCTTCCAACAGGATTCCGGCAACAAGGAAAGTGTGCTGAAGGTCCAAAACACTGGTGGTCAGTCATCCTCTTCCCACATAAACCTGGCACTACCACTCACAACTTCTCCGCAGAGGGTGAATTACTCGATCTCATTGATGAATTCTCCGAAGGTCGTGTACAATTCGCCTACGTCAAGGTGACCGACCCCAACACTGGCTTGCCAAAGAACGTCCTTATTGCCTGGTGTGGTGAAGGTGTCCCTGAGAGAACCAAGGGCTATTTCACCAGTCACTTGGCCAGTGTATCGAAATTCCTACACGTGAGACCCTCCCTGACTCCCCCTAATTTACCCCACACGACTGAGCTGATGGCTGGTAATGCACGCTAGGGGTACCACGTTCAGATTACAGCACGAGCAGATGGTCATCTTTCCCCAGAGGGCATTGTCCAACGAGTAGCAGACTCGTCTGGCTCAAAGTATTCACCGGAATCGCAGGCACCAGCTCCGACGCCGGCGCCTCGGCCCCCGGTCGCTAGTAAGCCGGTCTTCACCCCGACTCGCTCAGGGGGCATCGCCTCAGCACCGGCGCCGGCACTGCGTCCGAAGCCCTCAGCAGCCGTAGATGACGATGGCTGGGGTGCAGATGCACCCCCCGTCACCCGCACTCAACTGGAAAAGGTTCAGCCCGCATACCAACCCACCAAGGTGAATCTGCAACAGCTCAAATCAGAGAACCAATCCCCCGCATCTCAATCGCCTGCCTCAGCCCTTGCAGAAGACAGGGGTAATGTGGTTCGCGGGGCTTACCAACCGATCGGCAAGGTCGATATTGCGGCCATTCGGCGCCAGGCTGCGGAATCCGGCCAGCTAAAAGATGATCGCCCGGCTCCTGTTAAAGGATCCTACGAACCGATAGGCAAAGTAGACATTGCTGCGATTCGTGCTCGATCGCAAAAACCAGAGGGGGCGAGTGATGATGCCTCAGCTCTGGAGCCCGTCCCTCGCAACGAGCCCACGACGCTCCCTGAACGACCGGCGGTCAACCAGGAGGCGGAACGTCTGACAAATCTGCCAAAGCCAAAGGTTGCGAATAAATTCGGCTCTGGTCCCTCGTTCCCTGGTACTAAACCACCTCTTCCCTCCAGCTTAGGCGCGTCATCGACCACCCCGAATGTCCAGATCGGGAGCGCCAGTCGAACCTTTGCGGACCAGGGAGGGAAAACACCTGCTCAGTTGTGGGCAGAGCGGAAGGCCAAGGAGCGTGACGCTGGGCCAGCAGGCGACGCTCTGCCACATCGGCCGATTCAGAGCCAGCCAAGTGGCAACAGCGAATGGAAGAGCGGATACACTGGAAAATCGTGGGCACCTGTCCAGACGGTTCAGGAGAAGTCGGTCCCTGAGACGGCGGATGTGAAGGCTTCCGATTCACGGGATGCGGAGAACGCTCTCCCGTCTACCCATATCCAGGACGTGCGCGATCAATTCGCCCAGCCTCCTGCCCAGCCGATCGCGGTTGAGGTACCTCCATCTGTGCCCCAGGCCAGTCGCCCCGTTCCTGTTCCTGGTTTGCCCTCTGGTCCCACCGAACCTGAGGTGGGAGATGACGCTCAGCAAGAGCTACCTACTCCACCTCCCCAGCCTCGCTCTCCCACCCCTCCGACCCCCCCAGTGCGTGAGAGCTCCCCCATCCGTGTGGCGATTCCTGTGGGCAGCGGGGTGACCGATGTGCACGAGGAGCAGCACTCTCCACCACCAGCTTTGCCTGTGCAAAGCCTCCAGGAGACTGTGCCAGACGAGGAGGATCTCGAGGACGATACTCATGACCTGGGCCGGGCTGCGGCCGAAGCCACTGTTCCTGATCAACACCACCAGACCGAACTCCGTGCTGTGGTGCAGTATGATTATGAGAAGGCCGAAGACAACGAGATAGAACTCCGTGAAGGCGAGTTTGTCACCGACATTGAGATGGTCGACGACGACTGGTGGCTGGGAGTAAATGCGCAGGGCGAACGTGGTCTGTTCCCTGGAAATTACGTTGAAATCGTGGAGGGTGACGATCTTGCTTCTCATCCTCATGAGCAAGCCGCCGAGCCTGAACCTGAACCCATTCCGGAGCCTGTCCCAGAGCCCACTCCTGCCCCTGTTGCCGGCCCCGAGCACCCTTCTACCGCTGAAACTCATAACCCGACTGCGTCGGCACTCTATGACTATGAGGCCGCAGAAGACAATGAACTCAGCTTCCCCGAGGGTGCTACCATTGCGAATGTGGTATGTAGTATCTTTCCTGGATATGATAACTCCAGCCATGCTAATTATAATTTTAGGAATTCCCCGACGATGACTGGTGGCTTGGTGAGTATAAGGGGGCCAGGGGCTTGTTCCCGGCCAACTATGTACAGTTGAATGAGTAAAAAATGGAAGACCCCAACCATGTGTGTAAATAGCTTTCTTGCTCATTATCAGCTTCTGTCGTTTGTTCGTCTCTTAACCATGATATGCAATACGCCTCAAGAATATCTCAGGGTCTAGTCGGTTCAAGACGGTGCCATATCGATAGTGGGTACAATAGCATATTATAAGCCTTACTCTTTGGTTTCTGCTCTGCAGGATACCATTGTATCGGTAGTATGAGTGATAACATCAAATTGGAAGACGTCATGAGCATTACATAACCTGCCATCAGTCAGCATCACGTGCCTCGAAAAGCGGCATAAACAAGTGTGAGACTCCGAGGTCTGTCCGCCCACGCGCGAGGGATCTTCGTTTGTAAACCTCCCTGGCAGTCCGATCCCGCTGATACCTCTGACCTTCTGGTGTCTGTTGCTGAGACTTGGGTGTCGATCTTAAACCTTTCTTCCGCCTCCATCACGCACACATACCAAAATGGCGTCGCTAGGTGAGGATCTGCTCGTCACTGTGAACAAGCTTCAAGACCTGGTGTTCAACACTATTGGAAATGACTCCCTTGATTTGCCTCAGATTGTGAGTGAAGCTGACATGAAGGTATCTGGGATTGGGATTTGGGACTAATTACCTTGGATTTAGGTCGTTGTCGGCTCCCAATCGTCGGGCAAGTCATCAGTATTGGAGAACATTGTCGGACGAGACTTCTTACCACGAGGCAGCGGCATCGTTACTCGCCGTCCCTTGATTCTGCAACTTATAAACATCCCTAGCGAACGTGATGACCTGCCCGATCATGATGAGGTCCATGTTCCGCACACAGCAGCCAGTGTCGCCGGCCAGCATGAATGGGCTGAATTTCACCACCAGCCCGGCCGCAAGTTCGATGATTTTGCGTCGGTCAAACAGGAGATTGAAGCTGAGACGGCACGAATCGCAGGAAGCAACAAGGGAATTAACCGACAGCCTATCAACCTCAAGATCTTTTCCCCTCATGTCCTCAACTTGACCCTAGTCGACTTGCCAGGCTTAACCAAAGTGCCAATTGGCGATCAACCTTCCGACATTGAGAAACAGACTCGGACTCTTATTCTAGAATACATTGCCAAGCCGAACAGTATAATCCTTGCGGTATCCCCGGCCAACGTGGACCTGGTCAATTCGGAAGCATTGAAGCTGGCACGCCAGGTGGACCCCATGGGCCGCAGAACAATCGGAGTTTTGTCCAAGCTGGATCTCATGGACCACGGCACTAATGCTATGGACATCTTATCTGGCCGAGTCTACCCTCTGAAATTGGGTTTTATCGGCGTGGTCAATCGATCGCAACAGGACATTCAGTCGGGCAAGTCGCTCGCCGATGCTTTACGTGCTGAGGCGGACTTCTTCCGCCACCACCCGGCATACCGCAATATGGCCAACCGTTGCGGTACTCAGTTCTTGGCCAAAACCTTGAACTCCACTCTCATGACGCATATCCGAGACCGATTGCCCGATATTAAAGCTCGTCTGAATACGCTGATGGGTCAAACCCAACAAGAGTTGGCTAGCTACGGCAACAAGCAATTTAGTGGCAAGGAACATCGGGGATCACTGATTCTGCAGCTTATGACTCGCTTTGCCTCTTCCTTCATCTCATCCATCGACGGAACCTCCTCTGAAATATCCACCAAGGAGCTTTGTGGCGGTGCGAGGATTTACTACATTTTCAACGAGGTCTTTGGCAATTCTCTGGAGACAATTGACCCCACACACAACTTGACAGTTTCGGATATCAGAACGGCTATCCGGAACTCAACGGGCCCTCGACCTAGTCTCTTTGTGCCAGAGCTCGCTTTTGATCTCTTGGTTAAGCCGCAGATCAAGTTGCTCGAGGCGCCCTCCCAGCGTTGCGTGGAGCTGGTTTACGAGGAGCTTATCAAGATCTGCCATACCTGTGGCTCACAGGAACTTCTGCGCTTTCCCCGCCTGCAGGGTAAGCTGATTGAAGTGGTGTCTGATCTTCTTCGCGAACGCCTGGGACCATGCTCCAGCTATGTAGAGTCTTTGATCTCTATCCAAAGAGCCTACATTAACACCAACCACCCCAACTTCCCTGGCGCTGCAGCCGCCATGCAGTCGATCATTCAGAATCGGCAAGAAGAGGAGCGGAAGGCTATCCTGGCCGAAGAGAAGAGAAAACGAGAGAAGAGACGCCAAAAGGAGCTCGGCGCGGCCAATGGCACTGCTGGCATGCCAGAGGACGAGGAAGCCCAATCGGAATCCAAATCACACAACCTGCCCCTTCGAAATCATTCTACTAAAGGGGCGCGTAGCATGTCTCCCAGTGTGGGCCGCAACGTGGAGAATGGCATCACTGCCACTCTAAATGGTGCTCATGCGGGTCAATCGGCTGGCTTCGGTGGCTCGCACACTACGCGTGACTCTTTCTTGAACTACTTTTTCGGCAAGGAAGGCGTTCAAAACCCAGCTTCACCACCCCAGCAATTGAACCGAATTGCCCACATGAGTGAGCCTAGCATCAGTCAGAGCATTCGCCGCGCAGAAATTCGGTCACCAGTGATGCCGGAGGAGTACACTGCTCCTTCAGAGTATGGAGGTGATGTATCTGTTTTTGTAAGTCATCTCTTCACCCCTCTCCTGCGTCTACGCCTGTCCCCCACCGGCTTGTCTATTCCGGGCTAACTTTCCCTCCTTTCTAGCCTAATGAAAACGCGGAGCCCACTCTCACTGATCGGGAGATGCTGGAGACTGAACTCATCCGTCGTCTGATCTCTTCATACTTCCATATTGTGCGTGAGACTATTGCCGATCAGGTTCCTAAGACCATCATGCACTTGCTCGTCAATCACAGCAAGGATGTGGTTCAGAACCGATTGGTCAGCGAATTGTACAAAGAAGATTTGTTCGGGGAGTTGCTGTACGAGGACGATGGCATCAAGGCCGAGCGTGAGAAGTGCGAGCGGCTGCTGGATACCTACAAAGAGGCCGCAAAGATTGTGGGTGAAGTGTTATAGATGTGCCGGAGGGCGTTTTGGCTTAATCATTCCATAAGCTTGTTTTGAGTATGGGGATATTTTGTGTTCTTTGAAGATGTACAATTACTTTTCTTTCTTTTCTCTCTCTCTCTCTCTCTCTATCTCCATTCTGAAGATAGAAACTGGATGCACGTGCTCGTCATATAACTACTCTCTTCATATGGAGCTCTGATCTATCTGTTCATAATCTCGCTGCCGTACGTCCTAGTGCGGAGGCCCAAGAATCTTCCTGGGCCATATCTAGATAAATGTTCCCTCTGTACCAAAGCACGCCTATATTGGGTATTACATCTAGTGAGGACTCCTTGGCTACGTATATTTATGTCTTAGGCTAGAAAGAAAAGCAGAGTATGGGTATGAAGAAAAGTATAGCATGATCTCATATCCGACCTACAGGGAAAAGAAGATTGGAAATTCAATAGGAGATGATTGCCTTTAGATCTTCGAGTTAAATCGAAGCGGCTGGGTCAACCTAGTATGCTTCAATATAATATTATACGAGCATTTGGTTGCCTCACTGGACCTTCTTAGTGGCCACCTTCCGCAGCCGAGCTCCTTCAAATCCATATAACCCTCCACCAAGGAAGACTAAGATAGCGCCGACCAAAACCCCGGATGCTAGATGATTTCCAAATAGGTAGATTGACAGTAAAAGTGATACAAGCTTGCGAATGTTCAGCACCACGGTCACCGTTAACGAGGAGGATTTGGCCGATAGCAGATGTACGCCTCGGATGCACAAATACTGGGTCAATGCATTCATCATCAGATAAGCCACTTGGATCGGAAGCTGATCTAGAAGCGATTGAATCGAAGCATGATTCCGAATGACCGTCAACAGCGCTGATAGTGTCGTATTGCAAGAAAGATCAGACAGGGCTGACCCATCGGAAATCTTGGATAGGAACGATGGCGAGGACGACACCACATGCCACTGTGATGACAACTGCGAGTAACTGGTTATGAACAATGGCAGAGAAAGGGTGTGCGAATAGAACAACGCCTCCTTCCAGTGATCACGGCCATAGGTCGCATATAGTCGGTCGGCATAGATCCCCTGGAAAGCCGACAGAACCATAGCCAATGCAAGAATAGTGAATCCAATCGTGGTGGTCATGGCGGCCTTGTCCAAGTCGGATGTCATCTCCACGTTCTGACCTTTGGCCTGGGCATCAGCGAGGGCGGCGGCCACCACACCTGCCGTCAGCATGGCCACCGCGAGGATTTGGCCCCGAGAATACCTTCTACCATTGAAGATATATCCCACAACCATGGAAGCGACGGGGCCACCAGACCGGATGATGATATGAAGAGGCACGGAGATTTTATATGCAAAAGCCCAATTGTTTAACATATTCACAGAGACGAAAAATGCGGTATAAATCAGCCATGATCGGAGTGGAATCGCTCGTGGGCCAAGAAACAGGTTTCGAGGCCCCGCAGAGAAGGAAAGGAAATGGGGAAGAGTGAAGATAGCACATAGAACGAATTGTGCGAAGGTGATTAAAGGACCTGTATAAGATGTTGGCATCAAAAGGCCGTGGATATATCACATCTTACAAGAGAGCTTACCTGCGGTAGACTGTTCTCTGAAGCCAGCATTAGAATTTTCCAAGGTGACCGTTTCCCGAATCATGTATGGGGGGAGCAACTTACTTGATAATGGCCTCGAGTGTAAATACCTACGATCGGTGTTAGATATCCCCTCCAATCCTTGTCACGCCTAGATGGCTAGGTTCCACAAGTAGTGAATTGTTCACTCACATTTGCACAGCAGCCCCCAAAGATGAGCGAAATCATCAGAATCATATTGGCCCAGTTTGGTACCGTAGCATGCGCTGCGGCCGCAATCAATCCTGCATCCTTCAAATTGCCGGACACGGCAGATTGAGGCACATATTCAGCAGGCGAAGCTGTCGCAGTGTGCTCGGTAGCTTCATTTTCAGAAATATTGACTTTGTAGGCTTCGGGTCTCCGTCTCAAGCTGTCGCCGTCATGAATCATCCTCGTGAGGGCGGGTTGTTGATGCAGGACGAGTCTGCGGGGAAAGTGTTGACCCCTAGCGAGTTAAGTTGAATTGCGCGGTGGTAAGATGATATGGTGAATTTCTTGTTTATGCAATTGATCCTTCCTTTTGATTCCCTTCAGACTTATTTTGGGGAAGACAATGGAGAGTGACGTGGTGTTACAAGAAGCCAAGAAGGAAAGTTGGAGAAGCGTGTGGATCCCGTGTAGATAACGACTCTTATCAGTGGTTTCTCCGATCTATACAATTTCTACATCTGAATACTCCTAATCATCCACGATATCATCATCACTAAGGTATAGTTTTTCTTCACTCTGGGGCAATCGAGGTCCGAATGAATTGCTGTGCTGGAGTGGCTGTGACGGCGAGGGCAGCTCATCTTCATCAACGTCGTCGAACCGACTCCTTCGGATTCCGGTGATCTGCTTCAATTGCGACATTTCAGTCTCATTATGCCGGATCTGAGTCATATACGGTAATTGATGGAGTATCGCATCCGGACGCGACAGCATTGTCACCGTAGTAGCCGAGGAATGGCCTGCACTAGAAGGTGCATGATGACCGACCTTGAGACTTCGCCAGGACTTGACACCCATGGGTTCGGTGGATTCGGTGGATCCCACGCCGTGTGAAAGAAGATGTGGATTGCCACAGGGATCCAACATGTGTTTCATCCATGAGTCCACAAGCCCTTCAATTTCCTCAGACTTTCTCCATAATCGCAAGGAGGATGGATAGAGCATCTTATGCGCATCACCCGTACGACCTCGCCCGTCCCCAGAGGCCAACCGGCGGTTGACAGGATAAGGCAGACCAAATAACAACCCGCGGGCGGCAACCTGAAAGCTGATCTCATCTTGTCGCATCTTATCAATTCCAGCACTTACAGGTGCTAGACCGGTTCCCATGCCACCTCGCGCGCCCTGTGTAGGCCGTCTGTCAGTACTGAGGATATCACTGTCAGATAATGACTCAATGCACGCATTGAGGCTGTCAGTGAAACAGATCCCATCACAGGAGGGCGGATAATTCTCATGGAGACCACAGACAAACGTGGTGATGTCTGTCCCGGTCTCATCGACCAACGCATCCACTGCTACCTGCGAGACCTTGGGTCGGCGATGTTGAGATAAAAGGTCCGGTGGTGAAGGAAGGACCACTGTACCGTCAGGTACAAGACTTGGATCAAGGCGTTTGTTGTATAAAATTTTGCCCACGGCATGAAATAGCCCTAGGCTCGCCTCTCTTTGTGAAATCATTTTGAGGGACTCCTCTTCCATTGGTGTTAAAGATGTGTCCCCGCGGGACTTTTTGCCTCTCGTTTTGGTTAGAGTGCCACCCCATTTTCCAGTATCATCGCCTTTTAAGCATAGGAACTCTAGAGAAGATATGGCACTGCGAACATCTCCAATCTCGGAGATCGCATCGAGGACCGTTGGACCAGGGATTCGGGCGCGCTTTGAGCTACACGCCTCTTTCTCCAAGATCAAGTGTAAGGCCTTTTGCATGAAAGTTGGGGCGATACTATTAAAGTCTATGATTTTCGTGCTGGGGTGGTTAAACAATGTTGGTCCGAGTAATCGATGGACCGTGAAGTTATCTGATATCGACGACGCCGAGCCCAGCAAGGTCTCCGATACAACCACCACAACCGGTGGGTGTATCTCCCCCAAAGGATGATCCGCAGCAGCCGCGAGATAGCGCTGCAGGGATGCCCGGAAGGCAGCCAGACCAGAGTTTCGACTCGTCATTGTCGGGAATTCTTCCACCAAGAGTATGCGCTGATTGCGAGAACGCGACTTGTGATGATCGTTGGCCTCGGCTGCATCTTCGAGGTCAAGTCCGCCGAAACGATCACCACGGCCCAGGAATTCCTCAAACTGTGTGCTCACGGAGACATAATCTTGGGCCGTGAACTCGGAAACCGCTGGATTCTTCCATTCCACAATATCAAAATCCAGTGGTTCAGAGAGTAGGGAGATGGTGGTCGTCTTCCCGGAGCCAGCGGGGCCTCGTAGAACCAAGAGTCTCTATTTCCCGTTAGCAAAGCAAACAGTCTCCATTTTACTCTTCGAGCTGAGCAAAGAGTCCATGGAATTAAATCCTGGGGTTCGCTCACCTCTCTTCCACGCCCGGCAAATGCATCTTCCAACCATTTTCGGACATCACCAACCTTTCTCTTATGAACGGCCAACTCATCTAAATTTAGTGGGGCAAACCGCTGGGCCCAAGGACGATGATCAACTTTGTGGGTCAAAGGTGGAGGACCTGACTGCCGAACACTGTGGCTCTTGGAATCTGGTGGCAGGATAAAGCGTTTGGTAGATTGATTTGTGCGGCGTGCTGTTGTGACCTTGGGTTTGGAAACCGACGCCCGGATTGGGCCATTATTTGAAGAGAAAGAGGATTTCGGATTGAAGCTGGGGGTTTGGCTAGCAAGGTGTTGTGTGAAGATCTCATCATATGAATCATAGTCATCTTCTATTTCGTCTGCGTCTAGTGTTTCTGTGCCCGATGCGAGAGACCGCTTCGCCTCGAATTTCTGCGACGACCATCGTTGCCCGTCCGTTGCCGGCTGGAAAAAAGTATGAAGAGACTTGGATTTACTTGTCTTCGGGGAATATGCAGGTTTTGATGGAGAGGGAGAAGGGGAGGAGGCGCCGGAGGTGTGCTGAGTCGATGGAGCTGGACTGGGACGCGCTCGTGTCGATTTGGGGCGCGACGAAAGCGCGACAGGCTTAGAGATGGAATTGGATGGATCTCCTTTGGATTCACTTCCATGGACTGATCGACGTTGTCTTTTCGGAGGACGACCATCCATGGTGGGAAGAAGCGGGGAGTTGTGAAAAGGAAAGCGCGTCTGTTAAGGTTGATTGATGACGCCAAGGGTCCACTTTTACCTTTACATGTTCATCCGGGTATACAAAATGGATGTACCTGTGGAGCCTAAGGTACATACCGAGATAACACACATCTAAATGCTTTTAATCTCATATCTCACTGAATTTCACTTTTTGCAAAAAAAAGCTCGACTCCAATTGGTGTATATCTTACACATATGTCCAGCCATGGGTATATCGACATGATTCCAAACCAAAACACAATCATGATGTACAATAAAACAAATCCCAGTTCTCCCGATCCGCATTTCGTCCTGGTTCAGGCGCCACCAAAGACATCGTAATAATAATCTTCATCCAGTCCGTCCCGCGCAGGCACTGGCGGAGCCTCGCCCGCAAAGGTAGCGTCGTCAAATCGAACATTAAGCAGACGGATCTTAAGCCCATAGTTGCTGACCAGGTCGATCAGCTTGTTCGTTTCCGCTGTAATTGGTTGCTGGCTGAGCAGCATGAGCAGTCCATCCAACCATTCCGAGGCCACGCTGTGGGACGGGGGTCGAAGGGTAAGGAGCACCGTCTCCTTCTGTGTAGACCGACTGCCCGTCCGAGCATGACCATGGTTTTTTGATTGGCCTGTTGCCGCTGAGGGCTGCGCATGACCATGGATAGTAATCTTAGTCGAGGCCTGACGTGGAGCTGTCTTGACAGTGGATGAGGAGGAGTGGTCGGGATTGGTGGAGATGTTGGAGACGACGGATGAGACAATGGAGAGGTCAACTACAAGAACAGATTAGTAGGAGGATGGCAAGAATAGTGTAGGTCAAAGGCTGGCTCTCACTCTTTTCAGGCAGAGCATCTAACTCGGGAGTTCTATCCCCGATCGAATTGAAGTCTCCGAAATGTAGATACCGGCGATTATGCGACAGCTGCACATATTGATGCGAGGCTGTAGACCGGGTAGAGTTCGGCTCGAGCTTGGAGTTGGAATTGGAGTCAAGCGAAAACCACGCGCCTTGCAACAGGCAGCGAATGCGCTGCTCTTTCACAAATTGAAGAGCTTCATGGTGAAGTTCTTCACGCACCTGTTGCAGGTGCTGACCCCATGCATCTTCGTAGGTTAGTTCCAGGAGCTCCATCTGTAGTTCCCGCAACCGATGATATTCGAAGTTGGCCAGCTCCTCCTCGACATCCTGGACATCTTTGGTCCGGCCAGCCCCGCCAACCACTGATTCCATGAGAATGCGAACCAGCTCTACCAACTTATCTAGATCCTCCGTCTCTGCCGCCGTGGCCTTCCACATCCGGAAAAAGGCCTGCAGCCCCGCGACATGCAATCGAGTCCAGTGGAGAAGCAGAGGCTTGAATAGCTTGTCCAAGCTGGATCGTGATTCCATAAGCATGTAGTTTTTGGAATCGTCCATCTCAGACTTATCAACCTCGAAATGTTCGTACAGGATGGATGTCAGGGCGAGAGATGCTCGCGCGATCGGGCACCGTTGACGCGACGGCTTCGTAGACTGCTCGAGAAGCATTTTCTGGAACTCATCCTGATGGCTGCGAACATAGTCCGCTAGGTCCATCATGCCCAGAAAACCCACCTCGTAGAACTCCGCAGCGGGGCTCTCGGACTCAAATCCTAATCGACGCCATTTTTCTGGATGTTGTCTTTTCGAGCGTCGCATATCCTCGCCATTTCCTGTTGTTTCCTCCGACCCCTTGGCAGGATTACTGGCGAGGTAGATTCCCTTCAGTGCGCGACGGTGCTCGGGCTTTTCCTGGTGCAAGGGAATGTCTCTCCACTTCCGGAGGAGCACTTTGGTGAGGGACTGGAACTCAAGAAGTGGGGGTGCTAGATCCTGAAGGGCCGAGTCCTGCATGAGCACATAGACGGCTCGTATCACACCGAGGTCCTGCAGTTTCTGGATGAATTTCGGCCATTCTGCCTCCGAATCGTAGGTAATGGAATCGCGCATGAGGGAATTGATCAATTGGAGCGCATTGGCGCATAGGGCATGATCCGCCGAAGAGAGCCGACTGACCAGCATCTCCAGAAACTGGGGATAGATTGCGATCGCTGGTTTTAGGGCACGAAAGCCAAAAATATCCGCCTGTGATGGGTTGCCTCCGGCATGTGGATGGGAGACTACAGATACGAGAATTGACATGGCGCCTCGAAGGATATTGACGAGAGGATGGGTGACAATCAATTCGACAATCTGGCAATTTGTGACATTATTGATTAGCGAATGAATGGCGAGCGACGAAGGGGAGAGGCTCAGGTTCCTTTCTTACCCGTTCGACCAGTTCCTGATCAACGCACTCCCAACCTTTGTCAACCTCCAGCAGTCTTGCAAAGCTTGTAAGACTATAGGCCAGGGTATTACCACTGGCATGGAGAGTCAAGTAGCGCAGTCGAGTCAATCCACCCTCAATAATAAAGAGGTCGGCGAAGGACGGGTCCCCAATATTGCTCTGGAGCTTAAAGACGGCCATTTTGCGCACGGCATCCTCATCGCTCCCAAGGCGCTCCACCAATTCAGGGACATTGACATTCTCCATGATGCCCCCCTTTTCTTTGATAGAAAAAAAAAGTGTTTGTGGGCCAGAGGGAGTTGTTGGAGGGGGGGGAAAGCAAGAGGAAGTGAGCGCGAGTTGCAAGGCGGGTATATCAGGGGTCACACTACTTTGGTACTGTGGGGGCATTGGGATCCGAACTATATAATATTGACCAGTTATATCTAGACTTTAAATATCGCGTTATGATATTTTATATATGTACTCTGTGTGGATAATAAAAAAATATGTATATCAATTATTCAATTATCACAATTCATTTCATACATCAAGATAATCCAGCTCGGGGTGGATTTCCGGGGTTCGGCATCTATACTCCATAACATTCAGAATACTCATCATTAATCAAGACAATAAACCAAACTCCGTGCAGATGCAAATGTGCTGAGAGCCAGACAGGATCAGAAAATGAACAAAATCATCTGCTGACGTATTATGTACGAATAAGGAGGATCTGACCCTTCCTAGTCATGAAGGTGGTCTTCCTTGATTTTTCTTCACGTTTTTCTCTGCTGTTCTTTTTGGAAGGTGGAAATGGGAGAGGATCAAGTTTGGGGACCGGCCAAACTTAGATCCTGCATAGAAAAGGTACAGAATGTGAGGATCATCGTCGCCAGCCGACATTCCAAATGACGTGGGCAATATCCCGAGCCGTGTTGACCGTATCCACCACACGACCCAGGATGGTATGGTTCACAGATTCGCCTTCGCGTTCACCTTCTGGGTCACCGTAGGGCATGAACATGCCAGAAGTGGACAACTGCAGCGGACGATCCGCCAGCTCATCTTCCTCCTCGGGGACGAACCAGGCCAGACGATCGCGGTAATGCCCAGTAAAGTCAAGGCTTGGATCTTCGTCGTCGTCCAGCAGGAAGTTGGCAGACGGTGGTCGGAGAGTCTCCACGGACGGCGTAGGGGACAAGGAGGAGGTGGAGGGTGAGGGGGATGGAGAGAGAGCGGCCCAGCGATCAAGAATTGAGGACTCACCCCGAGGCTCGGGGGTGTCACCGCGATATTTAAGGGTGGTGGATGGGAGAGGGGCGATGGTTTTACTCTCGCCGCTAAAACTATTCCGGGGAGTGCTGCGGGTGCTGATGGATGCCTCCCCAGAGATCTGACGCATCATGACCACCCCGTCATCCGACGAGGACTCTTCGTCAAAGGTCATGGGCCAGCCTTCGTCCCCCTTGGCTTCGACCGCGATACATTGCACCACCTCATTGTTGAAGTGGATATGACGCCGCTCGCTGGGGGATGTCATCCCCGAGGAGGAAGAGGTAGTCAAGGTGCCCCCAAGTGAATACGTTGAGCTCCCTGTGCGATGGTGGAGTTGATCCAGGTCGGTATTGGACCGAGGAAACGGCGGGCGGGTCCAGCCTTGTTCGGCTTCTTGAGCCTTGAGGATCGCCCCGGCATGTTGGAGAAGAGTGTGTTGGGATAAGGACCGCTGGAGCATGGTCTCCGAGGCGGTCTTTTTTTTCAAGATAGGTTTTCGCTCCAGATAAGAATTGGGGGTTTCGAGGCGGCTGGGTGGCGGCGACACATCTGAGGCCATAGCGTCGCTCGAGGCGGATGTTTTAAGTGGTCCGTAGAGCCAAGTGACATCACAGTCTTTTAACCTAAGAATGCTGTTAGCGCCTGGGGGGGGAGCTTTACAGAAAAGGAGATTGATGGGGATCCTCGTCGCACCAATTTAAGGTCTCTGGGGAGATGGTCCCCAGATTATTCTTGGCCTTGGCCCACGTCCTCCACGAGGCATTTTCCAGACGCACGCCATTGCTATAGTCGTTCTTGCGGGCGGCGACATAACGCCAGGAGGACCAAATATCCTCTTCTCGCCAGTCATGGGAAAGGTAATCTACATGTCGCGAGGGTTCATCTTCGACGGAGGTATCGTCTGCAGCCGGGGTCCCACAGGTCCACGCGGTTCCACTTTCAGACGCGTCGCTCAAGGCATCAGAATCCTTGCGGGCCCGGCCCGACTCTCCCTCGTACGATGGGAGGATCAAATCCTCGTCGAGCGACAGGGTGGTGGTGGGGGAATATTGATCGATTTCGGTAGGAGAGAAACTCGGCGAAGGAGGAAGGGAGAGTGGCGAGGGGGAACACGGGGTGGGATATGCATGTTGCATGGGGGATTTGGGGAAGTCGAGGAAATATCGCTGTGCGGTGGGGGCACGTAACGGGTCCGGGGAAAAGGGCGAAGGTTGTTCGCGGGGAGCGAGCATTGCCGTCATTTCCAATTATGATAAGGTCACACGGAAGAAAAGGGAAGCAAAAAGCAACAGCAAAAGTCAAAAAGATTCGAAACGAAAGAGAGAAAAAAAAAATAAAAATTAAAGGACACTCTCCATTCCTATTATATGTGGAGTGGAAGAACCAGAGGAATGGGGGACTGGGGAAGAGAATGGGGAGATTATAGAGAGGGAAGGGAGAAGAGAGAGCGAACCTTGGAATAGAGAATAGAGTTGTCGCCACTTATTATCTAACGACCTAGACCGATAATTCATGCAGGATTCCCCACCAAATCCGAAGTCGATCCTCGAGTGGAGAAGTCGGAGCATCGCGGACTTGGTTCTACAACCTAAAAGGGTCCGACCACTACAAAGCGCAGTGGCACTTTACTTGCATCTCGTTCACATTGGAATGAAATGCAAACAAGTACCCGTACCAAGGATGAGGTAAGGCAATATATCTATTATAGGAGGACAGTCTCTATAACCTATAATATCACGGTCTGATATGAATATGAGGGGTTAGATCGTACCCCCATGGACTTCGTCTAGAACCTCTATAGGACCGTGCGGTTGAGATCCGCCACTTCAGTCCACGGACCGTGGGCCAGAGCCCATTGACTTTGCACGATAAGATCGAGATGAGGAAGACGACAAGATCGATGACTCAGGAGGCTTGGAATACAAAGAAACACCTTCCGTTCGCTGGTCTACACCAGGTGTTTGATAGGGATGATAGGGATGATAGGAATGATAGGAAGAGTAGAAATAAGAGGAATGATACGAAACCACTCGCGACTCTCCTATGGTTATGGGAAAGCCAGACCTGCTCTATCTGCAACGATGACCTGCATACACATTGACTTTCTTTTATTAATTGTTTGAATTTGATTTATCGATTTATTCCTATTTTTTGCATTTGCCATGTTGTTTCAAGATAGCGCGAGAGAAAGGTGGAGGCAATTAACAGTGTCGTACTGCGTACACCCTTGTCTTTTGTCTGTGCGTGCAAGGTGATTGGTCTTAACCTAATCCAACAGAGAACACCAATGGAGAGAAGAATCTGGGCCAGTGGTATCGCTGCATCACTGCATGTTACCGATCTTCGGAGAGTTTAGGCCCCAAAGACCTCTCTCGCTCATTCTCAAGTCCTTATGCAAGGTGGATAAGATGAGGGCCCAGAATCCAATTGATTGTCCTTCCGCGGAGCCATTCTGGGGGTGGATGCCAAATCAAACCCCCTCCCCCACGGGCCCTCGTGTTCCTGATTTCTCGGGATCTCGACTTCTTCGGCTTCTTAATTGGCTAGGGAACCCACCTCACACAGAGAGATACCCGGGACGGGATGATGCACTCCGGATCCCCTCGCTTTCCTTCCCCCGGGGGGTAAGTGGATGGCGACGGCGGATCGTCAGTCCTATCTTATCGGAACCGTTGCTCTCTAACGGCCGTGCGGATCGATTGAGAATCAGGCGCCAATGAGCAGCTTCAATGCTGCTATCGTGCCCCTGCGAGGACTCCGGGTTTGACGCAGCTTCTCAACGGCCCGGCTCTGGCCTGCATGGCCCCAATGACAAACAGACAAGGCTACGTCGGCAAACCCAGGTGGTAACGTAAAACCCCCATGCACAAAGAGGGCCAGGCGATAACGACCCCTGGAGAAACTTTGGCACTCGACGCCACCAGAAGTGCATGGTATGCAGTGGTGATTTGGTCGCTTTGCGCCTTTGCGATGCGTTGACCCGACTACAATCTGCAGGTAATTCCTCATCGCCGGACAAGGTCCAGAATCATGAAATTGAGTGACTCAATTGGCCTGATTCCTCGGATAGATTGGAGTGTACTGAGACAGACCTTGAAAACAAACCTTGGGAGTGAACCTTGTAGAACCTAGGGACTTTTGTCACTTGGAATCTGGAAATTTGGCACTTGGAACTTGGAATCGGGAAGGTACTTACTTGTTTTGGTGCTTTTGTGCTGGGACGCAATCTAGAGTACGTAATGTAATGTGCATAAGTCACCTGATCCCGAGTTAGCGCTGCTGATGTAATCTGCCCCTCGTGGAAAAAGAGCTACCGAGTTCAATCGTCAGTGGTCGAGACCCTATACTTTCCCCTCATCCCGCAAACATGGCTGAGGTGGCAGATTCAGGCCCGGTCGAGCCGCAGGCCCGCCATATCGTGTACTGTGGAGGTGAGTACCCCCGGGGTATCCCGTGTGGAAGACCAGGCTGATCGTAACCCCGCGCAGTGTGTACTCTACCCCCCGAGGTATGAGCTTCCCAGGATTCAACTTTCCCCTCCCCACCTCGGCCTCATTGACCCATGTCTGGATTCAACCTCTCTAGTACTGTGGATTTGGAGGAACAGCCAAGAAATGTGAAGAATGGCTGAAAGATGAAGAGCCGGAGCTCTGGAATCAGTTACATTCTGAAGGTATGCAATCAATCGGACTTCCTCGGAGCTTCCAGGGCGACCTGGGATCTGAATGTGGCAAGCCACTAACCATCACCACCCCTGCTCGGTGGCACCAGATGCTCTGAACGCCAATTTGTCCGCCCTCTCGGTCTCCGCACAGGAGCGTGCCGCCAAAGACGCCGCCAAGAAGGAAGCCAAAGCTGCCCAGAACGAGGCGCGAGACGTCGAACGCAAGGCCGCGTCCAAGGTCATCATCAAGAGAGTTGAACGCAACAAGCGCAAGTACGTTACCGTCATCTCAGGTCTGGAGGTCTTTGGCCTGGAGAACAAGAAGCTGGCCAAGGAACTGGGCAAGAAGTTTGCCACTGGTTCCTCCATGACCCGATCACCCTCGGGTACGGAGGAAATCACCGTCCAGGGTGATGTCAGTGAGGATGTGGAGGATTGGCTACTCGAGGTTTATGGCAGCAAAGTGCCCGGGGCCAACATCGAGCTGGTCGAGGACAAGAAGAAGAAGAAAGACCCCGCTGCCGTGTAAGGTGGGGCCTTTTATCTTTCTTTCTTTTTTTAACGATGATGAAGTAACAATGGGATATATTGCGCGGAGAGGGTATCATGACATGACCAAAAAAAGAAAACCAAGTCCAGTACAGAAAATGAAACGCTTTGTACATCACAGGCAACCCAATCCTGTAGGAGTAACGCCAGCAGAGGAGAAAGCAGGTGTTTAATTACAGTTCATCCAGTACACATAGAGGATCATCAGTCGGTGCAGCGTCTGAGCTGGCTAGAGAACTCATGGCCGTGACGCTGTTTGCCTGTTCCAGGCTCTGTCGACGATCTGCCAGACCGGATGGATACCATGATGAACTAGTCGTGACCTCCGAGTCACCCAGAACGGATTCCCAAGTGTCTAGTGGATTACCAAGGGAAGTCTGGTTCAATGTTTCGATTAGATCAGGGAATTGGCTAGAGGATTGCAGTGCGGGCCAATTTTGGATCACGAGAGCCAAGACGAGCACGAGCAGGCCACTGGTAATGATGGCCCAAAAGATTCGCAGTCGACGGCTAACTCGAGACTGCCATTCTGACTCTCGTTGGTCCCAGCGGTCAATCTCGCCTCGGACGCTCTCGAGACGCTTGCCGAGATCTTCGACTCGTTGCCGTCCCGCCTTCATTCGTTTCTCCAGGGCGTCGGCCTTTTGGATCTGGGGCTGAAATCCCTGGAGATCATTGATCTGCTTGCGGGTCTCTTGGTCGAGCCCAGCGGTTTCGCGCTCGAAGTCGCTCAGGAGGGTTGACGCTGTATCCGAGAGGTCCTGGAAGGACCCGATCGTCGAGTTGAGTGCTGTAATTTTCTCAAGCAAGTTATAGTAGGTGTAGTCGAGTCGTCGGGTGACGTCGGTCGCCAAGGTTCCAATGGAGGAGAGCGCGGAGCGCAAGTATCTATAGGGTTCCTGGTGAGCGTGTACATCCTCATATAAACAGCCCAGTAGTTCTGATCTTACTGTTCACCTTGTTTCCTTCGCTTCGTCACCTGTACCAGATCCTCCATCGATTGGATCTCCTGCCTCCGAATCGGACCCAGTTGCCCCTGTTGCTCAGGAGGGTCTAGAATGCTGCCCTTGCGACTTCGGCTGCCGCTGCCTAGTCCCGAGGTGGAATCCGAACCCCAACGCGATCGCGTCGTCTCCCGGGTAGTCGGTCGCAAGAGCCCATCTTCCTCCCGATCCTTGTCACGGCTTCCAGACCAGGTGGGTAGCAAACCTCGGGCACTCGCGGAAGAGGCGAGATGGCTCATGGGGCGTGGAAGGCGGAGTTCGCGCGACTTGCTCTGTTTATGCCGGTGGTGCTGCAACTTTCCCACGTCGAGATGCCAGTCGGCTAAGGATCGGTGAGAGGATCTGTGACGCGTCTCTGTTCCCCCGATCTCATGACGGGAGGCCTGGTCGTCTGGTTGCAGCGGTTCGCTGGTCTCATTGGGCCGTGTGGATCCATGGGTCGGAGGGAAAGTCGCAGAAGCGGGTTTAGTGGAGAGTGGTAATGGATATCTGAAGTGGTCCATATTCGGACATGTCTTCAAGTTGGTTACCTAGGTGGTTTTCTTATTAGTGTTCAGGGACGTCGGATGTCAAGAGTGGAGTGATTGGGGAAAGCGATGACGCCAAGCCATGATGCATTGATCAACATAGAATATATACCGTGACTGCTACTGCAAGTTTTTAGGTCACTAGCCTTGTTCATTCATTCAGCACTTTTATAGTGACTGACATTCCATCTCTCGATATATTCGTTCCAACGATAGTGTAGGTGCTTGAGACCCCGATACTCCAGGCTACTGCACGTCCAACGTGATGTGAATACAGGTGATCACTGTAGAATTGCTTTTGATTTTTACCGAGTCCATGCATTCATTCATGCAACATAATCGGAATTCTGAGGTCTATCATTGGCTTCCGATGGAATCAACTGTCTTAAAACAAGACATAGTATAAAGAACAAAATTACATAGATATCAATACCCAGGAAGAACGCCGATGACCCAATCCCCCCTTCTCATACGTTGATAGTATCCACGGTCATGCTAGGCATATGCGGAATAGCCTGATCATGATTCAAGTCATCGACGGTGAGGAAGGAAGGGGTGGTATATGCTGGAAAGGGTATCCCGAAGATCGTGCACGGTGGTCGCTTCTCCCCGCGATCGAAAGGGAACATAGTCACCGAGTACGAGCTCATGAGTTGAGAAGCTTGTTGCGCTTCTCGCGGCGCTTGAGCCGCTCGACCCGCTTGTGGTGCATTTTTTCCGCCATCTTCTCATAACGAGCCTTCTCCTCCTTCGCAGCGCGACGGTCCTTGATGCGTTGGATGTGGGCCTGAATACGGGTCCAGTGTTAGTCTGACCACGTTACCAAGGAAGTGGAGAAGAGAGGCTGGGACCGAGAGGAAGGCCTAGAGGAAACAAAAAAAAAAAAAAAAAGAACACAAAAAGACTCCCGCCCAAAACCGAAACAGATAAACAGGAAAGAAGGAAAGAAGAAACATTCGAATTATTAAACAAAAGACTCACCTGACGTTCAGCCTCCTTTTCCTGCTTCATCTCCCGTTCCCGTTCCTTGACGGCATCTTGATGCTTGCGGAGCTCTTGACGTTTGGCATAGGATGTCAAACCGGCGGTCGGACGGAAAGCCCGCTTATTGTCATGCCAATTCTTGCCTAGAAAAACAAAAGCGACGATCGGGTTAGTCGGGCTGACAGAACCGAGTAGGGAGAGAATTAAGAGTGGAGACATCGCGGGTTTCGGAGATTCGTGGACTGACCATTCTTGCGCATACCCGAGGCCTTTGCGACAGGCGCGGGGATAACTGGTGTCTCGGCAGGGGACGACATGCTGATCTGCAGGACCTCCTGTTCACCAGATATGAAATTGAGGGGAAAGGTGACGGGACTGGGGAAGGGTGGGAAGGTGCAGAAGGCTTGATATCAGAAGAGTTATCGCGGGATGAAAATTTCAGTTTTTTTGTCAGCGCGTAAGTCGGAGATTATCTGATCGATAACCGGCCTTGGCGGACGCTAACACCAACAAAACCGGTGAAAGATGAGAATACTCCACTATGGAGTCTAGTTTTTTACTTCTTCATTGGTTTCAGGTGGTTCTATTACTCATAATTATCTGATCGGCTTGATCTGATTATGATCTAGTCGTTGAACCTTCCCGATAGGTAATTTACCCAGTACCATATGCAGACAGGATTACTGAGGCTTGGCATTAACGTACACCGCCCCTCGTTTTCCCTCTTTTTTTCTCTGTTCTGTTCGTGCATTCCCCACTTTCTGCATCTACGTCCCCAAGTCCTGAACTGCCGAAACAATTCGCTCATAAAGCCCCTCCCCCCCCCCCTCTTTTATCTTTTCTTTCGAACAATGCTCCCCCGATAACACTTCTTTGGTCGTCTTGGGTCTTGGAAAAAGGGACATTGTTGGATGCCTTGATGGCGACAGCCGAGCATGCAATTCCGGTCAGCGAGCAAGTGATGGAGCTCCCATCGCTCCCCCCCAACCAGGGGTTGGAGGCTATGAAAGATATTGTCTTTGGATCGGTAAGGAGACACATCACCCCCCCCCCCGGATCTCCCTCGGTACACGCTGACCTCGTACACTAGGTGGCTGGAATGGCAGGTAAATTGATCGAGTATCCCTTTGACACCGTCAAAGTTCGACTACAATCACAACCCGAACACCTTCCTCTCCGATACACCGGTCCCCTGGACTGTTTCCGCCAGTCGTTCCAGGTCGATGGTGTGCGAGGACTGTACCGAGGCATCAGTGCCCCCATGACCGGGGCCGCCGTGGAAACCAGCTGCTTGTTCTTCAGTTATCGCCTGATTCAGGATGCCTTGAAGGCAAATGTCTTCCCCAATGTTGAACAGTTGCCCCTGTGGGTGCTGGTGGCTAGCGGAGCGGCGTCGGGCTCCGTCACATCGCTGGCCCTGACCCCCATTGAACTCATCAAATGCAAGATGCAAGTCCCCGTCGAGTCCGCAGTGGGCCACAAGGCCCCTGGACCTCTTCTTCTCATGGCGTCGATTTTCCGTCATGAGGGTATTATGGGATTTTGGCGCGGTCAGATGGGGACTTTGATCCGAGAAACTGGAGGCAGTGCGGCATGGTTCGGCGGCTACGAGGGGGTTTCCTCTCTTTTCCGGAGATACTCCTCTCGACCTTCGTCAGCAACCGATAGCCTTCCTGTACATCAGCAAATGATTGCGGGTGCCGCTGCGGGCATCAGCTACAACTTCTTATTCTTCCCCGCGGACACCATCAAGTCGCGGATGCAAACCGAGGATATCTCTCGGCGCCCTGCCAATGGAGCGCGACAAACCTTTTGGAGTGTGGGGCGTGCTTTGTGGCGTCAGCAAGGCCTCAAAGGCATGTACCGCGGGTGCGGGATCACCTGTCTGCGTTCGGCACCCAGCTCGGCCTTCATTTTCGCCGTCTACGAAGGATTACGACAAAACTTTTGAACGTTAGAACCTACACTTGTCCACAACATAGATCCAGTGTGGTGTTGCACATAGATTTCGGTTGCTTTATCTTTTACTTATACCCGCTTTGTGCAGTTAATATACTAGAAATTATACTCTCCCTAGGTACTTTTGGTCATATCTGTATAGGTCTTCAGGACATTGTGATCTTCTTTCTTAGATGGACCCTGTTGATCATTAACCCTTTAGGACCCCCAAGGGATCTACTGTACCCTCTCACCGTCAATTTGTGATGTAATTGAACCAGGGTTTACAAGATCTCCTAACTTTGTTGTCCTTGGGTCTAAGACTCCATCCCAGCTATTGCCACGATACTCATCTCACCATACCCTCCTTTCGCTGCTGCATCTAGGAAGTCCCTCACGGTCAATGCTAGCCCCTGCTCGCTCAGCAGATCTTCCCCATCAAGTGTGCCCCGCAATAAAGGCCCCTTCATGCCTCCATTGAGCTCCCATACCTGGCCGCTCTCCTGGACAAAGCCAATGAAGTGGTGATGATTCTCATCGTGGGGTGAAGGGGCAGCCGAAGAACCCTTGGATGCAGCCTCCATGTGTGCTTCTTCCAGAAATTCAGAGTCGTACAACAGCCGTGCTCGTCCTGTCGGTTCAAGTTCGATGGCATGCTTCAAGAGGATCCCTAATGTCGAATCTCGACTGACATATCGTCCCCCATCTAGATTGAAGACGCAGTGCAGTAACGCCATCAGACCACAGGCATGTCCAATCGTCTGTTTGATCCAAATGATGGGCTCGTCTGGACCTGACCCCTTATATTCCGGGACCGTAGGTACCATCGCAGACCGGGCTGCATTGTATATGGGCTGGTCCGCGAGGAGGATCAGTGCGTGAATGGGGCGAGGAATCCACGATAGAGCATCAGGCGATGTAGAGAAAACATCATGAAAGGCGAGTCCAGGAGCTATACCTAGATTTTGACATAGATGCGACAGGACCTCTGGATTGTTCTCTGGGGTTTGTCATGAGCAGTCTACCTCTAGAAGAATAATCCGAGGAAACTCACCCAGAGGAATGAATGTCTTGCAGCCTTGAACAATCTCCGCCTTGGGAATAGACATACTGACAATGATGCTAAGAGTCAATAGCGATATGGCCGAGAACAGGAAGCATAGAAGCGGGGAAGCAATCAATGCAAACCAATCTGCCCCACAACTTTCCTTGTTACATCTTGCATTCTTTCTCCTTAAGTGTGAATGTTTCAACTCTGTCCAAGATCTTTGTATGCAGGCAATATGCTCCGCAGATACCAACGCTAACTCCCAGGGTCCCCAGGAAATCAAGGAAGCGGATCCAATGGCTCGGCAAGCTGCCGATTTGCTCCTACCAATGTTCTTCTCTACGGGACCAATCTATTAAGAAATGTTGAATTGTCAGTCTTCACATCTAGAGACAGCACAGATTTTTGATCATGAAGACGCACGTTTGCATATATTGTTTGGTATACGATGATCGAGACAAATCCTCGGATTACTTGGTCAACGTCCACTTCTTTGATTGATATTCTCCACTCTCAACACCCGATGGACCTTCTAAAAACCAATGATGAGACTCACAAATGTCATCCATTACCGAAAACTCCACTTTCCTCAGCCCTATGGAACCCGGAGCAAGCGCATAGGCCTGGTCAACCTGCGTAGTGGGGCACTCAGCCCTATGGACTCCAGTCTGAACCCAGAAAAAAGCTTGCCGATGCCAGGCAGCAATTTGACGAGCTTCATTTCACTCGGAGTTCATCTCGAAATCGCTCATGAGAGCCCCAAGGTACTCATCCAATATTGTCTATAAGATGGTCTACCCAGGAAGGCAGAATGCATCTTTGTCTTTATTTCACTCAGAGTCGATACCATGGCTTCCTTTGATCCGACAAATGTCAACCTGAACACAGCCAATGAAGAAGATGTGCTGTGCTACCTGGCCATCTCAGGGAACGACTACAATGGCCATCTCGGCGCTCGTATCTCCTCTATCTTTGTGATTCTCTTCGTGTCCTCGGCCTTTACGGTCTTCCCTGTGGTTTCCAAGCGGATGCCAGGATGGAGGATCCCATACAGTGTGTATATCTTCGCGCGGTACTTCGGAACTGGTGTCATTGTGGCCACGGCTTTCATCCATCTACTAGACCCGGCATACAAGCGAATTGGCCCCAAGACCTGTGTTGGCCAGTCCGGATACTGGGCTGAATATTCCTGGTGTGCGGCAATTGTCCTCGCATCCGTCGTGATCATTTTCCTGATGGATCTAGCGGCGGAAGTCTACGTTGAACACAAGTACGGCGTGCACAAGGATGAAGATGCCACCAATGCCTTCGTCCAGCATGAGCACCACCTGGATGTGCAGCCTGCCCCGGATACCGAGAAGGAGGTCGTGAATCCCACCTCTACCGAGAAGCGAGTGGATGCATGGGGCTCGGAGGGAGATTCTACCACGGCCGAGAAGTCTTTCCGCCAGCAGATATCTGCATTCCTGCTTTTAGAATTTGGTATCATCTTCCACTCCGTCATCATCGGTCTCAACCTAGGTGTGACAGGCTCAGAGTTCAGCACGCTTTACCCAGTTCTAGTCTTCCACCAATCTTTTGAAGGTCTGGGAATTGGTGCTCGCATGTCTGCTATCCCTTTCGGAAAGCACACCTGGCTGCCGTGGATCCTATGTGCGGCATACGGCCTGACCACTCCAATCTCCATTGCTATTGGCCTGGGAGTGCGGACCACCTACAACCCTGACTCCAAGGTATCGTTGATTATTCAAGGAGTATTGAATGCTGTATCGGCAGGCATCTTGATTTACACTGGTTTGGTGGAGCTTCTTGCTAGAGATTTCCTCTTTGATCCGTGCCGGACTAAGCGCCGGTCTCGGCTGTTGTTCATGGTTGGTTGCACCTTATTGGGGGCAGGAATCATGGCTTTGATTGGAAAGTGGGCCTAGGAGATACTTGAGTGACGAAATGGAGATAAAGGATGGAAAAGAATGTATAGATAGATGTTGATCTCATTCCTCGACGTATATATAGATAGTCATCCCGAATCCATGAGAGAATAATCAATCACGCATATTCTCCTGTCACTACTGATCGAAAATTCCACTTCACATCCTGCGATCTTCGGATGGATTCGTCCAAGCAAAGATCAGCCCACTTCCGATCCGTGGAGTCTCCGCGGAATCTGCACGAATAGATAAGCACTTGAGATGAGGCACAAAGCCAATCCAGTACATTACAACCTTCATAATGCTAGCTCAACTGATCCTCTTCGGCAAAGTAGTCGTGATCCTAGTCCAACAATCCTGGATCAGATTGCGATCACGACTGACATCTACCGTGCACCGGTTCACGTACCAACTAGGCGATCAACCGAAGAACATAGTCATTGTGGGCGCCTCATTCGCAGGATACCACGCAGCTCAATGCCTCGCAAACTCCATTCCATCAGGCCATCGAGTCGTGGTAATTGAGAAGAACAGCCACTTCCAATTAACATGGGTACTACCGCGATTCTGTGTTGTCGATGGTCACGATGAGAAAGCTTTTATTCCGTACGGTTCCTATATTCAAGGCCCTCCTGGATCCTGGAGCTGGATCCGCGATACAGTGGAATCTATCATTCCTGACGGACGTGGAGGAAAAGTCCATCTTGCGTCGGGTGACTCAATTCCTTACGAGTACCTGATTCTGGCGACGGGAGCCTCGGCCGGACTGCCATCGAGAGTATGTCAGACGGACAAAGATGCTGGAATACAGGCACTTGCCTATCAACGAGAGAGAATTCGTGAAGCACAGGATATCGTGGTTGTGGGGGTGGGTCCTGCTGGAATTGAATTGGCGACGGATGCAAAGGCCCTGTTCCCAGAGAAACAAGTCACTTTGATTCATTCGCGGAAGGCCTTGCTGAACGACGGATTTGGAATGAAGCTGCACCAAGCTATTTGTGATAAGATGGGTAGTTTAGGGGTGAATCTTGTGCTTGGGGAGAAGCCGGTGATTCCAGATGGGACCATGGGCGATATCAAACTCAGTGGAGGTGATGCTATTCATTTTGATTGTTTGGTTAGTTCTGAATTCCCTCTCTTTCCCCGTAGGGAACGCAGTTCTGACACTATTAGATCAAATGTGTCGGGCAGACACCAAACTCGAACCTGGTGCGCTTTCTGTCCACCGAGACTTGTACTCCATCAGGGCAAATTCGAGTTAGACCTTCTCTGCAGGTTCTGGATGATGCATTTCCACAGATCTATGCGGCAGGGGATGTCATAGAGGCTGGTTCAATCAAGAATGCTCGTTCTGCTGTTCAGCAAGCGCAGGTCGTAGCGGATAATATCACTTGCAATATTCGAGGCCAACGACAGATCGAATATCGACAGCAATGGTGGGAGGGAACAACGAAGCTCACATTAGGGACTGTAAGTATCAAGACAAATGATGAAGAAAGGTGCTGATTGGATTGCAGGAAAAGAGTGTAGTTTATATCACTGATCATAGTGTTGAAGTGCTGTTTTCCGCACGCAGGCAGAGGGTTGAACTGGACAGCGCGATGGTATGGAAATATTTCGGTGTGAATCCATACGTGAATTATTAAGAGTCCACAGGATCATATATCGACTCATGATATATCCATGCTCTTGGGCCAAGACCGTCGATAGAAATGTGTAGAAGTGAACATGGGAGATGATTAATGAGAGAGTTGGGCTTTGATTGTGCGGAGGAATTTCTACTTATCGCGGCCCCGCATTTCATGTATGACAACTTCCCCTTAACAACTCTCACCATGTCTGAAATTACTGCTCAGGAGTTGGAGATCCTCTCCACTAAGGTCATCGCCGCTAAGGAGGCGGCCTACTGCCCCTACTCCAAGTTCCGTGTGGGAGCATGTCTCCTAACTACCTCTGGCGAGTTCGTGGTTGGCGCCAATGTCGAAAACGCTGCATATCCCGTTGGAACTTGTGCTGAGCGAGTGGCAATTGGGACGGCAGTGGTATGTTTGAGCCCATCAACCTGGAGATGTGCAGGAACTAATCTGGTAATCATACAGGTGGCCGGGCATAAGGAGTTCAAGGCGCTTGCCGTTGCGACAGATGTCAAGCCTGCCGGTTCGCCCTGTGGAATGTGTCGGCAATTGTATGCCTGTCTCTCTTCTGTGTGCTCTTTCGATCGGTAACTGATACCCCTTAGTATTCGCGAATTCACCAATCCATCGTTCCCGGTGTATATGTATGATAAGGACGGAGACTATAAGATCATGACCATGGAGGAGGTATGTCATTTCTCCCCTCTAATCTCTGCTTTTTTCTTTCTTTTAACGATTCTCTGTGATAACCATTGATCTAGTTGCTGCCGGATTCGTTTGGCCCTGAGCATTTGTCCTCCACTTGAGATATAAAGCGATGATGAGACGCGGTAGGACCTAGTATGGAATAGACGAAATGAGATCTGGAATATTGAAGCCAAGACGAGACTCTACAAGTAGATCATAATGTGAATCAGAGGAAGAACAAAGCAAACTCTCTATATCTTTCGCGATTCGAGAATACATCGCAAGCCAAGAGAAAAACTGTCCCCAGCGAGATATGCAATACAAAACATAACAGAAAATAACCCAAAATAAATATAAAAAAAAAGGAAATTCCGTGCGCTCATAATGTCACATATTCCAGTCAGATCCATGTCCAAATCTTCCAAACATTACTGCATTGCGAGGGGAGAGAGGCCTACGCCTCTTCTTCCTCCTCAAATTCGTCGGTGCCCAGCAGTTCATCCTCGTCATCCACCACATGAGAGTAATCGCCCCGGCGAGCAGCAAAGGACCCACGTGTCGCATAAGGTCGGGAGCTCCGACCACGGCGCATCAATCCAGTGATTGTGCGCCACAGGCTGGTACCCACCAATGGCAACGCCTGGGCCACGGCTACCAATCCAGCGATGATGGCGACAGGCACAACGACCAAGGGAGAGTTCCCATCGAGCCAACCGCGAGACCCAGAAGAGCCCTCACCCAAGCGGATTTGCCCGAACTTGCCATCCCAGCGAGTGTACACGAAGTAGCCGAATGCCGTCGCTGCGGCGATCGGGATCACAATGGCAAAGAAGAGACCCACACCGCTGATGCCGTGCTTCTTTTCGAACTCCTTCTCCTTATTGGGGCAGGGTCGGGGAATCTGTCGGTCAAGATCCTGGTCTCCGCTCTGGCAAGTTGTCTGCGGGAGCTTTCGGTAGCCAGTCGGCTCCCAGTACTCGACCAGATTGGGATTCTTCTGGCACTGCAAACTGTGATCAGGTTGGGCCAGACCGGGCACAAGGGCACAACTGCCGTCACTTTGAATCTCGTAGTTGTAGTCGCTGATGAAGAGGTTAGCAAACTCATTTCCCGGGACTTAGGAGCCATTCATTGCTTACCATTCAAAGTCGGCACGAGTGCAAGTACAGTTCCCGGCATCAATGCGGTGGATATGCGGATCACGCCAGTTAACCCAGCATTCGGCGCTGGGCTTCTTGCGCTGGTATTGTTCAATATGTCCAAACAGACAGTTGTCTCCCTGGGCGGGATGCCTAGGAGTCCACAATTCGTAGTCATTGCTCTGGCCGTTTACTTCATCCAGCTCGCACTGACGGTCCCAGATACCACTGAAATCGAGGTTGATCGTCGTGACCTTGTTAGAAGACTTGGACCACAAAAGGAAGTTCTTGGACGTGTCCGACGGGACGGTCGAGATGTCATCAATAATCATCTCGGTTTCCGAAAATTGGAACTCCTTCCAATTCTCGCCCTCGTCGACACTGTAGTACACCACGTTGGTCAGTTGATGCTCCCGGACAAGCACAATGACTGAACCAGCGTCGCCGTACTCAAACATGAAGCGGCCTTTCTTGATTTCTTTCCAGGTAATTCCTGCGTCCCGACTGAGAAAAGTGTTGGCATCGGTAACGGTATCCGACAGGGCGTCACCCACATTACCAACCCCGATCATCAGGCCTATGGCAGATCCAGAGTAGAAGGTATCCCGCCAGTCCCGTCGCGCTGTGTAGCTATGTAGGTGCAGTGCGCATTGATCGGTACCCTGACCCTCGGTGACCGAGCATGCATACTTGTTACCATCAACATCGCGAGTCGGGGGTGCCAAGAGCATCCACTGGCCACCATCATTGTGGGTAATGACTGACACCAGCTTCTTGGCGTCTCCCTTTTTATCCACGTCTGCTCTGTTCCGGACGACGTTGGCGAGCGCGACGCCCTCAATTCCTGCCATCTTTTCAAAATCAACATAGCCTCGGTCATCCATATTTAGAGCCTCTAAGCTCTGAACAAAGTACGTGCCATTGCTGTTGCTCTTGACCAATGAACCGTAAGCGTGACCTTCTTTGGTGCTGAGCTGCACAATCAGGAACAACGCATACGAGGAACCTGGGAGAACGGTATACTGAGGTACATCAATATTGAACGGGAAATGGGCCTGTGCAAAAACGCGGGCATCCAGACTGGTGGTGACGTTCAAGAATTTGTGCTTTTCGGTCGGGTATGTGGCCACGACAATGAAATCATTCATGGTCACGAAGTGCGCAATGTTATCGTTGATCAGTTTCTTATCCGCCCAATTGTCCAGCGAATTACTAGAGACCAATTGCCGGTTGTTCTTACTGTTCTCCTGTGCATATTGCTCACAGATGACAAGCTCTTCACTGTTTTCACGCTTGTCGTCATATGCGAACACGCATGAACCAACCCCACGAAGCATCAATTGCCACTCATGGCCGCGGTTCTTGCTAAAGTAGGCATCAAGAACACAGTCTTTACCTTCACAGGTCTCACTGCCGACCCAGATCATCCAGTCCATGTACTTTTCATGGAAAACCAGAGGTGACATAGTCGCTGGGATATAAGTTGTCGGTTGCTTGAACTTTCGGAAGGAATACCCGCGGTCGATAGTCGAGTAAACCCAGTTGGAAGTGGTCATGAAGTAAGCGCCATCGGTGTAGTGAGGGTGTTGGATCATTTCTCGAACAGTTTCGCCCTTCAATGCGGCAGGCTGTTCCCAATTTTTGCCATGGTCGTGGGAGACGGACATCTCCAGTTTGTCGGTGAGCATGAAGATGGTCTCATCGTCTCCAGAGTTACTCGCTTGTCGTTCAAGGTAGAAGTAATCGGCGACGCCTCCGATGGAGGCAAATTCATGTGGCTTTCCTGCATGGACCTTGCCATCCGTGACGGGAGAGCCGATGGTGGTATTTCCACACGACCGCTCAATTTCCTTGTCGAGATTCTCGCCGCCATCGCGAAGACAGGCGTTGCCGGGGATGAGCCGCCAGCCCGAGGGGCCTGTGTACTTGTCACTAGCGTCCTTGCATTTGCCCGCCGGGGCTGTCAGAGACACCGCTGGCAGGCACTCCTTGCCATCTTCAGAGCGCCGGAAGTTGTAGTCACACTCAAAGTCCTCGACGGAGCATTTGCATTTCTCAAAGATGGGCGCATCCATCTTGAACTCGTTCTTCATGAAACAATCGGCACTGGCCTTTCGGCGTTGGAAGAACTGCTTATGGCCCATCAGACAGTCTGCTTTGCCATTCTCGTCCACCCGAGCAGGCCATGTCTCAACATCGTCCTTGGTGCACTTGCGTTCATGGAGACCCTCGAAATTAATGGAATAAATAAGATCTCCATTGCCATCGCTCTTCTTGCCCACGAGCAAGAATTTCAGGCTCGTCGAGTCCGGGGTCGTCGTCAGGAAAGAAGTCTTGATCTTGTGCTTCAGCTCGAGATCTTCCCATTCTTTGCCATGGTCGATGGAGTATTGGACCTTTTTGGTGTCCCCGTCATCGCTGACAGCCACAATCACGCCACCCTGATCACCAAACTCGAACCGATGCGGGCCCTTCAGTGCTTTCCGCCAATGCAGTCCTGCATCGTCAGAGACATAAAGGTCGCCCTCGGAGTATTTCTTCAGGTGATCACCTGTGTTTCCTACTCCCATCACCAAGCCCGGTGCAGGACTAGAGAACATGCGGCCCAAAGAGCCCAACTTACGCAGGGAGTCATATGTAGTCATCGAGTGCAGATGCAGTCGGTCACCTTCCACCTTGAGTGACTGGAAAGTTCTCCCATCATCGAAACTAATGCTGGTGACGAGCTTTTTATCTTCAGTGTCAGACTCTTCGACTTTCTCCCAATTGCTGACCGTGTTCACGATAACAATGCCTTGGATGTCAGCGACCTTCTCAAAGTCAACCAGTCCGTTAAGGTCACGATTGGTATGTTCGATGTTGGGGGAGAAATATGTTCCGTTCGAATTGGATGAAAAAAGTACACCGATGCGGTTTTCGTGCCATGTGGTCTGCACGTCCAATTGTATACTATAGTTCGTACTCTCCAGCAACGTATACGCATCTTTCTCGACCTTATGTCCACCAAACTCCGCGCGGTGCCATTCGTGAGAGTCGTCACTCACATACAGGGCCTGTTCAGTGGTACCTCGCGATTGAACACCGGCAACGATATACTTCTTGACAGAACGAACCTTGATCTGCACGGCACTGACAGGCAGTCCACGGTTCAGCTTGACCTCCGTACCTTCCACGTCGTCGCGGAAGAAGCTGTCTGAATACACCAAACGTTCCGAGCGATCGGCGGATCGCAGCCCGGGTACCACACAGAGAATGCGGTCTCCCAGGGACTCCTTCACATCGAGGTCTTGACCGAATTGGGGGGTATTCGCTGCCCAGGAGCACTCCAGGATTGTTTCGCGCAGCGGAGTGATGGTCTTGAAGTCATCAGTCGTGTAGAAGGACTGTGTCATACACCCCATGATGAAGCACTCTTCGGTCATGAAGATAACCTTGCTGGGGTCCCAACCATTGAAACTGAACGGTATGGCACTACGCAAGACCATTGGAGGTGCCTTGATCACAAAAGATCTCCATGTCTGACCCTGATCAGTGGTGATCCAGTGCGTGCCGCTTCGGCCAATGATGTAGGCGCGGTTTTTGTCCCATGGGTGCGGCAAGATGATGATCGCGTTTCCTTGAATGCTTCCATCGTCGCCCTTGACCACCTCCCATTCCTCACCACCGTCAACAGAGATATGAACATTGCGCGTACTTTCATCGTGAAAGACGATTGTGTTGGACCCTTCGAAATAAAACAGGCCTCTTGGAGAATGGGTCAATTCCGTCGCCGTGGCCGTTGGTTTGTCCCCCTTTGCCGCAGTCGGCTGTGCGGTCAACGCCAGCAGCAGACCAACAACGAGCAGCAGCCACCGTGGTATCATGTCCGCTGATACTCAGGCATCTGAATGGGGATGTCGGGTTGGGGTCAAGCAGTCTAGCTGCCTGCGGGCCGATCCGGAGGGCGGGATCAAATAAATGGCGAGTAGGTGATGCGGATGGGTTGATAAAATGCAATGTGAGCTGGTCCAGCCCTAGGGGATCCGACAAAGCACAATCTTGAAATGCGAATGATGATAGTTGTGAAGTATGAGGGAGAGCCCGTCGTGGCCTCAGCCTGGGGGAGCTACCCTGTCACGTGAAACACTTATCAGTCTATCAGCGGGTACCTACGTATTGTTGTACCTTGGTTCCTATTACTACACCACCCGCATTGATATCTGATCGGGGATTGACATGGATCACGATTCCCTAGTCGGAAGTACTCGAGATTAAATTCCAATGCAACTTGGGCATTGTGATATTCTGCAGCCAAAAGAAGAATATATACAAGGCGCTGCGGACTCAAGATGGATACTAAATACACGAACGGGCGGAGGTCAAACCCTCCAAACCTGCTTCATGGGAGAAATAAAAGCCAAACCAACGCTAAACCCAGATGCAGAAGATAATTGAACCGGTCTCAGCAAGACGCCACCAGGAACGAAAAGAAAAGGAGTATTGAAATGGGGAATCAACGGTGCTCGAGCGCTGAACGAACGAATAAGAAGAGAAGAGTCATAATTCACTGATGCAAGATCAGCAGGAGAACCAAAAGTGGACGGAGACCTAAGGTCTGCGGCGCAATTTGCGCCACATTTTCTTGACCATGCCTTCATTATCATCCAGATCCTCCCAGATGTGTTGGGTGCGGTCGGCAGGCGGCAGAGCGGCCAATTGCAGAGGATCCTCTTGGGGGGACTGGGACGGCGTAGGGGACTCGGTCCGTAGATCGGGTCGGGTCAACGTCATTTTCAGTGTCATCTCCCGGTTTCCTGGAAGTCGCTGGGGACCCAATTTGGACCCAGGCAAGAAAGACTGGCGTCTTTGCAACAGCGACGGCGTATCCATCGATGGCCGTGGGCTCTCCCGCGGGTGGGAGTTTATTGATGGTGCGTGTGCTTCCAAGACTGATCCACCCGGGCTGCCAACCATCGTGCCATCGTCCTCCTCGAAGAAAGTGCCGGCGCATTCTGAATTGATTGAGACTGGGATGGGAGAAGGTGGGTCTGGGGACATATTTTCTTTGTTGTGGTCCAAGGATGGGAAACCGAATTCAATCGCTTCATCAAACTTCTGAGGGGATGCCAGATACACACGCAGTTTCAAACGAGCGTCCGGATCTTGATAGTATTGTGCAGAGGGGTCAATGCTGGAGGTGGAGGATTTGGGGGCATGCTGGCTGGATTGATGACGAGATGCCGGGCGGGAGGATGAGTTACGACTGACCAAAGGCGCAAATGGGGGCAATGATTGGCTTTGGGGGATGCTTCGTGGCGGGACTGATGTAGATTGTCGGGGTTTCAAAGATGTGTGGGTGGAAAAAGATAAAGAGCGGCGAAAGGAAGGGCGACGCCAGGCTTTTCCTTGATGAGTAGCCGCATCGGCAATGTGGGCATGGTACTCATCTAGCGACAAGTCCAGATCTCCATCTCCATCCAGCCATCGGAAGCTGTCATAGATGGTCTCATCCATCTTGGAGGGTTGGTTCTCGTCAACGGATTCAGAATCCGATTCCCAAAAAACGGAAGCAGGATGGTCTTCGGACGTCGCGCCCGAGGAAAGGGAGTCAGTTGATAATTGACGACGAGCCTGGTCGCGACGATAAAAGGCCTCGTCGGCCGCGTCCAGAATCACGCTGTCGCGATAGGCACAGCGGAGACGGCAACGTTCCTCAGGGGAGAAAAGCTTTTGTTGGATCTTAGCGGGAAGAGAGTGAAAGCATTGCGAGTCAGCCTGAGCAACCAGGTAGGCCAATTGGAGGGAACCAGGTTTGCGCAGTTTTTTGGGAGATGCAGAGCGTTTCTCTAGACCTCGTCTCCTTGTCACAGTACGAAGCCCACGGTGGAGGGGTGGCCCGTGAGCATTTGTCCGATAGGCCCGACCATGATGATAGTCATACGTGGAGCCCCCAGGGGCTTCCTGGCCTAACCTCATGCGCAAGCGCTCGACATTCGAGAAGAACTGTTTCGGATCAGTCATGAACAAGTGGAGTATGAGAGTGGAGACGGTCTCCCGTGCGCCAATGTGGGCAAGGCACCGACAGCGCCATGGGTGATAGTGCGGGTATTGGCGGGTTCCGGTGAATTTCAGGGGGAACCAAACACCAAAGACCAAAAAAGTATAAAACCCATACAAAAAAGAAAAATCATCAAGAACAAGGGAGTAAGAAATAACGAAAAAAGAACACAAAAGAACCGAAGAAGTAGAAGATCAACAAAGGGCAAACCCCAAGGGATATGCAAGTGGAGAGGAAAGTTTCTCGAATCGTATCAGTACGTCCGACACTATCGATCACGCTATCGAGTCGATCCCGCAAGGGTTGAAAGAAACGGTGAAAAGGGGGAAAGAAACGGTATTTTTCACTTTACCTTTCGTCTCACGGCGGGCGGTAACGAGTCAATTTCCTCCGGCAATTGCATCGTGAACTCGATTCGAGATCGAGTTGAATACCATTCAGATCAAGCTCTGCAGGAAAAAGAGAAGCGAAAAGAGACCAGGGAAAGGGATGAGATGCAGATCAATGGAACAAATGAGGTCACTGCGATAGCTGGATCGGTCGAGAACCATAGATCTCAAGTGCAAACGTCCAAGCTTCCAAAGCTCAAAGAACTCGAGAAGTCGACCTGTTGGGCGAGATGAATTATATGTTAAAGAAACCTCGACCTGATCACACAACCTAAACCCCGCCACGATTGGAGCCAGCGTAGGTTCAATCGCCAAGTGCACAGACCCTGTGATGTGACAGGGACATCTATTCCCAGACCTGTCACCTTGAATGTGGAGCCTTGACTTCTTTCATCAAATATGACCAGTCATGAACGCTTCGATCCCAAACAGATCGGAGAAACCGGTTCCTGAGGGGTTCGAGCGAAGGGGTTTACTTCTGCAGTCAACAGACATGCACATGTATAGAGCAGAGACACACAGCTTCATGTTGGACAAGACAAGATTAAAGCCCACAGCCTTGTGTGACTGGGGTTACGAGGAATGTGAGCGGCAAGGAGGGGAACCAATCACGAAGGTGGAGAGCATTCGCCGTACTTCGTATTATAGGAAAGATGCAGCTGTACGGGTAGGTCTGACTAGAATATTGTTCTAACTGGTTCCAGGCTTCTCCATCTGATCTTCCCAGCCCTACTCTACAGTAACTGGCGCGAACTGAAACTCCGATCATCTGAAACGTCAGCCTCCTAGATCGGAGATATGTCAGGGTCCTGTTGAGGCAATCCCGTCGGGAGAACATTCATTTGAATCAAAAGCAACACTCAAACTATCGGATTGTATATACCTGAGACTGAAAGATAAGATGAGAGCTGTCGGATCCGGGAAGACTAGCGGAAATCTACGAGTACAAAACAAAGAAAAAGTAAGCCACATCGATCCGCTAGTGTGATGCAAGTAATTCCCCAAACCGTTTACCTCATAGCGCCGCTTTCCGAGGTATATTCTTCCGAAAGTCAAAACCCAAGAAAAAGGAGAAAAAAAGGAACAAAAGAGCAAAAGGAGAAAGAAGAAAAAAAGAAAAGAAAAAGTATTGAACTGTACTTCCCCACCACTTCCCCACCACTTTGGAGTAAATGACAGGTCTTACGAGGGAGGACATTCTAGAACAACCTTGGGAATTATACTTCCATTACATTATTCCTCACAGAGCATTGAGAACTTGTTGTAGAGCCAGGGTATTCGAATCCTCCCGACGAGACACATACGCTCGTACTTCCATGACACTGAGTTTGGCCTCGGGGCCGGAGCCTCGACTGGAACCAGGTCCAGTGCCACTGGCGGCGCCGCCGCGGATACGCTCACGGAGCGCCTCCACACCAATGACAAACAAATTCCCGACTTCCAAGAGCACGTCCAGCGCGCCACCAGGGGCCTCGATCTCTTCGTCAATGTCCCACGATTTGAGCAGGTCCGCGTATTGGGTCATATCCTTGGTCACCATCAATCCACCCGGTCCGCTGACGGCGAACCGCTTGAAATGCTCCAGCAGGAGCCCGCGTGTCCCTAAGGCAATCTCCGTCAACACCTGCCGCACATTGGCCCCGCTGGAGGGCAACGAGGTACGAGCAATGTTGTGCAGTCGCGTGAGAAACGTACAGATCGATGCACAGGTCTAAGACGAGTCAGCTGTTATTCAATCATTTCTTTTTACTTTTTCTTTTCATTTAATTTTTTTTTTTTTTTTCTTTGGGTTTGCATTTCGCTTTTTGGATCCATCATATCAGGGAACACGTACCGGTGTCTGCAGCATCTCGAGCCATGTGGCATTGTCACTCTCTCGAGGTCGGAAATCGTTCTTTCGTTGACCGGAGAGCAAACGCCCAACCCACGCAAGTGTGCCGTCAATGGTCTTTTGTTCAATAGTATTGATCTTATCCTCAAATCGGGAAGTGGCCTGGCTGGTCCGTTTCTCCATGTCCCGACGAGTAGTGATACTTCCCGCCGCCAAGGGCAGAAGAACGGCATTCACACACATCACCATCAACGTAGTGATGCTGATCGTGGTGCGAACGGAAGGCAGGTATCCAAAGTCTGGCTCATTCTTACCGGATTCTTGGGCCGTGGCTGCCTCCAGGGCAGCGTCGAGGCAGACATCCACATATCCCTCACCCATAGTGAGCAGCAGCAAGGTCAGCAGAGCCGACACATCCTTGTGCGTGTCAGCATTGACGCTCAGCTCCAGTCCCCGACCCACCGCTTCCGCCAGCCACTTCAGCATGCGCTTCGCATCACTCAAGTTGGGCAGACCATCTTCGTCAGTGAGTTTGATTTCCGTCAGCCGCACGGTGTCAGGGAGATCACCGAGCTTGGCGACCTGAAGCAGCGTTCTTCGTTGAAAGGGAGATACATCTGGCGAGTCTAGCCGAGCTATGAACGCATCACGAGTGGTGGACAGCAGTTCAGTAGCCGGGCGAGACAGCGAAGCCATGAAGGTGGTGGCGGCCTTCTTGCGGCGAGCTTGATAGCTAGTAAATTTGAAAAGCAGGGCATTAAAGAGATCCTCGAGCGTGCGTTTCTCGCGCTCGATGTAAGAGGAGCCCACAAAATAGGGTACAAATAATTCTTCCAGCTGTTGATCCAGTAGGAGTGCAGTTTGGGAGGAAATTGGGTCGGGATGCTCAGTCAATCCATGCGCTTTCAAGTCATCGATCAAGGCACTGATGTAGCCCCGGGAGCTCTGCAAGCATCGTAGAAACGCCAGAGAGGAGACGCCCCCGGCCTTTTCGAGAACCATCTCCAATCGTTGCTGGATGGATTGCTGGAACACGCGCTGAAGGAATTTTCCAAGCACTTGCTCGTAGTATGGGAAGGCGCGTTTGATGATTGCAGACTCTTCCTGCACCACCACTTTGACCTCATCGAGCAACGACTGCAGACTGGGTTCCACCCCGGGAAGCTCAGCATCGGGATCGGCCATCCTCTCCCATGATTCCGCATCCCCACCGACTTCCTCCGTCATCAGTTGGCTACGCTCGATGAAGAACTGATGCTGATTGACGAACAGAGCAATCACACTGGAGCCGGCATTGAAGTCTTGCAACACGGTTGCACAATCCTTCATACCATCAAAGTTGGCCTTGCGATAGAAGTCATCAAATTGTTTTAATAGATCCTTCTCCAAAGTTTCGGAGAATTTTTCAATAATCTCCCTTGTATTCCGACGCGGTGTACTGTTCCCACTGTGCAGATCCTCCGAGGAAGAACTGCCGCCATGGTGCCCATTGGTCGATGAGCTCTGGTTCTGCTGCCAGCTTTGAGGATCCAGCCGTTGACTGATCCGCAGCAGTTGTCGCGCGATATGTGCAGACCGTACTTTGGCCTCCGCCGTACCCGTTCGTCGCAGGTTCTCCAGAAGCGAGATCTCCCCGCGATTACAAACCCCGTCCCAGCATTCAAGCAAGAAGTGGGCGTCCAGAGCTCGCCGGCGTTGACGGTCCAGTTCCTCCAATCGCCGTCCAGTCTCCACTGCCATATTTCCGGTGCCCCCGGTGCTCTCAAGTCCGGGCCCGTTCAGCGAGGTGTCGAGCTGTTGGAATGAATCAATAGCTTGTCGAAGCTTCCGACCGAGCGAGGTGAGGTTCTGCGAATGCTGGGCCTCTGCCCGACGAACTGCCGCGGAGAGTTCATTTTCTCGAATCTCCAGGTCGCCCGAGAGTTCACCCAAACGTCGTTGGGCACTTTCAAATGTGCGGATGAGGGGTTTCGGATCGAATGGTTGGTTGGCTGGGGTCGTGCCCAGCGTTGAGCGACGTGCGGAGATAGCAGTGTCGGACAAAGCCTCGATAAACTCCTTGACGATAAAATCCCGGCCGGAGAAGTCCTCGAGGGAGAAGCTGGGGCCCTTGGGGAAGACGGTGCGGGCGGGGTTGGAGGAGATTATAGATGCATTGTCGGGCATCATGGCGATTGCAGGGGCTTCATGGGCCCTGAAACAGACACGAATTCAAATTGACCAGCTCCAATCCTTTTGGTGGGTGAAAGTGTCTGTAGCTTGAACAATCCGGGGAAAGCTGGGATGCGCGCAACAAGAAGTCGGAGTTGTCGCGGGTAAATGCCACAGCTAAATCTTGGGTTATTGCCACGATTGACAACGACCGATTTACATGGAACCATGAGATAATTTTGCTTAGATATAGATTACTACTATAATAATACGATCAGCTTTACACATGAAGAGAAGTTGATTTTAATACATGATCTAGACTTTACACTGCCATTGGTATACAATGAACACCTTGGCCTGAAGCATGGACCTATATCTACACGCAGATACGCATTCCTAGGCAACAATATAATTTGTGATATCTGACTGAGTAACTTTAACAAACTAGATTGCACGAAATCACGGCCTTTCTACTGACTCAGTAGGATCGATGGGACCGCAGACAAGCTAGCATAGAGTATACGTTGCAGAACCGTTTTCTCCAGATCCCAACTTTTCCCGCTTTCACTCTTTAGAACCCTCACACTCCCCCATCGACATGGTCACTCAAGAAGAGCGCAATATCTTGCGCGCAGAAATCCGCTCTCGCGGCAATAATCTCTCCGCTGCAGATCGCGAGACTTTGATCAAGCCATACCTGCCCGATCCTGCCGACTTGCCCCAGACACGGTCCAGAGCATCGACCGCGAACTCCTCATCCCACTCGCGGCGCCAGAAGGCTCGCAGGACGCCAATCCGCACATTCGTCAAGTCACAGATTCACCACCTCACCTACGCTCTCACTCACATCATCTTTGGCATCATCGTTCGCTTGCTCCAGGCTTACCATGCCATTGTCGACCGAGTCTTTGCCGTCGTCTACCACCATCACCGTACACCGGAGCTAATCCGCAAGGATGTCCGGGGATTGAAACGATTGCCCCAGCACCTTAGTATGATTTTAACATTGCGGACCGAAGACGATGCGCTAGCGGTCTTAATGGATGAGGTGGCTGAATTGACGGCTTGGAGTGCTTGTGCGGGGATTTCGCAGCTCAGCATATATGAGAAGACAGGTATACTTTCCCTGACATGACTATTTAAAAAACCACGGGGAAATGAAGGAATACTACTGACTGAAGAACTCTACAAAATCAGGTGCCTTGAAATCCTGTATTCCAGCTCTGCATCAAATCATCACCACCAAGCTCGCATCCTACTACGGCTCACCCTCACAGCAGCCTTCCTTGCAGCTCTTTGCACCCCACCATGCCGTCTATGGTCCCACCTCCGATTCCAAGTCCGAGGTGCCTCCCCTGACACTTCTTCTTCTCTCCGCTACCGATGGCCGCGAGACCATGGTGGATCTGACCAAGACCCTCGCCGAGATGTCCCAGAATGGAAAGCTGTCTCCGGAGGACATCACCCCAGAGCTAGTTGATGCAGAACTCAGCGAAATTACCTCCCAGCCACTTCAGCCCGAGGGGAGGTCAGATCGTGTCCCAGCCAACATCATTAGTCCCGAGCCTGATCTGTTGCTGATCTTTGGACCATACTTGAAATTGGACGGATACCCGCCATGGCAGATCCGCCTCACCGAGATGTACTGCACCGGAGATCGCAGCCACGGAGTAGGCGGATATGGAGAGGCTGTGGAATACCAAGGTTTCATGCGGGGTTTGTGGCACTACGCTGGAGCTCAAATGCGTTTTGGACGGTGAAATTGAACCCGGGAGGAGGAAAGTAGAAGTCCTCCAAGACGGAGTCTTGAATCGCATGGTCGTCTTCTTTTTATGTTATACCCGATCAGCATCGACATTCGAGGCCTATCTTCAAACATTGTATCTCATGAACTTGCATCTATCATCACTATTAATATCCAGAATACCATTAAATGTTCATTAATTGATGTAATCTGTCTTGGTATCACTATGCCATGCCATGAAACGAAATAAAAAGGACAATAAATGCACAATATGATGCCATGAAAACCAAAATTCCTCCAATAATCCAGTGAAAAGATGAAAAGGGGAAGAGTAGAGAAATCAGATGCAGACCTTATACATACAGATCCAACGCCAGTAGAAAAAACAAAATCCGTCAAGTCAAATAAAAGGGTGTGAGGTCGTGGGGGTCGTTTTCATGTCAGTTTCATGATACCAAAAGTTCCAATTCCAAGCATCTGCCCCGTAATTCATGAATGGGCGTAGCAGATGAAATTACCAAGGTTATCCAATCATACGGTCATGATTCCGGGCATCCAAGGTCCATCCAGGAGCCATAGAGCCAGCCGGCCAGGTTGCAGAATGGCCGCGGACACAGTCCAGGCACTGAACGATTTCCATACCATTCTCAGTTATCCCCTCCACCGCACAGCTCGAGCAGATCTTTCTTCGAGAATCTGTGCCTTCGTGATCAAACGGTGCCTCGGGGCTGTAGATATCTGAATCGCCAGGGATTCCTGGATGCCCATGGGTGCCACGACAGGCGAAAGCGTCACATTGGCGGAGACAGATAAAGCAAGCTCGTTCACCACAGAGATCGCAGTCTGCATATGCATCCAGGACTTGTCGCGTTGTGGGACGGCGGTGACAGATGTGGCATGGACGAAGTGCGGAGGGCGAAGTAGACTGGTAGGAGATAGGGACGGTCCTGGGAGACACGGGTGGAGAATAGGAGCCCTGAGCTGAGGCGTAGACACTGGGGGAGAGAAGAGGGGATTGTTGATGGGTGGGAAGTGTGAGATAGGGGGCCTGAACGTGTCGGCGTTTGCGAGGTAAACAGCGCGGCCGGAAGGAGTGGTCGCCTGTCTCCGTTGGATGTCGAGATAGGGGCAACAAACAGGTATCCCTATCGGAGCGATCTACTCGAAATGGCGCAAACGTTGGGCTGTTTGATTTATCGTTAGTGATCAAAGCCTCGAAAAGATATTCAGTTCAAACCCAGGGATCAGACAAATACTTACGGCCGAACCAGTGTTGCGGAGTCTTCATGATCTCGTTTGCGTTTTCTCCAGCCAGCAGCCACCAAGTCTGCAGGATCTGAAAATCCAGGCATAGATGAGGGATTGTGATAGTCCCGCCAATTCATTAGCCTCGGAGATCAAAGAGGTGTTGACGGAGTTGATCAAAGAAAATAAAGCTCCGGGGGTTCTCACACCGCCGGGCAAATTGCCTCGGCGTGTTATCACCTTGGTCCGTGCTTCCAGTACTGCATACTTTCATGCATTTTGAACTGAATAGTCAGAAATGAAAGAATTGGACGTTGTCCCGAAAAGCCAATTGAACCAGATAAGGTTTCTTCCAAGGTCAAGTTTCGGGACATCCTCATGTACCTACTCAGGTGGTGTATATAGGTATCATAGAAGTATGGTCAACAATAAGAGTATCGCTTTCTGTGACGGGGTTGCCATAAAAAGCACATTCCAAGGGGAGGTGGCCATGTTGATTTCCAAGTTTGTGATCAAGATGTTGAACTTGAAGTTGGCACATTTCAGACCTGTCAGAAGTGGGTTTCAATCTAATGTGGATATATACTTTGTCTTCGCTGCCTATCTGACTCGACGTCACCAGCCCCTGATATATCAAGTTCATAGATTGGCCTAGCAGGTCAACCAGGCAGCAGCTATGGGACCGATCTATTGTTGACATCAGGTAAGAACAGCCTAACTAGTAATTAAAAGGAGGCTAAGTGCTGCACGTAAACTGGATCAGGTGGGTATACAATCCGCGTAAACGATTTATATATACGCAATGGGTCTCTGAATTTTTATGCGGCAAAAGTCTTATCCTGACTGACAGGTAAATTCAAAGTGGGCGTGCAAGCCCAATTTGAACGGAGCCGCTTGTAGGTATAAATACCGAAGTAGCTTGAATGAAAGGTGGAATTGAGGAAATATGATGGCGATGAAAATATTTCAGGCAGCTTTAGGAAGGTCACTTATGATCTGGGCGGCCATCAGTTGGCGATGCTAAGCACTTGGAACCCGGATCCATCCCGACGGAGCTGGAAGGAGTAATCGGGGAGCCGGCGGGTCACCCGTGGGGATCGGGATGCCGGGGCACCAGGCCCTCAATCGGGGCAGTGCCCCTGCAGGTATTCTGTTTTTAGACGATCTCTGAAATACTGCAGCTTGAAGTTCAATGATCATCGGACCTTGCGAGTCCAAGCGAAAACGAGAGTGGGTTTCGTGGGGCAATAATGCTCGACAGATAAGTATATATAGTTCAGTATAAGATCAAACTGCCGATGGTCGGCGATTCAGAGCATGAGAATCATCCTGGAAGTCGTGGGGAAAACACAGGTAGAGAGAAAAGTAGAGAAATCCGATGAGCTGGATATATTCAAGGTTTCTTTTGCCTCTCCAGAATATCATCTCCACGAGTGCCAAGTACATCAAAGTATGAACTATACTATGTAGTATATGCACGATACTTTCCCACATTCCCACGCGTGGGGACGTGGGGAAGTCCGAACCCGGTCGCAACCCGATACCTTCCTTGTAGGACCCTCTTGCTCATGTCCCTGTTTTCCACAATTACGCTCTACGTACCTTTTTTTCTAAGAAAAATCGGGTTTATTTTCTATTTCCTCTTTTTTCTAGAACCGAGTCTTGGGGTTCGGAGTGGTTGACTCAGCTTTCCCCTGTTTTGTGGTTGGATGTGACCTTTAACTCCAGCTTTGGCCTCTTGCGTAATCCACCTTTCTTTCCGATCGCATTCGGCCAAATCTTTAATCTATTCAACCGCGTTTCGCTTTTCCGTTCTAGATCTTCCTTTGTACGGGATTCTTAATCCCATCGGTCTTATATTTGACTCCTCAGCGAGTCGCGCTTTCATCTAATTCCGAGAACACATGGCATGTATCTTGACCTAAACTAACCCTCTTCATGGATGAGGGCTCCGATAAAGCCCCTCGGCGGAAGAGGGTCTCGAGAGCATGCGACCGCTGTCGCAGTAAAAAGGTCGGTTTGCGAATCGCGTCCGCACTCTCGTCTCCGGGCTAACCGTGCGCTTCCTAGGACAAATGTGACGGAATTCGTCCCACTTGTTCCGCCTGTCAGGCCTCGGGCCAATCCTGCTCCTATGATCCCCATGCGAAGAAACGAGGTCTGCCGGAAGGTTATGTGCGCGGCTTAGAGAAGCTATGGGCGTTGTCTATTTGCAATATTGACGGGTTCGAAGAGACCATGTTGTCGATGCTGGGAACCACGATGGAATCGGCCGGCCGTCGCGGCAAGTTGATGTCGGTCTGGACGGACGATAATAACTCGGAGAGTTTACATGAGACGTGGAAGACGAGTCGCCTATTCAGTGCTCTCGAGAAGATGCTGTCGAACTCCGAACCAGGTCCCGCCACCACCGGAAAGCGATCGCGGAACCCCAATGAGGATTATGGGGATGGGCCTGATTATCAATGGGGGTTTCGGGTTGGCCGAGAAATGACCCCCTTGGGTTCCGACGCACCACGCGTGGTGGGACCGTCAGGCCTCTCCCCAAGCGCGAAACGAGCTCGCCTGGCGCAGGCCCCAGACAATCGTGGCGCCCAGTTGAGCAATAGCCCCCATACCCTCCAGCTGCCACCGCAGACCTCACAGCTCCTCGATATCTACTTCGCGACCACGCACTCGTGGTTTCCCATTGTCGCGAAACACAACATCCTTCGTGCCTCCTACCTCTACGCCAATGCACCCTTCTCAGTGGCGACAACATCACCTGGGTCAGGAGACCATGCCACGTTATGGGCCATCCTGAGCTATACAATCACTCAATCCCGATCCGATCCGCGAGCCCGTCCGGTGGGCGCTTTGTCGCTTGCGAAAGAGTACTATGCCGTGGCTCGGAATCTTATTCCCTCGGAAAAAGAACGATATGAACTTGGTCATATCCAGGCATTACTCTTACTAACATTGGTAAACATGGGTCTAGAAGACTGGACGGCTTCATGGTTATTGAGTGGTCAGGCAGTCCGGATGGCCATCGCCATGGGCCTGGGAGCCATGACAGATACTCGTCGTTCGGATGAATTGCGACAGGGCAAAGCGGTCTTTTTGGGATGCTTTGTGATCGACTCATTACTATCGTTCCGTCTCTGTCGGTCCCCTGCAATGTCCTCGAATGACCTGGCAACAGTGGGTCTTTTGGAAGAAGATGGATTAGAAGAGTGGAACTCGTGGGTTGACGTCCTCCCTCCTACGGGTGTTGCTCATGGCAAGAACCCCCCTCGCAGAGGTCCACTGCTAGCTTTGAGCTGCTTCAATCGATTGGTTGAATTGGCCAGTGTACTCAATAAGACCTCCCGCAACCTGGCAATGGGATATAAGCCCGCTTCTTTTGCACAGCAGCTGGTGGCAGACCTCAAGCAGTGGGATGATGGATTACCCCTTGGATGTCGATTGATCGGGCCTGAGAGTATCTACCCGGACCGACACTCGGCTTTGCTGCCACATCAGACTTATCTCGGCTTGACCTACGTGGCGACTCTTCTTTGGCTCTATTTGCGCCTTATTCCTGCAGAGCAGGGGCTACACCGAACCCAGCGACCCGCCACAGAGGGAGCAAAGAAGCTATTATACCGGGGACTAGCGATGATCTCGCAGCATCTGGAAAACTTCCCCATGTGTGGTCTTCCGCCCATTTTCGAATTTGGCATGCGCACGATCTCTGAACAGGCCTTTTCACTACGACAAACCGTGGATTCTTCGGACAGCTTTCCGTTTGCTCAGTGGGCCGAAGAGTTCCAACAAAAGACGTCTGCGCTAGTTTCGACATGGCCAGTGTATAGTTCCTTGGTTTCTTCGATGGAGCGCTGGCAACAACCACATGACTATCCTGGATCGCAACCAGGATTCCCAGCCGTTGTTCCCTCTGCAATGCCTGGAAGTGCACCCCTCGGTCCCATGCAGCCGGCCGGTGCACGCGGTATGCTTCCACATGACCAAGGGAGCTATGCTTCGTCTATTCTCGGTATAAGCATTCCGGTCGATGGCCAGTCATTGACCCCCAAGGACACCGTCATGGAGAACACCGATATGTCCATGATGGACGTGCCCTTGCAGCAGGCACCACCGCCACCGCCACCGCCACCGATGGATGCACACTCGGTCCTTTCAGATAAAGTAACTTCTCGCAGTGGACCTGATGTGATGTATCCGCCCGGTAACGCTCACCCACAACCACATACTCCAGACTCGGCCACCTCCAACCCGATGATGGGGCAGCCTCGCAACAGTGATCGGCCCGGTCCGACCAGCGATATGGGATTCAACCCGGCCGGAAACGGAGACCTTGACGCGATTTTCAAAGATCTAGCCTACTTGGACACCACTGAATGGTCTAATAACCGCGAGGCCGGTCTAAAAGACTTTGGATTCCTGGACGACAGTACCTTTCAAGCCTTCTGCCACGATCCTGATCGACTGGTTGGATCACAACCTCTGGTACATCCACCATCCATCGCGGATATCTGGCCACCCCCAGGATTCTTTCCCGAAATGTTCCAGGAAGTCCCAGAGAAGACCATGAACGGTTGAATGGGACTGTTTTGTTCACTTGTACATATTGCACCAACTCGGGCCGACCCACAATTGTCCCACTCGGCAGCCGTGTCTCAGCCGCTTTCTGGAAAACCATCTCCATGGCCAGTGAACCATCGCGCCGCAGCACGGCACAATCATGACCGCCGCCCCGCCCACTCCGACTGGGGAACACCATTGGTGGGATTGACGAGTCCCTACCTGCTATGTGACCGAGGGAGCAGGGTTCACGGACATGAATGTCCTTTGACCTTTGCCCAAGCTCCTTCCCATTTGGGGATTCAATTTATTGATGCAGTCTTGACTGGATCTTATCTTGGCATGTAAATATATTGAATCATGGCACGTGACATCTGTCAAACAAACAATTGATGGCATGATGACCAGCTTAGCCACAGTTTGGAGTGTATGAATTTGTAGGTGAAATAGCGAAGTAGCATTGGAATGCATCTGGTGTGTGTGAACATGATGAATCTATACCTCTGTAGCCTGACTTGGTATGTACCTTGCGGATCTCTAATGTATCAAGTATGTACATACTGTACCGATCAGGGGGTTTGACCCTGAGATTCAGCAGATCCGAAGCACTTGGACTGGTACTCTGTATGCACTCTCACCACATTATACAAAAAACCTATAAGAAATTTACAATACCCCTATCATCTAATACTTTATATTCATAGGTTTAGTTACTTTAGTACTTGTGTGCACTATACACGTATGTATGTATCAAGATGAAACACACGTGACCCAGGCATTCAAGCCACCAACGTTAACCTTCGAAATCAAATCAATTGACCTCTTTGACATCTTCCCCTATTGTGGTCCTCGTTTCAGATACATTTGGTATTCTGAGTCTGATTTAAACTTCGTACCTCGGCTTAGCCACTTCCGTCACCCCAATATTGAACTTTAATCTTTTTGATATTCAATGTTCCCCTCTTTCCATTTCCCTTTAACTCCTTTGAAACCCCCTGATCAGCTAGATCGGCAGTTGAGATTGAACCACATTTACTGAATCCCCACTCCCACCTGCTCCCTACCGCCTACCGGTCGATCATTTCCCTGTGCTGCGTCCAAAAGCCCGCAACCGATGACGCTAGCGTGGGGCCAGCGGGTAGGCTTGAACTCCCGCCCACAGCCTCGTTGGTTCATGGCCCCCCGTGCTTGATGATCTATCCCCAAATATTTCGGGCGGTTAGCCTATCACTCCGCGCTTCGTCATCGGTTGTCCAACTCATAGGGTCGTTGCCTGTGCGCTTGCCCCATAGATCGTCGCGTTCAACAAGCTATGGGGGGCGAAAGGGGAGTCGAACACTCTCGATGATCCCTGTCCCTTTTCTGCACGTTTCAGCAGGCGCCGTCTTTGTTTTATCCCTTCACTCACTTTCTCTTCTCTCTACAGAGCGCCAATTTTTCTTCTCGTATGGCCTCTCGTACATTCTTTCCTTAATCCACTCCTTTAGATTATTTCTCTCGTTCCTGCTTTGGCGACCATGTTGAGTTCTCCGCGACGATGGTTTTTCATCGGCTCTCCGCTTATCATCTTCACCCTCCTCTACTACGTTCTCTACACATATAATCAACCCTCAGTCGCCGTCAACTCTGAACCCTGGAATCAGTCCGCAGACCACTTGGTCTTGGAAACCCAGCCACCCCCGCAGCCTTCTGGACCTAAAATTTCTGTTGAGGAAGACCAATGTGGACACTTGCGCCGTGATATGGACGACGTGCTAGTCATCTTGAAGACGGGTGCAACAGAAGCCCAGGAAAAAGTGCCAGTGCAGTTGCGCACTGGCCTCCAGTGTGTGCCGCACTTTGCGGTCTTTTCGGATTATGAAGAGGTTATTAACGGCGTGCGTACCTATGATGTCTTGCAAAATGTGTCTCAAACCACTATGGACAAAGAGCCAGAGTTCGAGTTCTATAAACGTCTGCAGGAGGTTGGCCGTGAAGGTCTAACGGATGAAGACTGGGGCGACGATACCAACGGTCCCTTCGGCAAGGTGAACAACCCTGGTTGGAAGCTGGACAAGTGGAAATTTCTTCCCATGGCGGAGGAAGCCCTGCAAGTCATGCCCGACGCCAAGTGGTTCATCTTCATCGAGGCCGATACGTACATCGTTTGGCAAAATCTGGTCAACTGGCTTGCACATCTGGATCACACGCGGAGCTACTACCTCGGTAGCCCCATGCAGATCGGCGATATTCTCTTTGGATACGGTGGTTCTGGCGTCATTCTATCGAACAAGGCTATGAACCGCCTACACACTTACCAGACCGAGGCTTCGGATGAATTGGAGCAAATGACGGCTACCGAATGGGCTGGAGACTGTGTTCTGGCCAGGGCCCTTGAAGGCACGCACGTCTACTTGACCTGGGCTTGGCCCATGATGATGACTTCTCGGCCATGGGAGGTCGACCACTTCTCCGAGGCTTATGGCCGACAGCCTTGGTGCTACCCCGTAATCTCGTACCATCACATGAACCCTGATGATATCGAGGAGTTGTGGCAGTTCGACCGAGGGTGGTTCCGGAGTGGCAAGAATGCCTTGCTGCTACACGCCGACGTGTACCGCGAGTATGTCCACAATGGAACCCTCTCTCAGCTTGACGACTGGGACAATCTTTCGGGGGCAGAAATTGTCTTCGATGAACCCACTCTTCCCTCTGTCGACTCATGCGCCGACGCTTGCATGCAGAATACTGAATGCCTGCAATATTCTTTCCATCACGGTGAGAGTTCTTGCAAGCACGCCGCTACTACCTTGCACGGTGTCCGCAGCAATGGAACATCCTCCGGCTGGATTCCCCGCCGTGTCCAAAAACTGTTGAATACTTTCCAGTCATCTTGTCCTCAGGTTGAGTATATCCTCAACTAAGTCATTCTCATGACCTCTTCCCATCATTTACTTCTGTATATACGTACCCTTCGTTGCACATATTTTCCTCATCTTTCCTTCAGTCCCCCTTTGCCTTGTTCCATTCTCTTCATTGTTATCTTCATCATTCTCTTTCAATGAGATCATTTGCGAGGCGTTGTACCGGGGCGTTTCTTTGGAACACCATACATCTGCTGGACAGACAGGACAGGCCTGCCTTTTGCATTCGCTGCATTCATTGTACACGAGCGATATTCTTCTGTGCCGTTCCCCTCGGGGCTGACGAGCAAGACAGACAATAGTCTTGGAGCTTTAGGTACCATGGCTATGAAAAATTAACATGTTTCAAACATTTGCCCACTGCGTATATTCAGGGTTATGTATTAAATTACAAGCCATCGCATCATTTACAAGTCATGTCGTTCGTGACTGTCCTAACTCACGCAGTCTCTGAAGTCTCAGCCTCGGTATCCTCTTGTCGTCCCTTTTTACGCTCGCGCAGGAACACCGGGGTGATCGTCAAGATCGTGGCCACCACCACTATTATAGCCTGAATCCCGAATACCAGGCCCAGTCCATTTCGTGCAATCCAAGCCGGCTGGAAATAGCCCACGGTAAACCCGCCGCAGGTGCGCCACATATTCAGAATGGCCGAGACACAGGTGGCCTGGCCGGGATATTTTTCGAGGGCGTACGCGGTAATCGCCCTGCAGTGCGTTAGCATCATTTCAGTATTCCGGACAGGCAACCTACACAATACTCGCTATCAAGCCGATATTCACCATGATCCACCCAAATGCGATACCGATCCAATGTTTTTCAAAGTTCATCGTCAGTCCGTAGGTGAGTAGGCCAGCTACCATGCTACCGACAGGGAACCACACTCCATGGAGTCGGTACTCAGTGCGCCAGTTGAGGGAATGGCGGCGGTAGATCCACTCGTTAAAGATGTGGCCAACTAGAAACCCTAAAACGAGTTAACTGGAGTTCGACTTCGCCAGCAGGGACAAAGTGACAAACCGCAAAGAGCCCCGATGACACCGGCAAAACGCATGGAAGAAGCCTGAATTGTATCGAAGAGGTATGGAGGGCTGTGTAGGAAAGTATCGATTGTGGTTGTGATTCCTATGATTATTAAATCAATGCAATGTCACCTTTGATGTTGACATGATGTTGACTTACCGATCGGCCAGGTAAATGTCACCATGACAGCAATACCTTTCATTGAGTTAGCATTGGCATCACAAGGGAGAAGCGGCAAACCCACCTGTTAAGAACAGTGGCAATTTGAAGATATAGACTATCAGCGTCCGGCTCCTATCTGCGATAGTCGCCAGTTTCGGGAGCTCCGTATTGCCAACCCCAAAGAAAGAGCCAATTCGAGACCCAGACGGCTTGCCCGGTACATGGAAGGTCTCGCGCCCAAACAGAAGTACCATCGCTGTGGACAATCCGTACAACGCCGTCAAGATCCCAAATGAATCCCGCCAATTTGTACCAGCCCCGATATAGCCCGCGATGGCTGGACCCAAGAAAGGACCAACTAAGAATGTGGTGCCCCTGTATGCATTAGCACTCATTATCAACATGGTCCCATGCATACGCACCAGATATTGATCATACGAGGCCATTCTTTGAGCAGGTCAGCATCGTTTCATTTCTGTCTGGACGTATTTATCTCACCATCAGGTCTATAGATATCATGAATAATAGGCAGTCCAATCACTTGCGGCACGGTCCCAAACAAGCCCTGCAGGGAACGAAAGGTGGTAAAGGTGGCATAGTCCGTCGAAAGCGTTGCACCCAAGACCATGAACATGGTGATGACCTGGGGCCAGACCCAGATCGGGAATCTAGCCGAGATGATCAGACCAGTTTCAAACCTGCGCAGGTATACAACTCACCGTCCATAAGCTTCGATCAGAGGAACGGCGAAGATGCCACCAAAGCCTTGAAGTAGGATTCCATAGTTCATACTGGTCGCCGAGTGACCAACAGTAATATCCCATTCGATCGCTTGCTGAGTGATCAGTGATGAACCCCAGACCATGGCTCTACACCCAGGTTAGCTACCACTGGGATAAGACCTGCTGGGAAAATGATATACCCATCAGCTAGTAAGGAGCTCGACATGAGTGCCACAAAGAGCAGGGCCTTTCGAGTGGAAGACCACTCTCGTGGATCTTGAGAATCCATCGGAGCCGGATGCTTGTGATCGAGGGAGCGAGATGGACTGACAGTGCCATCTGACTCGGTGAGCTCATCCACTGGAGCTAATTTGGACATGATGCAGGTCGAATCAATAAAGGCCAAAAAGAAATGTCCGTACCACGCGGCAAGGGATTATCGTTTCCTGTAGAGGGAACAGGAAGGTTTTAAAAGACTCCGGGACACATGGTTAACGTGGTTTCTGTCGCGCAGAATTGCAGTTTCGAAATTCTGGAATCACTAGTCAGATCGGATGTATCTACGAGTTCATACGGGGTTTCGGGGAGTTTGGTTGTCCAGAGCAATCACATTTCCACCCGATGGTGATTGTATAGATCACAAAACTTAGATCATTCCGGATGGAACCAGCAGATGGAACTAGTGATTTGTCCATGCATCCACACCCCTTGCTGCGGTCTGATTCGTCCAGTGCCAAGACACTAGCGAATCGGCTGGAAAGGATCGCAAGGAGAAAGTATGGAAATGCATTTGGGGAATTCGATGATAGATTTAACCCTTGTCCAGGGAGTACAAAGTAGAGGAATACGAACTGGAAGAATTAACTTCGAACCCACAATGTCGTTCTTTAATCGTCTGGGTAATTTGTTCGGCCTATCAAAGTCCGCTTCTACGCTGCCTCCTGGAGCAGTACTGGCGGCAACGGTCACCAAGGTAAGTGACTCTGTGCTGTGAAGGTACAGACCCTAATGCAAAAGTAGCCTGCTTCACTAGGCTTCGTTCCGGTCGCCATCCATTTTGACCTCTTTGGCATATTGGTGCGCCATGGAGGACCAGCCAGCGCAGAAGAAGCAGCCAAAGCTTCCAACGCAGCCCGATCTAAGAATGAACCAGAAATTTGTATGTGGAAATCAATCCGTGGTCACTGGGCACCCTGCTGACCGTCGCCTAGGCACCCAACTTGCCTGTATGTACACTGGAACCCGGCACTGGGTCTATACTGATCACTGATTCCAGCCGACACGCTCTACATCATGTCTGGTCTGGGACTAGTGGACCGCGTGGACGAAGACCGTTTCAATGCCAATGCTGTTACCCGACACATGGTTGACATGCCATCCGCACAGCATGGCGCATTGCATTTGTAAGTCCCCATGAACTGAGCTCTTGGCATGGCATAGCTGATACGGCTGTTAGTACAACGGAAGGAATGATGGCTGGGGCATTCCTGATGAAAAAGCTTCAGGACACGAACTTTGCCTACCCATTCCAAGAGGCGGAGGGTCCAATGCAGTACGCATATCAGCTGATGGGCCAGGAGGCACTCTCCCAGTCCCACACTTACACCATTATGGAAGCCCAAGGACGAATGGACAGTTTTAATGAGTTCATGGTCGGCAAGTTCCTCAAATTCGGCACCTTTCCGGAGCGTGTGGAATCCCTCGGATATGACTTGCGGGCGGCCCTCAGCGCTCCCGGGTCAGTCGCGATGGTGGACATCGGTGGAGGACGAGGAGAACTGCTCCTGGAAGTCCAAGCGGCGTTTCCGCATTTAACCGCGGAGAACCTGGTGGTGCAGGAATTCAATGCGGAGATCGACGAGGTCCCGGGGGTGAGCTTGATGGCGTGGAATTACAAGACAAGTCCTGCGCAGCCAATCACCGGCGCCCGGATCTACTCCTTTCAGCACATTCTCCATAATCTGCCAGACTTGGCGGCAGTGGCGCTCCTGCAGAAGCTGTCCCAGGCCATGGCGCCCACGTCGCGACTGTTGATTATTGAGTATGCGAAGAACATGACCTATACGCATCTCCATGCCAGTATGATTGCGCTCTTTGGTGGACGGGAGCGCAGTGCGTCGGAATGGCGGCAATTGGCCCAAGTGTCGGGGTTGCAAGTGACGTTCGAGGCCTATGTAGCCGGTGGTGAATCTTTAGTGGAGATGCGGAAGGCGTAGTTCTATCTCATTGATCTATCACATCCTCGATTTTTCTCCCCCAATCTGATTCCTGTAAACTCTGCTGATCCGGTTCCTTGGGAAATCTTATTCCATGTACGATCGGCTTGATCATCCGCGACTTTCTTTTTCGAACTATTGAAGTCCCCCTTGTTCCCCCTTGCGTACGCATCGCGTCCATGGGGTCCCAACTCGCTTAAACGGTCCACATGGAGGACTTCTTGAGCTCTCTCAGATTTCAAACTCCATTTGGCTGGGGTTCCAAGCTGATTTGATACTAGACTACTCCATCTAAACATCTCAATAGATTTGGGTCTCCAATACTCGACTTGTGCCTGATTCACCCTTGTTTCCCATCTGACCTGTACATGAAGTTTATCGTCCACCTAGGAAACTCTCTCATGGCAAGGTGATCCGATCCGACGTCACACATGCTGGGACCTATTTGTACTTGCGGTCCCGCGCTGTGTCAACCCATTCCTATGCCCCGCAGACCCTGCATTTCACCATGAGTGTTCCACGGCCCCAAGAAGGGGATGTCAATATTGGTAGGTCCCGGTGCTGCGTGTTTCGCGGTCAAATACTGACAGCTACAGGGACTGCCACGTTCGATGCATGCTGGGTAGGTCAACCGGTTGTTGGGATATGCTCTATAGAGCTAATGGCTCCTAGGTTTTAACGGTCATCGTTGGTCTGGCCCTCTTATTCCGGTATACTGTCAAGGCATGGATTCGCTGGGCCTTACCTCAGGTCACAGCCCCAGAGAGGATCTGGGGGGTTGAAGATTTATTCTTTCTGGTCGCCTATGGGTTCGATCTCACCCATATGTGCATGATTCAGATGAGGTAGGTCCAGGTATTTGGACACTGTATAGTTTATGGCCTTGTCGCTGACCTCGCTTTTCCAGTGCCCGTTGGGGTCTAGGTCGACATTTCTTCTACTTGTCTGCGGAGGAAAAGTCGCACGCGATGAAATGGGATTTTACCTCTCAACCCATTGCGGTGGCCTCGGCCATGGTGTCTCGCACGGGCATGATGTGGTTCCTGTTGACTTGTTTCGCGGCGAGCGATCGAAGGATTCGAATCTCAATAATCGTCTGCGCGATCGTCCAAGTCGTAGCTAATATGATCACGATCGCCCAGATCATCGTTCAGTGTGGACCGAATCCATACCGTCCGGTATGTATTGCATGTTTCAAGACACTGCGTGTCAAGCTAACTTGCCGCAGTCCGATCGCATCCAGTATTTCCACTATATGTGGACGCCGCTCCCAGAGGATGGTTCAGTGAAGTGTCAATCACCGATGGTGCAGACTACTGTCGGATTTGTCCAGGGAGGCTTCAACACCATCATTGATTTCTTTTTGGCCGTTCTGGCCGCGATGGAGCTTTGGCAATTCTTCCTACGCACTTTACACCGTGACCCAAATATCTCTTTTTGGACTCAATTCCGCAAGATCAATAGCACCGTCCGCTCGCGTCGGATTTGGCAGACTATGACCTTGTGTGGCCCATTGATCCTCTCGGGGGCCGCATCGATCATCAAGACCTATGTACGTGAGCAGTGCCCTTCTTGAATATGGGAGACTAACAATGGTCAGAAACTCAAGTCGCTGGGGGATCGACAGGATTTCACCTATAACATTGTCTCTTTTGTACTCTGGGTAAAGTAAGTCTTGACTAGCCTCCATCCGATACCCTCTCAGCTTCTGACATCCCCAGAATCGAAAATTATAGTATCCTTCTTGCATCATGTGCACCGGTCGCCCGTCTCTTCCTGCGCGCTGTCGTCGATTCGCGCCGTGGTGGCCGACCAGGTTACTGGTCCAAGTCCAAGTCCGCAAACAACCAAAACAACAGCAATGATACGGAGATGAAACATCGTCCCAAAGATCAATGGATGGACTCGACCACGGTGACGGGGTGGCAAGACGAGGAAAATTCACCTTCGGACTGGCCAAATCATGAGCGTTCGGAGAGTCGCATCTCTCGGGCTCAGCAGCCAGATCATATTGATGATGGCTGTGTTACTGTGAAGACGGATATTGTTGTGCAAGTGGGTAGTAGTCGCCCGCGATCGACCTCGTCGGGAGGTGCAAGGTTACTTCCTCCTAGTGAGGATGGGGATGCCCATGAATCAGACTATCGTTGATTCGGCCTTAATAATGTATATACTGAACTGAGAGGATATAGAGTAATTAATATGATGCTGCTCTCTGTAATGGGCTTTCAAATCACTCACCGACTTACATTTCCATGTAGGTAGCACTTGAATTCCAGAGTTCGAAGATCTGCCGAGCCGTATATACTGTGGATCCGCCAAGAATTCGGCGTGAAGGTGATTGAAGCAACCTTGGAAGATGCGCCTATTGCCTAGACATTTCAAAAGTGAACATCATTGCTCCTTTACCATAGAGATAGCCCTAAAGGATTTACAGTACACAATCCTTATGGATACCTTCAACTTCAAAGTAGCCAATTTCCAAGTTGGAAGACTAAAATAGAACCACGTGATGATAACATTACGACAGCGCATCGCATCCTACGACAGATTCAAATCTGTCCACAGATCATGGCGATTAAAAGCTCTGCATTCCCCTATCGCCGGGGCTCGAACTCTTCGGAGAAAGACTTCTTCGATATTCCCGATGAATCCATACCGGCCATTGCAAAGCGCCAATTACGCCGACCGCGCACATGGATCACGGTGGTGATCCTGTTCTTCCTACTCCAATGGCGCTTTCGTGAGCGCTCTCCACCCTCCGGACTCCCTCATATCAACTACAACAAGGTAGACTGGTCGCGCTATGCTTACGCATCGTATGCGACCTCAGAAACCTACCTCTGCAATTGTGTGATGGTGTTTGAGGCACTGGATCGACTCGGGTCCCGCGCAGAACGGGTGCTGTTCTACCCCCAAGAGTGGGACTTGATTGTCCAAAATGAGGCAGATCGCACCAGTCAACTATTGTTAATGGCCCGAGACAGATACAAAGTGCAATTGAGGCCGATCCTAGTTGAGGGGATCAGGATTGACCCTAAAGGAGAGGAACATGGTGCGTGAAGACTGAATGATCTTACAATCAGAAGCTGACTGCATCTACAAAAGGATCTTCCAAGGCGGAATGGGACTCTAGTACTGTCAAATTGAACTCCTTTGGTCTACTGCAATATGATCGGGTGATCCATCTTGATTCCGACATGACCCTGTTGCAGCATCTGGATGAGCTGTTTTTCCTTCCGAAGACCCCCATTGCCATGCCTCGTGCATACTGGCTCCTCCCTGAGATAAACACCCTCTCATCGCTCATGGCCGTTATCGAACCGTCCTTCCGTGATTATACCGATCTTCGGGAAGTTATCCAGCCCGCCCTTTTTGGTCAAATCGACATTAATACGACCGATAAACGATATGACATGGAGGTGTTGAATAGTCGGTATGGGGAGAGTGCCATGGTACTTCCACACCGACCCTATGGGTTGCTCTCGGGAGAGTTCCGCACCAAGAATCACCGGAGATACCTGGGCACCCATGAGGAGTGGAATCCCGACAAAGTGCTGGCAGAAGCCAAATTCGTACACTTTTCTGATTGGCCACTGCCCAAGCCTTGGGTGATGTGGCCGCAGAAGCAGCTGGCCGAGATGCAGCCCGCGTGCGATATTAAACCAGGAACCCCAGAAGAGAGTGGCTGCAGGGATCGTGAGGTGTGGAAACAGCTCTATGACGACTTCCGGCGCCGACGAAAGGTAAGATTGCACATTTTCCAACGGAGCCAAAGAGTTGTATCTGGAGGAAGTTGGTTACTGATTTTGTGCAGGATATTTGCAAGCTGCTCAGCTTCCCGGCTCCGATTTGATTTTATGGCCTCCATGAGCGAGTGAGGCCATATTGTACAGTATCGTATCAAGTGAGATGGAGTGGTGGCATTCCTCAGCGTTCCTGTCCTTTTAGGAACTACAACCTGTACAGTATGGAATACAACCAGTATATATCATCCTGCCCGTTATTCGAACTTGAATGGTATCGTATAATGCCCTAGTGTAATGCAAAACACCAGCCCATGCAGGATAGACAGTAAAATCTAGGCATACCCCATGCCTTTCCTCCACCATCCCCAAACTCTCCTTTTGGACATCAAGTCCCCGAACTCTTTGACACTTTCCACCTCGGATAACCCACTCCCAGGAAGGGGGAGGGGATACTCATCCCCCTCCGGCGCCAAGAGACCCGGCCGCGTGACAAGCTGAAAGTCCTTGTAACGCAGCTTACGCACCACAGACACCCATGACTCAACATTGGTCTGCTCCTGACCCTCCACGTACATGATCCCGGGACAACCGCCGGAGCGTAGGAGGACGAAACACTGGTGGGCATCGGCGGCACGTTTTAGGGCGGCGACTTTCTTCCGGGAGGTGATGTGGTGGGTACGGATTAGGGCGTTGAAACGCATTGAGTGGGCATTTTGGTCTTGACCGCAACGATTGAGCAGGAGTAGCTGATCCGTAAGAGATGGAGCCTGATGGTTTGATTAGTCAGCAATATGCACCTTTTCGATGATCAGGCAATAATATATGGAGCTTTTTGAATTGAACACCCTCACTCACCACATTTAAATAATGTCAAGAAGCTATGTAATGGAGTACAGGCCCAAATATCTTTTTGCTCACGCTACTCTGTAGACTACGCTGGAATGTGAAGGTGATTAAAGATTGATACTCAGTGAGCCAACTTTTCTTACCTGGCTCCAATGAAGCATTGTCTCATATATTGACAAGAATGAAGCGAGGTGATGCGATGTCCTTTGATATTTGAGATATCATTCTTTGCATCACAATTTCAGTGCTATCTTTATTGCGACTAGTCATAATATATATAGTATTATCGAACATGTCATCAAAGAATCTGCAATCAAGATAGATCGCCAAGATAAATATACATATATAATTATCTACAGTACTGTACAATACATTATCCTGAGAAGATATTGTTACGGCTAAGAGAGCTGGGAAAGTTGTCCTGGAAGTAGTCAAATCTAATCAACTGTTTGCTTACATATTATTGTCTCTGCTGCTTGCTACATACCTTAATGTCTCAAATATAACCTTGACAAACCCCTGCTATCAATCCATGCCCAGGTGGATGTCATCATTGGGAAGGCACGTGAGATCCCTCGACAAGAGAGTTCCCTTTCATCTCCTTTTCATTTCCTTTTCATTAGCCTTTCGTTTCCTACTCAACTAGGGTTTTCATACAATTTCCAGTGGATTAAATGACCCCCGATACTGCGACCAAAAAGCCCAGAAGCATCCAATCAGTTGGTCGCGGATAAGCAAAGGAGCTATTGTGGGCCTCAATCGAGATCGACATGCAGACCTCGGGATTTCACGTCCGGTCGGAGAATTATGGATTACTCGCAACTCTAGCCATGATAGCAATTTCGCATGCGATGCCTCCAGTCCATTGTTTGTAGAATGGCATCATATCACGAGGCGATCGGCAACTGCATGCACCAGATTTATAACCACGCCGCTGAAACTCCCACCTATGTCATTGGCTCTCACGGTATGGCACTCGACAGCCATCAACAAATTCTTCACGAGCTAAGCGCCTTGTCAACAGGATAAGTATTCTTTGGTTCGACCCGCTAATTCTGTCTTGCGAATGGCTGGGTCCGGTGGAGCCTCTCCTCTTGGCTTCCTGATTCCGCAAAACTTTCGCCGCGGTCTCCGCGGGGAGCGCCAGACTTTTGTCTTCACTCTAATGAGCTGCTAGACTCGGACAAAATGTCCAGACAGCCGGTTTTCTGATGCCTGGATCCCTCGTGGTGTCCACGGACCGCTATTGCTGATTGGCCGCGGTCGAACCGCTGGAGTTCAGATCTTTACACCGTCCATTGTCGTGGGCCCACGGCCTCTTTTTTCCTCTGAGCCCCATCTCCCCGTGGCGGGATTGGCCATCAAAGAAGAGTCATAAGACAACTTGGCTTCCTTTTTGGGATGATAGACCTGATCAGCAGAATGTATAAAATGAAAAATCTGACAATGACTGTTTCTTTTCCCCCATTTCAAGTTCTCGAAAGATGCAGGATATTGTGTCTGCTCATATTGCTTGACACCAACTAGACAACAGGGTGAATCATGCCCGCTCCTCTCCACTCTCGTCTTCATCCTTCCTTTGCCCCTGGGCAGGAAGAATCGGCCTCGGGAGCCCATGGTCCGCGAGTCCATGTGTCCCATGAAGATGAGGATGCGATTGCCCATATCCACCGCACTCTGACTGACAAAAGCCACCCCGGAGCCAGCCATCAATATTCAGAACCTCACTCGTCGTTTGATAAATTTTTAGAGGAACAGGTTCAGAATGGTAAGAAACGTGTCAATATTGGAGTGTCCTTCCAATCCGTCTCCACTTGGGGCGAAGGTAATGGCCATGGCGACGTGAAGACGTTGGGAACAGCCTTGTGGCGTACCCTCACACTGCAGGATATATATGAATGGACCATACAGCCATGGCAAACAAAGAAGAAGCCCCAGGAGGGTCGCCCTTTGATCAGAGACTTCTCGGGAGTGGTGGAGAGTGGGGAAATGATGCTGTAAGTATAATCTTGATTGATTGAATCTATATCTAGCGAATTAATAGTTTGGTAGAGTTCTGGGACGCCCAGGAGCTGGCTGCTCATCGTTCCTTCGAACCATCGCAGGGCATCACTCGTCTTTCTTGGGAGTGACAGGCTCCATTGACTATTCCGGCCTTAGCCCCGAAGAAATCCGCAAACACTATCGCAGTATGGTGGCATATGTGCCCGAGGATGATGTTCACTTTCCGACCTTGAATGTCAGACAGACCTTGGAATTTGCCTTGCAGAGCAAGACCCCCAAGCGTTTTCAAGGACGAATCCCGCGCTACTTGGAGATTTATGGCCGAGTCTTCGGTATGACCCATACGATGAACACCCTCGTTGGCAACGAGTACATCCGGGGTGTTTCGGGTGGCGAGCGCAAGCGTATCTCGATCATCGAGTCACTCGCTACCGATTCGTCGGTGACATGCTGGGACAACTCCACCCGGGGACTGGATGCTTCTTCTGCTCTGGATTATGCTCGTAGTCTGCGCATCATGACAGACACCTGTGGAAAAGCGACACTACTCACGCTATATCAAGCTTCCGACGCTATATACGAGCTGATGGACAAGGTACTGCTCATTGACGAGGGAAGGATGCTCTTCCAAGGCCCAGCACACGAAGCCAAGCAGTACTTTGAAGACCTGGGATACGAGTGTGCCCATATGCAGACTACCTCGGACTTCCTAACCAGTATTACGGTTCCGGAGAGACGCAGGTTTCGTCCTGGATGGGAGAATCGGGCTCCCAAGGGTCCCATCGAGCTGGAGGCGGCATTTCGACAGAGCGTGGCATTTCAAAATATCGAGAGGTCTATCGAGCGATATGAAGAGCAACGAACTGGGAAGTCCTGCGCCACCAGCCATTGCGATTCAGAGTGTGATAGCGTGGAAGATATTAAGCGGACCATGCAGAGTGATAAGTCTCGCTTTGTGTCATCCAAGTCACCATATACCATCTCGCTGTTTCGCCAGATTGTGCTCTGCAGCCAGCGGCAGATGTGGCAGCTGAAGGGTCACATGGGACCGTTGTACATCAAGTTGATCTCTGCAGTGGTCTATGGACTGCTGGTAGGATCCATGTTTTATGATCAACCCCAAACTACTGAAGGGATGTATTCGCGAGGAGGTGTTTTGTTTTACTCCTCAATTCTGCTTGCCTGGTTGCAGATGTCGGAACTGGAAGATGCCATGCAGGGGCGTGATATCCTGAGTCGCCAGAAAAAGTTCGCATTTGTGCGACCCAGTGCAGTCTGTTTGGCTCGAGGTCTACAGGATATGGTGGTGAGCGCACTTCTCACCTTTTTGTACCTGATTGTCCTCTATTTTCTGTCTGGTCTCCGCTCAGAGGTAAGTGAAAGAATATTGTTCATCCATCCGATCCATCAACTGACCCGAGTAGGCGGGGCCATTCTTCATTGATTTCCTGTTCATCTACATGTGCACCATCTGCCTGACATCGCAGTTCCGCGTGTTTGCCGCCTTGTCGAACAACTTCGAGGTCGCATTACGCTATTGCGGCGTATCTGTACTTTTCTGTATTGTATTCGGTGGCTACGTCCTGTCTGTCGACAAAATGATTAAAGATGTCCCTTGGGTGGGCTGGCTTGCAGTAAGTAAGCAGTCCGTTCTGAAAATCAATGCTAATGCCATTTAGTATACCACCCCGGCTTTGTATACATACGAAGCGGTCATGGCAGCCGAGTTCCACAACGTGAATTTCACCTGTGCCTCTGGATCGATTGTTCCATCGGGATCCAATTATACCGACGTCGCATATCAGACATGCGCGTATGCTGGCAGTCGAATTGGCAGCACGGTGGTGAATGGCGATGACTACCTGGCCGCCCAATTCGGATTTCATTACAGCCATGTGTGGCGGAACTTCGGCATTCTCTGCCTTTTCACAATCACGTTTGTGATCCTCACTTGCTGGCTGAGTGAAGCTTTGGAGTGGGAGCTGGATAGCGTTGGGCCAATACAGTACGCATCTTCTGGTTGGTTCCAACGAAAGAAGAAAGTAATTCAAAGATCCGACGAGGAAAAAGCCCCTGTGCCCACGGATCCAAAGGCTGCTCCAATTGCATGCATGGAAGGACATCCGGGGCAGACGTTAACCGCCACAGAATCCACGTTCACCTGGGCTGACCTGGAACTCAACGTCCAAATCGGTAAAGAATCTCGCAAATTATTGAACAGAGTTTGCGGCTACTGCAAGCCAGGGACTCTGACGGCGCTCGTCGGAGCATCGGGCGCTGGAAAGTCGACACGTAAGATCACGGTCCATTCTACGCAATAAAAAGCTAACAATGATAGTATTAACTGCACTTACACAAAGACAAAGTGCTGGTACTCTGACCGGATCTCTCTATGTCGATGACCAGCCCATCGATGGATCCTTCAACCGACAAATTGGTTACTGCCAACAGATGGATATCCACGACGATAGCAGTACTATTCGTGAGGCTTTTGAATTCTCGGCTTTGCTTCGTCAGAGCTGCGAGACTCTGAAAGAAGAGAAACTTGCCTACGTCGAAACGGTACTGCAAACACTGGATCTGGAAGACCTGCAGAGTGCCGTTATTGGATCCTTGGACATCGAGAAGAAGAAGCGTGTCACAATTGGAGTTGAGCTTTGCGCCCGACCCAGACTACTCTTATTCTTGGACGAACCGACGAGCGGACTGGACAGTCAGGGTGCAACTAGTATTGTTGGATTGCTTCGACGTTTGGCAGACCAGGGACTCGCAGTCCTTTGCACCATTCACCAGGCCAACCAGCAACAGTTTGAGGAGGTAAGTCCTTATTCTGGTTTGATGTATGCTCACCACTAATGACTCAGTTTGATCGAGTTCTCGCCCTAAGTCCTGGTGGAAGTACGTATTACTTCGGGCCCGTAGGCGAATCGGGCCAAGCCATTTTTGATTATTTTAAAAAACACGGAATCAATCCTGAAAATATCACAAACGCTGCTGATTTCCTTATTGAGGTTGCAGTCAGCGGTATGAAGGCATCTGGTCTCAGCTGGGCTTCTATCTGGCGCAATTCTCCAGAGGCCGAGGACGTTCGAAAGACCATTTCTGGAATTCGCCAACAGCACAATCATGCAACTTTGACTGCACCCTCCCCACCTACTATATACCAACAGACCGTTCTTCTTACCCAGCGGACTTGCCGTCAATTTTGGAGGACGGCGGAATACCCATACTCGCGTCTCTACTCGTCCTTCCTTCATGCTCTCATCAACGGCCTCACGTATCTTCAGATTGGAGATAGTGCCACCGACCTGCAATCCAAGGCTTTCTCTTGCTTCTTGGTTTTGATGTTGGTGCCCGAGTTCATCAACGCCATATCCATGCGCTTCATCATGAACCGTGATGTCTGGCTTGCGCGAGAAGGGCCAAGTGGAGTGTATAGTTGGGTTGCTTTCAGTACAGCCCAGATCCTGTCCGAGATCCCCTATGCCATTATCGGTGCGGTAATCTTCTACGTCTTGTACTACTTTATGGTCGGATTGCCCTTGGGCTTCGCAGCAGGATACAGTTTTCTGATGTTTTTCCTGTTTTTCCTTTTTGCCACGTCCTGGGGACAGTGGATTGCTGCCTTAAGGTGAGTCCATGCCGCGATTCCAGCATTCAAGACGATAACTGATCTTATTAGCTCTGACTCAATGGTGGCGGCAACTTTGATGCCCTTTTTCATTATCATGTGTGAGCTATTTAACGGAATATTGCGTCCGCATGACCAGATGCCTGCTTTCTGGAAGTACACGGCGTACTATACTACACCATTCACCTACTGGATTGGAGGAGTTCTCACAGCCGTCCTTGGTGGGACATCGGTAATCTGCGACGAGAGCGAGCTTACGTTGTTTGCGAGCCCACCAAATATGACCTGTGGCGAGTATGCCGGATCCTGGCTCGTTGAGAAAGGCGTTGGATACCTGTTCGACCCGGAGAGCACTGGTACTTGTGGGTACTGTGAATACAGCCGTGGCGATGACTACCTGTCCGGCATTGGTTTAAATGACTCGAAGATGTGGCCGTATTTCGGCATTTTCCTGGGTTTCACGATCGCGAATTACCTTATGGTCTACCTTCTTGTATACGTGCGATCAGTCATGAAGCCATTTTGGAAGTCTGGATGATCTGCATTGAAATCACATAATATCAAGTCACAAAAATGTCACAGACACAAAATGATCACAGAGTTTGAAGATAGTTTACATGCCCCTAGACCGACAAATGACCAGGTGAGAGCGTGCATCTAGAAATCTTAAGGATTATCTCGTGAAGAACATTAATAAGCATAGCGAAAGCAAGTATTCTCCTTATCCGTCAGTCCAGCCCACTTTATTTGATCGATGAGAGCCTCATTCACAGGTCCCTGTTTCTGATCTCGACGACGGTTTGCCCAGCGGTAGTACAAATACAATACCACAGTCACCGCCGCCGCCGCAGCCTGCGTCGCAAGAACGATGATCTTCGCAGGACGATAACCCGGTGCATCGCGCGCCTGGAATGTCTGCGGGCCGATGATGTTGCCCACGGAGAATGATCCTGCGATGAGGGCACTGGCGAATGCCCGCTTCGTATGTCCGGCACAATTGGCCATCGTCCACTGATACAGAATGGGTAGGGTGGCCACAATAGCGTTGACAAGGTAAACACCGATCAGCACACCAGCCTTGTTCGACTTCGGGATGAATGACATCATGGCTGCGCCGACGATACCCGGGATAGTACAGAGGACATTCCAGGCCCAGCGGTTGGATGTCCTGCGTATCCCGAATCCGACTAGCAATGTGAAGAAGATACTGACTATGCCGGAGGGTGTGTTCAGGAGTGCGGAGATGGGACCTGAGAACCCGAATCCTGCAATCAGAGTGGCGGAGTATGTGGTGATCACCCCGCTGGACACCGAGATCTGGTAAAGTTAGCTTGAGAGCGAAGAAAAAGGAATGGGAACCAACCAAAATGGTCGTGATGACCAAGAGCCAAAGCTGCATATCCATTACCGCTTCCCTGATTTGTTCCAGATTCAACCTGGAACTCCACAGGCCAGTTTGATTATGGCTTACATGCTGGAGAAGAGTAGTCTTTTCATCATCAGTTAACCATGAGGCTTTAAGCGGCGTGTCCGGGATGAAGAAAAAGGTCAGCGCACCCACGACGCTGGTGATCAGACCCAACATCAGGAACATGATGCGCCATCCATCCAGCACTGCACTATGGACATGTTGGAACGCAAACGAGAGAATGCCACCTAGGATCTGAGCAACACCCATTCCCATGTACCAGAAGGTAAACCTTGGAGCCTGTTCACTTCGCGTGTAGTACTGACTACTCAGCAACATCAACGATGGGCCTACCGTTGCCTCGAACGCGCCAAGAAACACTCGTGCAACCAGCAGAGTTTGATAGTCATGAGCACCTGCCGAAGCCGCTGCAGCGACACCCCAGAAAAATACGTTCCCACCGAGCCACTTGGCAGCTGGGATTTTCTGCAGGCAGTAGACTGCAACCCGTTAGAACCGAGAGATGATCCACCAATGAAGCAAGGAGCTGAACACCTACCATTCGGCACCTCGGCAATCAAATAAGCAATGAAGAACCAGGTAGCCGCGTTGGAAAACTCATTACCGGTAAGTTTGAGATCTTGCTTCAGTCCCATTATTGCCGCGTACTGGTCTCTGTTAGGGCGGCCATGTACCACCATTACAAGATCGACTCACATTGAGCATGACTTTGTCAAGGAACTGTAGAACGTAGCAGCAGAACATATAGGGGAGTACGCGGCGGTCGATCTTGCGTCGCAGTGCGATCAGATCCACGCCAACACATTCAGTGTGGGTCTCGAGATAGTCCACTGCATCATCGCGGCGGTGCGCAGCCTTAAGGGCCTGGTTGGACTGATCCATGACAAGAATGGACGATGGTGGGACAAAAGGGCGTAGGATGAGAGAGAGGTGGAAAACAGAGAGAGGGAGAGCTGAACAAGCTTCAAGTGTGGCACAACGTTGAACCGAGGACGTTGCGACACCCACTCTTGACACACCACTCCACCACTCTTGCTCCAGGCTCACGTAGCTACCCAGACCACTCTGGATCGGATTTATGTCTACCCTTTGCGCAAGGGGGTTGACTGAGAAGATATCCACCATTCCCTCGTTCATCTCCCAAACTCCGGGTTTGACACGATGGGATGGGTGTATGGTGCTACGCCTGAAGTGCAAGCAGCATCACAATACCGGGTGATTCTCGGAGTGTGTATCAGCCTCACTGTTTTGATGGTAATTCCTGTGTGTTTACGACTATTTCTCCGGGCTCACGCGAGTCGACTTAGGGCAGCGGACTATGTGATGGTAGTGAGCATGATTTTGAGTATCATCTACAATGCCTTGTGTATTGCTCGTGAGTATCCATTCCCCAATCAACACACGCGCTCTTTAGGACAGAAATTCGATATGGACTCGGATTGCCCTTGTCACTTCGACCAAAGGAAGATTTACCAACCTACACCAAAGTAAGTTTTTTTCACAAGATCCACCAGACCTCCATTAACAGATGTAGCTCAACTACGCAGGACGCCCGTTCTATCAATTGGGCATTGCAGGATTAAAGGCGTCTCTCTGTCTGAGTTATCTTCGCTTGCTCCAGGTCGTAACATCGAAGAAGATCTATCGCGCACTGATCTGGATTGTCATCGTGATCGCAACGTGGGGACGGGGACACCTTGTAGGGGCTCTGATCTTAGTCTTTGATAGTACTCCAGTATGGTTCCCTCCCATCATCATGAAATTGGCTGATCATGTTCAGGTTCAACGAGCATGGAGTTCTTCTGTCCGTGGTACTTGTCTGCCTGTTGGTGCCACCTTCTACGGACTTGTCATCTTAATCATCGCTTGCGACTTGGTGGTTATCTTCCTATCCCATTGATCTTGCAGCTGAACATCAAACCAGCCCAGAAGGCTGGTGTTATGTGCCTGTTTTTGCTAGGTCTCCTCACCACGCTCTGCTCAATCCTCCCACTGACTCAGATCAACCGGGTGGCCTTTGGGGATGGGAAATCGGCGATGCTGGTCTTATGGGGGACGATCGAATTCAATGTTGGGGTAGGCGGGCTATTTTAGCAAACGGACCTGTTCACGCTGACGACCCTTTAGAACATCGTCACCTGTGTGCCATATCTGACTCCGCTGCTCAAGGGCTTCGTGAAAGACTTTCGTTTGATGGGTCGAAATGAGTATCATAGCCATGGGAGAAGCTACACAATGGGAGACTTTGATCAACGATACGATCGACGATCTGATGTGTCGAATGGCTCTGGTCCAAATGGGGAAATCGTTCTTGGTGAACAGGTCCATGAGGGGGCTGAGAAGACGCTGGCTTATCGTGTAACCAAAGGGGAGATGATTTGAGATCTGACTGAATGAGTCAGGGAGAAGTAGCCTCAACAAAATGTACAACTCTTAAAGGGAAGTGCCAAGTGTGATTCATCACATTCCACAACTTCTCTCCTTACCAACACCATGTCAACCCCTCCAATTCTCATCATCGGGGCTGGCATCAGTGGCCTCATCCTAGCTCAATATCTCCAACGCCGCGATATTCCATTTGAAATCTTCGATCGCGATTCCGCATTCGATGCAAGAAGTGGAGGATGGGGACTCACGCTCCACTGGGCCCTCCCAGCCCTACGACAGTTACTGCCCGATCATCTAGTTGCTCGATTGCCGGAGACGTTTGTCAACAAGGATGCAGCAGCCCGCGGAGACATGGGACGCTTTCAATTCTTCGATTTAAAATCCGGTAGAGCCCTTTACGACGTTCCCGCCGAAGAACGGATTCGCGTTAATAGAGGGCGATTGCGGGAGTTGTTGACATCTGGACTGGATATTCAGGTATGTTGAGGCAGCTCGCTCGAAGGGATAATGACTGATAATCTCAGTGGAACAAAGACTTCGTCAATATCGAGTCGCTGGAGTCTGCCATCACCGCTCGCTTTGAAGATGGCTCATCTTGTACCGGATGCCTCCTCGTTGCTGCTGATGGTGCACGGTCGCGCGCCCGGCAGATATTGTATCCTCAGGGCTATGCGATGAATCCACTGCCTGTACAGCTTCTAGGGGCATCTACACTCTACACGAGAGGACAACTGGGCGGTGCAGAGTCGATCGACCCGTACATCTTCCAAGGATCTTACCCGGACACCGATGTGTTCTTCTTTTTCAGTTGTAAATTTATCCAGCGCGACTGTCTTTATTGGTGCTAATACATGAAAGTTCTGGACACTCCGAGCAATTTCCAAGACAGCAGCAGAGATCAGTATCTCTGCCAGGTTATTGTCTCTTGGGCTGACCAAAAGGGCATCGCTTTGCCTTCTGGAAATACGGATCGCATCGCGCTGATGAAAAAATTGACTGATAACTGGGCCGAACCTTTTCGCTCCTTGGTACATAACCTACCCGAGGACACTGAGCCTCGATCAATCCGCATTGAGGATTGGATCTTTCGCCCCGGTCAGCGCGATGGGCATCCTCGAGCCATACTCATGGGAGATGCGGCGCATACCATGACTATGTGTGAGTAGCCCGCCCATGTAATGATGATAGCTAATGAGGCCAGTCCGCGGCGAAGGTGCGAACAATGCGATCGTAGATGTCTTGGATCTGGTAATGAATCTGAATCTCAATACGGAGACTCCGGCGTAAGTTTCCCTTACCATGATATTGAACCATGCTGATCTATTTGCTACTAAGTGCATTTTCACCGGACGATCTGGTGGCTTTCCTCGCAGCCTACGAGAATGAGATCTTCTCACGCGTCGAGCCCAGCTTTCTTGCATCCCGACAGGCTTGTCTGGATGCACACGACTTCACAAAGATTGAGGGTAGTCCGCTAGTGACTGCCAGGGTGCTGAACAGCAGAGACTAGAATTATCAACGTTGCCATAAGATCGAACAAGGCATCAATCTCAAATCTCATCAATCAAGTTGAGAGTATCGTACTCAAAGCCAAGGTCGGTGTCGATTCAAGTACTCTTTAACAAATGACCAAACTGGAACTAAAGAGCCCAAGTACGACGCTACACTGGCAACAAAGGATGCCATCCCTATTGAGGAAGAAGAAGCATAACGGGTATGGGAACTGGAAATGAAATCTGAATAGTTTTCTCTAAAGAACACCCGTTTATATGTAATCTAGAACGCGAAAAGAAGCAATCCGTAGCCGACTCGATGCAATCGTACATTAAACCTTCAACATCTCTAGTTCCAAGTCAACCTCCACACAGGTGCTTTCCACACACTGTTTCCTGGCATTACTTTGGGTTGGAAGAAACCTATATAAGGTTAGCATGATCTCATACAAGAACCAAAACTCAGAGCTGGACGGGAGCACTCACGCCTGATACCGCTGAATACTACGGACCTCCTGATCCACCAACGCTTTCAATGCAGCCTGGATATCATGAACAAGACTATCACATCGACTCTGCGTAAAGTCTTCCCGCAACACAACTCGCATCATGCTCATTTTCTCACAATCTGCCGCCATGGTGTAAGCAGGAACAATCCAGCCCCGTTCCCGGAGCTTATGCGCCAGAGAAAACTCATCGAAGAGGATATTTTGAGTAGAACCGAGACGGAATGCGACGACGGGTAAACCATTTCCAGCGCCATCGCTCATGATCGTGAAGCCCATCCTTTTGAGCTGCTCGGTAAAATAATCGGCTGTGTTGGTGAGGTTGGTCATGATGGCCTGGTATCCACGTCGACCGAGACGGATCATCTGGTAATACTGGGCAATGATGTGCGAGGCGGGCTTGGAGAAGTTCAGTGTGAAATTCAGCTGATCCGCTCCAAGATAGTTGATATTGAAGATGAGTTCCTTCGGAAGGTATTCGGGTGATCGCCAGAGAGCCCATCCGATACCGGGATACACCTAAACACTGTCAGAATCCAGTACGAGTCCAAGGGTTCCGGTCTTGCTCACCAGTCCATATTTATGGCCGGAAACATTGATGGACACGACGTTGGGCAGTTGGAAGTCCCACACCAGATCTGGGTTCACAAACGGAGCGACAAACCCACCACTGGCAGCATCCACATGAATCGGGATGCTGAGTCCCTTCGCAACCAGGGCGTCATTGATACCTTTGACATCTTCATACTGCCCCGTGTACGTCGTTCCCAGAATAGCGCAGATACCAATGGTATTCTCATCCACCAGCTCGACCGCCTGGGCTGGATCGATCACGTATCTCGTCTCTGTGCATGGGACCAGTTTCTCATCGATCTCGAAATATCGTGCTGCCTTCTCCCAGCAGACTTGCACCCCCGTGCTCATGATAATATTGGGCTTAGAGGTAGCTTTCCCTTCTGCTTCCCGTTGGTTTTTCCACCGTTTCTTCATGGCGAGGGTGGCTAGCATGATCGCTTCGGATGAGCCGATACACGCGGTACCAATTGCCGTGGACTCGCCATCTTGTTTCGGGGAATGAAACAGGTTGGCGAGCATTTTCAGACAGCGTTGTTCGATTTCGACGGATTTGGGGTACTCTTCATGATCAATGACATTTTTGTTCGAGGATTCGAGCATCAGCTTCTCGGCTTCGTCTTCCTACAAGGGTTTAGTTCAAATAGATCCAAGTAGTAGACTTGGAGAAAGACCTACCATATACGTTGTGACAAAGCTCGCGAGACTATGCAGGTTAGTTGTCATCCTGGAACCTATCCAGACATGCTTACTTTAACATAGGATTTCCATCAAGAACCAGATCATCCTTGATCATACGATAGGCAGTCTCTTTGGGCATTTCATCGTAGGGAAGTTCATCGGCAGGCATATGTTCGGATGCGAACCGAGAGCCATAGACATTGGTGCATCCCCGAGAAAGTCGCTTGAACGGCATTGAGTCCATTGTGAAGAATAGTCTGATGATATATCGAATGGGACAGGAATACAGTTCTCTTATATAAATATTCCATGGGCCTCAGGGGTTCTAGAAGTAGTAGTCCGCAGAACCCGATCTCCGAGCCAAGGGAAAATCACTCATACAAGCTAGGGTAATCTGCTGTAGTCAATATGAGGCATTTCTTCGAGAGTATGAACTCGTGCACGATCGGCCTTGAAATTATTTTAATTGAACCTGTTCGTTGCTCACAATGATTCCAAGACGATGTTGACTGCATATACTATACAGTTCAAGCTCTAACCTCTAACCTCTAACCTCTTTAACTTTAATTCATATCTACGGAGCCAAGCTTTTCTAGAAAGTATTTGTGCTGCGCCAAGTCTTTGCGATCGAGAAGAATAGAAAAAGAATCACTCCTATCCCTGGATCGTAAACATTTTTAATGTCGATCATGCGGGTCGATCTCCCTGGGCAAGGGGGAGACATTGGCTAAGCCTCATCAGTGCAATTATTGAGGGAATATGCACGTCCATATTTCACATCTACATCAACCGCCCTGGAGTTATGTACGGCTGGAGGTGGAGATTGTCACAATCAACACCATTGGATAATGAACCCTACAGGTAAATGTCTCATTCTCATCAGCTACCTTGTTGCTCAATACGTCAGTCGATGGAGATCCTTCAAATGTCGTGGTTCGTTATCTATGACACGTCACGTCCCTTGACAGGGATGCAATCAACACCTATACCGGTTCTAATGAAGGGCGCATTCCACACGGTATCTGCAATCATCTCACGCTACGTATCATATCTGTCATTGATCCCTCATGAAGGTTTTACGCCCAGGCTACCAACCGAAACTGACCCTTGAGCCTGGATGATTTTGCTCACGTCGTGATTTTTTTTTTCTCAAAGGATGCTTCATCCGATCCTCGATATTAGCAACTTTAATGTGATTCTGACATTCTCAGGTAAGCCTAGCCTCATGAGGAGATGAATGGATCTAACAATTGGCTCATCAGGAATATATTTACTGGTTTTCGCCGTACTTTCCCTCAAGTTAAAGCAGAGATGGTACCTGGGTGAAGCTTGTGAGTCCACCAACTCGCAATATCCGTCAATTGCAAGAAATTTACTTTTGCATTGCAGTGCCATCATTCGTGATCGGGGTCATTCTAGGTCCCGTTTGCGCCAACTTGATCGATGCGAGACGATGGGGTGGTCATGTTGAGGAAGGTCAGATTGCCTACGTGAGTGATCCCATCTAGGCACTTTAGATACCCGTTGCTGATCGATCAGGCCTTGACGCGACTGGTCATTGGCATACAGATGGTCAAAGTCGGATATGAGTTGCCGAAACAATATCTGAGGCAAAAACTGGTCGAGCTCACCATTTGCCTTCTGCCGCTGATGGCATTACAGTGGCTGGCAACATCAGCTTGTATTTTGTTGATGATTCCACATTTATCCTTTGTACGTTGTCTGCTTGTCGCCCCCCAGAGGTATGGTTGCTAACGATCAAAGCTCACATCTTTGATCATTGGATCATGTGTCATCTGCATTGATCCCATTCTTTCTCAGGCCATTGCCAAAGGGCCCTTTGCCGACAAGTATGTTCGACGCCACCTGCGAGAGTTTATCTCCGCCGAGGCTGGCGGAAATGATGGCTTTGGCTTTCCGTTCTTATTACTCTCTATTTCTATTCTACGCTATGCCGACGTACCGCAGAGTGGCACGACGAAACGTGACTGGATAGGAGCAACAGACACGGGGCGATTAGGGGGCGATGCTGGTCGTGCATTGGCACACTGGGCTGTCGAGGGCGTGCTATACATGATAATCATGGGCTCGGGATATGGGTTGTTGGTGGGATTCGTGGGACGCAAGGGCTTGAACTTGGCGTCGAAAAGGTGAGCGCCCCACAATAGGATCATGGACAACAGCTCATGGCCGCAGGCGATGGATCGATAGAGAGAGTTTTTTCATATTCCCAGTGGCAATCGGGGTAAGTCGTCTAGTTCAACATGATACCAAGATACTAACATCGCTAGTTATTCATTGTGGGCACCTGTGGGTGCTTTGGATCCGACGAGACTCTGGCCTGCTTTATCGCCGGATGTGCATTGAACTGGGACGGCCTTTACCACGCCGAAGTCGAGGCGCGACATGATTCCTTCAACTCGGCCATCGAGGTGATTTTGAACTTTGGCACCTTCATTTTCATCGGGATCAGCATGCCTTGGGACCAAATGCACCTGCCCCAGGTAACGGGTATCACGATCTCGCGCCTCATTACTCTGGGGATTTTACTATTGCTGTTTCGCCGTATCCCGGCCATCATGCTTGGCTATCGTTTTATGCCAAAGATCTGCCACTCGTGGAAAGAGGCGTTTTTTATGGGCTATTTTGCACCAATTGGTACGTTCACTATGGCCCTCTTCGCTGCGTGGCTAGCCACTAACCTAGTAGGTGTGGGAGCCATCTGCTATGTGGAATATGCACGTCGACTGCTCCCTGATCCTGAGCAGAGCGATAGCGAAATCAACCGGTTGACAGCCGCCATGATTCCTGGTTAGTACTGCCCATTTATCCTTGGTCGCTAGGTCGCTCTAACATGTCCACTGTCCAGTGGTTTATTGGCTGGTCTTTTTCTCCATTGTGGTTCATGGACTCTCGATCCCAGTCCTAAACGGCATTTACAAGTGGCTGCAAGTCCCTGCCATTCGAGATCATCCAGTTGAAGTCATGCTTCTCTCCGAAAACGAACCAATCCCGAACAATAGTGTAGTGGATCGCCGCGTGCACTCCGTTATATTAAACAATCGGTTTTCTCGCAACTTGACTATGGATTCCGACGAACACGACGAGCCAGATACGATCATGTTACGCTCCCGGGAGCAGGAGGATTATGCGGAATCGTCGCGGTCTTCCACGAAAGGGTCTCTGCGTGAGGTTGAACAGGAATGGCATGTGGTTTAGTTGCGTCGAGTGTTTTCACTAGGAACCCGGCTCTTTCCCATAAACATTTGATCAGTTTTCCAAGATCTAGCCAACATTTCTGAATAATCGAGCATGCCCACAATCGGATCGGTAGCAAAGATCCATTATGATCCCACTCCTCGGCCCCTGAAGAACATGTGCCGGTCGGCGATCACTCGGCCCCAAAAGCCCAATCCCAACAACAATTCCCAATCCAGAACCTTTCACCCTGTCAATAATGTCGTAAGTGACTAAGATTTCTGCACAGTCATGTCGTTAATATTCTCAGTTCTATTCTTACAACAATTGGTCTGCGCGCCGCTCCCGGCGAGCAGGTCCCCAATCACGCCGCGACCCTGCTGTTGGCCAACTGGGCTCTTGCGTATGCGCTCATGAGTACGCGCTTGACCAAGATTTATTATGGTATCGACAACAATGTTGCCCCACGCGAGAATCTGGCCACATTTGGTGAAGCTGCTGTCAAGGCTGGCAAGCTTGATCGACGGACGCTAAACAAATTGAAGCGTCGAGAGGCGGCGCATGCCAACGCCGTTGAGGGGTACAGTCTGTTTGTTGCTGCGAGTGGGTTTACCATCGAGCAATACTTGAATTCGACTCTGACATGACACAGTTTTGACGGCAGCTTATGCTGGTGTTCCCAGCGAGACCATCAACACGATCGGTGTGTGGTATACCTTGTCTCGGATCGCGTATAGTCTGTGTTATACATACATTGAGAAGAAATCGCTCAGTTACCTTCGCTCGGTGACTTGGTGGTCCGGTAACATCAGCTGTATCACTGGTCTGGTGCTTGCGGCGAAGAAGCTGTGAATGTTTGGATATAGTACTGGATAGCCATGGAACCAGAAGTCATAAACACTCGGCATGTACGTTAGTAACTGGCGCCGACGGTCTAGTGAATAGAAGTATAACAGCGAGGTTTCTCCGAGTAAAACCGGAAAGACTAGATCCTTGCTGATCTTGGGTTGATTGGTGGAGAAATCCTTGCAGACAAGACGGTAGAATGTGTCCCGAACAATACCCAACGTGTGAAGAGCTAAAGTACCTAGTTCCCCACTCCCCCACGCTCTTCACTTGGCAAATGCGGAGAGAATATCCACTAAACCGACTCACAGGGCACACAATACAGTGCAGAGCTTGGCCATGTCCCTGTTGATCAATGCCAATAGAAAAGTTTGTCTCTGGAGATTTCTACAGGCGGAGAAATCTTGTCAACCCCGCGTATCTCTAGGTTGGCGGGAAAACATCTCGAAATGCTGGAGAAAAAAGGTATAAATCTCTTCGAGATAGCCATCAGTCAAGTCTTGCCACATCGATTCAATTGATCCCACGATGAAGCTCTTAGCTCTGGCTGGACTCTTTGTGACCGCTGCGAGCGGTCTGGCTTCCCACGTGATCTCAGGGGCACAGATCATTGCTGCCAATGACAAGTCGGAACTAAGGAATGTTGGCGCGTTTCATCAAAAATATCCGGACCGTCGGACCGTGACTATTCGTTCGTCGAAGAGTGACAACGATGACGTGTCCAGCGATTTTCTCTGGGGTATCAAGCAAGCCAATCATGGAGGCCGCTTATTGCTGGAGAAAGGCAAGACTTACGTGATTGGAAAGAAATTGGATCTGAGCTTTTTGAATGATATTGAGGTTCAACTGGAAGGAGAGATCAAGGTATGTATTGACTAGAGCACACATCTGGGTCACCAGGCCTAACACGTGCAGTTTACCGACAACATCACCTACTGGCAAGCGAACAACTTCTACTACTCTTTCCAGAAGTCGATTACCTTTTGGGTCTGGGGCGGTCAGGACATCAAGATCTTCGGACAGGGAACTCTCAATGGTAATGGCCAGAAATGGTACGATGAGTTCTCGGGCAGCCAGATTCTGGTAGGAACCCCCTGGTATCTGTCTCGAGGCGAGGTACTGACCTGCTATAGGATCCCGATAACACCTTCTACCGGCCAATCTTGTTCTTAACCGACAATGCCACGCGAGTCAGCGTGGAAGGAATCACACAGCTGAATTCGCCTTGCTGGACGAACTTTTTCGTTCGCACCAACGACATTTCCTTTGATGATGTGTATATCCATGCGTATTCGACCAATGCTTCGGTATGGGACCCAGTCTGGGGATGAGTCTGTGCTGGTCTAACACTGGATAGGTCGACGCGGCGAACACCGACGGCTTTGATTCCTACGTCGTGGACGGACTCAGTGTCACCAATACCCGGATCGACGTCGGAGATGACTGTTTCTCGCCCAAACCCAACACGAGCAACATCTTTGTGCAGAACATGTGGTGTAACAACACCCATGGAGTCAGCATGGGTAGTATCGGGCAGTACTCGGGCGAGATGGATTTCATTGAGAATGCCTATCTCGAGAATATCACCCTGTTGAATGGACAAGTGAGTTTTCCTTCGCCGATCTGTTGTCACAAAACCCGTCCTGATCAAGACAGAATGGAGCTCGCCTGAAGGCGTGGGCCGGTCCCGACGTAGGATACGGTCGCATCAGCAATATCACGTATCGCAACGTGCAGATCCAGAACACGGATAAACCGGTGGTATTGGATCAATGCTACTTTGATGTGAATGCGACCGAGTGTGCCGCGTACCCATCGGCAGTGAACATCACGGACATTGTGTTCGACAACGTCTGGGGCACCTCATCAGGGGCCGAAGGCAAGGTAGTGGTGGATCTGACCTGTTCCCCCAACGCGGTCTGTTCCAATATCCACCTGTCGCGGATCAATTTGACGAGCCCCGCGGGAAGTCCTCCGGAGATAGTCTGTGATGGTATTGAGGGGGATATTGGAGTGAACTGCACAAATTCCAGCTAGATCAGTGGGAGGAAAAGGGGTTACCGTACTTAGTTCTCGGGGTCAATCTCCCAATGTATCGACATAAGAAAAAAATATCCGAGTAATGCCAAGAGAAAGGTGACCGTCCCCACAATCCCGGGGGAAATGTGAAGCGAGAGCATCAGACTGGCGGGAGATAATAAAGGCTTGTTGACCAATTCATTTATCCCCCAAGGCTCACGGCCCAACGGAGCTTTGACCCAGATCCACGTGAGCCATACAGTAGGAGTCATACTTGCAACTAAGCGAGAATAACGTGGCTCAACGCCACGTTTGGCGCCAAGTGGCAACAAGCTTATCATGTTCTAGTCATGACTTGGATGCATTTCTTGCTTTGGTGGTCGTATTTCCGGGGAAAAGGCGAGATCTTTTGTTCGCATTCAACTTAATATTCTGGGGCTAGCATCCTATACCCCCGGATTCTCGCCAATCTATTCTTTCTCTGTTCTTTCATTGGCTTGCATCCTCTTTCAAACTTGGGATTCATCTCCACACCCCACAATCATCCCCACCACCGGGTTAAGATCATATCCGCTCCACCAATCAGATGCTATATACGCGTCAAATCTGGAACGCGATCCACTGTCATTTTGGCTCTGGTCTGGGGGTGGATCTGTGTCCGTCCCCGCCCCCGGACACCCTAGCTGTGCACGCGGAGAAAATGGAGAAAATGGAGAAATTGGAAGACGGGATACACTGGCAGGGATTCCCTATAAGTACTCCGGTCTGACCACCTCCCCCAATTTCCCTCAGGCTGGTCCTTACCGTTTCCCTTTCTACACCCCCTACATCCCCTAACACCATCAACAATGGAGAAGATGGGAAAGATCGATAGCAATTCTCAGCACGTGGAAGGCGCGGCTCCGAGCCCTAGTGCCATGGAGTCTGGCAAGACGGAGGCTTTCTATGTCGAGGATCGCGTCGCCCATCTGTCTGAGGAACATCGCCAGTATCTATTGGCGCGTCATGGTACCCTCGATCTCGACCCAATTCCTGATATGAACGATGCCGATCCATACAATTGGCCGCGTTGGAGGGTGAGGCTTCCTGAGTCCAATATCTAGGTGCACCCGTGCTGACATGAAGATAAGAAAAACGTCAACCTGGGTTTCGTCGTGTTCCACGCCATGATCGGTCTGTTTACCGCTTCGTCGATTCAATCCGCCTTTACCAATATCTCTGCCGATCTGGGTGTCAGCATGCAGCGGACCAGTTATCTGGTGTCGCTGTTTATCGCCGTTCTTGGTGGTGCGCCTTTGTTCTGGCGCCCCCTGAGCAACCGCTTCGGTCGTCGTCCTATCTTCCTGATCTCGCTGTTCTGTGCTATGATTGGAAATATCGGTTGCGCAAACAGTCACTCGTACGCGACAATGGGTCTGTGTCGTGCCATCACTGCTTTCTTCATCAGTCCAGCGGCTGCCATCGGAAGTGCCGTTGTCGCCGAGACCTACTTCAAGCAGGATCGTGCCCGCTGCATGGGTGTTTGGACTCTCATGGTGACTATCGGTGTTCCCGTTGCTCCCTTCCTGTTCGGCTTCTTGGCCCTGCGTGTCTCCTACCGCTGGATCTTCTGGGTTCTCACCATTGTACGTTTACTTCTCCCCTCCTACCTACCCTACCTATACTAATCCAGACCAGGTCAACGGTGTCCAGTTCATCCTCTACTTCTTCCTCGGCCCCGAGTCCCTCTACATCCGCGAGGAGGGTGCCCCTAAGCAGGTGACCACCATGAAGGGCAGTCTCTTCAAGTTCCGCCGCATCGATCCTACCCCTCTGCGCTTCTGGGACTTCATCCAACCCCTGAGCTACTTCTCCAAGCCCCGGGTCCTCATCCCCGCCGCCGCATATGCCATGATCTTCCTCTGGGGTAGCATCATGCTCACCATTGAGATCCCCCAGATCATGCCCGAGCAATTCGGCTTCAACACCCAACAGGTCGGTCTGCAGTTCCTGGCAGTCATTCTCGGATCCGTGATCGGTGAACAGATCGGTGGTCTGATTTCCGATCGCTGGATGCTCATCCGACAGAAGTCTAAGGGTGAGCGGCCTCCCAACGAGTACCGTCTGTGGCTGAGCTACATTGGTCACGCTCTGACCATCTGCGGTGTTGTTGTGTTCTCCGTCCAGATGGGCAAGGCGGGTAACAAGTGGAACATCACTCCCCTTGTGGGTGCTGCTATCGCTGCTGCTGGTAACCAAGTTGTCACCACTATCAACATTACCTACGCCGTTGACTGCTACCGTGCCGATGCGGCCAGTGTAGGAGTGTTCATCACCTTTGTGCGACAGATCTGGGGCTTCATTGGACCTTTCTGGTAAGAACCTTCTCTGAATATGACTATGGCCAGTGACATACTAACATGCTTCATAGGTTCCCGAATATGTATGTTAATCTTGGCTGGAACACTGGTGCCGGAATTGCCGTGGCATTGATGGTGGGTGTTAGTGTGATCCCCACGATGCTGCTGCAATGGCGCGGTGCTTCTTGGCGTTAAGCCACTATATTCTGCTTTTGTTATGATTGGATTATAATGAGCTAGGATTAAATTGGGTCCTGTAATATGAATTGTGTAATTGCATATGTTCCAATTAAATTATCCATCGTAGGGAATGCTTGGTAGCGCACCCACCTCTTTTGAATTTATACCTGATAGATGATGAGCTACTGACGCATAGCGTAGCCATTATTATAACATCACATCCTGTGAGCACATGACGAGCAGCCAAAAAAAAAAAAACCAAATTCCCCCATGCAAGATAAAAACATCTCCCGTATACCGGATTACTTTGTTCACTAAATCCAGTCTCGACACTGGAATACTTAGAACGTATTTAATATTTCAACAATCATTGACAGCGCAAAAATAATACTCCGTCCCATGGTCTCCCAAAATGCATAGCACCCAGGTGCTCATCGTGACAGGGCATATCTACATGCCCTCACATTCACAAACAACGTAGGCAGAGCACAAATCAACGACCGGCTTGCCCAAGGTAATATAGGTATCCTCAGCATTTAGAGATGCAGTCAGGTGGTGTAGCTCTTCGGTGAATGTGCAGACGGTGGTCTTTTCGATGACAGTGAGCTGGGCACTGGATGCAAAGACAAGGCCATGTTGAGCAAGGGAAGTGTGTCCCCAGAGCTCTTGGACAGGACGCTTCACGCCATCAACGGGGATAACAGCATTGGCATTGGCGCCGGACTGATCATTGGCGAGTTGAATGGTAGCGGTGTATGCTGGAGGTCCCTTTGGAGCGGCCAGGCCGGTGGAGGAGAGGAGGGAGAAGACGAGAGCGGTCGCGGTAGTGATCTGCATAATGATAATTGATATTGATGATTTGGAAATAGGTTCTTTTGCTTGGAGATTGAAGCAGTACTTAGCTGGCAAGCAAGCTGATATATAGCTTCCATGATCACTGTTCACGGTTGAAATGAACGCATACTGAAATCGGTTGTTTGGTGGGTTGCCGTTTCCGTCGATTCGGGAGAAGTATGAGGTTGCCCCACTTGGCCGCATCTAGACCGTTGATATACTAAATCACAGTCATCGAGTGCATTTGCTGTTTGGATCTTTCAAGTCGCCACCAGACGCAAAGAGTCTAACCCCAGGGTTTTCTGCCATGTCGAGCTCTTCACCCCCATGGCCTGTGTTACTCATGTTCCACTGAAGGTTGACCCTGGCGGCTATCAGGTCTAGACTCGAAAAATACCCAAATTAGAAGGAAGAGCAGCGATCGCTGAACAACGCTGTAGAGCCTGGTGAACAGAACCCCCGTTTGTTCGGAATTTGAAGCAAAGCGCACAAGTTCAAAGTCAGTCTGATAACAGCCCGTACATACCAGTCCGTGGTTGAAGAATGTGCGAGCCTCGGGACTTGAACTGGTTCCACTGGTATGTGGACTGGCATTCAGGCGATCAGGTTTGCTTTCAGATCCAATCAAAAGCAACGACACTTATACTGTACAGTTATGCACTCGGAATTGAGTATTTCCGCCACATTCCAATGTGTCAATTCGACACCTTTGGAACTAAGAATATACTCAGATGACAGTTGACTGAAAGTTTAATACGACCATTTCCCAATGAACCTTGGAGAGATATTGTGATATTTGGATTGGACCGAATGAAGCTAATATGGCTAAATACAGGGAAAACTCTCACGAGGCTCAACATTGCCAGATACCGCATATTGCCACACTGCTCAAATGCTTTACTGCGCAGATTTGCGAAAGAAAGCTTATGAAACCGGGTAGCAGTGAGTCGATTCAAAGCAGTTGAGACCGCTACAGCAGTCAGAGTCGACGCTGCAAAATTGACCGACTGAGATCAAGTTAGCCTACATCTTCATATAAAATGAGTTCCACTTACAACCGGCGCAAGAGCGCTCCGTCAGGTGTTCACCGCTGATAGCAGCGGCGCTGCTCAAAGCGGCGAAAGCAGCGAGGAAGAAGATGGAGATGCCCTGCATTGTGAATGTCGAACGAGGTCAAGGGGAATGATGTAGAGCCAATTATAGGATGATTGGAGCTGTGAAAGATGTGATGATAGAACAATACCACCGGGATGAAGCAACATATTTATAATGTTTCGAGGTCCATTGCTCGGCTCTCTTGAAGCCTCGCGCCCAGGCTTGCTATACCACGGACCCCATCATATCGAGTCATAGATTTCACAATGCATTGGGATCGGCAGAGATCAGCAAAACGTGTGTCACATAGACTGTGTAGAGCCAGTCGGAACTGAAGGGGTTTAGATGGCAGTGCCGAGGAAGCCAGACTGATTGGACGGGCACTGGTTCATGCAGACCGGTGAAAGTCCGTTGTCCTGCTATCTTTAGTAAATCTGTACTATGACGTTTGTACCTGAACGAACGTCTCAAGAACGCAAATCTTTCAGTTTGACTCAGTGCCATTGTTTCAAGGACTTGGTTTATCAAGATATAGACCTGGCAGTCCTGTCGTGTCAATGTGTCAATAACCGCCAAATCTCTCAGGGTCTCAACATTCAGAAACGCCATTCAAGATCGTGTTATGCCAAGAGGATCTCCGCCCCCAAAAAGCCATATGCAGGGGCGAGGCTGTGGGGGCTTTGAACTTCCCTCCTATAGCCCCAGGGTCGCATTCTGCCCATCCTGCAAGGCTGTCGCGAGGCTGTACATGTGGAGTTGGTCCCTGAAACCCTGGAGCCTCGATCTCTGCGGCTCGGCAGTACGTCACGGATCCCCCCATCAAGAACACCAGAACCATATTCAAATACCTACTTTCGGATGTTTGAATAAGCAATATTGTTAACTAAGAAAAGGGAAAAAGAAAGTGCTCTAGTCAAGAGAGGGGAAAGAGATCTTCATTCCAAGTGGGCCGAGGCGTTCAATGCGGGGGATACATTCGAACATCGGAAGGATTCAGCGGATCTTGATGTTACATTGCAAGTTAGCCTTCACAGTACTAGAGGTTCCAGCATTGCCTTTACGAGAGAAAGCCGAGGAAACACCCGAGGTTATGAACAGCGAATTGATACTTTGTAATCTCTACTTTATTCCTTGTAAATCAACTCCAAAAAGCCTCTCAGCACGGGGTATGGAGCCAAAGTATTGCAAGTGATCAGGATATTAGTTTCATGGGCACAACTTTTACTACGAGGATGGGACATGGCATGACAAAGAAGCCTAACGGAAATAGATCGAAATTGATATTTTGGTACATGGACTTCTTTGTTTCGACAAGTATGACTTCTTTGATAGATGATGAACAACCTTGGAAAGTGGCTGAATTAATCCCAACCGAGATCGTTCGACTCATCTTGATCATTTCTCTGCTCTAAATTTGGTGACAGAAGCCTCGAAACGTCCAAATCCATTGTTCTATTATGATCATCTAAACTTAGCACCTCGCTAACCTCTGCAATGTAATATACAGGGAAATCTAGTTAAATACTGCGATAGGTTCGAATGTTTGCGGTCGTCCATACTCATGCTTCAGTGTAAAGCACTCGATCGATATCAAGATAACAACTCTATCACAGGAATCTTCCCCGCGAAAGACCTTACCTGAACAAACATTTCTACAATATGGTAGCAGAACAGTCTGCAACTACAGATCCATGGTACGGTGAATTCGAGTCTCGTGGCTCTCAGCGACAGTACTGGATTGAGAACGCACCGTCCAAGTCAGAGCAAAAATGCCCTATTGAGCCATCTACATTTCAGGTGGAGGACCTCGATGACGGATTCGAAGACACCTGGGGTGATGCACAGTATTTTCCAGCCGAGAGTAGATCGGTAACGGAAGAAGTCATGGGAATCAAGGCCCCTCCAACCGAGACATGGAAACGATTCGAGCGACTGAAGGTTGACCCGGTTGCAAAGCCAGTGCGAGATTCGAAACTATGGCACCTCCACTGCTGGGAAGGGAACATCGCGCCGGGCATCATCTTTATCGAAAACATGTTTCGACGACCTGGTGCGGGGCCTGAAGCTGGACCCCAAGCATCGCAGATGGCGCAGGCCGCTTATCAGTCGGCATTTCCCATCGACACCTTGAAACACATCATTTTCTGTGACGTGATCCACAAGGAGACTAAAAGATTTGTTAAACGTCACCTTTATGATGATTGCCTTTATGAGGACACGGGAATTGAGTGGCCAAGCGACCAACTGGTTGCATGGGAATACAACACCCCAGAATACAAAGGAATCCTTGGGACCAAGATTGGTGCTGTGGCGTCATGGATCTTGTTGGGAGCCTTTAAGCGGGGCACTCGCCGGATTTCGCAAATCTGCACCGTTGCACACTACGGTCGCTGTATGCTAATGCGATTTGATATTGAGACCATTGAGGCTGCTGTGCCTGCAAATGGCGTTCATCTGATGCCCGTGAGTGAGAAGACTGACAATAAGAGGAAGCGTGAAGGCAATGAGGATCTCAAGTCCATAAAACACCAGAAGGTCTGATTTTGGGGTCAGTGATATGTTTCCATGTTGTCTTGAGTTCCAGTCGGTGTATTTCAGATTCTTTGTCTCGTAAAATTGAGTCTTTCTGCTTTCACACGTAAGCATGAAGTGTCCTTGGGCCGTCATCTAGCAATGAATGCATTCTTCTCTCATAAAAAATAAATATTCATCGCCTTGAACGCTAAAGTCTGCAATATCATACTTAATACATGCTTGGTCCCATCCCAACTCCCAATACCCACAAACTGCTTATCCTATTTCGCCCCCTCCACGTCCTTCACCTTGCCCGAAAAATGACTTTCTGGTAGCATGTTCAGTGCATCCTCCTCACTGTCAGTTTGACGATCAGTAAACCAGAATCCCAGCCCTCCTACAAATGCCAGAATTGCAGTGATGCCATGGTTCCATTCCAACAACGGGTCATCGGAGAGTGCCACCAGAGCCTGACCCAATGCCGAGGAGAAGGCGGTCATGAACAGTGAAACGGCTGCAACAAGCGACCTCATATTATGCGGAGCTTTGGTGAATGCGTATTGAAGAGACGTAACCGAGGCAAAGATCTCGGAAATACCGCCCAGAACGTAGGGTACGGTCTGCACCCAAACTGAAATATTGGTATGCTTCCCTTCCACCTCCAAGCAGTGATTGACATCCTTACCATACGGTCCGTCGTTGTAAATGCAATGTTGAGTCACCGTCGCTGAGATCATCGCGCAGCCCGCCACAAAAAAGCCAGCCGTGATGCGCTTCAAGAAGTAAAGTCGAACCTCATGCGACGTCGAGCGGGATAGAAAAATCGGTCCGTGATGGGGAGCAGGATGATCTGGGTGATGGGATTCAGGTTACCGATAACATCATTTGGTACCCACCCAAAGACAAGGTGGCCGCTTGAGATGTAAGATTGTTCATCGCTTGGTTGTATGTCAGCCTTAAGGATAGTGTTATATGGTTAGCAACCTAAGGAGTCAATGCAAAGAAGGGTCCCTCACAGTACAGTTAATGCCAAAGGAACACCGCGCACGCTTTAAATCCACCCCGAAACTCATCTACCCAGGCATTGTCAAAGGTCATCCATCGAGGCTTTTCCGAGCCGAGCCGACTAGCTTGACGCTGTCCTAGAAATCACTAGAGGTAGTTCCGCTTTGCAGCCTTGGTCATGTCAGTCAAAATTCACGGGAATTTAAAGGGTTACACTCACAGCTTCATTGGATTGAGCGGCTATCGGCCTTTCATGGCTAAGTGCCATAGACGGAATGCTCGAGAGTAGACCGAGCCGCTTGGGGGAGCCCGATAGTAATAGTTTCGGCAAAGGAACATCACGGTTGGACACAAACAAAACATAAATGATGAGAGCAGGAATGATAGCCAGAAGCCAACATAGCGCTCTGCATAGACCATGCCGATCTGACCAAGAAGGGAGCCAACGTTGATCATCATGTAGAAGTAGAGGAAAACCCGAGAGATCGTGGCAGCTGAACCAACAATGATACGCTTCCTACTGGGCAAACCCCGAATGTAGGGCCTGTCTTCACGGTACTGCTCTGCAATGAGTGGGGATATGTTGTATCTGCAGAGTTTAGTAGGGGGTGAAATCCTTCATGTAGATTTCTTACTTGAATCCGCTAGTTCCGATGCCCATGACCACCAGACCAATTGAAGAACAAGCGATAGCACCTCTAGGGGTTCCAATAACACGGGAGATGGCGGAGATGACCAAAATCGCATGTCCCACAAGTGCTACTGCGAGAGAGGCAAAGATCATGCGGTATCGACCCCAGTATTGATCCGCAACATAGGCACCTGCCAGGGGCATGACATAAGACCAGAATTAACTAACTTCTGCTATCAGCCAGCTTCTCATGTTACTGGTTCGATTATATTACTTACAAAGAGTCAGGGCGGTTGAGGTACGTTGTCCCATGCCCAAAGCACCGGGAACATGTTCATTGAAATTTGTGCCAGTCGCCAACGCACCGGTAGTGGCGTGGGCAGGCAGAGGTCGCTGGATGAAGTTCACGATTGTATTAATGTTAGAATTCAGGGTACACCAGGGAGTCACCACACAGTCCTTGGGCTCTCACGGATGGCCGTGGTTCCATAATACGAGAATCGCTCGCATAGTTCCACGAATGCAATTGTGTAGGTGATCCATGAGATCTTTCCAGGGACTCGATGAAGGGTGCGTAGATTCTCCTCGTTGGGGTACTCCTTTTGCAGCGAGCTATCCACAATAGAGGCTGATGGGTTGTGACTGACTGAAGCTGGCTTCATGCTCGCTTCGTCAACTACAACTTCAGCAGGATATCCCTCACTCAGTTCATGCGACAGTGCCCTGGGCTTCATGATCTCGGCCAGGACAGTAAGGTAAGAAAGAATGGAGAAGGGGACAAGGAAGAAGGGAACGTGTTAAGGGAGTGAGCAAGAGTAAGTGAGAAAGAGAATACAGCTCTGATGCTTGGGAAAGGACGCGACTTTGGTTCCGTCACTTTCCCACTCTCAACACCACAAGAATCCTTTCTACCACCTCAAGTTCTATTCAAATTGAGAGATGTCGGGCAATTTGCTTAATTGGATATCCAGTCTCAGATAGCTGCCTATATCCAGCCATCGCTTGGACAAACCCTTGGTTGCAGATATATCCAACCACGCGACACACACCTGACTTATTTCACCATACCATATCCAAGGGTCTCAAGAGCTAAGTTGTAGCCAAGGTCATATCATTTGCATCAAACGGATGATCAATGATACTCTACCCCTTACCTTGGTGCTCACTGCGCCATTGACCCGTATGTTGCATTGCATACAAGATGCTTGAGTTTTGGCCCACAGTCTCTGGTGAGTGTACAAACGTTGCACCTGAGTCTCTACCCAACAATCCTTAGAAATGGAACACGATGTACATGCACCTCATGACCAAAGATTGCACTCGGAGAGCCGATGCGATACAGGCGGGGCAGCGTTTTCAACACTGGACCCAATCTCATACGGCACTGATCAACAACAGGGCATTATATTCTATTGCTTTGTCGAAAACATCTGATTCGGCTATGAGATGCTTTCTTTCCGAGGGCGGACCAGGTACTGTCGCAAATCTGCAAGCCAGGGTATTCCCATCATGTTCACTGCGTATTTCGTGCTTCGGCCTCTCGATTGCTTTTTGCGTTGCCTTCCAGCCCGTACAGCACGTCCTCCGACATGCCTGGAATCACCATGTCGAATGTCTCCTGGACGACGGTATACTGGTAGTATCCACAACGGGCGAGCGGTTTGGTCTTTCGAACATCCAGGAGCCCATCCGTCAGAACTTCGTCTTTGATGTGCACTGCCAGCACCCGGCCGATTACGATGTCCACGGTCCCCATGGGAGGATTACCGGGCAACCGGACCGTGGAGTGATATTCACATTCAAACTTCACTGGAGACTCCTGAACCATGGGAATATCCATCAAGGTAGCTCGCTCTTTGGTGACCTTGGCTCGCTCAAACTCATCCACGCCGTACGGGACCTGTTCCGCCGAAATGTTCACTGCGTTGCGCAAATCCCAGGTTGCCAGGTTCCAAACAAAGTGCCCGGTTTGCTCGGCATTCACTACCGTGTCTTTTCGTGTACCATCTACCTTCTGGTTGGAAGAGAACATCACATATGGGGGGTCGAATGTCAGGTTGTTGAATTGCGAATACGGCGCTAAGTTTGACTGCCCGTCCTTGTTCTGGGTGGAGATCCATCCGATCGGACGAGGCACAACGCATGCCTATGTCGATAGTAAGCATTGTTGCCAGAATTTCCTGGTCCATTTTTTCTTACCTTGAATGGATCATGGGTCAGGTTATGGTCGGTTATTCCTGGTTGGTAGAACATGTTGTGTGATTGATGTGCTCGAGTGGATGGTGCCTAGGGAGCCTACCCCTCTATTTGTATTTCATCGCACCCAAAAATCCGGGCTGGTGTGATCGACAAGCGTCATTTGAGTGCGTAGTAGCACCGCAATGATCGGCAATAATTTCGTCTTCACTCGGCATATGCGATTCTGAAACCCAGCGGAGGAAGCGCAGATCACTGCCGTATCAAACTTACAACAGTGCGGATGGCACTTGGGTCTCGGAGGCTCGGAGACTCGGAGGCTCGGATGACTGGGTCACGCTCAACGATGCGAGACCCGAAGCTGCGGCATACTAAGAAATAGGGACTTGGATTTTGCAGCAAAGCTTTGCGCCTGAAGTTAGCAGAAGTGACCCGATCCGATGTTGCCGGACCGAAACATCCTGAGGTATATAATTGATGGTCTTCCTGACCTTCCTAGTTAAACTGTAGTCTGTCACCAGTCCACATCGGCATCTACATACTTCTACATCTCCCAAAATTCACCTTCAGCTTTTCAGAATGGTTGCCAACGAACCTCACCTCTGCTTCCGATCTTTTGTTGAGGCTCTCAAGGCTGACAATGATTTGGTCGAGATCAACGATCCCGTTGATCCCTATCTTGAAGCCGCTGCCATCACCCGTCTTGTCTGTGAGACCGACGACAAGGCTCCCCTTTTCAACAATGTAATCGGGGCACAGAATGGCCTGTTCCGTATTCTTGGTGCCCCTGGCTCCCTCCGAAAATCCCCCAATGAGCGCTATGGCCGACTTGCCCGTCACCTGGCTCTGCCACCCACCGCATCGATGAAGGATATCCTCGACAAAATGCTGTCCGCCAGCGAAATGCCTCCAATTCCGCCTCAAATCGTCCCCACTGGTCCCTGCAAGGAGAACTATTTGGAGGAGAGTCAGATTGACTTAACCAAACTTCCCGCCCCTCAAATTCACCTTGCTGATGGAGGCAAATACATTCAGACCTACGGAATGCACATCGTCCAGTCCCCCGATGGGTCGTGGACCAATTGGTCAATTGCCCGCGCTATGGTCTCAGATGACAAGCATCTGACCGGTCTGGTTATCGAGCCGCAACACATTTGGCAGATCCACCAAATGTGGAAGAAGGAAGGCCGGGACGTGCCTTGGGCTCTGGCTTTCGGTGTTCCTCCTGCCGCGATCATGGCATCCAGCATGCCAATTCCAGATGGTGTCACAGAGGCTGGTTATGTCGGTGCCATGACCGGATCCGCCCTAGAACTGGTTAAGTGCGACACCAATAACCTTTATGTGCCCGCTACTTCCGAAATTGTCTTCGAAGGCACCTTGTCAATCACTGACAAGGGACCGGAGGGACCTTTCGGAGAAATGCATGGATACGTTTTCCCTGGTGACACTCACTTATGGCCGATGTACAAGGTGGACCGCATTACCTATCGTGATGATCCTATCCTACCTATGTCATCCTGTGGTAGGCTAACTGATGAGACTGTGAGTTCTATTTGTCACCCATTGCTACTGCTATCACTGACACATATCCAGCATACCATGATTGGCGCCTTGGCTGCTGCAGAGATTCGTAAAGTTTGCCAGAAGAGGGGTCTCCCTGTTACCGATGCATTCGCGCCATTTGAATCCCAGGTCACCTGGGTTGCTCTTAAGGTAGACACTGCTCGCCTTCGGGAGATGAAGACCAATTCAAAGGAGTTCTCCAAGAAGGTTGGAGATGTGGTCTTCAACCACAAGGCCGGGTACACCATCCATCGTCTGGTTCTGGTAGGTGATGACATTGATGTCTACAACGGCAAAGATGTCATGTGGGCCTTCTCTACCCGCTGCCGCCCCAACTTTGATGAGACATTCTTCGAGGATGTACGAGGCTTCCCACTTATCCCGTACATGTCCCATGGCAATGGATCACCCACTATGGGTGGTAAGGTAGTCTCAGATGCACTCATGCCGTCTGAATATACGACTGGTCAGGATTGGGTCGCTGCAGACTTCAAGAACTCATACCCCGAGGAGCTCCAGAAGAAGGTTTTGGAGAACTGGACTAGAATGGGCTTCCGGGACGAGTAATCTGCGCACAGAAAATTGATATGATATAGGTTCTGGCTTGCAAGGTTTCAAGAGACATATATGTAAATATAATTGTAACTTGTATCTTTAAAATCATTATTCTGTAATTACCAGAGTTTCTCAAAATAACTCTATGCTTAGAGACTTATCTGTCTTTTTGATTTTTGACTTCAAAAGAATACCTAAGTGACATTCTTTCTACGTTCTATACAAAGATCATTGACAATTGATGATGATTCGATGGTCAACATTCTCTCACGTGACCAACATAACGGGCCGACATCACACTTCCAAGAGTCATTAATTTCCCCTTCACCACTTCTTGATAGAATCATTGCTAGGATTGCCGTATAACGCGCATTCCTGAATCGATTCAGCTTGATGAAGGTCGCTCCTGAAGTGTTTGCAAAGATTGTCAAATCACGGGATCACCCCTCGGAAGCCTCGGCAGGATGAGCATTCGGCGCGATGAGGCAGACCGGGTTCTTCGATTGAAGAGCCGGGAGAGAGAGTCCCATGCATGTTATCCCTGTCGGAAACGCAAGGTTAAATGCGATGGAAACCAGCCCTGCCGGACTTGCCAGAAGCGAAAACACCCGCAAATCTGCGACTTTGACATTTCGGAGCATTCGAGGCGCAGGTCGACATCTCAACACCTCGCTCAACCAGCTTCATCGATAGCGCCCCAAGCAGTGACTGAAACTGTTGACCAAACTCCAATTCAGAACGATGATAGTTCAAAAATTTATGTCTACTCGGGGGACAACTCCGTGGTCTCAATCTTGCGCTCACGGGCATCGGATGCTAATGATTCCATGGCGCGGGAAGTCAGCTCTGTCTTAGGTCTCCAAAACACTTTCAACAGCTATCCATTTATGGACTCGAAAACTCCCTCAGAAAAATGGGAATCTTTGCTACAAGTTTTACCACAGCGAATGGAAATCTTGAAGTACGTGGCAACCTAATAGTATCGGATATCTACTAAGCAACAAATAATAGGTTTTTCCACTACTACCGGGTGACAGCATACCCATACAATCCAATCTTGGCAGATATGGATCGTTTCGAGGCTGACCTGTGCACATACCTCAATGCCCATGCTTCAGGGGAACTCAAGGACCCAGGGAAGATCACGGATCGATGGGCGACGGACAAATCCATTGGTCACATTAGCCTCTTACTGGCCACCTTGGCAGCAGGGGCTCATTATTCCGATGTGGAATATCCTCGGAGATTAGAGCTTGCAACGGACTTTGGTAATACTGAACGACCCGAGAGAAAGCTATTGCTGACGACCTCAAGCCCGCAGGTCGTTCCATGCTCTCCGTCTCGCGAATTTTCTCTTCCGACCTTCCCTGGATGCCATCCAGGCGCTTCTAATAGTCGGGAACACATTGCAGAACACGGGGCAGTCAGACGCTGCATGGGCGTTGCTCGGTACGACAGTTCGACTGGCTCAAACGATGGGGCTTCATACTGAAAGAAGCACTATTCACTGGCCTGAGTATGTACGAACAAAAGCTAGAAAGCTATGGTAGGTGAAACACGTTCTCGAGCCTTCTAATTACGCGTTAATATCCAGATAGGTCGACTGTCGTTTGGCAAGATAGCCTTCTCTGTCTCTGCTATGATCGCCCACCCATTGTTTCCGTGACAGGATGGTCATTTGACCACGCACGCTTTGAAAAAAATGACCTGTCCTATCCAGAGACTATGCACCTTATATGTCGTCTAGGACTGGACATTATGCGACCAGAAAATCTTGGCGTTACAGAAGTCGACAGAGCCATTGAAGGACTCCGAAGATTGGACAATCTCGGCCAGCGAAGTCAGCATTACTTGCGAAATCGGGAAAGTTGTATCACATTTCAACAGAATCTTGAGCATCTGGCACTGAGGATGCATACTTCATTTTGTATATCTGTGCTTTGCCGACCGGCCATGAAACAATCGCAGCCCCAGCCGCTCAATCCACAAGCCGATATACTTCGGACGCGCGCAAAGGCGGGCTTGATTGATGCATCCACGGCGTTCCTTGACTTCCAGGCTCTCAGTGTCGTTCCCTTGCGGAGCTGGTCGATGGTACATACAGTTCTAAGTTCTACTTTGCTTCTTTGCATCTGGGAAGAGACGCGCCATGACCCCGAGTGTCGCAGTCTGCAGCAACGGGTGATCGATGTATTTTCTTCATCGGATTCCAGGACTACAGAAGGGACTCCGTCAGAGAGCGACGGCCAGTGGTTGTCTGCTCGACACATTCGAGCCCTGATTACCCTCCGAAGTGCCTTGGACCGAGAAAGTGATAGGGCTACAAACTACCCCGAGGACCCGGGAATGGGATTCGAAGCTGCTCCGGGCGTCAACTTCAGCAATCAGGATGGCTACATGCCAGTGGAAATGTTGGATCCGTTCGGCATTTCACCGGTAACGTATCTAGACTCAATCATGAATGGTATGTCTTTCCCTCCCATCAATAACACTGCTAATTATTCCCAACAGTCCCCCTGTTTGACTTTACACAGGAGAATGGATTCCTATGACATCCCATGCTCGGCAGATGTGCAATCATTGCAACCCGGGTGATCGGCAATTACTGACTGCACGGTCGGATGAAACAAAAAATTTAACGCACTAGTACAACAAGACCTTTTTTTTATCTTCCAACAGTTACTCTTGAACAGTCTCCACCTCAAGAGCGGAAACAAGCACCCGGTCTCGCATGTTCTCGGGGCTCGGCATCGGGGCCTCGGAGGGCCAACTCGGGCCGAACGCGCAGCATTGAGTTGAACCGCAAAAGAATTCGTAGAAACCGAACGTGCCGTCTCCGAGATTGACAAATTGCCACTGTCTGTTATTTAACTAACAAAGGTGCCTGGCCAAGAAGCTCCTGCATCTCACAATATATACAGCCAAGCGTTTGAGAACGAACATCAACCACCACTTCAACACATCAACGTTTAAATGTTTTCTCTACTCTCTGGTACCAACACTCCTCAGTCTTCTCGTGCTTCTCCTACTGGAAGCCCATCTGATCCCACGATGAATTTCGACATATCCGGACAACATGCAGTTGCACCCGCATCAGCACCCGCTCCTACACACCAACTCACCCAACGCCGCCGCCGAATCGTAGTAGCTATGACCGGAGCCACAGGAGCAATTTTAGGAATCAAGGTCCTCATCGCACTTCGCCGTCTTAACATCGAGACGCACCTTGTCATGAGCAAATGGGCCGAAGCCACGATCAAATACGAGACAGACTACCACCCAGCCAACGTCAAAGCCCTGGCTGACCACACCCACTCAATCAACGACATGGCCGCACCGATCTCCAGTGGCTCATTCAAAGCAGATGGCATGATTGTCGTGCCGTGCAGCATGAAAACGCTCGCAGCGATTCACAGCGGATTTTGCGATGATCTGATCTCCCGCACTGCCGATGTCATGCTCAAAGAACGCCGCCGCCTTGTTCTCGTCGCTCGGGAGACCCCACTGAGTGATATTCATTTGCGCAACATGCTTGAGATTACTCGGAGCGGGGCCATTATCTTTCCCCCCGTGCCGGCATACTATATCCGAGCTGCCTCGGTGGAAGATCTGGTGGATCAGAGCGTCGGGCGCATGCTGGACTTGTTCGATTTGGACACGGGGGATTTTTCAAGATGGGAGGGGTGGCAGACGGAGAAATGAGCTAAAGGATCAGGCGTTATTGGGAATCGGGTTTAATCTGTTATCATCACATGAAGCGATATGTACAGTTGATACTACATTATGTCTCCACCGCGGCCACCCTTTCCTTTTCCAACTTCACGAACTTTCAAAAGGTTGAATCACGGAGATTTGACCTGAAGTAGAAACATCTGCAGGTCATGGTTTGTGAGTGACCGACTCCACCCGATGCTACGATCTTCAGCTCCACAAGGCCCCACTTCCCCAGGAACCTCCTGCATTCCTGCGCCATGCAATCCCTTGACGGGAAACCAGGCCTCCAGGCTTCATATCATGTCTTCAAACTGATTCTCTCTGACACGAGGTGACTTTCGGAAGTATATTGTGGCCGCCTAACTAAAAGGCCAACGACCACCAAGAGGATCAGCGAGGCCTGAAACCTTGCATAAGCCTAACGGCGCCTAGAATCGCATGACCAACTTTCCGGTGAATATTCCGGATTCAGTCGATACCAAGGGAATACCCCGCGCTAGGAACGAGAAATTGAGTTACAATCTTTACGATCAACCGAGGAAATGAGGGAGCACATGTTGATTCCTGGGGAAGATGAATACTCCATCCTTGATGTTGACTGACAAGGGCACTGGTGAAGATGATTTAAACCAGCCCTTCGGTCGTTTCGGTCGCTCAGACTGGTAAGCTGCAAGAACCGGAAATCTAATATCGACCATGCTCTTTCAACTGTTCCTCCTGGTGGTGCCGGCCCTGGCTGCTCCAGCTCTCGATAAGAGAGCCAGCGCACCCACAGTCAGTATTTCCCACCCCCAAGCTACCATCATCGGATCAACATTAGGCAACATTGATACCTTCAATGGGATTCCATTTGCTCTTGCACCGACGGGATCTCTCCGACTCAAGCCCCCTCAGGCAATCGCAACTTCACTAGGAATAGTGAGAGCGACAGGGACAGCCATGTCCTGTCCCCAGTTCTACTTTTCAACAAGTACCAGCGATTTCCTGTTATCTATCGTAGGTGAAATCGCCGATATCCCGTTATTTCAAACTGTCACCAATGCTGGTGAAGACTGTCTAAATCTCAATGTCCAACGTCCTTCGGGTACTGCAGCTGGCGCAGGTCTCCCGGTCTTGGTATGGATATTTGGTGGTGGTTTTGAACTCGGCTCCACGTCAATGTATGATGGAGCATCTATTGTTGCCTCCTCGGTGACGATGAATATGCCAGTCATCTTTGTGGCAATGAATTATCGTGTGGGTGGCTTCGGGTTCATGCCCGGGTCGGAGATTCTCAAAGATGGTTCAGCGAACCTGGGTCTTCTGGATCAGCGCCTGGCTCTGCAATGGATTGCGGACAACATTGAAGAATTCGGTGGAGATCCATCGAAGGTGACTATCTGGGGTGAATCGGCTGGTGCTATCTCGGTCTTTGATCAGATGGCTCTATATGACGGTAACATCACCTATAATGGCTCTCCACTGTTTCGAGGGGCAATCATGGACTCCGGGAGTGTTGTTCCGGCAGATTCAGTCGATGGAGCGAAGGGACAAGCAGTTTACGATGCTGTAGTCAAGCAGGGAGGCTGCAGCGAAGCAACGGATACACTCGAGTGTCTTCGGGGTCTGGATTATACGACTTTCCTCAATGCTGCCAACTCAGTACCTGGAATCTTGTCTTACAACTCCATTGCCCTATCCTACCTCCCTCGACCCGACGGGACCGTTCTTACTGATTCACCAGAGGTCCTAGTTGCAGACGGCAAATACGCCTCCGTGCCATTCATCATCGGGGATCAAGAAGATGAGGGAACTATATTCGCTTTATTCCAATCCAGCATTATCACGGAGACAGAAGTAGTCGACTATCTGCAAGATCTGTTCTTTGCCGATGCCTCGCGAACACAACTTGAGGATTTAGTTGCAACTTATCCCGACATAACAACTGATGGCTCTCCATTCCGAACCGGAATTGCCAATAACTGGTATCCCCAGTACAAGCGCTTAGCAGCCATTCTAGGTGACCTGACCTTCACTTTAACCCGGCGCATATTTCTCACGATTGCCAACCAAGTTAAGCCCGATGTTCCCTCCTGGTCCTATCTGTCGTCATACGACTATGGCACTCTCCTCTTGGGAACATTCCATGGTTCGGACATTCTGCAAGTCTTTTATGGGATCCTGCCAAATTGGGCATCGAAGGCTACGCATGCGTACTACTTCTCATTCGTTTACGACTTGGATCCTAACTCCAGGGCCACGAGCTATATGGATTGGCCACAGTGGAGCACGAATCAAAGCTTAATGAACTTTTTCAGTGATCATGGAGCTCTCCTTGCTGACAACTTCAGAGAGGACACTTTTGACTTTCTCAAGACAAATGTCGCGTCTTTTCACATCTAGGCTGGACGGATAATTATGAGTTCTACATATGGATCTACGGAGGTTATGATAACGAATACCCTTAACATCAATTTTCCTGCCTGATACCTGTTTATCCATGAATGTACTATCTCCAAGTCGCCGTGACAGTCGCGGTTGCACCTGCGCAGCCCGTTGGAACTGTGTAGGACCGGTTTGGGTCACTCTCCCATCCAATAACTGACGATCCATCCGTCTTCTCGAGGAACTTGTACTCGAAGGCTGTTCCCACTGGAAGGGTGACAACGACATACCACACTGGATTGGAAGATGTGTAATCAGCGGCTGATAAAGCGATAGCATCATCTGTATCCCAGTCTCCGAGTGCGCTGATGGAGCCTGAGATATAAATGTTCTCGCCCCAAGTGGTGGTGACAACTTCCTCAAAGCGCACTGGTAAAGCAGTGGCTTGAGAACATGTACTAGTGGATGTCTTGGAAGTTGTGGTCGTACTGGTGGTCAACTTTGCAGTTGTACTCGTGGTCGTTGTGGAGGCTTTGGTCGTAGTTTCAGTGCCTGTGGTGGAAGTGGAGGTGGAAGTTCCACAGAGCCCACTGCCAGATACAGAAGAGGACAGCATGAGGACACGGGGTAGACCAGATGCCATTGGAACAGCAATGTTTCCACTGGAGTCGACTGTCACGGAAGTGCAAGTGTACATCTCCATTAGCACGGTGCCCGACGAATATCCACTCCCACTGAGGGAAAGGGTGTATGAGCTCCCGCTCGCACCATAATTTGAGAGTACAGTGATGACTGGCGAGCTACTCGATCCTTTTTTCATGGCTATAGTGTTGCTATCTTGGTAGAATGGGGCATTCTGGGACGAGTTAGCTGCCATTCGGGCGAAGATCGTCGGTACATACTAGTGTAGTGATATAGGAAGAATCTGCAGATATCGCGAGAGTCCGGATTTTGTTTGTCGCGGCAATGTATTCGTACAGCTCTGCAGTAGTAGAGTATCCAGATAACCAAGTGGCTTCACGATTGTCAGGATCGCTGCCCCCGTCGTAGTGTTGCTCTTGTCCTGCATAGATGATTGGGATGCCATCTGACAGGAAGACGAAGGAGATCACATTTTTAGCCTGTGAGTAATCATCAGTGTAGCTAAGTTTTATCAGCTTCTGATCAGATTCCTGAAGGGATGATAGTATACATACTAGGCAAATCGAGGGTTATCATGGTTTTCGATAAAATTCCCCAGAAGAGTGGGATCGGCGCAGTCTGAGGCAACTGAATTGATCATGTTGTATAAATCACTTATGCTACCACTTGAGTCCTCGAATGCATAGAGAAGTTGGTAGTAGCTACCTTGATTAGCATATCTCACCCAATTTTCAGGGCCAACTCACACTGGGTAATTCAGCACACCATCCAAGTAGTTCTGGTATGGACAAGTGTAGGCTGGGTCCCCATCAAAGACTTCACCGACACAGTAGACGCCTGCAGCATCATTGTAGTCAGGCCAGAATGATTCTTGAACATGTTTAACAGTGTCAATTCGCAGCCCGTCAACTGATTTATGTTAGCAGTGAGACAACACACATGAGTGGATGCATACTGGAGTAATTGGAGACTAAATCTGCGACCCAGTCATACCAGATTGTCTGTACCGATGTCAGGTCTGTGTTGAGATCTGGCAAAGAGACAGTGGTATCTCCCAGCCAGCAATCTTCCACGTTGGTTTGGTTATCATAGTTGCTGATGAGGCAATAGGAATGAAAGTAGGATGACGAGTCGAATGGATCAAAGACACTGTAGTCTACTGATGTGCCTGCTCCAGCATAGCCCTGGCGATGTGTCAGTCATTGGCCGATGAATATATTTTGGACGATCTTACCATATGATTCGCCACGACATCCACCATCAGATACATTCCTCGATCGTGCAGAGCGGTCGACAACGCCAACAGATCATCAGCTGAGCCATAGTTTGTGTTGACATCGTATCTACAAGTATTAACCCCCGATGATCATGAGGATCTATGTTCTTACATTTTCTGCTGCCAGTATCCATGGTATGCTTCGCCATCTCCGGTATCTGCGGACAGCTGCTCGGTCACTGGTGTGATCCAAATGGCTGTGAAGCCCATGCCTTGGATATAATCCAGCTGTGTAAGAACCCTGTCAGTATTAGCACAAGAAGTATCGGAAGGAAGCTTACTTGATTGATGATGCCTTGCCAGCTGCCTCCACAATATATCTGTACCAATTAGCCATTGTGATGACTAGAGATAAGAAGTCCTACCCGGTCTGCAACATCGCATGCTGCAGTGGTCGAGCTGTCCGTCCGACCAAAGCGATCAGTCAACAAAAAGTAGATGGACTGGGTACGCCATTCCGCAGGTGTCAGGCCCACGGCCACATTCGCGAAGAGCGCTGTGATCCAAGCGAGTTGCTTCATCAAAGCGACAGATTGAGGGAAATTCAACGTTCGAAGTCAATTTGGAACGCAGCTTAGGACATTAGCTCGGCATCTGCAAGTCAGTTTATACCGTTATTCTCCACATAGAACCAAGCAATCTCCGGCATTCATCACATACATCCACTGCCTGCGGAAGCCTGTCGGACGAACGAACCAATCGCTCTCCAGCATGCGTCTCGTGCAACCTGTTCTGTGAACTGCCTTGGAAGGGACAGCATGGCTTGCAGCCTGAAACTTCTTCAACCCCGTTGCCCAAACCAACTTGAGGTTAGATCTCAGCCCAAACAGGAAAGGATCGCAGTCGGTAATTAAGTTTCTGTGAGGGACGACACTAGTGCCGGACGCAAGTCTTCACAAGGTTCTCCTACGCGGGGATTCTTCACGGCTCCACCTTCTTCAGTGGCCAATGTGCGTTGGCGCTGGACGTCGTTTCCCCTTCACATGTCGATCGCATCAGTTGCCAAAACGCCTCTGTCGTAGCCGAAGAGGACGGGGTCAGGGACGGAGGTGATTGAAGGCGTTCATTGGTGGGCGTAGCGCCAAGTCCTGCGGGGTTCGGGACTTCTTGTCGACAGGGGACGGAGAATCTACGGGGAGTGGACGGAGACATGGCGTAACCAATTTGAAATTCCAAGCGGAGGCCAGGCTTAGCTGAATGTGCACAGAGTGGGATGGTCGGGAATACCGAGATCATCAGGTTCTGGAACTGTTCTGCGGAGAAAAGGTTAACAAAGAAGTGGGGAAATGCCCATCGTTACTGGACGGGGTAATGATGTACCACTGGAGAAGATGTACTCGGTACTGTATATTGATGTTCATTCAAAGAGATCACACTCCAATCTAAAGCGGAATGAAGAGATGAGGTCGCAAATCAGGTGTTGAGGAAAGAGGATCTCCGCTTTGTTGCATATCTCCACCCGGTCAGTCCGAGTCACCCCCTGCAATGTGATTGCCAACTTAACCGAGCCCGTTCAAACGACATGGGAAATGATATAAAAGACTCATCTCTCTGGATCAGAGAGAGGCCAGAACCTTCAAAATTCCGAGTCATGGCTTCTCGTATCTTGACTGCGCTATGCGCGCTGACTTTGGGCCACACAGCCATGGCCATCCCTCAATGGTTGGCGCCGCGAGCAACCACCAGTGTGTCGAGCTGGTTGGCCACTGAGACCACTGTCGCTAGAGCAGGCATCCTCGATAATATTGGATCCGCGGGCGCATATGCTGGGAGTGCAGACTCCGGCATCGTCATTGCCAGTCCTAGCACGGATAGTCCTGATTGTGAGTACAAGTCCGGCAGAGATGAGGAATATCAAAGTGACTAACAGGAGCAGACTATTATACATGGACTCGTGACTCGGCTTTGACGTTGAAATGCCTGATCGATCTGTTCAAGGACGGCGACACAGACCTTCTCGACGTGATCGAGGAGTACATTGACGCTCAGGCATACATTCAGACCGTTTCCAACCCATCCGGTTCTCTCTCTGCCGGAACTGGACTTGGTGAGCCCAAGTTCAATGTTGATGAGACTGCCTATACTGGATCCTGGGGACGTCCTCAGCGTGATGGCCCTGCTCTCCGTGCTACTGCGCTGATTGCCTTTGGCCAGTGGTTGGTGGTAAGTCATCACCCCTCTTGCTGCTGATGATGTTGCTGATGACGCAGTAGAGCAATGGCTATACAACAACGGCAACGAATATCGTATGGCCGATTGTCCGCAATGATCTATCCTATGTGGCCGAGTATTGGAATCAGACAGGATATGGTAAGACCATTATTATCTAGCCAATTATGGCAAGACTAATCATCAATCAATATATAGATTTGTGGGAGGAAGTTTCTGGGTCCTCTTTCTTTACCATCGCTGTTCAGCACCGTGCTCTGGTGGAAGGCAGTAAGTTCGCCGCCTCAGTTGGCTCGTCTTGCTCGTACTGCGACTCCCAGGCCCCTCAGGTCCTCTGCTTCCTGCAGTCCTTCTGGACCGGATCATACACCTTGGCCAATTTTGGCAGCAGTCGCACGGGCAAGGATGCCAACACCCTTTTGGGTAGCATCCACACGTTTGATCCCGAGGCAGCCTGTGATGACACCACTTTCCAACCGTGCTCTTCTCGTGCATTGGCAAATCACAAGGTTGTGACGGACTCTTTCCGGTCTATCTATACCCTAAACTCTGGTATCAGTGCTGGAGTGGCTGTGGCTGTCGGTCGGTACCCCGAGGATTCGTACTACAATGGAAATCCCTGGTTCCTTTGCACCCTCGCAGCGGCTGAGCTCTTGTATGACGCCTTGTACCAGTGGAATCGTATCGGTTCCTTGACTATCAACAGTGTGTCGTTGGCTTTCTTCACCGATGTGTACAGCTCAGCCGCCACTGGTACCTATTCCTCATCCAGCGCGACATACTCGTCGATCGTGAGTGCCGTGAAGACCTACGCAGATGGATACGTTAGCATTGTAGTAAGTGACGGTTTCCCCCCATGCAATGACCTAGATAACTGACGCCATGTAGGAGAAGTACGCTTCCAGCAATGGATCAATGTCGGAACAGTTTGACAAGTCCAGTGGCTCGCAACTTTCGGCCCGCGATTTGACCTGGTCCTACGCGGCCTTGTTGACCGCGAACTTGCGCCGTAATTCCGTCGTCCCCGCAGGATGGGGCGAGACCTCTGCTAGCAGTGTTCCGGCCACCTGCAGCTCAACTTCGGCCATTGGTACCTTTAGCTCTGCGACTAACACCGCGTGGCCCACCACCTTGACCAGTGTATCTGGGTCGGCAACTACGACTGCCACTACCACCGGCACCGGGACCACAACCGCGACCACAACCGCGTCCACATCTACTACAAAGACGAGCACGAGTACCTCATGCAGCCTGCCTACCGCAGTCGCTGTGACATTTGATTTGATTGCGACCACTACTTACGGAGAGAATATCAAGATTGCTGGCTCCATCGCCGCGCTTGGCGATTGGGACACTGATGATGCCGTCGCTCTTAGTGCCGCTGATTATACCGATAGTGATCATCTCTGGTTCGTTACTCAGAGTATCCCGGCTGGAACCGTTTTTGAATATAAGTACATCCGGGTCGAAAGCGATGGAACCATTGAGTGGGAAAGTGACCCGAACCGTTCCTACACTGTTCCGGCTGCTTGTGCCACGACGGCTGTGACGGAAAGTGATACCTGGCGGTGATTAAGCTTCCTTTCATGGCATTTGATTCAGGATGGACAGAATTTAGGGATTGTCATTAGTTAAACGTAAAAAAAAAAAGAGAGACTTACATTGCCTGTTTTGGAGTAATTCCTGTTCCTTCGCAGTGTCGCTGTATTAAGTGGAATATATCCACATGTGCAGGTAGGGAGTGCAAGTAACGACCGGAAAGCATTGGCAACAGTATATATGGAGTTTATTGGTATATGCTATGTTCAAACATGACAAAGAAACGATAATTGAAAGTAATGTTGAGCTTCCAAGGTTTAGAGTTGATGATGCCGAATGAACAATCCCAAGAACGCGGCTAAAAGAGAGCACACGAGCGAAAGCACTAGCAATATGTTAGAGCCTTCACTCTGTTTGGATGAGAAAACAACTTACCGTAAGTGCTCTTAAGACCAGAAATATAACATTCCACAACAATTTCCCTAAGTCGACCACCGAGATGCGCGATATAGTTGGTGTCATCCATGGCACGTTTAATAACCTATCCTCGTTAGCCAAGATCAACAGGGAATATACCGGTAGAATACATACCCTCTCCGATCCAGGGCCATGCAGGTTGAGACGCAGCTGGCGCTGGAACTCCATTCCCAATACCGAATTCGATGTCGTGACACCGGCCGTCATGGCAAAACTAAGCAACAACATATATCCGGCTGTCGCCATAGCCACCTCATCCGGAGGTAAGGTCGCAGTCAACGCCACGAAGGCAGCTGCAGAGGCAATTCCGGTACCTATGCCACCGGGGATGATGTATAGTGATTCCCAGAGACCGGTGTGTCCATCCCAACGCAGATAGAGGAGGACATAAGTGATGGATGCGATCAGCCCTGCCAGCACCAGGAGAATGCGGTAAGAACCGGTCTTTCGAATAAACCATCCAGCAAAGAGGCCACCCAAGGTATTCCCGACCACTGCAGGGACGAGATGAACGCCGGCCGCGGTGGTGGACGCTTTCTGGGTGACTTGAAAATACAGTGGGACGGAGAATAACATGCCGAGCTGGGCGGTGATCTGGAGGGTGCTGAGCATGTAGCTAACGGCCACATTGGGTCTGCGCAGGATGCGCAAGTTGAAGATGGGCTCTGTGGCTACATATGCCTCGACTAGGACGAAGGCAACCAGCAGCAGGAGTCCGCTGCCGCCGATGACATATGTCAGCCATGAGGTCCATGGGAAGACCTTTCCTCCTTGGTCTAAGAGACCAATCAGGGCGACAATGCCCGATGCGAGAAGTCCTGTTCCCAAAAAGTCGACTTGGCTCAGTCTCGATTTCCCGCTCTTCAACGCGTCGGTGTCTTGTGTCACATGGAGTTTGAGAATGACCAGGAACGCTGCAAGGGCCACGAATGGAGCTTGCAGGAGGAATAGCCTATCAAAAGTTTCACGTTAGGGATCAATCTCCTCAATTTTGCTGGAAGGATGGTTCATACCATCGCCAGCCAATTGTATCGCTCAGCCAGCCTCCCACAGGGCCGCCGATACTGCGGCCAAGAGTCATGGAAATATTCACATAGGCTCTCCACGTCGCGACTTCACGTTTCGGAACAATATCTGGGGATATTAGCGAGGTTTCCATCCATCCAGAGCATAATCCCATACCGGTGATAATAACCGAGCTGATGGTCATTGTCCCCGCACCACCCATGCCACTGATCGCGCGTCCCAGGATGACGATCCACATCTGGGAACCAACACCACTACCGTTTATTAGCAACTGCGTTCTTCATTTTGAAGGTCCTAATTGCTGCGCCACATACCTGATGATACATCCCAAGGCAAAAAAAAAAGTATGAGATCAAAAGGAGTGGTTTGCGACCGTAGATATCGCTCAGTTTCCCGTACTATTGCGATCAGCGCCCGCTCCTCTCTCTTCCCCTTCTTCACTCACCATGGGTTGTGCGGCGCAAAGACCTAAGGAATAACCTGTTGATAACCAACTTGCATCGCGTAACCGATCGAACTCCGAGGAAATGCGGCCGGATGCCGCGATGACCAGTGTCGCGTCGGCATTAGAGATGAATTCGCCTAGGAATGTTAGGATAGTATCGGGACATGGGAAATCTGTTTCTCTTACCCAGTAATAGTACCGCAATGATAGTTCCGACGCCAACTAATGGTTTGAATTTGGAAATGGAGGTTTCTGAGGATGAAAGTAAGGGGCTTTCTTCGTCGCGGATGGTTTGTTCGGTCCCGGAGGTTGTCTCGGCCGTGCCATAGTTCCGGTTTACCATGATATAGGTGTATCAAGGCGACCTGAAAATAATACAATCGAAATCAAGATGAACTTGAACTTACCAGATCACCTCGGCTGAGCAAGGAAGACGAAGCACGGTCTTGGGAAAGAATGAATCACTCCTCCAGGGACTCGCCAGTTATGAGCCTCGACCAGGGTATTCTGACGAGCCATTGCGTTATATGCTAACATAGCCGTTAGGAGCGTGAAGCTCGCTAAATGTCGTGTTCAAACCAATGAAAGGGCTTCTGGGTGTGTTCTCATCGTGGTTGCGAAGCACGCCATATGTACACAAAGATCCACTTTATAGATGCGGATAACACTGTAAAGAAGTGCTAATGAATCAGTGTAGTATCTAGCACTTGGACCTTATGGAATGGGATTCCAAAATGTATGTTTCAATAGCAACCTTGGAAACTTTAAAATAATATTGCAGCTCGACGCTTGGTAAACAATTGATCGATCGGTTAGTTCGTACCCAGATGAGATGTGGAGATGAAGCCATAAGAGCCACCGATGGCATCATCAATTCTCCACCTCCGGATCTATAGGGTCGAGATCTCGGTTAAAGAGCCGGTGTCGCCTCTAGATGTCTTGTCAATGATTATTGTGTACAAATTTCAAGACCTGAGTTCTGAAGCCATGGTCATTTCCAAGTTTGGAATTGATTGAACAAAATTGTGTCCGACATTGTGCGCAATTGACACGAGATATATGTTAACATCCATGGATACTGAGCCGAGTGAAGCTGCTCAGGTAGTTATTTCCAAGACCTCGGACTGATTTTTAGGACGCCATGACCACTGCTTAAATTCCCAATCGAATAAAGAAAAGATTATATGGCAGTGAAACAGGACGAATTGCAAATTTTCATGTACTACAGACCACAGTCATGAACAGAGACGATCCCAACAAGCCAAACAAGCCAAACATGAAACCCAATGGCTGACAAATCGGCTCACGTGCATTGATGACTGTCGCGGTGTTAAGAGTGCATGTCCCCGTGTCAGCTTTTTAAAAAGTGGATCATGGTACATTCTACACCATGTCATATAAGACAATTTACAATTTGATGTGGATATGCACACCGGTATCGAGAATCAAGCTTTCCCCAATCACGTCGCCAATGGCAATGCCATGATGTCGGGGCGATTTTTCTAACCGGGCCTTGCTCAGTAATCATCGGGAGGCGGGTCTTCATAAACTTTTATGCCGAATTGTGTTCGTGGAAACATGACTTGCCACGCGGAAGAAAAACCTGACATAGAAATCCCGGAAATGCCGATCCGTGGGCCGAGTCAGTCGAACGGCCATCGAATCTTGCAGAACAACCTTAAATCCGATCGGGAACTTCTATTGTCATCAAGGGCATTGATGACAGAGATATCCGATGGAACGGGACTCCAGGCGTTTCATCAATCAAATTGGCCATCTGTCATCAACAAGAATTCTTGTGTGTGGCAAACAGAATGGCTGTTCCAGATAACGGACATAAAATGGTGTTAAGGCCGTGATGACATGCCCATCGGTGGTTCAAGTGGATCCATTCTCTGACCAAGCAGTCCATCCACAGCAGAACCAAAAGAGGAGCCCTCAGAGAAATTTGCAAAGCTGGCTCGGAGGATGACGTTGAATGGTGGAGACTGGTATATAAGAGAAAATGCTTGTCCAAGGACCAGAAGATCAGTTTCGAGCTTCAATTTGATTCTATATACACACCAGCACAATCACCATGGGTTCAACCGATTACAAGTTTGAGGGCTGGATGGGCCTGGACAAGGAGTCTGCCAAGGGCAAGATGGTCTGGCAGCAGTTTGAGCCCAAGCCGTGGGAGGAGACGGATATCGATATGCGTGTTACCCACTGCGGTATCTGTGGATCGGACATGCACACTCTGCGTAGCGGATGGGTATGTGCACCGCCGAAGGAGACGGAGGGAGATAGTGAAAGATGAAGACACTAACAACGATCAGGGACCTACCCAATACCCCTGCTGCGTCGGACACGAAATTGTCGGTGTCGCCGTTCGCGTCGGCTCCAAGGCCGAGGGCAACATCAAGGTCGGTGACCGCATCGGCGTGGGTGCTCAGAGCGCTTCCTGCCTGAACAAGGATGGTGACTGTGAGGCCTGTGCCTCCGGCCTGGAGCAGCACTGCAACCGCATGGTGGGCACATACAACGGTACCTTCGCCAACGGCGGCAAGTCCTTCGGTGGATACTCGCTATACAACCGAAGCCCTTCCCACTTTGTCGTTAAGATCCCCGACGCCATTTCCTCGGCCGATGCTGCCCCCATGCTCTGCGGAGGTATCACCACATACTCCCCCCTGCGACAGAACGGCTGTGGACCCGGCAAGAAGGTTGGAATTATTGGTGTGGGTGGTCTGGGCCACTTTGGCATTCTGTTCGCCAAGGCTCTGGGAGCCGATCGCGTAGTCGCCATCTCTCGCAAGGGCAACAAGAAGGATGATGCGTTGAAGCTTGGTGCGGACGCTTATATCGCCACGGATGAGGATGAGGACTGGGTCAAGAACAATGCCCAGTCCTTGGACCTTATCATCTCCACGGCATCTTCCTCCAAGATGCCCATGCTGGGTTACAGCCAGCTGCTGCGGACTCGTGGAACATTCATCCAGCTCGGTGCCCCCGAGGATGGAGGCCTTGAGATTCCTGCTTTTGCTTTGATTATGAAGGGTATGAAGCTCGGTGGTTCAATGATTGGTAGCCCCGATGAAATCCGGGAGATGTTGGAGCTTGCTGCCGCTAAGAACATTAAGCCTTGGGTCGAGGAGCGGCCGATGAAGGACGCCAACAAGGCCATTCAGGACATGGATGCTGGAAACGCCCGGTACCGCTATGTTCTGGTGAATGAGCAATAGATGTCACTGGAGCTGGCGTTAAAAGATAAAAAGGAAGGAGTTTGAATAGATGAACAGTTATATGAAGCGATAGATAAATGAATGATACTTCACATTGCCTGATTCACATTTGCTTAGTATCATTTCCCGTGAGTGTATTAGTCAACCACGAGAAAACCTCAAGCATTAATATCTATACTCTCCCTCCACTCTTTAACTCCCTCCACCTCCAACCTCCAACCTCCTGTCTTTCAACCTTTCAACCACACTGATACTTGTTTGGTCAACACTCCACGATGGGTAGCGATAACCAAGTAAACGAGCACACCTACAACGGCTCTGGCACCAACAGCCAGGTAAGTGATACTTAGACCCGAGGTGGAACAGACTGACGTTCTGACGATCCAGGGCAACCACTACTGTACCCGAGACTACGGCTCCGGTGCTTCCAACAGCAATACTTATCACTACTACAACCAGTAAGTGTCGCTAAAGTGCGTTGAAGTGAGAGCCGAGACCCCACTGACATTTTACATAGGAATTGATCATACTACTACTCCAACTCTGACGGTAGCACCTACTACAACAATAGTCAGGGCGAGGCCACCTACAACCCGCCAGCTTCGTCCAGCTCAGGCAGCTCAGGCAGCTCAGGCAGCTCAGGCAGTTCTTTCAAATCAAACGACCAGAAGTGATAGCCTCGCATGCATCATGACCGAGCAGAGTTGATCTGCCAAGATTTTGCTTTTTTGACTTGAGATGTGAAGGATGACACGGGAGAGGGACTGATCACAAGACCTGGCGGTTATCGGGATTCATGTATGCTTGAAGAGATAGCCAGGCTTGAGATCCATGACCTTATTCTAGGTTTATTTGCAAAATTGAATTCGTGTAAGCGGGCAAGTTCATTGGCTGCAGCTCGACAGTTCATATCTGTCAACCCCGCACTTTCGGATGTGGAGATATCAGCGATTGGCATGCTTATCACCGTCGGATCGGAAGTCGCCGATAACAATGCGGTAAAGCCGTCGCGTCGATAACTCTCTCTCATTCCTGGATTTGACTGAACCCGAGAAACGCCTTGATGCACGCTGCAATACCCCCTAGTCGAGTCTGTGCTCGTTGCGCTCAAATTGTAAGTCGGCTGGAGTCAGGAGCCCAAATCGGCGCTAACAAGATAGAAACAACGTTGCGATGGTGGTCTGCCTTGCTCCCGGTGCAAACGTACGTCTCCGTCTCCCGGTTGATAGCCAATTGAAGAAAAGAGGCTGAGGTGACTAGGATTGGGCCATATTTGCAAGTCCCGAGTACCAGTGGAGAATATGGATCCCTCACGCGGAACGATGGGGTCCCGACGGCCCCGAGCATCACGATCCCGTGGCGGTTGTCTGTCATGCAAGTCAAGGTAGATCTAGACCAGTGGATCGGTGACAATGCTTGCGTGGGACCTAACTCTAATCAATCGATCGACCGATAGGAAAAAGAAATGCGACGAGAACCGCCCTCGATGTACGGATTGCCGCCGCTTGAATTTATCCTGCCAATGGCCATCCAAAGGCACATCAGTGGCTAGTGATGGTGACTCTCCGGGATCTTATGCGACGGGCTCAACGGATATGGATCCGATCGACAGCACCGACGGAGATCCGCTGACTTGCGATTGGAGCACACCTGATAACGACGAGGAGTTTATCGCCTCGCTTTTCCCCCATTCGTTGTCGAGGCAGACTGTTCCAACCTCGTCTATTGGGTTACCGATCTCCACAAATCCACATTTACGTAGTGAAGAAGATCGTTCACTCTTTAATCACTATATCCATGTGGTCTCGCGTGCGCTTTCCCGATCTCATGATTCCGATCGGAACCCATTCTTGGTGACACTCTTGCCCTTGGCCGCCACATCGGATACCGTCACCAGCGTGATTTTGAGTTTGAGTGGATGTCATTGGAAGCGGGTTTACCCAAGTATCTGGGGCTGCGCGTTGAGAAGACAAGGCCAAGGTACTATTCTTGTATTCCATCATTCTTGTGTAGGCTAATCATTTCTAGCATTGGCTCAAGTCAACAACCTGCTTGGTCAGTCAGATAGTCGATGTATTTTTGAAGCGTGCGCCACCGTGCTTCTGCTCTGTTTGACGGAATTATTTGATGGGACGTCCCGAGTATGGAAATGGCATCTCAAAGCGGCCAGTGCCATTCTGAAATCGCCTGCTTTCCAATCTCTGATCTCGGGCGATGAATGGACATTTTGTATCAGCCTGTTCCATTACCTGGACTCCATGTCGACTATCTCTCGGTGCAAGCCTCCCCTTTTACACCCTGGAGCCAGCATGACTGAGCTCACTACTAGTTTTCGTCGGAGCAGTGTACCAGAGCTGGAATATGGTCAGTCAACCACGGCCATTTATGGAATCTCTCCAACCCTCTTTGACTATTTGGGTATGGTCAATGTACTGGCCAATCACCGAAGTAAAAGGGTCGACGAGCTCTCCGAAATTGGCTTCAGAGCAGCAGCGACAAACGTGGAGACTCGAATCGACGAGTGGCGGGCGGATCATGACCAGATGGCGAAAAAGGAGTTAGATACGGAATTTGCAACCACTGCATTTGAATGGGCCATTCGCCTTCGTCTACATCAGGTGGTGGAGGGCTATGACCCACTGCATAGCTTCGTTGAGAAAGCGATCGTGACCATTCTGGATGCCGTACAAGAAATACCCTACGCCAGTCGGGTCGAGGGATGTCTCTTGTTTCCACTGGTCATCGCTGGGTCATCCAGTGTGACCATTGAGCGACGAATGATAGTCAAGGAGCGATTGATGGTTATGGAAAACACCTTGGGATTTTGCCATATTCAGTATGCTCGACAGCTATTGGAGAAAGTATGGGAGGCGAACAGCACGTCCGAAATGAATTGGGCATCGGTACGATATAGCCAGTTTCCTGGGGTGGTATTCGTCTAGAATGATACCCGGGTATACTGTAAGAAGAATGATAACGAACTGTATATGCTTAATATCTTGGAATGACACAATCACACGGTTTTTCAAATCTAAACACTAGCCTGCTTTGCTTCATCCACCAGCTTAGTCAAGTGTTCTCTCATATTGTAACCACAAACCTCCTCAATGGTCAACTTCCCCGGGCGATCTGACGACGAGCTCCACCCAATGCGCTCACTGAGGTCCTCACGCGCTCTGAAACTCGCTTCCTGAACTCGTGTGGCCCGGGGCTTGCGCAACTTCTCATATAGTGACAATCCTTCCGCAACGCCATAGTCTTTGCGAAAGTTCTTTTGGAAAATCAAGCCAAGTGCACCGGCATCTTCAAACGCCATGCAAGATCCCTGCGACTGATCGGGCATCATGGGATGAGCTGTGTTTCGTCAGTTCAGATTCACGGGGGGAAAATAAAATTTTCGACTTACCAGCATCACCAAGCAAGCAGACTTTGCCCTTGACCCAGTATGGGTACGGATCATGTCTGTATACTATTTCAGAACATCAGTACTGGACCGCCTATCCATTTGCAGGAGAACGTACACCGCCACATCTTGATATCCTCAGCATTCAGCATCAACTTCTTCATCCTTGGATCCAAATCAGGGAATGTCTCCACCAATTGCTTTGGTGAGGCTCCAATATTCCAGCCATCCTCGCGAAGATTGTTGACCGAGGCTGGATAGAAGCAATAACAGCTGACGACCTCACCATTGCTGCAGGGCGACATCACAATCTTGTTGATGCCGAATCCGCCCCAGTACTCAATGGCTTCGTTTGAGACGTAATCCTCAAGATCTAGGGAGCGCAGTTTCTCCGCACTAATGATACAGCGATAGCAACACGACGTGGACATGGTGAAATTGGGAGTGATGTCCATAAGTCCTCTTGTGAGAGACTAGCATCGGGTCAAAACCAACAATGTTAATTCGTCAAGAGTGTTTGGACTTACTCGGATTCCGTCAGCAGCGACAATGATATCGGCAGATGTTTGTGAGCCATCTCCAAATTGAATGGTGCCTTCTTCTGGGTCAACATTGATAGCTTTGTGGTTCACCTTCAGGTCACACTGCGGTCCTTCACCGGGCGCTTCAAACGCAGACTTAAGAAGTTGCTTGTGGATATCAATCCGGTGGAAATTGTTATAGTCCTGTCAAATGTCAGGCCATGTCCATCAGTTCAAGTGATTTCAACCTTACGGTGCCGAACTTGGACTTATAATCTCCAAGCGGATAAGTGCTCTGGACTTCTCCATCTGACCAGTTGTGCATGATCAATTGACGAAGAATGACCTTTTATTACATCAGTGCTTGGCGCCCATTGATCTGAGGGTGTTACCTACCGGCTTTGCTGCGCTCACATCGACCCCCCATTCCTCCAGAAAGCGAGATCCGTTGGATGCAGCACTCAAAGATGCACCAACTTCACCGGCAAAGTCATATCGCTCATAGACTGTCACTTGATGCCCCTGACGACGCAAAGACACAGCAGCGGCCAGGCCACCGAGTCCGGCGCCGATGATGGCAACTTGAAGAGGCGAGTCTGTACGTGAAGGCATCTTTACAATCAAAATGTACGAGTTGAAAAGTAGGGAAACTAACAGCCATTTTATTTGTCCAAATATATACACGACTCCATGAAGCAATTGTCGGAGACAATAGTTTATCTCCCGAGGTCTATCGCCGTCTTATCGGTAGCGACGGTGTTTATCTATGCGACGGCTGCATGTCTTGGCTTATCCGTTGCCGATCATCGCCTCATTCTCATTCGCCTCCTAAGAACGGGACTGGCATCAGTTTCCGGGGAAGCTTCGCACGACCTATCCTGTTATCTTGGGCTCGTATCAGCGGCCCTGGATACTCTTTAAATGGCAAATGCCAACATTATACAAAGTTCTACTACGAATACCTCAGTTTCACTATTCGCAACATGGAGAAAAAAGACACGCTCGCGATGAAGTTGGATGAGTCTGAGGACTATGCCTTGGGCTGTCTTGCAACTGATGACAAGAAGCTCATTCGCAAGATCGACTCGCATATCTTGCCCATTATGTTTCTGACCTATTTCTTGCAGATGATTGACAAGATTTCCATCAATGTAAGTGGTTCCATGAGTCATGCCCAATGCTTGAATAAAATGCTGATGAGGACAGTACGCAAACGTGATGGGTTTCCAAGACGACCTGGGCATGACTGGTAATGACTTCTCGTGGTTGGCAACAGCCTTTTTCATCGCGTATGCCGTTGCGGAAATTCCACAAGGAGCTCTACTTCAGCGATTCCCTGTGTCGAAAGTCCTTGGGGCGAATGTTCTTTGCTGGGGGATCATTTTGTGTTGCTCATCTGCGACCAAGAACTTTGCTGGCATGATTGCACTCCGAACGCTCCTTGGCCTTCTAGAAGCAGTCATTGGTAAGTGCCTCCTGCTTTTTCTTTGTTTGAACTGCTCTGACAGCCACAGCACCCTCTCTGACCATTTACACGAGTATGTGGTATACCCGAGCCGAGTCTACTCCCAGATACGGATTCTGGTACTGTGGACTGGGCGCTGGACAAATAATTGGAGGACTCATATCCTTTGCAGCCCAGCATGCGCCCGCTAGTCTGTCATTCGGTGGTTGGCGTATCATGTTTGTGGTCATTGGTGCGGTCAATGTCTTGGTCTCTCTGCTGGTTCTTTTGGTGTTACCAGAGACGCCCGAGAAGGCCACATTTCTAAGTAGTTCAGAGAAGCAGCGTATTGCTCAAAGACTGCAGTTGGATCAGGCCGGCGTCGGTTCCAAAACATTCCGCTGGCGGTCTGTCCTTGAGGCTTTCGCAGATCTCCAGACGTGGCTGTTGGTTCTTCTTACCATCTTAATTACTATCCCAAGTGGAGTCATCACGACTTTCTCATCTATCCTGATCAAAGGGTTTGGGTACGGCAATAAACAGAGTGCATTGCTCAACATGCCGTCTGGGGTGGTCAGCATTGTGTCAACGATGGTGTCTACATATGCGATCGCGAAAGGCTTTTCCCGGTGGCTGGCCATCGACCTTCTACTGATCCCAACGCTAATCGGATCATGCCTGATGTCATTCCTACCCTCTTCTAATAAAGGAGGTTGCCTAGCAGGCATCTACTTGGTTAATACGGTACGTGACTAACGATCTCCCCACTCCAACCAATTTCTAACTCATTCAGACGGTCGCTCCGCTTGCACTAATCTATGCTTGGACTGGCGCCAACTATAAAGGATACACGATGAAGGTATGCGGCCAAACCACTGTGCTTGATATGGATTCTAATCTCTCCAGGTTGCTGGCACTGCGCTCATTTCAGCTGCATTCAGTATTGCGAACATCATTGGGCCCCAGACCTTTCAATCTAAGGATGCTCCTCAGTAAGCCGTCTTGTTCTTTCCTGCTTTATGGTGATGCTGACAATAACAGGTACATTCCCGCCAAGATTACTTTGGTCGCGGTTAATGCTGCGGCGATTCTGATTTCGACTCTCTTGCGAATCATGTATGGCCGTCGCAATTCTCGTGCTGATCGTTTGGGAACCCCAGCACGTAGTTCGATGGAAGCGCGTACGGCGAGCACCCAAAACGCCAATGTTGATGATGAGACTTTCCGCTATGTGTACTGATTGTAATTCATGGATATGACTTAGTTCTAGCGCCTCTAAATTGATAAGATGGATCAGGAAATACTACATGAATGGATATCCGAACCGTAAATTGAGGAGTCGAAGCGTGAAAAGTGGGGATGTTGACTCTATGCGAGTATCTATCCGACGGCGGCGCATTCAGTGTCCGAAACCCCATGCACGCTAATAACATTCGCTCTATTTAACTCTTGATTATTTACACTATTCTTTCTCATTCATTCTTTATGCTTCATTATGGCTCCCATCGACGCTGGATCCCTCATTCTTGTCACAGGTGGAAACGGTTTCATTGCCGCCCACTGTATCGCCAATCTCCTGCAATCCGATTATCACGTTCGAGCGACTGTCCGATCAACGGAAAAGGCAGAAGCAACCCGCAATGCCCTGAGCACTGCAGGAGTGCAGCATCTTGCCCGCCTCCAACTAGTCGTCGTCTCTGATCCCACCAATCTTGACGCTTTGGTTGGGGTGCTGGAAAATTGCCAGGCTATTCTACACCTCGCATCGGCCTTTAGCTATGATGCCGCCCCTGGTGAATTTGAAGAGAAATTGATGCTCCCTGCTCTCAAGGGGACTCAGGTCATTTGTGAGGCTGCTCAACGGTGTCCGACTGTCCGGCGGGTGGTCATTATGTCTAGTTTCGCTAGTGTCTATGATGCCAGCTTGGGACTGCAGCCTGGACGAGTCTATACGGAGAAAGACTGGTGTCCGTTGACGTATGAAGATGGTGTTAATGCATCGGCTGTTGTAAGTCTATGTTCCCTCCCTTGCTTCGAACGCCCACTGATGACAGTAGCCCATCGCATACCGTGCCTCGAAAGTCGTCGCTGAGCGTGCAGCTTGGGACTTTGTGAATAGAAACTCCGTCAACTATCAGCTGATAACACTTTGCCCAGGCATGGTATTCGGCAAGATGATACACCCGATCTCGTCACTGTCTCAGCTCAATGCCAGCAATCAGATTGTGTGGCAGGTCCTGAATGCCGGCAGGAATGGTGAATTACCCCATACAAAGGCCCCAGGTAAGCCTCTCACGCTTGTAGACCGGCAGCTCTGCATTACTAACAGTGACATAGTCTGGATTGACGTTGAAGATCTTGCGGAAACTAGTCGCAAGATATTGATCTTCCCAGCTACAGGACATGAGCGTTTCCTGGTCACACAGTCATCGTATGACACACAGGAAATTGCAGATATTATCCGCACGGAGTTGCCCGAAAGACACAGAGTGCCCAATGGACAGCCTGGAAAGCGAAGTGCGGATACTCATTACTCGTGTGATTCTTCCAAGACAAAAACAATGCTTGGCGTCAAGTTTCGGGGGCTGAAAGAGAGCATTGTTCCTTTGGCGCATCAGTTATATGATATGAATTAGTCACTATCGAGTCGACCCGATGTTATGAAGTCTGCTATGTCACTTTCAAGTAAATCTGTAGTCTCTGGCCATGACTCTTGTTCATGGTGAGCAATGGGCTGGCCGAACTTGCTCATCGAGGAGTGTCCGAATCACTGCCATGATGAACATTATAAGTGGCAATGGCCTCTCGATGGTCAGTTTATGCTCATATAAGCATCAATAAATCAAGATTATGCTTCGAGAAATGGCTGCTGCTGCTCATCCTACAAACCTATCCCTAGTCCATGGACTTTTTATGTTTTTCTTTCCTTTTTCTCATTTTTGTTCAATTTGCTATTTTAAGGACAGTAAAATACCCGACTCTAAGCACCCGGTATCAAGTCAGATGGACAGAAGCATATGCTCTACCGATGCAGAGTGTCTCGAATATGATCAGCAGTCAGTTCAATGAACTCCTTCGCTTGCCACAGGTCTAGATTTGGTCAGCAATGCCCCTGCAGAACAGATGTAAAGTACTCACATTCATCCATGTGCATAAAAGGGTGTGGAACTCCCGCAAACCGCTTTTGAATGACCTCATTCCCACTCTCAATCAACCTTTTCGCATAAGCCTCGCCCTCATCGCGCAGAGGGTCACAGCCAGCAGTGTAAATCACGGTCTTGGGCAACTGTGTAAAATCCGGCGCCTGCAAAGCATTGGCATACCACTTCAAAGCCTTGATTTGCACCTCCCTCTCCGGTCCCTCTGATGCAATACTCTGCCACTTCAAATTGTCAAACCACTTCAGCCGTCCCCAATTCAGGGTGGGTGCATGCTCCATCTCCTGCATGGACGGCCAGGGAGCCTCAGCGGCAGAGGCGTACTTCGAAATATCATCAATAGTCGGTGTACCAACTGCGACCAGCCGAAGGGGAATACTCGCATCCCGGGCTAGATGTGCGCAGATCAGAGCGATGTTTCCACCGGCTGAAACGCCACCGAGGGAGATACGGGTCGGGTCAATTTCGAATTCCACGGCGCCCTTTGCATGGATGTGCTGCAGCGCTGCGAAGGAGTCTTGGATTCCAATTGGGAATGCGTATTCGGGGACCAGTCTGTATGCGACGTCGATGACACAGACATTTGCTTTGACGCATATGTGTTTGCAGATGTGGGATTCCGTGTCGAGGTCGCCGAGGCCCCATCCTATTCATATCTTAGTTGTGGGTCCCTGCAGGATGGGAATGAAATTTTGTACCTCCACCGTGAAAGTCAATGTGTACTGGCCATGGACCTGGAGAGTCGGGCTCATAGACGCGAACAGGGATCAATTCGCCATTATGGCCTGCAACTTGGGCATCGTAGATACGGGCGCAATCTGGGGCGGGGCCTGTACCATAAGAATAAAGAACCGAATACTTTGTGCGTAATAAAGCAAGATCAATTGGGCCTGATGGGGTGTTGGCGACGTGTTCGTTGTAGAGCTCCACAAAGACGGGGTCTAAGTGGGGAAGCACGGAGGGGTGAATGGGGTTGAGAGCCTCGTGAGACATAATGAGCGATGAGAATGAAATAGAGGTCCAACCTTGATTGATCACGCAGAATTCTCCCAGGTTTATATGATGTTATATCATGTTGTATCATCAATCGGCACCGGCGGCCGTCGCATTTTAGCCGACGGAAAGCCACGATAACCCCCGCACGTTATCTATGCGACGGGCTCCGATAAAGTCGAATCAAAAGGAACAAAAGGCAGCTTCAGTAACAAGAACATGAACCACAACATGAATACTGTACTAATTGTTGGTGCTGGTATTGTCGGGCTGACACTCGGTCAAGCCCTCAAGCAAAAGAACATTCCCTTTGAAATCTACGAACGCGATGAGACTCCCGATGCCCGCGGACAGGGGTGGGCCATTACACTCCACTGGGCCCTGGAGCATATGTTCAAAATGCTTCCTGCAGAGACGCTAGCAAGGATTCAAGACGTGCAGGTTGACCAGGAGGTTGCGCAGAACGACAATGGCAACTTTCTGTTCATTAATCTCGAGACGGGGGAACCAAAGTTCAGGATTCCACCGAGTAGACGATGGCGAGTGAATCGAGAGAAGATGCGAAAGGCATTGCTACAGGGAATCGAAGAGCATGTTCACTGGGGTCGACGCGTTGTCGGGCTGCATGTTTCGCAGGAGAAGGTGGAGGTGGAACTGGTCTTCGCGGACGACACAGCTGTGACAGGGCGGATGATCGTCGGTGTTGAAGGGAGTCGATCAATGGTCAGGCAGATACTGCGACCGGAGGCATTCGATAATACACTGCTTCCCATCAGGTTTACCGGAGTCGCGGTGGATTTGACGCCAGCGGAGATCAAACCCTTGCGAGAGATGGATCCGTTGTTATTCCAAGGATGTCATCCACCGACTGGGGCATTTTTCTGGTTTTCCATGTTAGAAACGCCGCAAGGGAACGGAACGGCCGGCTCTGACTCTGAACGCTATCGAGCTCAGATATGCATGTCGTGGCCAGTGCGTGGTCCAACAGATGAAGTCGCGGCGACCGATGAGGCGCGACTAGTCAACATGAAACGTCGGGCACAAGGATTTATACCTTTCTTGAAAGAAGCGGTCGATCGTATTCCAACTGGAACCTCGGTGACAGAGATCAAACTTGCAGATTGGGAATGTCTGCCTTGGGATAACCGTGGGGGTCGAGTAACCTTGGCTGGAGATGCGGCGCATGCAATGACAATGTGTAAGTTCCCTTCACCTTGACAAATGGACCATTTCTAACGTCAATAGACCGTGGGGAGGCGGCAAATCATGGTCTTCTCGATGCGTACCATTTGATGCAAGCTATTGAAAAGCTCCATTCCGGTGTCACAACAGCTCAATCGGCGATCGACGACTTCGAGCAAGAAATGAGGACACGAACCAGTCGTGCCGTACGACTCAGTCGACAGGCATGTCTAGATGCCCACGATTGGAGTCGGCTGGATGAAACATCGGCCATCTTGACCAAGCGAGCAATTTGAGAAGAATAGTCTATTGAAACCATGACACGAACCTATACTTTCTAGTAAACAAGTATTTAATCCAAATAGCCCCGAACAGAAACAAGGAAGAATCGCCAAATCCAATTTGTTATTAGAGCGAGTCAAAAGCCAGTAACCAAGTGTACAACTAGAACTATCAATGAGGAAGACTCACTCCATATAGACCAAATGTATACCCCCAGCACAAGCTACAAATAAAAAGAACACGAAAAGAAGATGTTATCCAATAGGCGGGTCCCGATTACAGGAGAATCATACCCATACCGGTAAGCAGGGCGATGGCGGCGTAGGCGCCGACCTGGAGGGAGCCAAAGGCAACGCTCTGATGAATGCTAGCGGGGGCACCAGCGCTGGACGAAGAGGAAGTGCTGCTGGAGGAGCTGGAGTCAGCGGTGGCGGTGGCCTCGGTGGTGACGGTACCAGTGCCGGCAGTACCAGCCTCCTTCATCTGCGAGGAGCAGGTACCAGTGGCGGCAGTGGTGGCCTTGGTGCTCGCGGAACCGTCGAAGCTGCAGGCAGTGGCGGACTCGCTCTGCTCGCTGTAGTACTTGTTCAGGGCGAAGGCGAGCTGGTCCTTGACACCGCACATGCTGTAGGCACCGTAATCACCGGTGGTACCGTTGGATTCAATGCCACCGCAGTCGGTGTAGCCACAGACGATTCCGAGGAGCTTGCCGAGCTTGGCGGAGGAAAGACTGCTGTCGGCAACGCAGGCGGAGGCGTCGTAGACACAGGTGCACAGAGACTCATCGGCAGCGGGGGGCAGGGGAGAAGCCTTGGCTTCCCAGGCGCTGCTGTCTTCGGTGGGGCAGCTCTGCAGGACGGTGTTGGTGGGGGTGTAGGCGCTCTTGCTGGTGCTGGAGGGGTCGGCACTGTTGATTTGGCTGGAGTAGTACTTGAAGTCGGTCATCGTGCTGACACTGGTGCTGTCCACGACGGACACGAGACCTGAGATGCCACGTTAGCGGAGCACATGTAAATAGGTCGGGCGATGCTTACCGTAGTCGTTGGAATTCTGGAAGTACATGTAGACAATACCACCGGACCAGACGGGGGTCATGTTGTCACCGTAGAGGGCCTCGACCTCAGTGAATGTACGGGGGGAGACGCTGTTGCAACCATACTCGGCAAAGAAGACGGGGACGGTGTAGTTGGCAAATTCCTCGGTACGAGCCTTGTAGCCCGACTCGGCGTAGGTGGAGTCACCGCACCAGGAGTAAATGTTGTATCCGTAGAAGTCGACAATCTCGTCCTCGGCCTCACAGTCCAGGTAGTTGGCCAGATCGGTACGGATAGCAGAAACGTCAGCAGTGGCATATCCGACACCCATAGCACGGTAGCCCATCTCCTTGATGTACTTCTTCATGTCACGGACGGCGGCCTTGGCGTAAGCCATACCATCGGTAGTGGCGACGGAGTTGGCAATCTCATTACCGGCAAAGAAACCAATGGTGTTGTTGTACTGGGCGAGCTCGTCAATGACGGAAGTGTAACGGTCGTAGAGGGCAACATTCCACTCAGGGTCGTCACGGTCAATGGCCTCGGAAGTGCTGGACAGGTCGGAGATAACGTAGATGCCGGCTTCCTGGAGAAGCTTCATGCACCCGGAGTGGTCGGCATCGGGGTTGATGTAGTAAGTACGGATCACGTTGGTGCGCAACTCCTGCATGTACGGGATATCACGCTCGCAAGTAGTGACATCGGCCAAAGGATCCACAGTTTGAGAGTCTATGCATGTTAGTTCCGACTCCTCCGGGGTGATTTAATGAATACCTACATTGGTAGGCGACACCACGCAGGAAGCTGGGAATAGGTCAGTGTGGTTCATGAACACGATCCAGTTGGGTTCACTCACAATTGAGTCTGATTGCTAGAGTAGTAGAATTTGGTACCCTATTCCCGGTTAGTATCCGCCTCGACGGTTCGACGATAGCTCCGAGAATTACCTTGATAACAATCGGGTCGATGCTGGTAGCCATGGCGGCCCCAGTCAGGGTCGCCAGCGACAGAAGAGACAGCTTCATGGCGTATACGATACGGACTTACACCGCAAAAAGAATATAGCGAATGGATCGGAAGGAAAACCTCCTAGCAACGAGAATAAAGAAAGACTAATGGAGAAGAAAGACGAGGATAGGAACGAGTGATATCCAGGTCAAAAGAAAGAGAAAGCCACTGGGAAGCAACAAAGAGTGGCTTGCCCCGTCGGCCCTTAATACCCTCATGGATTTGATCAACATGATTCGCCCCTGACCCCTAAAAGGGGGACGCGTACAACTGACCCAGCTTGCATCCACCAAAACGACCTAGCGGAGGGGCTTGAATCAAACGACTTACGACGGGCGGGTGTCAACTTTTCCAGACCGGAGATGATATGGACCGCGTCAACCAAACGTTTAGGGCTGCTTTTTCGAGACTAAATCGGCCTAGATCGGTTCCCAGGCCCCGAACGAAATGTGCGAGCCAATTAAAGGGGATCCACTAACTCAAAGTATCTTGGCTTCTGCAGCCTAGCACTCATTAGTGCGCCACGATCCACCACTCCGAGGTCATGCCAGTAGGAGTTGGGATGGGCAAAACATAACTTGGAGACTTGCAGATAATAGGAAGTGAGACATCTCCACTGAAGATGATATCAAGAATCCATTGATCACTCAGCTAGGGCTCGGTTGGATAAGTTCTTTGCGAGTGGAAGAGGAAAAAGTGAAAAAGTCGAAGCTGACGCGGTTTGTGGGGCCATCTTGCTTGGGATGGCGTTGGCAGTGCGTGTACACTTATTTTAAGATTTTCTTTTCTTTTTCGTTTGGCTTCGTAAATCTTGGTTCTGAAGAGGCTCAGCTATAATTAACTATGCAAAGGGGCGAAGTTCGAGACCGATAATAAATAAGAAAGGTGTACAGTGCACCCTAAGGGTGTAGTACATTGTCGTTATCGGTGATCTCGGGGCCACGTTTGCCTCGGAGATGATCACAGCAATCCAAGTCGGACCGATTACCTGGATCAATTAATTTGAGGAAAATAGATTATCAATTATTGATTGTTCCAAACGTACGCCTCCAATTGGAACCTAATTTGCCTGATAAGTCACGATAGATGAATGCCAAGCATGACGATCTGGGGAATCAGCGCCCGGTGGATTCGTGTGGTATGTCAACCAACCGATCTACACTATACACTATACACTATACACGGTGTAATTGTAGACCAGCTGATTCATACGTCAACATCCATGGTCACTATAGAATCACAGTCCAAGGGTCATGTAAAATGTCATTCAAATCAAATCAAATATCATAATAATACATCTCGACCGCGTTCAAGGTATCATAAAACATGCTCATCTCATAAACCACGCATCAAATGTTTATCACACTTGGAGGTTCTGTTTCCGGTGCGCATCAATGGCAGACTGGAAGGATCGAATCGTATCTAACGGCCGCTCTAGACGATTCCGGGTTGGGTTGCAACGATCGGGGTCCGCTGGTCTCTGTTAGTGAAATCCAAAGTCCCAAGAAGATCAGACATACCGATGATTTTACCTTCTCGATCTTTGTGTTGAATGCTTCCCAGGGAAGAAGTATTATAGTCCCCGTGATTGCCCAATGACACTGCGGAGGTCAGTGGTAAGCCTAGATGGTATAAGGGTTAATGGAATAGGGACTTACTCGGCTGGGCTTCATGAAGGGCCAAGTTGGGGTCCGCCTTGGTTTGTAATACCTTTTTGGGCATATCTGCAGAGTGCATGGAGCCAGTGCGCTCACTGGATGATCGTGATGAACCCATGGTATAATGTAATCAAGGGACTAAAAAGGCTGAGATAGTGTTCCAAAGGTTGAAGATTTCAATGCCGATTGTTCCGCAAGGTATACCGGAGCGGGTGCCTGAATCCATGGTCCCTCACGCTCTTTAAATAAATCAACGGAACAGGTACCTTTCCCTAAGAATAGTTTTGCGGAGGATCACGCAAGTGGCGACTTTTGGACGCATTGCGGTGATTGGGCGGAGGATCACCGGATAGTCGCAACATCCCAATTCCGTATGACGTTACACCTCCTCCGTCGGGCGTTCCCAGTGGACGGCCAAGCTTCTACTAAACAGTAGTAGAATGCTTAGCATCCATAGACCAGTGAACGGCCGATGAACACGCACTCCTCAGTGGCTGGTGGACGGCAGCGATCCAGGTACCCGTGGGAAAGTGGAGATTTCCAGGATTCTGAAACAATTGACTTGCGAGGCATTGCGCAGGTACGTTGGATCCCGAGCTCTTTACAAAGATGAGATGGCTACGAAGATGTCCATGGATTCATGGATCCTTTGAAATATGACAGAATCGAACATTCCTCCCCCAAGTTTCCACCGCGGGGTAGACCCATGTGTGTCACAAGGGAATGCTGGAGTGTTCCTGAAGGTTTCGGTTCTTCAGTGCTTTTGCTGCCGCACCGGTGCACTGATCGCGAGTGGATCCCTAGGCAGCGAGTTTTCCCAAACACGGGATACTTCTGGAGCGTCAAGATCGGTTTACAGATCATAATGACTTCAGGTGATCGCTGATTCGACCGAATCAAATGGCTCGATGCAAACGGCCGAGTCGTATCTCCTCCACCGCCACATTCCGGAGCCGTCTCGTCAGAACAATTCATTATGACACGAGTTCGCAGACGTGGAATCTCCACGGTCGCATCCCGTTCGCTCGTGGCCGCGAGTCATGAACTGCCCCCCATCCGGTGCTTGGATCTTACAAAAATCGGTACAAATGTTCGAGGTTCTGCGGGTTGAGATAGTCCGGATTCGTCAACGAGCCCGCCAGTCCCAACACATCATCGCCCTCCACGTTGAACAACTCGTACCAATCCATATTCACCGCCGGCTCCTCCAGATGCAGCGAAGGATCGGTGGGTGTGCTTAGAGGCAAGAGATCATTGCCATGGGATAATGGTCGGGTCATGTCCTTGTGGGTGTCGGTCGGAGATTCGGGGGCGAGCCCCTTGATCACTTGAGATGGTGCCGACGCGCCATCCCCCAGGCGAAGATCTCGAGCGGTCCGATCGTCGAGACAGCGGAAGAACAAATCTAACACCCAGTTCTCCAGGTCCCACGACTTTTGAAGTTCCTTCAGACCGAGGAGACAAAGTTTGGCCCGATGTTCGGCTAATTTTCGAGCCGTCCCAGTCACGCGCCCGAAGTGAATGGTGTGGATACACAGTGCAGAGAAGGTGTGGGTGATGCTAGTTCGGCAATTAGATCGGGGTCTTTCGACACACTGGGAGAACGTACAGGTGGACCGATCCATGCTGCACCAGGTTTTCGGAGAGCATGTCTTCAAGAATGCGTGTGCTCCTGGTGGCTGCTTCTAGCGCCATATTGCCTTCCATGCTTGTTGATTCACTGGGTGGCTGTAAGAAGATGGGTCGGTATAGTAACACGTAGAGATTACTGCTAATGGTCAGCGTGCTCCCTCCGTACATGGCCATTGAAGGGTCCGTACTTATACGCCATATGAAGCATACCAACAAGGAACGTGACCTCTCGCCTAGTTGATGTTTGGAAATGCATCTCCGTCGGCAATTTAGATTCCCAGTCTAACAGACGCTGGTGGAGCATGGGTCGAGACACATTGTCCAGCTTCGTGCGACAGGGGGAATACTGACTGGAGACTACCTCCCGTACTAGTTGTTGTTAGATACACTCAATGGCAGATAAAACAAACTCACATAGCTTCGCCAATTGAGCCATTCCAATCACGTAGGGCACATGGGCAGCAGGTGGCTTTTGGAAAATCTCAGAGGGGATATCATCATGCTCTAGAAAATCCGCCTCTTCAAGCTCCGCCACTTCGCAATCCTCATCACGGATACGAGAAGGGAGCCCCAGCGCAGCCGAAGTTTGTTGGTCCCGAACCTAAACTGTGAGCATGAGCTGACTTCGTGGGGGAGACGAGGCCTACATATAGAGCCCACCAGATCCGTTTCCATACTTTTTGGTCCCGCGCACCAAGGAAAGGCAGTTTTGACCTATTTTTGTTAGCGCTTGAGGGAGCCGTTTGAAAGCTTTTACTAACATCACATGCATTCCCTTTTTCTGGGCAATACTGGTCGCTGCACCCAGCCAGAAACGAACATCTCGTTCCTCAGTTGGTCCTCCACGCCAGAAGCTCAACAAGAATAGAGATTGGAGTTTGATAATCATGTCAGTCTCCCATCCAACGTCATATATTTCCTTTGCGCGCTGGTAAAAAAGCCCCTTGGCTTGATACCGATTGGTAAAACCTGTGGTGCGCAATGCTGTGTCTGAACACAGGCTCACGCCTATGAAAAGCATCGCTTGTAGGAGCAGGGGGGAGATGGTATGTTCGGTATATGCCTGATGTATCGTTTGCCGATCGACAATGGGGAAACAGGGATGAAACCACTCAAAGTATGCTTGAAGAAGAGTATCGCAAATGGTGGGCGATGGGAACACCAACGCGCTCTCACGGATGAGACGATCTTGGAGGATTTTTCGGTGCTGATCATCACTAATCTCACTGCCACGAACCTCGGGAATGGCATAGTGCAATCGACCTTTTTGAATACTGCGCGTGGGCCCTTTTTCGGGTGATCGTCGACCTTCATCAACTACACATGTTAAGGGACTGGACTCGCCAAGAAACACGGTTTCATGGACATCCTCTGTGATCGCGGGACGAGCAGAAGGTACATAACGTAGTCCACGGTCATGGACATCTTGCACACTCTGGTTCACGGGCGTATTGGTTGTTATTGGAGATACTTCAGTATCTATCGAGGCTTTCTTCTTTCGTCGAGGATACCTGAGATTGTTGGTACATATATAAAATATAGAAACGAACACGCAGAGCTAGCTAATAGAACGAGAATTATCAAAAAGATGCTTACTTTCCCCGTCTTGATTCTCCTACGTCACAAACAAGATTCCATGCCACACAATTCTGGCATGGCTGCATCTCAAGCACATTACATCGCACTCGACGAGAATTGCAAGCCATGCAGGCTTTCTTAGCGCGTGTGCGTGGACGATCGGAGTTCGCGGTCACCATGATTGCTGGAATAGGCTGTTTGTAAGATCCCGATAAAATAAATAAAGATCGAGGAGCAGCAGGGCGACTGTGTCGGTTCTCTCGGTTATACGCCATGACAGTGGGTCTCTCGGCTTCTTCGGTTATACGCTGCGCGGGGAAGAGTATCATTCCAAGGTTGATTTGAACTCTCATGAGGTCACTGTCCAGCAGAGTTGGGTAGGGGATAAATCGCAAGCACTTGGGAAGAAGAACGTGATTTCTAGTCTCTGCACTAGATAATGGCATGAGAAAATAAGTGAATCTTCTCATCTACGACGGCCGGCCCACGTGACTGAATGACGAGTCAACTTGATCACGGAATCGCTGGCAAGTCTCGATGCAATCATGAATAGAGTCTTTCAAACTTTGTTTTGAAACACTGTAGGGAGCCAAAAGGAAATGCCGACCCTGTGGAAGACATGCTTTGAGCATTCAAGCATTGAAGTGGTGGGCTCTTGGTTATATATCCATGTGTCTGTAGTAGCACTTGGGAGACAACTTCTGTAATTAAAATCTGGGGTAAATGCCCGAGTTCTGTCACCTAATGGCCTAGATCAATTGACAAGTCTTGAGAACAGATACCCTCGTGTTGACTTTGATCGACCTCAAGACTAAGTATCGAATTTGGATCTTTACAGTTCTTGGTATGTCCCAAGGTACATGCACAAACGCCCTTGAGTTTTTGGACCAGTGCTCATGAGAACTTTCCATCTGGACCAATCTCAAAAGGATGCAGGGGTAGGAATGAAGGGAAATAAAAGAATTTGGCGGAAATACAAGTGCAAGTGCCGCATTCCAAAGGCTGGGCTACTTCTCATGAATAATGCATGAACCATGAATCATGAATCACGAATCACAGAGACCTCGAGAATTTCCAAACAACTACAATTCGGTCAACAATCACCGTTTCCCCAAGTTTGCTTGGAGAGATCATATTTTGTGGAAACTTCCACGTGAACACCTGAAGCCATCATGCCGGAAGACATGCACATTCATGTTGCCTCTCTGGGTCAATATCGGGAGTCGGAAAGGTGGGGAAGATGTTCCGGTGGGCCTGTGTGGTCTATCTCCGTACGGCTTTACGGAGTTGTGACCAAGTCCGAAGAGTGTTCGGGAGTTGACTGTGGCGCCATCCGTTGTTTGTCCCCTTTGTCCCGGAAGTGACATTTGCCCGGTCGGCATTTACCCCAAACAGGAAATTCTAGCTCGGAGTTAATCAGATAAGAAATCTGATAACCCGTCAGTCATCCCGGTGTCGCTGCCGACGTTCTTATTTTATGAAGCTCCTTCAAGTTTATTGCATTCTCCTTTTCGTCATCCCTACATTCAAAATGGCTAGCTCTCTTCGCAATATCATCGTCGTCGGAGGCTCTTTCGTTGGGCGGGTGAGTCCATTGACCATGTTTACGCAATTTGAAATCTAGACTGACCTTCCCCACAGACAACTGCTCAGGAGCTCGCAAAAGTGGTTCCTCCGACACACAGAGTATGTTCGAACTGAAGAAGAGATTGAGTCGGTCTGTGAGAGTGAGAATTGACGCTTTCTAGGTTCTCCTCACCGAGCCCCACAGCCATTTCCACCACCTGTTCACTTTTGTAAATGATCTCCCACAACATGATAATTCAACGTTCTGAGGCTAACATGCCAACAGCCCCGATTTGCGATCGTTCCAGGACAGGAACACAAGGCTTTCATCCCATACAGTGGTCTCTTTTCGGTCGTGACCGAATCAAAGTTACACAGTGTAGTTCAGGCGCGCGTGACATCGGTCCACCCCCAGCATGTGCAGCTTGATCGAGAATGGCAGGGTTCCACAGAGATCCCCTTTGATTACATTGTGGTCGCCACCGGCACGCGCCTGTCGAAGCCCGCCGCAATGGAAAAGGACGACAAACTATCATCAGTGGAGTACCTCCAGAAGCACCAGGCAGACGTCAAGCGGTCGCAATCAATTCTGATCGTCGGTGGTGGTGCTGTGGGAGTGCAGATGGCAACCGATCTCAAAGAGTATTACCCGGAAAAGGATATCACGGTGGTGCAGTCCCGACCCCAGCTCATGCCCAGCTTCCACATTGGGCTGCACGACCTTATCAAAGAACGGTTCGATGAGCTGGGAATTAATCTCATCACTGGAGCCCGAGTGACCATCCCGACAGGTGGTTTCCCCACTGATGGAAAGCCTTTTGAGGTGCAACTTACCAATGGCAACACCGTGTCCACCGAATTTGTGATTCTGGCGACTGGCCAAACACCAAACAACCAACTTGTTAAAAGCCTAGAACCCTCCACCCCTGAAAGCCCATCCGTGGTCAACCCGGAAAATGGGTACATTCGCATTCGGCCAACAATGCAGTTCCTTGACGAGCGTTATTCGAATCTCTTTGCGGTCGGTGATATCGCGGATACCGGGGCACAGAAAGCTGCACGACCTGGGTCCGCTCAAGCCGCCGTGGTTGCAAAAAATATTTTGTCTATGATTGAAGGTCGTGAACCCGAAGAGAAATTCGTCAAAGGTCCGGGAGCGATCCACATCACACTTGGAATGGTCAGTCTCGACAATCTGTTCCCGTCACCGGTGTCCACACTAACGTCATACAGAAATATAACGTGGTATTCCGCAATCCCAATGTGGCAGAAGGACAGACAGAGCCATGGACCAACCCGAAACAAGAGTAAGATACGTTCTTCATCATATATTGTTACATGACTGACCTTGAGTTAGTGGCCAAGAAGATATGAACGTCGAGGGCATGTGGCAAAGAATGGGTATCTCAGTGGACAGCCCTCGCCAATACCATCTTTAAAGAACGAAAACCAAGCAACCAGCCATGATAGGGTTGTCGCTATGTATGAACGGCATTGTGGGTTCTGGCCACCATCACTTCCTATCCTTCACTTAAATTCACATCATATGGAGAGGGACATGGGCATGCAAGAAAATACATAATTATGTGATATAGCTGCAGACGCAGACACTTAGGATACCCACAATTAGATGGAACGAGCGATCCCAATTCATGGACGCACGTAAGACAAACCGAGAATTACTTTTAATCTATGTACGTAAGGGGGTTTTGGGTAGACTTTGCACCTACTGGACCGAAAGGCCTCCGCCTTGTCATCTTGTGGCCTCTTAAACTTCCAAGCTGTCGTACATGTGACTAAATTCATGTAAAGTGTTATGAAACTTAGGAGCTCCACACCTTGCATCGTATATAACCGTGTTTCCGTTGCTCCTGCTTTAGTAGCCAGACTTCTTGGGTCTTTCAAATTCAAAGTGATATGTTGTAACGGTAAACCACCCAATTGAAATTGGTGCTATATGCTGTCAGTACAGAGTAAATTCCTAATAGAAATTACGTGTCTTAGTGAATCCTTCGCTGGACATCCAACGTGTTTTAAGTTGTCTAATACTGTCCTACTTCAGTCCAGCGCTGGTCATGTGACTGTCAAGCATCTTGGTCTGCAATGACGCCAAGAAACATCCCGTTCCAATTTACTTCATCAATCCTGTTTCCACAAGCCTGACGACAATACATTAAAAGTCGATGCATACCAGGATCTGATGGGTCTCCAATGGTTGGAAGATTGGTTCCTCAGCGCGTCGCGCGCTTTACAATAAAGACGTCACTTGATAAATCTGTCCGATCACGCCCGTTTGAATGGCCCTATCAACACAACACTCTCGCAAGGCGAAGAACACATCCCCGGCACAGCCAGAATGGGATATGGCGTGGTCCCAATACCCCACGAACATTGTTCACTAGCTCCCTTCCGCCCCTTCTAATCCCGCCCATCATCTTTGTTGGGCTTCTTCTCACTCTCTGGACATGGAAATGTTTCTGGATCATCGTGATGCAAAACAAACTATTATACCTTTCATGGCTGCCACCTTTTTCCAGATCTGAGCAAATATCAGAATACAAGCGTGAATGCGAGCCCGTGCAATGGGCAGAAAAGCGACTTCGGAGTCTCGATGGAACAAAGCTAGCCATTTGCGAGGGACACATCCCCGACAGTCCGAAACAAGTGGATGCAAAGAAACGAAAGAAGCTCGTGGTTATTTGTTATTTTCAGGGAAATGGGGGTCATTACCGCTCCGACTACCACTCCTGTCGCAGTTCTTGAATTCTGTCTCGAAGTCTCAGACCGGGCAGGCGCTCAATGATACAAAGTATATAGTTGTTGCCTTGTCATACCGCGGCTACTGGACATCGTCGGGGACAGCCACACAATCGGGCATTGAACAGGATGCCCTGGCATTTCTCAACTGGGTTTCGGCTACTTATCCCTCACCGGATACGAACTGCCAGGTGTTTTTGTGGGGCCATAGCCTTGGTGCGGCTGTTGCATCGTCCGCTATGTCCAAATACCTTACTCGAATGGATGCTCCCCCACCGACAAGGGGGGTTCCTCTTCTTCCCATATCTGGACTGATCATGGAAGCCCCGATCTCGAACATCAAGGATATGTTGATTGCCTTGTATCCTCAAAAATGGCTTCCATATCGATATCTTTGGCCCTTCTCGTGGAATACGTGGTGTAGCTCAAAGTATCTCGAACAATTGGCTAGGTATCGCGACCGAGATGCTGACCAACGAATGAAGACGGATGCCCCATGTAAAGGTCGATCCGTGCCTCCGATACTTCTTCTGGCTGCCGAAAATGATGAAGTCATCCCACCCCACGTGGCAGGACAACTCGAACAGATAGGTCAAGAATTGGGATTGGAGATTACACGAAAGGATGTAATAGGGGCCATGCACACGGAGTGTGCTATGAAGAATGATGGGAGAGAGGCTTTGGTCAAGTTTATTCTTGAGCATGCCAATGGTGATCCTGCGAATGGATGAAACCCAGATTAAATATGAACTCTCAGACTGAACATATTCCTTAATTTGCTCATGGATACGAGGAATTAGTTTGTCTGAACTCAGCCAGCTGGACATGTAATTCCAAGGCCGATAATTCCCGATTGCTCTGCATATATGTACAGTCTGGACTCAGGGTCGGGTGTCCGTGCATTCTGGTGGAGCTCTTTCACTCATGGTGATTTTCATGGGCCCTGGTTAGCTCTAGGGTCGGGTCAAAAACTGGGCATGGACGAACACATCTGGGTGTGGATGCAGATTGATCCACTTAGATAACAAGGTTGGCGGGATGCTCCGAGCTCGGCCGCTCTTCAAGGTAGTAACAGCTACTAACAGGTAACAGACAACCCTAAGAGATATTGCAATGAAACAAACCCTGGAGCTTCGTGTTCATCATTATGGTAAACTGAGCAATATGTGTAGTATGTTTCCAAACCTGTGCTAGGATGTTTACTGATATGTATCTCCGCGGACCTGTGGGTGGAACCCTGGATCGACGGTGGGGCAATTAGGACTGATATGAAAATTTCCCCGATTAACAACCGATCAATCCTGCGATGTAAAGGGAATTGAAATGGAAATTTCAATTCAGCATTTCCTCTATTCTTCATACATGAACTCCTGGTGGAAATCCTCACACGTGCTGTCGGTGTCACATCATGGGCCCCAAACCAAATAATGGCTCGCAAGTCGAGACAGAGAATCAAGGGAAAGATACTCTTGTGAGCACAGCAGAGCAAGGAATCGAGGAGTATCATCCGAGTAAGACACAAAGCAATATCACTATTGTTAGCTGTGTGCGTTGACCCCAATAGGAGAGACATGGCTTCGTATGTTAACGGCCCTTTAGTATATTGCGAATTTCAGTGATGGATTTCAAAACAGTCTGGCAAATCCGACGAACGTGATCTTCAAAGATCTCCTGGGCGCAAGTGATTTCACCTCGGTGATGAAAACACGAATCAGCAACTCGCTAATTGTTGGTGCCATTTTGGGAGTCGTTGTGTTGGGGTACACATCCGACATGTTTTCTCGAAAAGCCGGACTGCTTGTAACCTCGTCGCTCGTGGCGGTTGGGACTTTAATGTCGACGGTCGCGTTGCAGGTAAATCCATCCCAGAACATGTTATGGTATTTTGTGATTGCTCGTGGGATTGCGGGATTTGGGGTAGGAGGAGAATACCCTCCCAGTGCAGCAGCCGGTATTGAGGAATCAGATGATGTGAGTCATATACACCATACACAATGATCTATATCCTAACCAGCTCAGTTAATGAGAAAATATCGGGGTCCACTCTTCGTTTCCTTTACAACGCTCATGGCTACCCTCGCCAGTCCGATTTTGCAAATCATTTACCTGATTTGTTTGATTGCCAGCAACAATGATTTGACTATTACATTTCATGCTATATATTCGATCGCTACAGTCCTTCCCGTGGCCATCATTATCCTGCGACTGTTTATGGTGGACTCAACATTATTTCGCCATTCAAACCTTACGAACCAACGACATTCCCCGCAAATCTATCTTCTTCTTGCTCGCCGTTACTGGTGGAGAATCTTCACAACTTCCTTCGCGTTCTTCCTATACGACTTCATCAACTTCCCTAACAGCATTATGTCGAGCAGCATCATCTCTTCGCTTGTCAAGGATGGTGATATCCGACAGACAGCTATATGGCAGGTTATTCTAGCCGTGTTGCCCGTGCCTGGCGTGTTGATTGGAGCATGGCTAACCAATGTAATTGGTCGACGCAACACTGGTATCCTTGGACTTGCAGGCTACGTAGTCCTTGGCTTTATTATCGGAGGAACGTACTCCAAGCTATCCAAGAACATCGCCGCCTTTGTTGTGCTTTACGGATTGCTGCAGGCCTTTGGCCACATGGGCCCGGGAGCTACAATTGGACTAATTTCTACCGAGTCTTTCCCCACAGCGGTCCGAGGAATGGGGTATGGAATTGCCACGGCCTTTGGAAGAACGGGAGCAGCGGTAGGAACGGAGTGTTTCACACCATTGGAAGACGCCGCTGGCATAAATTCAACATTCTTCCTTGCAGGTGGCGTTGCGATTGTCGGTATCCTGGTGTACTGTCTTTTGCCTGAGAGCAGCAAGCTCGATCTAGCGAAGGAGGACAGAATGCTAGAAGAGTATTTGGCTGAACATGGATACCATATCGAAAAGGGAAACCCGATGGCTTCTTGAATTCCGAATGATTGGTCATGTTTCGGAGCATTCCGCGTGGGTAAACATCGGTTTGAGTTTGAGGGGAGTAGGATAGAGTTTTGGGGCTCTCGGATAGAGTTCTTGTGGCCCACATGCATATATTTGAACTTTGATAATCCGACACAAGTGAAATGATCAATCAAAGCCCCGATACTTAGATGAACATAGACGCATTCACCCATATTCTTTCAAGTACCGATGACAGATCGGGTAGAAGAACTCAGATGAAATTGCTCAGTGAGACAATAGAGAAATGCCAGTGCAACGGGGTGCTACCATTTAAAGACGCCAATGCCGAGATAACTTTAAAAGGGTAATTTTTACCGGCATGGTGGACCAGGTGGAGTTAATAATCGCCGGCTAAGAATCCGTTTACAGCCTACAATTTGTCGATGAGGTACCCCTACCAAGCACGACGTACAGTATATGGAATGTGAGATCACGGCAGTTGACAGTGGGTCCAATTCAAGGGATGCGAGGCAAACTACCGACACTAAAATATTTCACTAATCCCCCTAGATTGATTGGAAGCAATTACTGAATCGGGATTGATCGGTTGTTCCTATCGTATGGAATCGCCGATGTTACCGATTCTATTCATAATATATCACTCCCAATCTAGAGTGGGTTCCTGCAGAGGTAGTGAGTCTGAAATGTCCATTATTTCCACAGCGATTTCTTCGGTAGAGGTATAAAGGTGTACCTAGTAGTTTGTGCACTGCACGCTGCGATGATTCTGGAGATAGTAAAGCTTGAGAGCATTGGCCTAATCGGGTTCACCCAAGTACCTGGATCAGAGCATTAATTCGGAATGTACATGCATGGCAACCGGGTGCTACCGTGATCTACATGCATGGCAACCGGGTGCTACCGTGATCTACATGGCATGGAAACATTATCCGACCCTTTTCCCCCCCATTTAATTATATATTATATAATGGATTTATTTTCCATATTCTCTCCATGGCCCTCAATGCGCCAGGATGCGTGCGCTGCTTATTTTAGGCCTTTTGAGCCTGGCCAGTGGCCAATTATCCGACTGCACTTGTTCATATACGACCACGGTGACAGAGACTGTGAAACCATCGTCAACTTCCCCGTCAACTTCCGGTGGGGCTTGAGATTATGCCGATCTGTCTAAAAGGCGCTAATCTGTCTCAGGGGCTGCATCAGCCGTCACAGTTGCGACAGACAAGTCTGGACAGTTCACGGCCATTGGCGATGCTATTTCCTATGCGCAACACAACGAAGTTCCCACTGTGACCGTTCTAGCGGGTACCTACCCTGCCGTCACTGTTTCTGCAACTCCGTCTGTCGCTGTGATTGGGGAAAGCAAAAGTGACGATGACTCCTCGCAGAATGAAGTTGTAGTTTCTGAAGCGGGAACGGCCCTGACAATATCCGTCAATGTGGATGGCATCACGTTTCAAAATCTCAATTTTGTCAACACGGGAGCGGATGACCCCGCCGTGAAGATCAAAGGGAGCAAGCTTGCATTCTACGCCTGTCAATTTGTTTCGGCGGGACCCGTCGGACTTGAAACGGGCCTGGGTGTGGGGATTATCGCGAACAGTTATATCGAAGCCCAGGAAACAGCCATCGACGGCCAAGCAACATTGTATATTTTCAACACGGATATTGCACTCGTTGAGGACTCGGCAATTGTTGCCTACACAACTGGTACCGACTTGGAAGGCACGCTGTATAACTCCACCATTGTTTTCGATGAAGCGACAGTATCCCCCAAACGAGGCGACCGGAGCGACAGGGGCTACTTGGCGAAGGCCAAAGGCTTGGGATCGGTGGTGATCTACCGAGGCTCAGACCTTGATGGGTTTATCGCCGACACTGGAGTTTACGTTGATGATATCACCCAGGACGGGAGCAATCTCTACGGCGAGTACGCTGATACAGGATCGGGGGCGTACCCAAGTAACAAAGACGCCAGATCGCCATACGTTGCGCTCTTGGATGACTCCAGTATCTCTCAATTCACGCTAAGTGCAGTATTTGCGGGCGCATACCCTGATTTCGCCACGACAGATATCAGTTGGATCGATCACACTGTTTTAGACGAAATCGGAAAAGCAGATGAAATCAGTCCTGCAGGGACAAGCACAGGATCGGACTCCTCCCCATCGCCAACGAGCTCGACTTCCCCAGATGCGTCATCCTCTCCTTTGGTAGTCTCAACCGATTCATCAGATGGTCAATACACAAGCGTGCAAGATGCCATTTCCGCCCTTCCAGATGATGGAAAACCTTATGTGATTGAGATCAGGAGTGGCGTGTACAAAGAGCAGATCTCTATTACCCGGGCTGGAATGGTTACGCTGCGTGGTGAGACTACGTTCAAAAACGACTTCACCAAAAACACTGTCACGATCGAGTTTGAGGATGGCGTCGCGACGAAAAAAACGACGATGAGAAAACGCCCGTCATCAATGTGAAGAATACCGACGGCAAGACTGTGGTTGCTTTGTATAATATCAACTTTCGGAACACATCCCCGCAGAGTGGAGATACTGTCGCACTTGCTGCGGATTTCGACGGCCTCGTCGCTGCATACGGCTGTTCGTTCATCGGTTACCATCACACGCTTCTTGTCAACAAAGGAACCCAGGTGCTTTCCAACACGTACATCGAGGGTTCAATTGACTTTATCTGGGGCTCTTCCATCGCATACTTTCATCAATCATTCATCGCAACAAATACCCCCGGTTACTCCATCGCCGCACAAGATCGTTCGTCAGCAAAGGCTAGTGGAGGATTCGTGTTTGACGCAAGTGTGGTCACATACACTGCCTCTTATGGCACTTCCTTCGGGAAAACCTACCTTGGGAGGCCCTCTGCCGCTTACAGCCTTGTGATCTATATGAATTCCTTTCTGGATAAACAAATCAGTGCGGTCGGTTGGAGTTCCGAGGGCGAAGGGACAGATGATGTGACATTCGGGGAGTACAACAATTATGGGCCGGGAAGCTCATTAGACGAGCGGGCATCCTTTGCAAAAGCTCTGACTAAGAGCCAGGCGGAATCCTACACATTGGCAAACTGGATTGGTGACACCTCATGGCTTGATATGATGGCTTACAATTATGTCCCATCCTATGATCTGTCCCGCGGCACAGATGGTGCGTCTCCCATAGCGCTAGATTCCGCTACAGGTACATCAACCGCAGATCCAAGCGGAACAGATGGTGCATCTCCCACCGACGCAGGCGGAGCAGGCCCGGCCACAGGAAGCTCAACCAGTCCAAATGGAACAGGCACTGCAGGACACCCAGACAGCGGAACGAAACCCTCGACAGGAGCGGTCCTTGTCTCTGTCTCGGGCACAATCAACAACTCGTTTTCATCCTTGACCGACGCGCTGAAATCATTGCCGTCCGACGACTCTATGCAAGTGATCTTCATCTACGCAGGAACCTATCAGGAGCAAGTTCCTTCGATTGATAGGAAAGGTCCAGTAAAAGTGATTGGGTATACAGAGGGGAAACCAGGCCAGTCTTACTCCGACAATGAGGTTACCATCACATTTTCCAGGGGACTTCCTATGTCCTCAGGTTCATCTGATCCATCCAGCTCAAGCGATTCGAGTACCGCCACCATTTCCACCACTTCAAGCAGAATCGCGTTTTACAACATCAACATCATCAACGGCGATAACCTTGACGGTTCACAGACATCCTATGTCGCAGTCGCAGCATCCATATCTGGATCGCAGACTGGATTCTACGCTTGCAGCTTTATCGGCTGGCAGGAAGCCCTACTGACTGGCGGTGCTGCTGCATTGCAATACTACGAGTCATCTTACATCGAGGGTGCTGTTGATTCCATTTCCGGATCTTCAACAGCATACTTTAAGGGATGCACCCTTGGTGCAAAGTCGAAGGGTGCTGCTTTCACAGCGCAGAGCCGGCCATCCGAAAAGGCTGGGGGCTACATTTTCGATCAATGCCTTTTTGGTGCCGCTGCAGACGCCACGGGGGATCTCACGAGTTCAGTCTATTTGGGCCGCCCACGTTCAGAGTACTCCCTTGTTGTGATCAAAATGTCCCATCTGACCGGCATAATAAATCCGTCAGGATGGAAAGTCTGGTCATCTACAGACCCTCGAACCGACCACATCACTTTCGCTGAGTACAAGAATACCGGCCCGGGAAATTGGGAGAATAACGCAGATGCTCGGCAAGCATTTGGATCTGCTACGCTTCTCAGCGCCGATACCTATACCTTATCTGATGTGATGGGCTCTACGAACTGGATCGACCTCACATATTGGGATTTAATAACAACACCAAATGCCGAATTAGGGGCCGCGTCATCCCCCGGCCCGCCGACCACCACTTCGGATAGCACGACACCCTCGGACAGCACGACACCCTCGGACAGCACGACACCCTCGGACAGCACGACACCCTCGGACAGCACGACACCCTCGGACAGCACGACACCCTCGGACAGCACGACACCCTCGGACAGCACAACACCATCAGATGGGGCATCACCTTCAGACGGGACAACACCATCAGATGGGGCATCACCTTCAGACGGGACAACACCCCCAGACGGGGCATCACCTTCATACGGGACAACACCCCCAGACGGGGCGTTCATCGTCTCTAAGACAAGCATCGCGGACAAGAAGGTTTATGACACAATCCAAAGTGCTCTTGATGCCTTGCCGACCTCAGCCAGTGCCTCATCCACTGTGTTCATTTACCCTGGCACCTATGATGAGCAGATCGTGGTCACAGCCCCTGGCACTGTAATTCTCGTTGGTTATTCAGAAGCCACGAGCGACAATGAGAAAAATCAAGTCACGATTCAGAACAACAAAGCGGGGAATCCTAGCTCAGACAATTCTTTAACCAGCAGCGCCACTGTTTATGCCGATGGAAACAACCTGCAAGTGATCAACATCAACTTCTCCAACACGCATAATGGAGCCGACGACGCATCAGTAGCATTCGCTGTGGCATCTGCAAAGTACGCTAGTCTTTATAGCTGCCGGGTCACCGGCAATCGGAACGCTCTTGTGGTCGATGGCTTTTTCTTCGCCGCGAACAGCTACATCGAAGGCAATCAGGACATGGTTTCTGGAAGTGGCGCGGGCTATTTCCTCGATTCAACTATATCTCCAAACGAAGATGGGATTAGTATCACAGCAGATAAACGGGCCACCAGTTCTACACCCGCAGGACTCATCTTTGACCAGTGCAAAGTAACCCCGGTGGGTGGTGCAGGGGCAATGTCCGAGATCTCACTCGGAAGACCGCAGAACTCCAATGCACGAGTTGCCTACATTGAAACCCATCTTGGGTCTTGTGTAGAGCCCAAAGGGTGGGAGATCTGGTCCTACGCCAGTCCCAGAACCGATGGTGTTTTGTTCGGTGAGTTTAAGAATGACGGTCCAGGGTCCGATACCTCCCAGCGCGTCTCTTTTGCCACGCAATTGACCGATACATCTGTTGTGCAATTCGAGATTGGAAATTTCTTCGATGGACTTTCTTGGATTGATTTTTCGCATGTTTACGGAACGCCTTTCAGCGTGGAACCGTCCTCGCCAATAAGCACTTCACCAGATGCAGGCTCTTCGTCAGCAGATCCTTTGGGCTCAAACACCATTACCACCAGTACCATTCTGGTGACAACCACGTCCTCCGTGACCATCACAGATGCCACAGCGACCTCGGTAGAAACGAAATCAAATACTCTCGGCTCGGGCTCCACTATCACACCCGCACCTGTGACTGAAACGACTACTGAAAATGGACAAACAATTATTATTGAAACATACACCAATGCCGAATCCATAAGGACCGTGACAAAAACCTCGACAGTTACGAATATTGTACCTGATAAGGCAACATACACCCGAACTGTCATTTCGACGACCACTATCACATCAACTCCGCGACCCGCTACAACAACATCGACGCTGACTATCACTTCCGGCCCCGGGGACACAAGCACAAAGACTGGCAAGACCACAGTTTTGACTACAAGTGTGACTTCAACGAAGACCGAGACCGAGAGTATGACAACGACCCTCAGCTGTATACCCGCAAGAAGAATGAAAAGAAATCTACTCCCGCCCCGATCAGTCCCTGCTACTAGGCCCAAGAATCCTACAAAGATCACAGGCTCCGCCACGACAACCAGCATGGTCTCCAATTTGGCTGAGTTGGGTGATAGCACCACAACCACGAATGTACGCCATGTGAAAATCACCATCTCGTTTGTGACATCGACTGTGACCGAAACAAAGACTGCCACTATTGCTGCAGACACTGCCGTTGCTACAGTGACCGAGATTGCTGGGGATCCAATCACTTTAGATCCAGAGACGTTGACATCGACCATCACATCACCTTCAACCACCACATCTACCACGACTGTGGCGGCCTCTGTCGCGACAATTACAAGCTTTACGACAACCACAACTCAGTCCACCGTAGGACCGGCTCCCTCCACTGTGATTCTGGTAGTTGTGACGCAGACACTAACATCTACGCTCTACTTACCTGCATCTACCTCGACGGAGACCAAGACCATTACCTACGATAGTACTCCTACTACGACTGTTACCTTTCGCCCTACCTCTACGAAGACCAAGACGGTCAAGACCACCACTACCACCACTACCAGTACAGTGACAACGACTTTGAAAGATGCTACGACCTGTGCTTCCTGATGGACAGATAGAAATATTCAAAATTGCTTGGACATTTCAGGAGTTTATCTTATTACAGATTTGTGAATTTTTTGGCCACTTGTCTTTATCCCCTGGGCTTAATTTTGTGCACTAAACGGAGTCAGTCTGAATTCCGAACCCTGATCTTCCCCCCATATGATTTTGCTTCGAACTGGGGATTTGGTAGACCACAAGAGCGGGATAAAGGTAAATGGAAATACCGCAGTAGGCTTTCTCGGTTAGGCCCAGTACCAAATTTACTATAATTCTGCTTAAAGTAATAATATCGCCGTACTGATATTTACTTCAAACTTTTTCAATTCCATAGTCTGATGAGAATGTTGTAGCAATAAAGTTCAGCCAAATCTATCATTTTTATTGAGCATTAGGACTTTCCTCCGAACCTCGATTCGACAATCGCGTAGAACAATTGTATTATTCTCTACTTCAAAATCTACTTCCATTTCCTTGAGTAGTGAGGCATCGACACCATTTGACATACCCACCAACTCCAGGCTGAACTTCCACAGAATTATTAGAAGAATCAGACATGGCACAGACACGCGCAGAGTGTTTGCCTTCACCGTGCAGTTACATCTCTTACGATCCCCTAGGGTTTCTCATACCACCAGACTCCAAAAACATCATCTCACCCTCCTTTAAGCAACTGCAAGCGACTTTGAACATGCTTCAGGAGCAGTTTAGCACCCAGAGCGCCCCAAAATTCCAGTATCTTCATGTTTCTCACCTGGAGGTAGATATCTTTGAGAAAATCCTGAATGATGAAAATAAGTTTCGAGGAGCCAGGGCTACCGTCTCTTATGAGACCAATGAGATTCTATACAAAGTGATCCCCGCCCAGCATCACCAATCCTTGGAGATATTCATCCAGATAGTAGCGAGACGGTTGGCCTCGATGGGGTTGAAAGGCTACCGGGGCCATTGGATGAGTCGAGGATCCGCAAGGACTGCTGGATGGACTTGTGGCAAGGAGCCCGACTAGTGGTTTGGGCCAAATAATACTCTGGTCAATGGCGATGGTGGTAATTCTTCACTCGTCCTGAAAGTTGGCCTTGTGCAGTCATATGGGCAATCACGGAATGATGCCCTCTGGTGGCATGGAAACTCCGATATGGGAAGCTCCGACGGGGATCGGAAAACCAAGGTGGTAGTTCTGATGACCTCCACCTGTGAGCCTGCATGGCGGCTGGACATTGAGATTTGGACCGAAGTCCCAAATACACAACCCATGCGCAATACTCGGAGTCGGTCCATGAGAATACTGGAACGGACACAGCATGTATACTTCGAGAATGGCGCCGTCCATGGGGGACCGCTGGTGTTGAGCTTTGAGCTGATGATGCGCCGACGACCGACCGGGAAAGAAGCGGATATTGTGCTAGATGAGATGATATCGGCGGTATGTGCCAAGGTTTTGTCGTGAAGGCAATGTTTTGAAAGACATGGCCGTTGCTTGGAGTTCTTCTACACAAGACCGGGATGAGATCCGCCGTCCTATCCCACTTTGCTAGGTGGATCTAGCTATGAAGAAATAACGAAATCGAAAGCCACTGCACACTTCAAGATTCTCACTGGCTTTGCTATAATACATCATGTTTCGGGGTAACATTCCATGCGGATAAATGGCCCGGATCTCGGCTTCAACCTTCCACGCCACCATCTCAAAGCAGCAGTCAAAACCGCGTAGACAAAGGCTGAATATGAAAGGGATTGTGCGTGGAAAAGTGCGTAGAACTGCGAGGAATAAAAGATGTTCCGGGGCTTGACCCACCACATTCTTGAAGCGGTTGTCAATCGACGAAAACGGTAATTTTGCCTCTGAAGAATGTAACTCAGACTGTGGAATGCGACCCCGGGTTTGACCCGCTTTTCTCGAACCAACTCACATCTATACATGTGCCTCGAGTTTCTCACTGTGAGTATATGTCAAACAGACGCTCTTTTCACGGAGATATAACCAGTAGGGCCATCGGCAATCCCGATCGTGACCACACTCCGAGTCCTCAGCGCGCAGTGCTATGACCTTGGAGCTTTTTCTATAATTTGCAGCTAGTTATGTCTCGAAAGGGACCATGTGGATATCCTCAATCATTACCATGGTACCAAGGTCCGCTTCATCTCCCCTTATCTCTTTCCTCTCAATCCATGGTAAGGCAGCCGCAAATGGGACAAGCTCACTACAGGGACCAAGGTCCCGATCAATGTAACTGTTGAGATGCTTAAGAACTGGATTAGAACCGGGAGTTAAATACACTTGACAATTTCAATCATTCAATCCCTGTGTATACACTAAGCTGATATCTTTCAACTCATACCCCTGGGTATTCGCAATAGCTCAATGCACTCCATCGTCAAACCCATCTCCTTCCTGCTCATCGCATCAGCAGTCCTTGTTAACGCTCAAGATGCGGTAGTCGGCCAAAATTTAGCAGCCAGCAGTGACAGCGGATCATGCGCGTCACAATCGTATGTCTTCTTCGTGTCGCTCGACAAGAATTTGCTGACAATCTTCAGGATCGTCGATACATGCGTCAACGTCATGAGAGGCACACTCGAAAAGTGCACCGACAACGACTGGGACTGCAAGTGCTCAGGGAGTGCCAATATTGCCAAGTAAGTACTCCGAGGTCTCTCAGGCCATTGGCTAATCTGTGAAGTTGCTACGAGGACTGTCCCGATGACCCGGCACGCTTTTCAGCCATGTTAGTGAGCGAACAGGACTGTGCGACTGCGAATGCTTACGACAAGGGTGAATCATCCGTTGCGGCGACATGGACTACCCCCGGCCCCAATACTGTGACGGCAACTCCTACAGATACCGCGATTAGCACCACTACCAGTACTGCTGAGCCCACAGATTCATTGCAGGCAGAAAAGGATGCCAGTCCCTCTAAGGGAGCTGCGCCCATACAGTCTGCTGGTAGTTGGTTGGCGTTGTTGGGACTGGGAGTTGGGATCATGATATAAGCGATTGGTACTTTCATTGAAGAATCATAATGTCAATCTCGAATTGGTCAAATTTCACTAAGGAGAGATTTGCATTGTGGCAATAAGCCTTCCTCTTCTATCTTCCAATGTTTAATCAACGATGCGTCCAAATTGATTGTCAGACACGCCAAGTTCTTTTTTTCCTGCAAATCTTGGTCGATGTAAGCTAACTTTGCCTCTGAAGGAAATGCAAAAGCTCCCTTTGGTGTGGCGAGAGGTCTTGGGGGCCTAATCTTATTCCACAACCCAACACAATCCCCCATCTGCCTCCATCTAGTAATCACTCCCAACTGCGGTAAGGGCAGAAAACATGTGCTTCAAGCCATGTTTATCCCTCACCCTCAGTGATTGGCTGTAGTGGTCATCAAGCGCAATTTTTCGAACTGGCTGTGAGCACCTGCCTCATTCAGATAAGCTCCCCCGTTCGGTGTAAGATTCTCCAATCCTGGGAGGAGGAAATGCGTAACGAGTTTTCGGCCTTCAATCTTGAGCTTTCAATTTGTGCTGCTCAGAGTCCTGTGGCTCGTTAAGATTGCGTAATCGTAGATCGAAAGGTCAGTCACGTACGTCCCAAGTACAGTATCTATCGCTGCATCGCGCCAGGCTGGGTTGACCGAGGTTGTCGGCCCATGGTTTTTGGTGCCGGATCGGGAAGCGTTGACGGAAATATCCGAGATCACGCCACCATACTTTACAATCTTGAGAAATCGATCAGCCATGATAGCTAAGTCGAAGTCAGTAAGGAACCGTGGTATTAATCTTCCTCCCCAGGTTGTCTTGGGAGATGTTGACGTCCTGGCACATGGACTCAGAGCTTCAATAACCTGTGGGAAAGTCCTCATGTGATAGGCTGATAGCCTATATGCTTATGCGTAGACGAATCCAAAAATCAAGAACTGTTGCAGATATGATATAGGTAATTTTTGACTGGTTGAATCTCGCAGGAAATGGGACCATGGCCGCCTGTAGCTCCTTCTTAGATCCATAGGGAAGGGTGATCGGTGTCTACTCAAACGCATGACTCAATACACGGCAGCTCTATGCGTATATAGCAATGAGCCCAGAATGTAATCCAAAAGATACTGACATTGCCGTCAAAACGTCGCCTGGGTTGCGCCGACGGTCGCGAATATCAAGCACGTCTTGCAGTCCACATCATTTCATGCCCCTTACTATCGAGACCACCCCGCCGTACATCCCACCACCTCCAGAAAGCCGTCACTAAATGCCCTTGTAATTATTGTGCCGTGCAACCCTTACCAGTCTACCTGTACCAGTCATAACCTCCTATTCCAAGACTAGGCTTCGGCATATGGGGTTGGGGTTGGGGCCAAAATGGGGCCCCCATTTTCTTTTGAAATGGGGGCAGAACCCTAATGGGGCCCTATTTGCCCCCATTAATATGGGTCTAAATTATGTGTATTTTTCATAAAATATGTAGAAATATTGGTTTTGGAGGGGTAAAATACCACTTTAAATACCTTATATATTACACATAGATAATATAAACTCAGCTTTTAAAGGTATAAACTCTATGGTTCTACCTTATTTTTTAATTTTTTTTGTTGTTTTTATATATAAAAGCAAGACCCATAAGCCACGCTAATACCCTAGCACCTATATAATTAAGAAAAGCACGCATAATCAATCTTATTAATTAGTGATATGCCTATTCTATACTATCCCGTGTCTACCTAGTAGCTCTAGCTCTTCTAGAAACCCTAATTGAAGGTAATTCTCTATCGTCTAACCTTTTATCTAAAGAATCTTTAGATGAAACCTCCCTTGTTCTCTTTATAGACTACTGAATCGGGACTAGCTACTCTTCCTCACCTAAGCTATTAAGGTCTAGATCCTCGATATCACTAATATCCTTAAGTAATACTCGAGTCTCTAAGTCCTTTAATCCTACCTCCTCTTTAATCTTAAGGGTTTTAACGAGCTGAGTTAGCTCTTTTATATCTATATTAAACTTTATAGTGCGATTATATACTATAAGGTCTTTTATAGTAGAAGTACTTAGCCTACCACGCCGGTAGTGGCATATATCACGTGCTATATTAAATAGGCGCTCTATACTAGTACTAGTTACTAGAATAGAGAAGAGATCTTAAGCTATCTAAGCTAGGGTAGGGTATTTAGTCTAATTATTCCGCTAGAAGATATAGGGTTCCTTATTAATTAGCCCTAGTTAGGTTAGTAAAGGGTGGTTAGGTTAGGCTATAGATATAGAGTCTATAGATATAGAGTCTATATATATATAGATATAGATATAGATATAGATATAGACTTAACATACTAGCTTAAAGGTAATCTCCTAGCTTATCTACTTATATAGGTAATATACTAGCTTTTAGAGGCATTATAGACTAGACCGCTAGCTCTATAGCTATATATCTCTAGGCTTAGGGACTTAAGATTAGGTTATCTTATTAATAAGATCTAATTAGATCCTATAAGCTTGATCTATAGACCTTAATATAATTAATCATCTTATCTTCCTACTCTTTAGATTAAAAGAATTAAAGCTTATATTACAGGGTAAGGATCATTCTATATATATATATACTACCTAGGGCTAGGTCTATGGTCTAAGAGTAATACTCTTGAAGCTTAGATTTAGCTACTTATAGAGCTAAAAGCATATCTTATTTCTATAAAAGCTAGAGTTATATAGTTAGTATAGGGTAATATAGGGTTATATAGGGTTATATAAGCTTATATAACCTATATATAAGCTTATATAGGTTAAATATACCTTCTTTTACTAAAGCTTAGTAATAGAAGACTTAATATACTAGAATAAAGCATTATAGATATTAAATATACTATATATAGTGATATCCTTTATCTTATATAATATAGTAGTAAAGATAAAGAAAGGCTTTATAATATATAAAAGATAGGTAATTTAACGCTATTTATCTGATCTTATATATATTTTACCCTAGAATAGCTTATAATAGCTATCTAGAGCTAGTCTAATCTAAATAGCTCGTTCTAGTATTAGAAAGATCGAGTTCTATTAAGTCTAAATATCCTAGATAGGGTAAAGTAGGTCTTTTATCCCATCTTTTATCTATTCTACCTAGAAATTATCCTATCTTTATAGGCTTACATTAATATAGACCACTAGATTCTATACCTTCTATAGCGTATAAGCAATACTAGTTATCTAGCTGATTTCCTTATGCTTTTAGAGATCTTTAGACTAGACTAGCTCGATATTATTATTTTTAGGGTTAACCCTAATCATCCTATATAGCTACTTTAAGGATAGCTAGATCATATATACTATATAAGGGACTTAAGGAATCGAGGTCTCTAGATAAGCATCTTAAAGAAGTTCTTAAAGAGATAAGATCAAAGTCTTATTATTTAAAGCGTTATCTATAGTGATAGCCATGATCTAGTCTAATATATTATGCTTTTCTAGTATTAGGGTAAGCATATATATAAGATTAGCGCCTAGATATAGATATATCATATATTAGTCTAGAGCTATATAATATAGAGCTATATAATATAGAGCTATATAATATAGGGTGCCTAGGGTTAGACTTACCTAAATAGGGGCCATATAGGGGTTCAAACCCTAGTAGGACCTCTCTATAGTGCTAGTCTAGGTCTAGAAAATAGCCTATAATAGCTAGATAAGATTAGGAGTATAGAGATATCTAGTAATCTAGGGTAATTAAGAGCTTAGAACCTTCTAGAAGCGTGCTTAAAGTGGTTATTTATTGATTTAAGCTTTTATCTTATAGGCGACGAGATAAGGTTCGAGGGGAAGGTATAGATAGGACTAAAGTAAGCTAGGCTATTCCTTCTATAAAGGCCTTAAATTGCTAACTATTTAAGATATTAAAAGGTAGGTGGTAGGTAGTAAAAAAGTTCATAAGTAGCTTAAACTATGCTTAATAGATTATATACTACTTTAATTAAACTACCTAGGTAGGGTTAGTATATATAATATATATAATATATATAATATAAGGTAGTGGGGTAGTGGGGTAGTAGGGTAGTAGGCTTACTATAGTAAAGGCAAAGCTACTCTTAATTAAAGTCTAGCTAGGGTTTATAACCCTAGACTTATAGAATTTCTTAAAATGGCGACGAATAGTAGAGGTTCTATTAATAGAGCTTCTACTATTACTCTAATTAGGGTGGTTAAATAGTATTTAATATACTATATAGCGTACTTTTAGTAGTCCAGTCTAAACTTCTATAACTTATTTAAGATAGGACCAAATCTTCGAGGTTCCCTTTTTTGCCTAGTTTAGAGGTGGTCTAATATCCTTTAGCCCATTTAGGGTTGTTTTCTACTATTTTAGGAAGATACTATAGTTTAATTAGGACCATATAGCATGATTTCCTGCTTTAGGTATAGAAAACTATAGAATTCTATTAAGTAGGGTACCTAGGGTAGATAGGTCGCTTAGGGTGGGTAGGGTGCTCTAGGTGGGGTAAAACGTTAATATTAAATCAGATAGAGTAATTAGATCGCTCTAGAGAGGGTTTAGAAACCCTAATTCTAATATACTAGGTATATAGAGCTAAGAGAGAGCTAGGATGAAAGGATTTTTGAAGATATTACCTTCTAGAACCCGATTAGTTAGATAATATATATAGGTCTAGTTCTATAGCTCTAACTGGTTGCTACTATAGTGGTCTTACCTACGCGCTATATAATTAGGAATACTAGTTTGATTAACCTATATTTCTATAGAACTCCCACCTAAACTAGTTAAAATAGAGCTTTCAAGCTTATATATAAGGTTATTACCTTATAATATAGCTTATTCTTTATTTAAATTATATATATAAAGGGTGGTTGGGGCGAAGACCTAGATATATGGTCAGTAAGCTACACGTTCTACATATATATATCTCCCCCATTAGCACAGTAGATCAACCACTTCAAAAATTACCACCCTATATTATAACCAGCCACCCTAAATATAGGACAATCTAGGGTAATATAGTATAATAAGCTTATATAAAGCTATATTACATATAATTACAATAGTTAGGGTAGAAGGTTCTAGAAATAGTGGTTGCTATACATATACAGACCAGAACAGGCGTAATTAAAAAAAAAGTCTTCGCAAAAAATATGCAAAATCAGGCAAGAATAGGCAGGAATCAGGCCAAATTCAGGCCAAATCAGGCCAAATCAGGCATCTACGCTAACCTCATTCAAAAGGGCGCCCCCATTGGGGCCCATTGGGGCCCCCAATGGGGGCATGGATTTTTTGGGGTGGGGTGGATTTTGGAATTTTAGAATGGGGCCCCATTTGCCGAAGCCTATCCAAGACCTTGTCAGCCGCCAGACCGTAATGTGAAACAGGTACAGGTAAGTTACACTAGATCGAAAACAGTTTCACCACTTACACACAGAGAATCTATCTCGAACCCTTTTTCGAAACATACTATACCTATTGCGGTTACTCTACAATCTAGCTCGGCTCGATCCGTTCCTGGAGACACTTTACCGTGCCCCACATTGATCTACTGCGTGCCTGTCGGATTAGCCCCTAAGTCACCTGATGATCACACCGTGGACACTTTACCCCCTCTTTAGCTGGATGGCAGGCAAAGTGCCCTTCATAGAGAATCTGAAAAACTTACTTATCGACCGTGACATCAACGTCATTTGGTGGCGAGAACTATGGGATACAGATCGGAGATAACTACGGCTCGATCCATGCAGATTTCCATCCTCCTAGTAAGGCGTAGGAACCCAAACATCACCACTCACTGATTTCTGCCCAAATTAGAACGACCAGAAACTCCATCCCGTCCTCTATCAACTGTACCATTCCCGCGCGACCCGGATTTTGTCTGTCGTGACACACTACTGAACCAGCGTTATAGCAAATCTTTAGCCCCGGGGGCAAGAATCACGCTGGTCGGCCTCGGCGGTGTTGGGTTAGTAAAGAGTAATAGCTTTACCGTTCATTGCTTACGGTTCGAAGGAAATCGCAGCTCGCGATCGAATACCCGTACCAAGTCCGATGCGAGTCTCCAGGGACTTGGATTTTCTGGATCTATGCAAGCAATGAAGCCCGCTTCGAGCAAAGTTTCCGGGAAGTCGCTGATGAACTTAAACTCCCCGGGCGTTGGGACCCCGGGGTCAAAATATTCCAACTCGTGGAAAAGTGGCTCCGAGATCAGAAGAAAGGGAGATGGATCTGTGTTATTGGTAATGTGGATGACGAACTCCTTTGCTCAATTCCGGCAGCGAGAAAAGACGACCCGACGAAAGTGCCAAAAAATACTCCTACCAAACCACTACTAGAATACGTTCCTCGAACACCAAATGGCTTTACTATTCTGAAAAGTTGAAGTCGAAGTCGAGAAATTGCGTTGAGAATGGTCAATGATAAGGACCTCATTGATGTTCAGCCGATGGAAAGATCCAAGGCTTTAGACCTCTTCCAAAAGAAAATGGATCAACCAGAAGACTGCTAAGAGAGCCAATAATTGGTAGAGATGTTGGAATTCATGCCGCTAGCAATCGTGCACCTAGCTGTTCAATAGCACAATATCTAAGGAATTTTCTTAGTGATCATAAGGCGACCAAGCTACTGAGAGAAGAGGTTGGTCATACGTACCGGGACTGGGAAGCAAAGAACTCCATCCTAGAGACGTGGCAAATTTTATTTGAATACATGCGACAAGTGAGGCCATCTGCAGCGGACCTACTTTCCCTCATGAGCTTTTTTGACCGGCAAGAAATACCTAAGAACCTCGTCCAGCCTTACCCCAGAGACATATGCATATCCCGTGCAAAGTTTGGGAGTGACTCTAGTGACTCAGAATCGTCGCTTTCGGATATGTGCCTCGATTTTGAACACGATGTGCATACGCTCAGAGACTTCTCATTTATATCAATATGTGAGAACGACACTTTGTTCATAATGCATTGGCTGGTGCAATTGTCTAGTCGTGCGTGGCTCAATTCACATAGACAGTAGGAGCAATGGAAGGAAAGATTCATTAAGGATCCAGCCGAGGAGTTCTCGAGGGTTGATTATAAGACTTGGGAACGGTGCCCCCATGTTAAACCCGCGATATCGCAACGGCCAAAGACCCGGGAATTTCCAAACGGAATTATCTTGGTTACTCTATAAAGGGGCCTTGTATGCGCTGGGAGTGGGCTTATTCGGTGACATGGAGGAAATGGCATCAAAGGCAAAAACACATAGGGTGGAATTGCTTGGTCACGGAAGCGAGCCGGCTCTCGAGAGCACAGCAATGTTAGCAATAGCGTACCGAAATCAAGGCCGAGCGGCTGGAGGTGCAGGTAATGGAGAATCGCATGATGAAGCTTGAAAAGGATCATCCCGATACGCTGCTGAGTATGGCCAATCTAGCATCGACGTACTAGAGCCAGTGTCGGTGGGTAGAGGCCGAGCAGCTTGGGGTGAGGGTGATGGAGACTCGCAAGACGAAGCTTGGCGAGAACCATCCTAATACGCTTTCAAGTATGGCCAATCTGGCTTTCACCGGGAAATTCTCAGGTCACGATCCTAAGCCATTGATTTCCTCCGGAATTGTCTGACCAAACAGAGATATGAACTCGGCTCAAGTCATCCGCATACTCTATCTACTTCCCAAACCTTGCTCGCATGGGAAATGGATCGATTGACTATGAGTTCGTAAATAAGCTAGCTGATAGGAGACGTGTCTCAAGACCAGTATGTCCATCAACTTTGAAATTCCTGCGATCATTGTGTTGTCGATGATCCTAGAGTACACCTGAATGAGAAAAGTGATAAGAAAAGTGATAAAACTCCTCGTTAAGAGTTCAATTATAATGATGTTATGGCGCATAAGTGAATAGCGTACCGCAATGGGCAACTACGTAGACAATATATACGCTTTTCACGTAATATACTGTATTGGTCTTATTGCCTGATAATACGATCTTCCAATAAAATACCACACATGAAACTACCCCTAGCCAGGATATAGATTAGTGTGTTTACACGGCTGCGCCATTTTCCGCTGAGTAGTTGAACATCCAAAGAACGAACATATTTGAGGAAAACACAAAATGGGCGAATCAGTGATAAGTATCGTTTGCATCCACGAGATTTAATCCCCAGTAAGCAGACATAGTGGCCCAACTGATTCGAGAGGATTTCCCTGAAACATGGTAAACCAGCTACTCTCATCTATCCTCACCACAGCCTATCGTATGGTGGAGGATTTTGACTCGCCCGAAACGCTACTTCTTCTGACGGAGAGCTCCAAAGAGTCAATTCACCAATACATCTGGGACTCCGTGACCCGTTCCCCGATTGAATTGCCATTTGCGTCACACTTCATGGATGGAGCGCTTACGATGTGGCCCAATTGCTTGTCGACAAGGCGAAGGGGAGTGTTGTTGACACTTAGGGGTATTCCTACTCGCCGATGAATTAACGGAACAAGATGAAACAACATTGTTATTAGTGCAAATCGAGAGAACAGGACAAGAAGATTGCCCAAATTCTATTGGAACCGTGCGCGTAGCAGCCTAATTCTTGAACATTGAGGCAGTTGCTGTATCGGTCGCTTCCAAGGATGTGGGTGAATTGGTGACTCTGGTGGATGATGATGGAGTGTACAGAGGTGGAAGAGATAGATTCGAACGAGCACCAAGAAAGGGAGGCGAGGTGCCAAAGAGCCCAGTCTGATTACCTTAATCCAATACCAGCGTGTGATGGCAAAATCGGCACAGCAAGTATTCTAGAATCTCAAGTGATCTCATGGAAGCTTCCTTATCTTATGTGCTTATCGTTCATCATCGTGGGCCCGGCCCGACCTTATCTCCGAGTCCGCATCCACATGGACTCATGACGTACAAGACAAGCAGTCAAGGACAACAGAAACGAAAATGAAACTCACCTACCCGTTCTAATAGTTCCTACAAACAATACTACCGACTCTTTTCTCTTCGCTACACGCTCGGCTCTGTGCGGTCTCTCGAATTTCAAGACGACCAAGGTCGACCAGAAGCCGTTCATCTGGCCCCAACCTTCCCAGATCCAAGATGTCCCGCAAACGCCGAATTACCCTTGGCCAAACGGTAGTCTGAAAAGCCTTAGGCCACTGCACCGGGACAGTCAGCATCAATCAGAGCTCAGGGACGGGACACATCAGGAACGAGGTTAATGACCCACGCGGTTGGCACGCATCCCGTCGGGCACCGAGAGCGACATAGTTTACTCGGGGGAAGTTCTCGCATTTCATTACGGAGCAAATGAAGTGGTCAAATATCTACGTCATCTGTCTCATGAAAATCTCATTACGCCGACACACGTTGCAGCGGCAAAATCGACGAAATCCCAGCCGAAACCAACCATAGTGGGCTCATGGGAGGCAGGTTTCGGAAAGGTGGGTGTCGGTGACAGGGGTGACTCTGACTGAAATATACAGTGAGCGGTCTTTGATATTGCATCACGGCAGCCTAGGAGGGTTCCATATTGGTACTAAAGCCACTTGGCTCGCTGGTCAACTGATTGTGGGTGTCTGCTTGCTGCTGCGAGCAAGAGGAACGGCGGCGTTGCTGTTTCAATGGAGAGTTACTCCAGAAAGAAAGTGAGTAAAGATCGCAACATTTCAAAACTGGAAGTGATGAAGACGTAGGTGGGATACGGGAACACATACCTGCAAGTTGACTAATTTGAATGGAAATTTACTGGCCGCGATTTCGGAAACTTTGATCGATTCCTGGACTCAAAAGGCTCGACAATTTATATCCTCTAACACCCACACCATGGTCAATTATATCAAGACCAAGGTGTGTTCCTATTATAATTGGTCGCATTGACCTTTGGAGTCAATCCGAAATCACTTTTCACGTACTCTGAAACATTTTGTAATGGGATCCACGCAGTTCTACAAACAGATGATGATGATATACCCAGGACAGTGTTGCAATAGTCTTGACAGCCCAGGTGCTGGATCAACGCTTGGTATGGTGGAAAAGAGATGCTTTTGGTCTGTCCTTGTCTCATCTCTAATGCCAATTGATGTGCTTCAATACTATTCCTTCCTTCTCCCTCCATGTACGTATGTTTAGCCGTCGTTTTCCTCTCTTTGTGCGGCACGACGACTGGCAGAGTATGGCAGACAGGAGAGATAAAGAAAGAGTATAAGGTCCACAGCAAAGACACGCGCTTGTAGCCAGGCAGAGCACTGGGCTCCGTCGGAACACACGTGAGCTACAACTCATGAGCTCTGGAGGTCTCGGCACTCCAAATAGGGCTTCTCTTAGAATTCTCTTTCTTCTCTTCGGTTCCATGGTAGCATCATTATTCGTTCTTGGTCAGTCACGTCATAGCCACTTTGCGCATCCGCCAGAAAATCCAGCTGACTGAGCTGACAGGGACAATCGTGGAAGAATGATGAACCTTCGGCATGCGACGGAGCCTGCTTCTAACACACGACAAGATTCTGCACTTCTGCAGAATCAGCATCATTCATGCCCGAAGACCTTTGAATGTGCTTAAATTTGAACAATACCCGGACGTATTCGGTATGCGACGCAGAGTAAATTGCGGATCATGTCGCATGACGGGATCGGCACTCAAGAGGAAACGGCTCCATGCTGGTGTTGAATCTGGTTCAAATGCACTTTGCGCCCATTGAGATGCATTGCGATGCATTGCTGAATAATTGCAAATGCGACATGAGTCAAGCCTGACTATAAATGTCATTGATGTTCGATTAAATATGACGAAGTGGTTGTTAAAACAAGTTCCGCAATAAATTAAGGTTAAGTCTACGACGCGGTGACCCGATCCCGAGGCTCCCGAACAGCACAATTTAGTATTAAGGTTCATCAATCCACAATTTAGCTCCATGAGCCCCGAAATTGTGGTCCTGGAAACAAAAATGATGAAGCCTATCAGTGGTCTACGTCATTGCCAGACAATGAACGAATTTCATTGAGCGTCGGAAGTTGCACCAAAACTCTCTCCCGTATTCTCTCTTTGACGTTACTACAAGGCATAGTCTTGGTACCCAAGGCAAATTACTTGATATAGGCTCTCAGAGTCTTACCGCATTCATCATGGGCAGTGGTCATGACTCGAGAAGATGTGGGCCCCCGGAGTGGGTGTCCTGGTCGGTTTAAAACGCTGTATAGTACCCACGAGCGACGCAGAATAGTTTCTTCTTCACACCTTCACATTCACGTACAGAGCAACAGCGATTGGCGAGTGAAAATTTGAAAATATCAATCAATATGCGCTTCTCCAACATGGCTGGCCTCCTGGCTGGCGTCACTGCTGTCTCCGCCGCAAACTCAAGCTGTGCGCCCTCATCTGGTGACGCCACGGTGCTTGAATTTGCCTGGGGAATCTCCGACTTCCTCAGTGGATTCTACAACAACACCGTCAACTCGACCTTTTCTCCCACCTCGAGTAATGCCAGTATTGTCGCTTTCCAGCAGGTTCTCCTCGGCGTGGAAAAGGACAATCAACTTGGCATCCAAGCTATCGAGAAGGTTGGCGCCAAAGCCCCGGGATTCACGGCGCCCCAATGCAGCTACACCTACCCCACTATCAGCAGCCCTTCTATCTGGGCTCTGTGGAGCTACCGATTTGAGACCACCATCACTGGTGCTTTCATCGGTCTCGCTGGCTACACCCAGTCCCCCGAGGTTTCCTTCTTGCTGGCCCGTCTGGCTGCTGAGCACAGCGCCCACGCTACTCTGATCGGACTCCGTGTCAACTCCACACTTTTTGCTTCGAACGTCACATCTTTGGTCTCGGCATACGGACCTAACCAGGTCCTCTCGAGCAGCAACTCGACTGGTAGTCTGGGACAATACCTCGGAGGCTGTCTCCAGGCCCCTACCAGCCCTTGCGGAACTGAGCAGATCGGACCTTTGGTCGCCACTATCACTCCCTCGGGCTCAGGCAGCTCTTCTGCTTTGGCTAGCAGCACCCCATTGAGCTCTTCGGGCAGCTCTTCTACTGCAACCAGCTCCTCCACTGCATCCAGCAGCACTTCCACCTAGAATTACCGATCAGGTGTGACGCCCACGTTAGAATAGAAGAACAGTCCGCGATGTTCGAATTCTAATACTAGTATCGATGCGATGGGAGAGATACAGCTAAGAGTTGTTATGTTTGGATTGTAATGCGTTGTCCTAATAAATGTTTCTGTCGGATTTTTGAAATTAGACTTGTCTTGTGGCTCTACTGTCGTCTTATACGAAATCGACCGTTGTAATCAGGTTTTCGCTGATCAGATATTTTTTTTCGCCCAGTAATTAGCTCGACTACTGTGAAGATGTGCATAGGAGTCATAAGAATTTAATATGGGCTGAATTGACTTTGGAAGTTTCGGGGTATTCTCTATCGAGGGGTCGACCCGCAGCTGGAACATGATGCAAACGAGATCACCTAATGATGCGGCCGATGAGTGACGCCAGAGGAATATTTGAGTGACTCGTTGCTCGCTACTGTGATGATGATGATGATGATGATATTCTATTAACCTAATGCTACCTGGCTAGTCATCGCCGTGGTAATGTAGGCGCTTCTTCCGAGAAGCAAGAATATGCCCGTACTCCAAACTCCACGCAGAAGATAACTAGAGACAAAAGAGAAGGGCGTCTGCCCGTATAGGTAATCCAAGTAATCCCACAAAATTCAGCCAAATCCCACAATATATATCTCTCCCATAACCTGCTTCTCCACCCCGTATTCAGCTGCTGGAGATTGCAGCTTTCGAACTCTTGCTTTGTCGATCAAAGTTCATGTTGCTTGTGTTGTCTTTTCCCGTAACTTCTCGGCAGTCACGAGCTTCGTGCTTCTGTAATACGCAGCGTCTTCGCCACCTGTCCATGCCAGTCAATTCTAGCCAGTTGTTTCGTCGTCCTCTGGGTCTGGCTCCAGCTTCACTTCACAGTGGCGGAATTGCCCAAGAAGACCTATCCGAATCATGAATTCTGCGACGTAGCGAGTCGCACGCGGGTGAGACATAAGTGCCTCATAATCCAACCCTCTGAGATCCGTCCGTGCTTGGATCTTTTCCAGCATCTCTTTCCTCTCATCCACAAAGCGCGGACAACGTAGTAGAACGTGCCTTGGCGTCTGTGAGCCCTCTTCGCAGCTACAGAGATCCGACTCGACTTCGCCAATTTTGAACAGGAAGTGATTCAACGCAATTCGCATGCTCCGCATCTACACCAGAATCGACGTGTAATGCTTAGGTCCAGTGAACAATTGCAGCATCTTTCGATGCGGAGTTTGAACCAGCTTTTGGTTCGGTTTTCCAGTCTTTTCCTTCGCCCACGAGAGTGCCCATCTCTCTTGAATTCGCCGTCGGACTTGCTGCTTTACCGTCGCTGTAAGCCGGGGAAACTGATCTTCCGACCCCGCGTCCTCTCCCGCATTTTCAGCCCCTCCAAGAGCCGCATTTTTCGCCGCAGCATCCGCGAGCTCGTTGCCCGGAACGCCCACGTGCGCGGGACTCCGGCGGATTGTGATTGAGACCTCGTCCGTCGGATTCGAGAGGGTGGGCGTTCGAAGGGATCGAGCGTGCGCGTAGATCGCGCGGAGAATATGCTGGCCGGAGGGGGGATTCGGGTTCTCGACTGCTTGAATTGCAGCACGACTGTCAGCGAAGATAACCAGTTCGCTTGGTCCTTTCTGGGATTGATTCTGGGACAATTTGAACTTATCGATGGCCATTTCAATTCCAGCGAGCTCCGCAGCGTAAACAGTGGCCTGTTCTGTGCTGCCGAGGAATCGGCGGGCTTGAATTCCACGGTCGGGCGCGACCGCGGACGCGCCAACTTTGCCTTCATACCCGCTTTCATCCGTGAAGAAGACCATCTTCCTCTGGTTTGATATGATCTGATCGTGTGATTTGATCGCAGCGTCCGAGTCTTGTATAATGCAATCAATCCGCTTTTCCCATGGGGGGAGAACGAATGCCCGCTTTGACTCCCACTGTCCTCGGCCGAAGAGAATTCCATCTTTCTTCCACCGGAGTTTCTCGAGCGGAGAGAAACCTCCAAGACGAGTCTCCTTCGCCGTTCTCTTGCCAAGCGTACTTAGGCAGAATGGTTGCGCCCACTTTGCGCCTGTCTGGATTCGGATTGCTGTTTCCTGAATGATTTGTTCGATCTGGAGCTGGATCGGAAGGAGAAAAAGCTCCACGTTTAGCGCCGCTGCGGACATGCTTTTGAAAGCTCCGGCGATCATGATTGCCGCGCGTCGTTGTAGATTGGTGAGTACGTTGATGACTTGGTTTCGTTTTGTCGCGGCGAGGCTTGGAAACCATGCTGTGACTCCGTAGAGCATCTGTGGAATCACGACCGCTTTTGCTCGCTACTGTTACCGTTCTCTCCTTTTGTTTTTGAGCGTTATGAATAGTAGTTAGGACCCATGTTTTGATTCTTTGTCATAGCCAAATAGTCTCCTAGGCTCACCTCAAGCATACTGACGTTAAGGGTGATGATGAGCAGTCCAAGCCCTGTAGGGTTGACTGACAACTGCACCACAATTTACCTAATTTGATTGAGAATTATGTTCACACAGGTACAATCTCTGAATAACCTCGCCAATACCAATTACTGCAAGTTCTGTCTTGACTATGATTTGAGTTGGAAAAAGTTCAAATGAGCGTTCAGGTGCAGTAACATCACCACTAGGGTCCTTGAAAAGTACAGGGTACTCTATCTATTGATGGCGCACAATCAAACACGCGAATATCCCCAAGCCTCGCCACCGTGTCGCAACATCCATCCCTAGGGCCGGTAGCGTGATGTTGGCGTCTGTCACCGCGCAGAACACGCAGTCCTCACTTGCTATACTGGTGTTAGAAATCAGAACCCGACCGCCCGCTGTGCGAATATAATCGGCTAGGTAATTGACACAAGAAGATGCGGAGCCATTGGCTGAGGGCAAAGGGATATTCAACAGATCAATCGGGGCACAGTTGATTCGAGCGTTCGCTACTCCCGCTTTCACCATCCCGCCCATGAGATACGTTACGGGACTCACGCAGTACATGAATATCCAGAAATCGGGAAGCGCATCGGGCTGGACAAGAATACCACCAAAATGAGACAAAGAGTGAATAACAGATGAGCAATGTTGACTGCGGTGAGTGAGTCGGACATTCCTGCATCGAGAATTTGGGAAAAAGTGGATGCCAAAGCGAGGAACAACAATATAAGATGAAAAATGAAAATGGCTCGGTCATTCATGCCAAAATCGCCGTTGCTCTCATCTAGACCGTTTCGCCAGAAACCTGTCGGATGATACCAGGACACGAATACGGGCATCGCAGTCAGAGATTACCAGGTGAGTTCGACTGCAATGTTTTGCTGCGACAAATACGGACCCACTGTATGCTTTGGATTGTCGTTCTCGGGCTTTGAAGATCTCACGGTAGTCGATAAATCGGGGGATGATCTGTTGATCGGCGGCGTTGAAAATAATTGCGAGAAAAAAACATGATAAGATGAAGCTGGTAAGGCTGGACGGTCTTATTCAGTAAACAACATGAGAGGCCGTTGAAAAGTCATTGGAATATTACTTACGTCAGAACAGCTGGAAATCAATGGCCCGAGAGTGCAATCTCACCGAGCCAATACACAAGGCTACTTTCGAATATATATAAGTCGGCTCCCGCCAGTAAGCCTGGAACATTCGATAGGTCCATACTTGCGTCTGACCCGAGGCGGCATATTCATAGTCTGCTGATTGTTAGGCAACTAAGGCAACTGGAAGCTCTCCATCATGGAGATCGCGCTTTAGGGCTTCGGCCTCCGGGCTGGTCCTCTAAATGACTTCCCAGTCGTTGATGGGTTTTAATTCCGTCGAGGCCGTGACTTTAAGGAGCCACTCTGCAGGATTCTTGCCCTCAGTAAGAGTGCGGGCCCCGGACCGGGTAAAATTGTCGCTCAAAGTTGAAGCACAGCGACCTAAATCCCGGAAATACGAAGGATTTTCCAGTCTGCAAGAGGAGCAGCTGGTCAAACATTTCAAACAGCTCTGCAGACGGCTGGTGAATTGTACACAGAATGGGCTGCCCGCCTTCCGAGAGTTGGTGCAGCAGAGTACAAATTGACCAGGCTGTTTGACTGTCTAGCCCGGAGGTGGGCTCATCCAGAAAGAGTAGTTCGGGGCGGGCGGTCATCCCTTGCAAGGGATTCCATGACTGTCTCAGAATACGTTCCATTTCAGCATCTGCAGGATAGTTTCAACGTATACAAAGGTCTCAGATCTTGGTAGGTCTCTCGGTTGACGAAGGAGAGCACTGAACTCTAATGCCTCGCGCACCGTTGTAGTGGGGAGATGGATGTCGGTCTGCTAAACGTACCCTGTCTTGCGTTAGAAGTATCCATCACGCGGTCGACCGTCGATCTGGACCTCGCCGTGAACAGGACCTATAGATTTGCGATTCGCGAGAACATCCAGAAGGATGGTTTTGCTAGCTCGAGTTGATCCCATTAAGGCGACTTGTGTGCCACGAGTCACCCAACAATCAACTCCATGTAGAATATAAGAAAGTTCTTTCTGATTGCCAGCTTTGAAAGCGTAGCCGACATGTCTCCATAAAGATACGGCACAAAATCCGATAACACGTAACACGGCAAACAGAACTCAGTTTTCGCCACAGATGTTTGGCTGAGTTCAAGTATGCATTGGACAGCTCTTCGATAGAGAATCAATCGAAATAACTGCCGTTCGTCATCCGATCAGCCTTATCTATCTATCATCGCGCAATTCGGCCCCTTTCCAGCTGATGTCATACGGAAATTCTATTTTCTCGCTGCTTGACTCGACAGGGCATTCCATCAGCGGGGTGCGACGCGCCCTGAGGAACCTGGTACGCCCGCTCACCAAATACGGTCTTAGGTCCGGATTCAGGGTGCAGCCGATCAAATTCTGCGTACTGGTCCTGGAAATCAAACTCACGGAGCGTGAGCACTAAGGTAATCTTAATATCTAGCATGGCTAGTGATTGACCAATACAATCGCGCGGACCTAGTTCAAAAACACGCCAACCATGCTTGGGCGGGTATAATGGATGGCCTGGTTCGACTATCCACCGATCTGGAAGGAAGGAGTGAGGATCCGGCCAGTAATTAGGATTGCGCTGAATAGACCCATGAAGGACCCAGAGCAGAAAACCGTCCGTCGGGTACTTTGTCCCATTTTGATCCTGCAGTTCGACCCCAGGCTGGCCCTCTCGTAAAGCAGAAGCAGGAGGGTACAAGCGAAGTATCTCTTTGATCACCGCCAGGGTATAAGGAGTTTGGTTAATCAGCTCGGGGCGGTCTTTAAGCTGTTGAGATGCTGTGAAAATATCTTCTCCAAAGACAGCATCGTGCTCGGCACGAACTCTAGCCAGGATCTTCGGGTGCTTGGATAGGATATAAATGCTATACACAATTGTGGCGGCAGTAGAATCATGGCCCGCAAAGAGGAAGGTTCTAACCTGAATCGTCGCCCATCTTTTGAATTCCGGATCCAGCTTTTGGTCCGCTGGCCGGGTACGCATGAAATCTGCAATCACAAGATCCATAATAGACTTAGGCCGGCTTGAGTGCTTGCTTTGCCTCCAGGCCTCATACCGTCTGTCTAGTGCGTTCTCAATGTACCGAGCCATTATGCGTCCATTGTACCACTCCACCAGATATCGAATGGGATTCCACCGGATGAATGGATTCATCTCTTCGTCTTGAACGTGCCACTTTATGAGGGTCCGCATAGCCTCTGCTAGTGGATTATGTTCACGCAAGGATTTAAACCGATCATTGCTGGGAATCTTAATTAGGTCAGCGTTCTAGAGGCTGCAGCGCTTCAGAAAACTCACATTGCAACTGATCCAATTATGTCCATCATATAATCACATGTCATCTTATCAAGAGAAAAAGTATCACCCTTATGCGCATGTTCACGTAGAAGCGATACGTAGACGTCCGCCTCCTCCACAATATGAGCCGTTTGCTTCATAATTGTACTGGTGCTAAATGCGGAATTGAAGAGCGACCGCGCCCGTTTCCACTCGGATCCGTTGGTTGTAAAGATATTCGGACCACCCGTGAAAGGATTGAAATACTGTGTCAGCGTGTGGGGTTTAGGCAATGCATAAGTCTGACACGCCTGAACCGCAAGGTCCAGGCTAGTGATGACAAGAAACGGTTTAGGCGTGAATGGCCAGACGTCCATGTAGAAACAATTATCAAATTTCGGGAAGTCGTAAGAAAGCAATGTAAATGCGTCGGACTGTTGCGCATTCTTTGGGAGCTTCGCTAGAAGGCCCGGTAGCATTGCAAGGTTTCCAGTTCCAAATCCCCAGGCAGGCGCTGGCTGGTGATCGCATTAGCCGGTTCTTTCGATGATCAATGATCCTATCAGGAGTGCTAGACACATACAAGACCTTGTTTACGAATTCCGTAAAGGCGCAAGCGTGTTTTACCAATCGAGTAAAACACCCGCAAAAGCAAGATGAAAGCTAATGCGAGGAACGTGCGCCCTCCGTTAACTCGAAAATATTCGAGGATTGCTGGTACCATGGTTGTGTCAGCCATTCCTAGATTATCAGGTGGCAGTTGTGTTGTGATGGAAGTTGAGAGCTTGAGATGATGAATGTAAAAAAAGGGGTAAAGAAATGGAAGTGAATACCGGCAATTCGAAGACAAAGAGCAAGGATGTTGAAAAACAAGGTCTGAAACGCGCACGACAAGGTTCCGGGAGGATATAGCCACTAGTTCAACTGCGATTACTATTCGAGGCATTTCTGAGCTTCTTTTGGTTGGGCGGCCTTGTTGCCCCATATTTCTCAATGTACATAATTGGCCTTTTTAACTTACAGTATCGTCCTGATACATTTCTTTACACCTACGCTAGTCCAGTGACGATGGTTCCTACCCCGCTCTACCCACCGCAAGGAACGGGGCCAAAACCGCGCAATGGATCTGTACATTCATCCCGTTCCGCTCGCCAGAGATAAATATAGCCCCCATGATATACTCAACTATGCAGAATAATGTAGTAGACTCTGAAGTGGGATTAAGATTCCTGCTTACCCCTCTTACAGATCTAAAACAAATGCAAAGGAGATAACAAGCTCTTTTCTCCTCACTTCCACTTTCAAGAGGGGCATCAGAAGAGACATATCATTATGGCGGCTCAAGACTATGTGGGCCGAATCAATAAAGAAGCCTTCCTGGTGCGTTCTTGAAAATCTCGCTTTCATTGCTTATGGATCTTCCCTGCAAGGCATTGTACTCACGTTGATGCATACATCAGGTCTCAGTCGGCTTTTTTGGGACTTGCTATTGCCGGGGTGATTGACCATTTCATGGTCCGATTTGCCGTGCAGAAGCAGTGCTTCCAGATCGATGATGGACTGCTCGTGATGGCTTTTGTGTTCCTCCTGGCAAGCCAGAATATCATTTGTACCATTGCTGTGCACCAGATAATTTTGATGACTGCCATCCAGGATGGACTAGCTGGTGTTGAAATTCCTTCGAATGTGCTGGAAATTGCAGAGGTCTGTCATAGATAGATGGGAGCCTCTCTGATGATGAGCTGGTGCTAAATCTCCACAGCGAAGTTCTTCATCAATTTCTTCAAAAGCTTAATCGAACGCTTGCGACGTCGGTAAATCTATTGGTGGCTTGCTTTTACTGAAATGTGGTCCTCATTTTCACTGAAATAACAGTGTACTATATCAGCTGTCCCTACTAGGCTGCAAAAGCATGTCAGTATTTTCCCCTGTTTCCCCCTTTTTATACTATCTTCAGAACAATCTGCAACATGTGAGAAAGCCTCAGCCAGTACGTCTTGTGCTTAATATGATCTGAAGTGCTTTTCCTATCATTTTATCTATTATCAGATTAACAGCCCTCAAGACAGCTTTCAGACCATGAAAGAGAATGTTCTCATTATTTGTTCATTTCCTCGCTTTTTCTTTTTCCTCGGCTTCCAAAGACAGTCAAAGTCTTTTCACATTTGAGTCTAGCTGCCGGTAGCGCAGTCTTCTCAAACCTTTCCCGAATTTCTTTTTAGTATGCTTGAACATGATAAAGTCGCGAGATACACATAAAAGGATTCAATGGCTTCATGGCATCAGAATCACGAAGCTCATCGCGTGGCAACTACCTCTAGCTCTGTTTTAAATAAATCCATCTCGGGACCAGTGCCTTTCTGTCCTATTCTGAGGCTTCAATTTCCGTAGATCGTCATCTTCTTCCTTCCCGTTCCCCCAAAAATATCCTTGACATTGTGTGCTACTTGTGCTTCAATGTTACACTTACATCTCTACTCGTACGCCTTTTCCCGAAGTAAACCAAGAGTTTCAGTTAACACCAGAGGCGCCGGAGAAATTTTGCGTAGCGCCCACGGCCAGTATGGAAGACTAAATCGATCGACAGATCAATCCAGAGCCTCTGATCAAAGCCAACGATTAATATGAAGGGAGCAATAATGATTCTGATGCTCGCATAAATAAAAGTAGTTGCAGTGCAAAGTACGCCGGAAAGACTACGGATTTGATAGAATACGCTACCCGGAAGAAGTTTTGAGCAATCCAGCTGACGTCGACGGCTGCGACCATGGATGCAAGCAGCTGTAACCGACGATAAATTTCGCCATCACCTCGATAACGAGTAAACCAACGATTGAAGGGACAGAGCGCAGTCAAAAATGGGAGCCAGGGAGGGTAGCTTTTATTGCAGACCGTGTTAAGGCGGCAGAATGGGGCAAAGGGAAGAGGCAGTTCTTTGGTCAAATATTCCCCTTGTCCCTCTCTTCAAATTGATCTCATTTGTGAACAATCTCGTGCTGTCTTATTTTCTCAACTTGACGTGCCCTATCATAAGCATTGTTCATAGTGGATTTCCGCCCAAAAGACACTACACAATGTGCTTAAGATTCAGGAATATCTATGCGTGGGTACATATTTTTCTTTTCTCCGTGAGTAACACTGGCCACCATTGCGAGGTCCACTCCTAGGCGTCAACAGACTCAAGTCGGCTCTCGAATTAATCACCGTAAGTGTATGATGGAGATCGTTTGTGAACTGATTCCATTCATTCCAATCAACTTCCCACAAGAATGGCTATAAGTTGGCAAGTTGCTTTGGGTAATTTTTTCAAAATCTTCCCCAGGGTTAAGGGAAATACTTTTCTATCCTAGCTCCTCTCTATATGCCAATATGGCCAAGTCATTTTGTATTCATCTCAGAAGTTTAATGCCAACGGCCCAACACATATGATAGTCCTTGAGATCTTCGACTGCATACCTTGCATAGATTTGGCCTGGAGGCTTTCGTTGACTACATCTGCTAGCCGTTTCAAACTCCCTTCCTCTTTCCCTCGATATTCTATAGGAGCCTAGAAGTGATAAGAGGAGCCTCTAGCACTTCTCATACAAAAAGTAAGAGGTTGAATAGAACGGGCGTAGCTACTGTGAGGAACTTTGAACCACAATGAGTGTTCTGCTACAGCGTCTACTATGCACAGAATTAGGAAAGCTGTCATGAATGGACTACGGTGCGGGCTATCTTTGGAGGAAAATCGACGAATTTTGGCTTTGATGTCTCACCTACTAGCTGTTCGTTGCATGGCTCGCCCCTGGCCCAGGGCTCCTAGGCCCTCTCTATCACAGCAAATCAATGCCAGATCCTGTGACAGTGATTTACAAGACTTAAAGGCGCCGTGTGTGATCAAGAAGGAAACTTGTCGCCGTTGTCGGCAATGAGAGATCACAATTGTGAACATCAAATGACACCTCTGAAGGTTTTGCTGTAAAAACACCATTTGTATTCTTAGATACTTGATTATTCAACATGAGCATTCAATCATCATTATCGGGTAGTGTTAAGCATAGATACATGAAGATCATCAGTTTAATTTCTCTTCTCATGCATTGAGCGTTAAGTTCTGTTTTTATTTCAGTTGAAATACGGCCCGATTTTTCTGCTGTATAAAACAGGAAAAGGATTATAGAGTTTATAGTCATAAATTAGCACAGCGACGTATTTTTGAAGAAAATAATTCAGATAGATGCTCATCAAATATAAGCATGCCAAACTGGTCTAAAACTGTAATAACCTACTTTGACCTCCCAGGATACCCACTCATACTACACCAGCGAGTCGGACCGTGCCTATATGTATAATACCTACCAAAGAGCTTGATGACTGGTCTCTGTCTACGACTGCATCAAGTATGCCTGCTCCTAATCTTGCGAACAGCCATCTATTGTACTTCTTGTCAATGATGGGCACCTGCCCCCATGACTCATACCCCAAGGCTTATTTCCCTGTCACCAAGGCCCGATGGTGTAGATTGACTTAAGCTAGGAACAAGCAGTAATATATGTCCAAGAAAAAGGCAGTATTTATCTCATTGAAAATTACCACCCCATTCCAAAATATTCCAAGTGCAATCATTGTGGCACCAATCAACAATCCCTGAGGTCAAATCTAACGAAACCAGTACTTGGGATATTGCATTATGGAACCCTATAAGATTTTGAAAAGCTCGGAAATAACAAGCGGCTTGGACCTACCTGGATGGGTACTGCTCTTCCGTGCAATTTTGCCAACAGTCATTTGCTGAATGCATGGAGTTGACTAGTGTACTGACGCATTCCGATTTGGTCGTACGAAGCGCTAATCTACTTTAAAATGTGATGTATTACTAGGGCACTATGCTCATCGATATACTCACTTGAATTGATTGTAAGACCTTAGATCGTGTAAGCTAGGAACGTATAAATTTGAGACGGAATAGTGTATGGGCTTAGAAATTATAGAGAAAAGGTTGCTATGAGTCATATTATAGTCATGGTCACTTCTTCACCAATTTGCACAGACATTGCCAAATAATATCCTTGCGTTGGCATTCTTTGGTCACCCAATTTGCATGATTTTATGTAATGTGCTGTCAATATCCATGTCGAAAATTTGCCTGAAGAGTAGTTCCGCTCGCGTGTTATTGAGATCAGAATACTCATTGGTACTCTTATTGAATGATACAAGAGCACTGGCCACGTACACAAAGTTGTAGCAGGATTTTGGATAGATAGATAATCAAATTGAGGCATATCAGAGGGTAGACAAAAAGAGCAGCTTCTCATCTCTATCAAGTGCGGGTACACCATCTGACTTGTCAGGGGAAGCCAATTTTTGAAATCACACCATGATAGTCATGCCATCCGGGAAAAGGACAGGCATAGAAGTGTAACATGTACTATGGCATGAAAATAACTAGTTTGTCGAGCCAGCCACGACATACTGCTTTTCCGTCTTGAGCTTGCTAAGGGTACTGTTACTCAAGTTCAAGGTGTCCTTCACAATCTGTTTTGGAGTGGATGCAATCCATTGGCCAAGAGCCATATCTAATAACTCATCAGTAATAAGCCAGGTGATCAGAAGGGAATGATCCACATAAAAATCACGTACCAGTGAATTGGGTTGCTTGAAGCACCTCCAAGAACATCAGATCTTCGTCACCAGTGTTCTCGATATAGTGACTGTTTGACTGCGGGAAGTACGCAACATCACCAGCGCGGTAGTCAAATGTTGTGGCAGCATCAGGTGCAGAAAACAATGTCGCACGGCCTTGGCCCTGGATGAAGAAAGTCCACTCATCACTCGTCGGGTGCCAGTGAATTTCGCGCATGCCACCAGGATGGACAGTGACAATAGCAGCAGAGAAGTTACTGGCAATCGGGAAGGTGAGAGGATCCACGATCTTGACTGACCCGCCAGCAACTTCGTGCGCGGTCTGCTCGGAGAAATGGTAGGAGTAGCTTTCAGTCCGGGGAATAACACCGGATTGAGTTGTGACGTTTTGCTTCTCGATATCTGCTGGCGCTGGAGTACCTTCGAAAATGTAGAGCTCGTCGTCTGGAATATCATCGAAGGCTGAGATAGAAACGCCGAGGTTCTTGGCTAGGACCGATTTCTTTATAATGCGTAGTCGGGTCAGCGTCCGACATTTTGTTACTCCTATGATATGATGGGTCTTACTGGAGTATGAAGGAAAACTTCTGTGGCTAAGAAGGTATTATCCTCATCAAAGTCACCCTGGTCAAAAACAAGTAAAAACTCAACACCGTCGTCTAGTGCTTGAATCGAGTGGGGAATTCCTCTAAAGAAGATTTTCAGTTGAAGTTCAAGCCACTCCTATACGACTTGAGCCGTTGAAAGGGTTATAGCGACATACGGCGGAAAAAACCAAACATCACCTGCAGAAAGATCATCCACAAATGTCTGTCCATCCGTGTTGACTGCCTATCAAGTCAGAGTAGTTAGATAACTTTTATAACTGGAATCAGTAGTGTGTATGGTGAGACTTCACCTGAATACGACAAGAGCCATTCAGCACTAAAGACCACTCTGCAGCAACGTGCCAATGCAGTTCACGATAACCACCGGGTTCCAGACGCATGTCAACTCCGGCCATTTCGGTTGCAGCCGGCATCACCACCGTGTTTTCCTGACGAGCCCATCCGGCATTATCGATACCAAGTCTAGCTTGGGGGTCAGCTTGTTTTCTGAAAGGGTTGCTTCGACACTTTATACCGGTTATGACTCAGACCTGTTTTTGGGATCAGTCATTACTCAGGGTTCGGATAACATTGCTTTCCTGACTTACCCATAGGCCATTGGGCGTTAATAGTCTGACCGTTATCGGTGCCAGGGGGTGCCAGCTTATCACTGTTGATTCGATCATAGGCATAGTTCCCTAAAGGAATGCATGTCAGTATCAAAAGTCAAATTAGAGTATTTGTCGCGATAACATACGGGGTCCGGGATCATCGCTGCCTGTCGAGCCTCGAATAGGCTGGGGATTCTCGACTTTCTCAAAGTCTAGATAGGCACCGATATCCGGGCTGACTGTCTGGCCGGGTAGAAGGCTATACTTGATATCTGGCTGGGTTCCGCTGGCGACCTTTTCCGTGGAAGAGTATCCGACAAGCGCCTCCGATCCTCTCAAAGGGGGGTTGCTGCTTCTTCGGGCTGGTGCTGCATCAACTGCAGTGAGAAGAGCAAGAAGTAGAGACAAAGTCCAAGGATAGACCTGGAGCTTCATTGTGATCAAGTAACTTCTCAGCCTAAGAGGGAAAAGAGTTAAAATGGTGGGATTTGGGATCGATCGCAGTAATCGTTTGTCAATGCAACCAAGAGTTCTTTTATAGTCAAATTCCAACGGAACCTTGCTAGGCAGGCCCGCTCATCGCGGTGAAGAAATGTTTCTAATTCCCCTCATATGACTTACCTTACTAAGTCTTGGAGATTGCTTCAGTGGGGTTATGTCAATCCCTCCCCTCACCAGGCAAACATATTGGCCTGGAGCTGCAGCTGCAGTACAGTATAGCCTCCAACTAGCACAGCCTATTACTTGCCCACAACTTTCGAAAAATACTCCAAGAAGAGGGGTAGCATAAAGTGTACAATCCGCCATTTTGTAGATCAATAACCCACAGCATAATATATTTCCCCACTCTCGATGATCAAAGAAGGAGGACTGATGCCTCTCTGTCCTGGACATCTATACTCAGATTTTTTGTTCTCATGAATGTTGGCTCCAAACAAACATTGCTTATATTGCCTAATTAAAGCTTGGTCTAAGCGTCTCTAAACTTATCTCGCTCGCAATGGGAGTAAATATCAATTCATTCTCTTTGGGTGTAGCAATACCGATTCTGTGGTCACCACGTTCAAGTCTCATTGGTTGAAATGAAATTAAGTACCCAGTATATCGGTTCGGACTCCCTTTCTGAGGCGAGGAAAGAGCTCATTACAGTGGGCCCTGACGTCCATTTGAATCCTCCACGGTCCCCGGTGGGTCAAAGAAGCTTAACCTCCTACTATATTGAGTACCCCTCACCCCATCTTATGTACACGTCATTAAAAGGATGTATCTAACATGAAACCGGGTCATGTAAATTCCGCGGGGGCTTCTCCTTTCCTTGCTTGGCCGATGGCTTTCTAAGATTTACATAGTTGCCTTCAAACCGGGAATTGCCTCCGCAGACAGCTAGGTCATCATTGGTCAACCATGGCTTGTCTCCAACTGATGATATACCAAGGATTGCAAAAATCACATAGAGTTCTTCAGCTTCTCATATGTCAAATACCGGAGCTTGCAAGAAGGACTATCTTCCGATTCGATTTAGAACTGTGCGACAGCTTGAATACGTAAAATAACATATATATCGGATTATGCATCGATCACGATCGATGCCGCATGCGGCCCCGTTAGTAAAGTGGGACCATGCGACTTTCGAGGTTCCACGGGTGGTACTTTCTCCGCGCCTCGTCATTTTATTCCTCTCCTCATGAGGGGAGTGGAGGGGTTGATGTAGTTTAGGGTACATGACCAAGCGAATCATCTTCGTCTCCGCGGCCAATCGAGAGACCCTAACAACAGATGTTGTATCGTGAAATCTCGCTTAGGGACAGAAAGAGGGGCCCCTACGAGGGGCTAACCTTGATTTTCACGGGTGGAGCAGAGGCCGATCCCGCCATTCAAATATCAAAAGGTCTCGCCCTATGTCGCTCGATTCCTTAGAAGAATGAAGCTGCAGCTTCCATGTATGGGCCCTCGTATGTGGAGTGTGGGTCGGAGCTTGTTAATCATTGGATCAGATGATGTATACGTGCGTTAATTATAGAAAAAGCTTACCGTTGTGGCTGTTACCCCGCGCGATTTCGAGAGTCCGAGAGCAAAGACCGCATGATCAAATCAGACTTTGGAGAGTGAAAGGATGCGGCAAATTTCGAATTGAACACAGCTGGAATTTATTCGATCGCAAAACATTTTCAATGCGGAAGGATGGGGCTTTGTGGATCTTGTGATTTGGTGTTTCTTGTTTATTCGTCATTGGTCCATTGCATGCCTATATTGAGAACCTTGGAGGTGCAAGTCAAGTTGCTTGGATTGGACCAGAGTATTTTGACGGAAATGCCGCGCAGACGGCCCGGCCCCACTAAATGGACCTAGCGGTCTGCATAACAGGCTTATGTTACGTGTACTTTGGTAATGAATCATCGAGGAAATATTCACAGGAAATTACGTGCTGGTTACCAGACTGTCATCAGAGTGAGCGGCCACCGGAAAAGGGTAAAGCCAATGTACTTGACTTCGAGATCTTCCAGATATTCAGAAATTCGGAACATTCATACTTGTGTTAACCTCAGAGGTTCTATGTTAAATTCCAGTATTGATGACTCCTGTTCAGGGTCTCTACGCAGGGTTATAGCACAATGCGGGCCTGTGCCTCGGTCCAGGTCAGTAGCGGCCCAAAATATCCATGATATGGTCATAAAACACACACAAAAAAAAAATAAGAAAAGAAAAGACCAAAAAAGAGACAGAACAAGGCCGAACTGAAAAAGTTGTGACATATTCATATTTCTCTTCTGCCCAGATATCATGTATTGTTCCGCAAATCATACAGAAGAAAGTGGCCTATTCGTTGTTGATCCCGTCTAGACTTCAGCCAGTGGTAATGAGCACAGTTTCCTCAGAGCCTGAATCGTGTGACTGCATAGACTGAGAGCGAGCAGAAAACAACCTTATTGATTGTTTTTCTTGTTTCTTCATTCCTCCCTTCTCTTCATTACCTGTAATTTTTGCTTGTATATTTGAATATCCGATTGTGAATCAGCACAAGGTGCTGACCAAACCCAGAGAAATGATGAGGAGGCTCCCTCGTTAGTAAGGGGCATCATGGCTTCACTGGAGTTGAAAAGATAGATTACGAACGCAGGCCTCCTTAGACCCTATCAATACTGTCATCACCATCCGTTGATGGTGATACGGCAATGATCATGAATCTGTCCCCATCAAGTCCTCTCTCACCACGGGACTGTGGTACGCTTGTAATTCGCCAAGTGCTCACTCGGGATCTCTGCGTAACCAACGTGAACTAAGCTAAAGCTCTTATTAGAGAGTATAGCCAATTACCAGAGCTAGTCAGGTGGCTGCTCTTGTCGTCGGGCGTGTGGAGCGAAGAAATTTGCTGGACTGTATGTTGTCGGGTAGAGAAATCCATGGTATATACAACTCTTCAATCTGTCCAACAGACTTCACACCTCAAAGTACCTAAGAACTGTCTGAACCCAAGCTCTAAATTACGAAAAGCCTCAAGTCAAAAGTCAGGCATGTCAGGGTTGCAGGGCATGGGGAAATTTCCCCTCACTGTGAGTAAGACTTTGACAAATTCAATATACAACATTCTTTAAAGTAATTTCGGGTATTTTTTGATTATAAGCCTTTTGTAGCCAATGTAGGTAAGCAACCTAATGCCTCCGTAGACCCTGAGACATAGTGGCTGTTCAAACTGCATTAGGTCAAAAGGATTCGAGAACAGTCATTCTTTAAGGACGAGACTGACCTCCAAAATCACCTAGGTGGAATACAAATCCTTCCAGTCTCATTTATTCATGATCAACACCTACTCTTCGCATATCGTCGCATTAATTCCTGAAGATTTGCAAATTATGCTCACAACATCTAAACCTGGAATTTGGGAAAACACCAAAAGATTTTGGGTATTCTTCTTCCTTAATATAGGGGAAGTAAGTGAGCTATTCAAAATTATCTCACTCTTTATGGCACTCGCCATAGACTAACTCTAGGCTTGCCTTGGATCTAGATGGTGAATCACTTCTGATTCAGTACTGTTTTTGGACATCTCAGGACTTCTGCCTTAGAAAATCGGTGACCATCTTTTCTTTCATAACATCATAACACGCCCCCATAGCTCCCTGATCTGAAGCCTACGGACTGTTGACCCCCTGATTTCTCGTGAAACCTGCGCTGACTGGTGATGCGCTTTTGCGTTTGCTGAATCAATTCTCACATCTCTGAGTGTCCTGCCAGTGAGCGAGATATCGGACGCCAGCAAACCTAACGATGCTTCTGGAAAGTTTTGATGTCGCAGATCCCAAGTAAATGGTACGCTATTGGAATTTGGAGCTGAGCACGAATGATGGGAGCTCACTTCTATAAGGAACCGACGCAGCTGGCCTTTTATCAAAGTTTACTAGGAGGCCGGAACTGTGTTTCTTTCTACCGCTTGATTCGAAGCTCAAATGAAGATAATTTCGCCACAGACTCACAGTCCTTGGGCTTTCACATGAACAGTCACTTCATAATCTACAAGGGCACTGATGGAACGGCCAACAGACTTTTTGATACTGTGGCATCGACCAAAAAGCTCTTCATTAAAACCTTCCCAATGTTGGCACCCTTTGCATACACCAGTACCGCATCTAGGCAGGAGGCTTGGCTTAGGTGCGCCGATATCCAGTTCTGTGCCCGACTCAGATGCCTTCAGCTCACACTGGTCAGTTCCAATCATGAAGGAGACAGCTTAGAGAGGTGAAAAGATCCCATGGAATAAGAGCACTCAGCCAAGTAAGTAGTAGTAGTAGTAGAATTCATTTACCCGATCTAGCTTGCCTCTAGTAGTGGCCGCTATGCGGGGGTGCTGCCGGGCCTGCCCGGCGGCGAGGTAATAGTGCGCTGCACCCAAGATATATATCGTGCATGGAGGTGAAGTTAGGGTTTGCCCACTTTGCCCCTAGTTGCCCGCAATCCAAGAATTAAAGTACAAAGAACGTCAAAAACAAAGGAAAGAACGTAAAGGAAAGTCAATCTCCGCCCCAGTGACACAGCCACCAGCATCTAGCTTTTCGCAGCTTTTTGCCAGCCTTTTCCCACCTTGCTGGGAGGCCTGCTGTGTCTTCTAAACCCCTCTTGAGATTGTTGCGCCTGCTGCGCCCGCAACTTCATTTTTCCGCCCCGCACACTTCCGCGATTTCGCCGCATCTCCCACTTCCGACTTCCAACACCCCTCGCACCACTATGTCCTCTTCTTCTCTCACTCTGCCCTCACTTCCGCCTTACCTCTACCTCCATGACACGCCATCCCCGAATACATGACCCTTTCCCCGGCTAGTTAGCCGCTTCCGCGCCGTTCTGCCTCTTAAGGGAAGAAAGGGGACCTGGCCCTTCTTCCTACGATCCATATTTTATCTACTACCACTACACTGCCTGTTGGATCATACTGGTTGTTCTTGCTCTGGTTGTTGCTGCTCTGGTTCGAATCCCATAACGTCGGGATCGACCGCGTGGAACTGTCCGAGAAGTCGGGTCTTTTCTATGAAGGCGGAGATCGCTGGAACCGCGTTCTTTTCCTACATGAATTGGTCGAACGAGAGCGACGTGCACACGCGCGCTTGTACGAGCGCTGCTCGCATATCTCTCCGCTCGTATTCGAAAAAGGGGGCACTCTAAGAGCACGTGTCTTGGTTGCTGATGCCCGAGATCGCACCCGCACCTAGGCGAGTCTGCGACTCCAATTCTCCATAGGTAACGCTTCAATCCGATGATATTGAGTCGCATTTGAAGCATGATGGACGCTGACGCTTTTCTCTGGCCTTTCTAGTAGTCTAGAACCTTCTTCGTGGGCACCGGAATCAACTGTTTTGTCGCTTTTCCCGATTTCTCCTTCTCCCACGCTGCCTCCCACGTGATCTTCGCCCGCTCCCGAATACCTCGCTTCGCCGCAGCGGCAAGCTTAATATGCCGGTCGTGCGGGCCTGGTGTGTCTGCCTCTGCTTTTGCTGCCTGCTTCGCGTGCTTATCCACGAGCTCGTTGCCTGGAATCCCTTGATGAGCGGGGATCCAGCGGAGCTCGACCTGGATATCTTGATCTGCGAGTTTTTGAAGGTTTTTGATGGCTCCGCGGAGGTAGACCTGACCAGACGGCATACGTGGGCGGAGAAGCGCTTGGAGAGCAGCTTGGCTGTCAGAAAATACTATAACACCCTGTCGTGCGCGCTCCTAGAGCTCTTGTACGAGCTCGGTCGCCATCTCGATGGCCCGAAGCTCTGCGGAATAGACCGTGGAGTCTTCTTCCGTGCCCATCTAGCAGTGGCGGTGCCCGCGCGTGGCCTCTACCACCACAGCAGCACCGACTTTTCCTTCAATTCCGCTTCCATCCGTGTATATTAGTAATTTACCTTGATTTTGACTTTTGCTGATCTCCGCGTGCTTCTCCATAGCTTCGTCACGCTCTAGGATGAAGACATCTGGAGGCGCGTGCCATGGTGCCCGGACGTACGCTTGCCTACTCTCCCACTCGCCCGTTATAGCACCGGGGGGAGCTATTAAGCATCCGCCCTTCTGCCACGCATGTGCCTCCATCGGTAACCACCCACCACGTTGACGCTGCTATGGAGAACGCTGTCGGATCATAAGCTATGGAACTCCATGTGCTGGACCTATACGTATCCGGAGAGCTATCTCCGCGGAGATACGCTCCATCTGGATACCGATTAGTGGCAGGTAGAGCTCAATATTTAGTGCTTCTGCCGCGCTGGTCTTGAAGGCTCCGCCAATTAGGCACGCTGCTCGCTTCTAGATTGCTGCGAATTTATTGCTGATTACCCGAGCTTTTCCCTTGCCTATCGTAAGTGGAGAATACCATGCTGACACGCCGTAGAGCATCTACGGGATCACCACTGCTTGATATATCCTCCGCATTGCTATCGTAGACGCTCCCCATGTAGACCCTGCTAGACTTCGTAGAGCTTGGATAGACGTGCTGCCTTTCATGACTGCTTTTTCGTGGTGGTGGGAGAACGTGAGCTGTGGATCGAGCCAGAACCCGAGATATCTAGCTGCCTGCTCTAGAAAGACGATATTGTGAAGCCCGTCTTAACCTTTAATAAGAAGAAAGGACTAGCCCGCGTGCGTCTTCTGCCGCTCTGGGGGCACGAAGTGGATCAAATTGTACTTCTTTGGATCAAAAACAGAGGCGTGGCGACGTGCCCAGATGCCCGATTTCTCACACGCTTTTTTAAGCTTGGAGATAGTCTGCTACTCTGTCTTGCTAGTCGCTATGAAACCCACGTCGTCGACCTAGCCCATGGTGGAGAGATCTCTGGTCTAGCAGTCTTCGAGTAGGTCCGCGTTATATAGAAGATATAGAATTGGCGAAAGGGGAGATCCTTACGGGATACCAGTTGGCGTGGGAATACGCTCTGATATGCCCTCTAGCATACGGATACGCGTGCTTCTGCCTGTTAGGAACGCTTCGATCTATGGAGCAAGCTGGCCAAGCCGACGCTTTTTGATGTTATGGATTAGACGTGCATATGAGACGTTGTCGTACGCTCTAGATACGTCTAGCATAAGAAGAGAGACTATAGAGCCTCTGCCCCACGCGCTACGTATCCGATCTAGCATGATCTATATAGCGTGCTCCGTGGAGATGCCCCGTCTTCCACCAAGATGACCTTTTGGTAGTAGCCCGTGCTCTTCCACAGCGTAAGATATACGTCTTGCGATGATGGACTCGAGGAATTTAGCAATTGTATTAAGAAGAGCAACTGGTCGATATGACTTCGCTTCCTGGTAGTCTCGGTCACCTGCTTTCCGTAGAACGATAGTGATGGAGCGTTAGAAGTGTGATGGGTTATACCTAAGCCATACACACGCGTTGAAGAGCTGGTGGAGCGTGTCCGCTACCGCGGGGATCTTGATTAGCTTGTGCCAGAGAGAGTTCGGAATAGCGTCTTCTCCAGGGGCCTTGCCCGCGGGAGCAGCTCGTATAGCTTCCTGGATCTCGTGGTGTGTGATTTCGGGGAATTCCACGCTTTCTGGATATATATATCCTTCCGTGTCTACCATATCCGCTTCTGGGGGTTGTGGGAAGAAAGCTTACTGGAAAGCAGCTGCTTTCTACTCCACGGTCTCTGCTACTGCTCCGTCACGGGTTCGAAGTGTAGGTGTAAGCCCACGCTCATAGACGCCGCTGCGGTTCCGCGCCCACTTTGCCAGTCTCCACATACCACGGGGGCCCTCTTCCACAACCTTCTACACACGCTTCCAGTGGGCCTTGCTGAGCGTGCCCTTGATGAGCCGGTTCTTGTCGTTGCGGGCCTGCTTGTAGCGGAGCTCATCGAGCGGATCACGCGAGCGAGTCCATACTCTACGGAGGTAGCGTACGGTCTTGACCGCTTCTCTACACTCCTGGGTGAAGTCGGAATTCGCCCACGTGGATGGTTTCGCCCATGGTGTAGAAGCGTCGATTGCTGCTTATATAGTGCGTATGAAGGCCTGGGTTTCGAGCTCCACACGTTGCTTGGTCACGGTGGCAGAAGTTAGGTCTCGTGGTATGACGTGCTTTTTGATGAATTCTGTGAGGATCTTGTCGTCCGTGGCACTCCAATTTCGCCGTTCTGGGGCCTTATAGAGCGGCGTCTGCACGTCGAGAGTCGTCCGTATTGGAAAGTGATCAGATTAGTGTTCGATATCGTCTGCACGCCTATGGTTGACTAGTCGACCAGCTAGCTCCTCGCTAATCCACGTTAGGTCGATCACTGATTCTGCTCCTCCACGCTCCCATGTGGGCCTGCCGGCCTCCGTGAGCAAGTCAAGCTTGTGCTGGTCCGCTAGCAGTAAGAAATCCTCCGATTCTGCGTCTACTAGAGCTCCTGGACCACCCTATACTGGATGGTGGGCGTTGAAGTCTCCCACGATGATATGCTCTGCTTCTCTTCGCTTAGAGAGCTCCTGACGGAGCTTGTCTGGCATGCCCGTGCCTTGCCGGTTATATATATTATGCACGAAGAGATCGCTCTAGTTCCCATCCGCGTGGGCCTTCTGGAGCTTTAAGATCTGGTAGTCACGATCCACGAGCGTGCAAGACCACTCGCCTGGCTGGAGGTTCTTGGATACGTAGAAGTAGACGCCTGGGGGGTCGGGCGTGCTTGGATATACGAGCTGGAAGAGCGAGGAAATAGGCTGATGGGTCGTGTTGGAAAAGGTGTTCTTCTATGGCTCTTGAACTGCAATCACGCTGGCTTCCTGCACACGTCGATCCCTGAGAAACGAGGCCATGACTGGTTGCGATTTGTTCACATTATATTGTAGGATTTCGAGCTTATTCATTGGATGAGAGGTGGTCGTCGTGGTCGTCGCTGTATTCTGAAGCCTCGTGGAAGAACTCTTCTTCTGGTTCTGGGGGCGAGCTGCCGACGTGGAATATATCTCCGTCGAAGATATCGCTGAAGTGGAGTCCATGGCTTAGTGGAAGCGTCTCCTCCGTGGGCGCTGGAGCTGGGGGGTGTGGTGGAAGAATTCGTAGACGTGTGTGCTGTCCCCTTGCTGGCGGGTCTTGAATACTAAGCTGTTCTCTAGCGCTTTGAAGTAGCTGCATGGCTGGGTTGGCTGGAGCTGGAGCTGGAGCTGGAGATGGAGATCTGGCCCGCATGACCTGGTCGTTTTCTATGTCGATCTGGGGCTCTTTAAAGCGACGTTTCTTGTGCTGTAGGAGACGCTCTGGGTCCGAGATCGGGTCTGGGAGCGCTTGCTGCTGGGAACGACTGTTCCTGGCACGCTTACTGATTGCTAGGGTGTTCTGCGTGAGCTCTGGTTGCGTGGGTAAGCTCTTGTCGCTGAATGTGGAGGTTTTTGACTTATTCTTGGAGCCCTTAGGCCGGCCCCGGGCCTTCTGAGCTACTGGCTGGCTCGCTGGTGGAGCTGTATGCTGGCTGGCGAGTGGAATTGTGCGCTGGCTGGCTGATTGGCTGAACTGGAAGTCGAAGCGGTTCGCTGGAGCGTGTACCGAGTCTTTGAGCCCGGCTTGTGACGTGGAATTGAACTCTGGGGCACGCGCTGGAGCTAGAGCCGGAGCTGGAGCCGAAGCTCGTGCTGGAGCTGGAGCTAGGGCTGGAGCTGGAGCTGGAGCACGCGGTGTGCGGAGATGGAGAGGCACGCGGTGATACGGCGGGCATTCCGCACGTATCTGCTCTGCCTTGGCCTTCGCTTCTCTTTTGACCGGGCAATCTAAGCTTGTGGGCCGGTGATTACCTGAGCAGTTAGCACACTTGATTCGAATCATGCCGCCACGCGTGGACGGGCACTCCCAGGTCGGGTGCTCGTCTGCGCAGTGACCACATATGAAGCTTTTGTGTGGGCAGTGTGATTGAACATGCCCTGGTTTCTGGCACTTGCGGCATAGCTTCACCCTACCATCACGACAGAAGAAGACGACGGAATGGACTTCGGAATTCCAGTATAATCCCTGGTCAATTGCTTGATTGGTAACTGCTAGATTATCGAATTCCATGACCACCGACGCTTCACGCTGGCTCTCGCCACGCGGGCGGGTGAGCCAGTTAAGGTAGACAATCTTCGCTTTTCTACCCTAATTCAATACGTTCTGCCGCTGAATTTCACTAACCAAGCCCTCTCGAGTCTTAGGCGTGAGCTAGAAGCTCCGGATTGGCAAGCCATGCACGACGACGCCCCACGATGGACTCTGGATCTGTAAAACATCTATCTCTTGGCAAAACGAATTCTTGAAATATCTCGCCAACCAGAGGTCCTAGGGCTTTAAGACCTAGTTCAAAATCTTAATTACTTCAACGGCTACGTTTTGATACCGGTTTTACGGGTCAGAATGGCAGCTGTTGGAGTTGCGCGCCCGAACCATGGTTCTGCAGCTGCGGAACGTGGGGAAAACCGAAAATTTGCAACGCCAAGACCGACCAGAATCAACAACGCGACTAGCATGGACCAGCTGATTAATGGCGCGAATGCCGTGATTCGACACATGGAGAACACCAGGCAGGACGAGCCAATCGTCACCCGGTTCGCCATCACGGTCCGCCAGTTCGCTGAGCAAGCGAAGACAGGCGGCGCTCAGGGGGAGATGGCAAAAGTGATCTCTGCTCTTGAAGCAATTGCCGCTGACACGCAGCGCTTAAATACCAGAATTGATAGCATCGAAAAGTCCGCCAGCTCGTCAACCGTAACTTCCGCTTCAACCCTATCCTCGACAGACCGCTGGAAAGCGTTCCGGGCGGGCGCCTGGCAGCACCAGACGGCCTCCGCTAATCCCCCTATCAACCGAAGCGACGGCACGGCGTCGCCAGGCGTGAGCGAGGTCGAGCTCCGCGAAGATCGATCCATCACGGTCAAGGTGGACCCAGCGCAGAGGGACAAGATCAGGCAGATGGAAGCCAAGGCAATTGTGAAGGAAGCGGAGCGTCTACGCGTGCAGTAGGCGCGCTCGAAGACCTCCGCCGCGCTGGCTGGTAACGCGGAATTTCTCGCTGCTCGTGTGCTGCCATCTGGAGATGTCTCGCTACTGGCTAACTCCGCTGCTGGCGCGGAGCTTCTCCGCGTCCACCACGAGGGATGGTTACGCATGTTTGGCATAGCAGCACGGATCCAGAGTCCATCGTGGGGCGTCGTCGTGCATGGATTGCCAATCCGGAGCTTCCAGCTCACGCCTGAGACTCGAGAGGGCTTAGTTAGTGAGATTCAGCGGCAGAACGTGTTGAATTGGGGTGGAAAGGCGAAGATTGTCTACCTTGACTGGCTTACCCGCCCGCGTGGAGAGAGCCAGCGTGAAGCGTCGGTGGTTATGGAATTCGACAATCCAGCAGTTGCCAATCAAGCAATTGACCAGGGGTTATACTGGAATTCTGAAGTCCACTCCGTCGTCTTCTTCTGTCGAGATGGTAGGGTGAAGCTGTGTCGCAAGTGCCAGAAACCAGGGCATGTTCAATCACACTGCCCACACAGAAACTTCACATGCGGTCACTGCGCGGAAGAGCACCCGACCTGGGAGTGCCCTTCTACGCGTGGCGGCGTCATCCGAATCAAGTGTGCTAACTGCTCAGGTAATCACCGGCCCACAAGCTTGGATTGCCCGGTCAAGAGAGAGGCAAAGGCCAAGGCAGAGCAGATACGTGCGGAATGCCCGCCATATCACCGTGTGCCTCTCCATCTTCGCACACCACGTGCTCCAGCTCCAGCTCCAGCTCCAGCTCCAGCTCCAGCTCCAGCTCCAGCTCCAGCTCCAGCTCCAGCACGAGCTCCAGCACGAGCTTCAGCACGAGCTTCAGCACGAGCTCCAGCGCGCGTCCCAGAGTTCAATTTCACACCACAAGCCGGGCTTAAAGACTCGGTGCATGCTCCAGCGAACCGATTCGACTTCCAGTTCAGCCAATCGGCCAGCCAGCGTACAGTTCCACTCGCCAGCCAGCGTACAGCTCCACCAGCCAGTCAACCAGCAAGCCAGCCAGCGGTCCAGAGGACCAGGGGCCGACCCAAGGGCTCGAAGAATAAGTCAAAAACCTCCACTTTTAGCGACAAGAGCTTACCCACACAGCCAGAGCTCACGGAGACCGCCCTCACCATCACGGAGCATGCCCGGAACTCTCGCTCTCGGCAGCGTATACTCCAGGACCCCATATCGGATCCAGAACGTCTCCTACAGCACAAGAAACGCCGCTTCGAAGAGCCCCAGATCGACATAGAAAACGACCAGGTTATGCAGGCCAGATCTCCATCTCCAGCTCTAGCTCCAGCCAACCCAGCCATGCAGCTACTTCAAAGCGCTAGGGAACAGCTCGGTATTCAAGACCCCCCACAAGAGCAGCTCACACGCACACGCCTACGAATCCTCCCACCACATCCCCCAGCTCCAGCGCCCACAGAGGAGACGCTTCCACCAAGCCACGGTCTCCACTTCAGCGATATCTTCGATGTGGATGCAGATATATATCATATCCGCAGCACACCCCCACAACCAGAGCCAGAAGAAGAGTTCTTCCACGAGGCTTCAGAATACAGCGACGACCAAGACAACCTCTCATCTAATGAATAAGCTCGAGATTCTACAATACAATGTGAACAAATCGCAACCAGTCATGGCCTCGTTTCTCAGGGATCGACGCGTGCAAGAAGCCAGCGTGATTGCAGTTCAAGAGCCGTGGAAGAACACCCTCTCCAACACCACACATCAACCCATATCCTCGCTCTTCCAGCTCGTCTATCCAAGCACGTCTCTAGACGAACCACCTGGCGTATGCTTCTATATATCTAAGAACCTCCACCCTGGCGAGTGGTCTTGCACGCTCGTGGATCGTGATTACCAGATCTTGAAGCTCCGGAAAGCTCACGCGCACGGCAACTGGACGGATCTCTTCGTGCACAACATATACAATCGGCAAGGCACAGGCATACCCGACAAGCTCCGTCAAGAGCTCTCTAAGCGCAAGGAAGCGGAGCATATCGTTGTGGGAGACTTCAACGCCCACCATCCAGTATGGGGAGGTCCAGGAGCTCCTGCAGAGGCAGAATCAGAGGATTTCTTGCTGCTGGCTGACCAGCACAAGCTTGACTTGCTCACAGAGGCCGCTAGGCCCACGTGGGAGCGTGGAGGTGCAGAATCTGTGATCGATTTGACGTGGATCAGCGAAGAGCTAACTGGGCGATTGGTCAACCATGGGCGTGCAGACGATATCGAACACCAATCTGACCACTATCCCGTACGCACTACACTAGACGTGCAGACCCCACTTTTCAAGGCCCCAGAACGTCGAAATTGGAGTGCCATGGACGACAAGATCCTCACAGAATTCATCGAAAAGCACGTTATATCACGAGATCTGACCTCTGCCAGCCAGCAACGTGTGGAGCTCGAAACCCAGACCTTTATACGGACTATACAAGTAGCGATCGACGCTTCCACACCATGGGCAAAACCTTCCATGTGGTCAAACTCCGACTTCACGCTGGAGTGTAGAGAAGCGGTAAAAACCGTGCGTTTTCTCCGCCGGCAGTGGACTCGCTCACACGACCCGCTTGACGAGCTCCGCTACAAGCAGGCCCGGAACGACAAGAACCGGCTCATCAAGGGCACGCTCAGCAAGGCCCACCGGAAGCGTGTACAGAAGGTTATGGAAGAGGGCCCCCGTGGCATGTGGAGACTGGCCAAGTGGGCGCGGAACCATAGCGGCGTCTACGAGCGTGGACTTACACCTACACTCCGGGCACGAGACGGTTCCACAGCGGAGACCATGGAGCAGAAAGCAGCAGCTTTCCAGCACGCTTTCTTCCCACAACCTCCAGAAGCGGATATAACAGACACGGAAGGATATATATATCCAGAAAGCGTGGATTTTCCGGAGATCACACATCACGAGATCCAGGAAGCTATACGAGCTACTCCCGCGGGCAAGGCCCCTAGAGAAGACGCGATTCCGAACGCTCTCTGGCACAAGCTGATCAAAATCCCCGTGGTGGCGAGCACGCTCCACCAGCTCTTCAACGCGTGCGTGCGAATAGGCTACAATCCAGGCCACTTCCAGAGGTCTATCACGGTTATGCTACGCAAGGCCGGAGATCGAGACTACCAGGAAGCTAAGTCATACCGGCCAGTTGCTCTTCTCAATACAATCGCTAAATTTCTCGAGTCTATCATCACAAGACGTATATCTTACGCTATGGAAGAGCACGGATTGCTGCCAAAAGGTCATCTTAGTGGAAGACGGGGCATCTCCACGGAGCACGCTATACAGATCATGCTAGATCGGATACGTAGCGCGTGGGGTAGAGGCTCTATGGTCTCTCTTCTTATGCTAGACATATCTAGAGCGTATAACAACGTCTCACATGCACGTCTAATTCATAACATCAAAAAGCGTCGACTTAGCCAGCTTACACCCTAGATCGGAGCGTTTCTCACAGGCAGAAGCACGCGTATCCGTATGCCAGAGGGCATATCAGAGCGTATTCCCACGCCAACCGGTATCCCGCAAGGATCTCCTCTCTCACCAATTCTCTATCTTCTCTATAACGCGGACCTGCTCGAAGACTGCCAGACCAGAAGCGGAGATCTCTCCACCATAGGCTGGGTTGACGACGTGGGCTTTATGGCGACTGGCAAGATGGAAAGGCACACCATTTCTAAGCTCGAAAGAGCGTGCGAGAAAGCGAGGATCTGGGCACGTCGGCATGCCTCTGTTTTTGACCCAAAGAAGTACAGTTTGATCCACTTCGTGCCACCAGAAAGGAAGCACGAAGGCCAGTCCTTTCTACTGGTTGAAGGTCAAGACGGGCTCCATAATATCATCTTCCCAGAGCAAGCAGCGAGATATCTCGGCTTCTGGCTTGATCCACAGCTCACGTTCTCTCACCACCACGAAAAAGCAGTTATGAAAGGCAGCATATCCATACAAGCACTACGAAGTCTAGCAGGATCTACGTGGGGAGCGTCTACGCTAGCTATGCGGAGGATATATCAAGCAGTGGTGATACCGCAGATGCTCTATGGTGTATCAGCGTGGTATCCATGGTTCGAGAAAGGGAAGTGCAAGCATATCAGTGCCAAATTCGCAGCAATTCAAAAGCGTGCAGCGTGCCTGATCGGCGGAGCTTTCAAGACCAGCGCAGCAGAAGCGCTGAATATTGAGCTCTACCTTCCACCAATCGGTATCCAGATGGAGCGTATCTCCGCGGAGACAGCTCTCCGGATACGCACGGGTCCAGCACATGGAGTTCCACAGCTCATGATCCGACAGCGTTCTCCACAGCAACGTCAACGTGGTGGATGGACTCCGATGGAAGCGCACGCCTGGCAGAAGGGAGGATGCTTAACGGCTCCCCCGGGAACTGTGCAAGGGGACTGGGAGAGCAGGCGAGCATACGTCCGGGCACCATGGCACGCGCCTCCAGAAGTCTTCATCCTAGAGCGTGACGAAGCGGTGAAGAAGCACTCAGAAATCAGCAGAGGTCAAGATCGAGGTCAAGACCATGGTCAAGGTCAAGATCAAGGAAAACTAATTATTTATACGGATGGGAGTGGAATCGAGGGGAAAGTCGGTGCCGCGGTGGTGGTAGAGGCCACTCGCGAGCACCGCCACTGCCAGATGGGCACGGAGCAAGACTCGACAGTCTACTCTGCGGAGCTCCGTGCCATTGAGATGGCGACAGAACTCGTACAAGAGCACGCGCAGCACGCCGTGATCTTCTCTGACAGCCAAGCTGCTCTCCAAGCGCTTCTCCGCCCACGTATGCCTTCTGGTCAGGTCTACCTCCGCGGAGCTATCGAAAACCTTCAAAAACTCGCAGAACAAGACATCCAGGTCGAGCTCCGCTGGATCCCCGCTCACCAGGGGATTCCAGGCAACGAGCTCGTGGACGAGCACGCGAAGCAGGCAGCAAAAGCAGAGGTTCCAGGCCCGCACGACCGGCGTATCAAGCTCGCCGCAGCGGCGAGGCGAGGTATTCGGGAGCGGGCGAAGATCACGTGGGAGGCAGCGTGGGAGAAGGAGAAGAAGGTTGGGCAGGCGACAAAGCGACTGATTCCGGTGCCCACGAAGAAGGTTCTGGACTACTGGAAAGGCCAGAGAAAAGCGTCAGCATCCATCATGCTTCAAATGCGGCTTAATATCATCGGATTGAAACGTTACCTATGGAGAATTGGAGTCACAGACTCGCCTCGCTGCGCGTGCGATCTCGGGCACCAGCAACCAAGACACGTGCTCTTGGAGTGCCCCTTTTTTGAAGATGAGCGCAGAGACATGCGAGCAGCGCTCGTACAAGCACGCGTATGCACATCGCTCTCGTTCGACCAATTCATGCAGGAAAAGAACGTGGTTCCAGCGATCTCCGCCTTCATGGAAAAGACCCGACTTCTCGGGCAGTTTCACGCGGTCGATCCCGACGTTATGGGATTCGAACCAGAGCAGCAACAACCAGAGCAAGAACAACCAGTATGATCCAATAGGTAGTGTGGTGGTGGTAGATGAAATGTGGATCGCAGGAAGAAGGGCCAGGTCCCCTTTCTTCCCTTAAGAGGCAGAACGGCGCGGAAGCGGCTGACCGGCCGGGGAAAGGGTCATGTATTCGGGGATGGCGTGTCATGGAGGTGGAAGTGAGGCGAAAGTGAGGGCAGAGTGAGAGAAGAAGAGGACATGGTGGTGCGAGGGGTGCTGGAAGTGGGAAGTGGGAGCGGAAGTGGGAGATGCGGCGAAACCGCGGAGGTGTGCGGGGCGGAAAAATGAAGTTGCGGGCGCAGCAGGTGCAACAATCTCGTGGGGAGTTTGGAAGACACAGCAGGCCTCCCAGCAAGCTGGAAACGAGCTGGACGCTGGTGGCTGTGTTACTGGGGCGGAGATTGACTTTCCTTACGTTCTTTCCTTTGTTTTTCCTTGATTCTTCGGCCGAAAACCTCGGGTTTTTCTTTGTACTTAATTTTCTCGGATTGCGGGCAACTGGGGGCAAGTGGGCAAGCCCTAACTTCACCTCCATGCACGATATATATCCTGGGTGCAGCGCACCATTACCTCGCTGCCGGGCAGGCCCGGCAGCACCCCCGCATAGCGGCCATTACTAGAGGCAAGCTAGATCGGGCAAATGAATTCTACTACTACTACTACTACTCTGGATCCGTGCTGCCGGGCCGAACATACGTATCCATTCCGTGTGACGATGGAGGAGCTCTGCCCCGGCAGCAGAGTTAACCAGCATCGAAACGTCTCCAGATAGCAGCACACGAGCAGCACAGAAATACGCGTTCCCAGCTAATGCAGGGGAGGTCTTTTTGCTGGCGTATTTCTCACGTAGGCTCTCTGCCTTGCCCACGATCGCTTTTGCCTCCATCTGCCTGATTTTGTCCCTCCACGTGGGGTCGACCTTAATTACGATAGACCGGTCCTCGCGGAGTTCGACCTCGCTCACACCTAGTGATGCCGTGCCATCACTGCGGTTGATAGGGGGATCTACGGAGATCGTGTATTGCCAGGCGCCCGCCCGGAACGCTTTCCAGCGGTCTGTCGAGGACAGGGTTGAAGCGGAAGTTGCTGACGAGGTTGCTGACTTTTCAATGCTATCGATTCTGGTGTTCAAGCGCTGCGTGTCGGCGGCAATTGCTTCAAGAGCGGAGATGACCTTTGCCATCTCCCCCTGAGCGCCGCCTGTCTTCGCTTGCTCAGCGAACTGGCGGACCGTGATGGCGAACCGGGTGACGATTGGCTCGTCCTGCCCGGTGTTCTCCATGTGTCGAATCACGGCGTTCGCGCCATTGATTAGCTGATCCATGCTGGTTGCGTCGCTCTTGTTGTTGATTCTGGTCGGTCTTGGCGTTGCAAATTTTCGGTTTTCCCCACGTTCCGCAGCTGCAGAACCATGGTTCGGGCGCGCAACTCCAATAGCTGCCATTCTGACCCGTAAAACCGGTATCAAAACGTAGCCGTTGAAGTAATTAAGATTTTGAACTAGGTCTTAAAGCCCTAGGACCTCTGGTTGGCGAGATATTTTAAGAATTCGTTTTGCCACTCAGCCAAGTAAGAGAAGGAAGAAGAGCTCAAGGGCAACGGGTTTCATGCTTAGTTGCAGTCCGAGCTTCCTTTAGGAGCCCATATTTCTTACCTGCCCGCCTGCACTTTGTGTACCCTTTCCCTTCGACCACACAAAAAGGCCAAGAAATGCCGAAATGATGCTTGTTGTCTCACCAGCTAAACGATACGTGGTTCGACGGTGTTTGTTCCTGGAGCGAAACCCCTCAAAATCAGGGAAGAGCAGTTGCGACTTCTATGTCCTTGGAGTTCGCAAACAAAGTACCCCCTCTCAGCGCTCAACAGCAGTAGTCTTCGCTGTAGATCAGCCGAGTCAAGGAGTATTCGCGCGGGTAGGTATCATTTGTTTTACGGACTTGGAGCTCAGCTTTGTTATGTTGTGGAGAAAGCGTCTGTCTGGGGCCAAAGTCTAGAAAATGCGATCGCATTTAGACAGCAACGTTTGAGAAGCTGTTTGAAAGTGATCTCATCGTTACAGGTAACGAGTATTGTTCAATAATTTTCCATGAGATTCTCTTTCCTAGGACTCTGGTTACGTTTAAATTCCAGGGAGGACGAGCAAACTTTGCAAGGAATAATTGATATGTTCGCTCCCTTCCATCTTAAATCTGTTGTATTGTCGTTGGGCGATGCGACGTATGACGGCTTCGCGAAAGACGGCCTTCAGGCGCTCTAGAATGCATCGCCCGTCCGGTAAAGATCCTTTACTTCGCCGTCCCGCCAAGGACTGATGTGGGCAGCTTCTTTATCAACTGTTTGGTCTTGTAGGTATTCTTCAGTCGGGTGATGGACTGCGTTCGGGACAAGCTTACATTTGATCTGCCAGCGCCGCTCGAACTTGACAATCATTGCATTCGTCAGCAGGGGAGCATGAGGGAGGATTGCAATTTTTATTGCCAGCTAATAAGGAGCCAAGGGGTAGAAGAGATGGCGAATTGAAGAGGTGCTGACGGATTTATTGCCCAGAGTGATGTGACTGCTGTAACCTGTTCGTATGTTAGCTCTGTTCGGAGCTTCTTGCGAACATTTTCGAGATGACGCGCGGGTTACTTTTCAATCTCAATATTAGAGCGTTCGAGTGTTTCAAACGGCTTTCGGTATGCAGTAACCACGCTCTGTGTGCAGGAATGCACACGTCCTCTCAGGCTCCAGCTGAAAACAGCTGATGAGTTGTGATGATGATAATTTTTCCGCCGGTCGGAAGTGATGGGATCTCGAAGAACCCAGATTGACTTTGCCTCAGCGAAATAGCGAAAGAGTTTGATCAGCACAAGCAGCACACTTACTATCCTGCGAGTAGGAAGTCGACATCTTTGGTCTTGATCCAGTTTGATCCATTCGGGTTCTGCTCGGTTTGTTCTGATCTGTGACAGATCAAAACACAAAAAAGAGGATGAGCTTAGGGTAGTTGACCAAACAAACTAGAGCAAGAATTATTTCAAGTTATTTGTAACCGTTTTTAAAGACATTGTATTGAACTACTAACAAAGGAAAATATGTGAATGAATGTTTAGAGAACAAAGGCTTTTGGAACCGAAAAAGGGAGTGTACAGGAAACATGAGAAAGGAAAACAAAGGATGGCTACCGGAGGAAGTCGGAGAGCTCTTAAATGGATCAAAACCGATTCTACGACACAAAGAAAGAATCCTCATAAGTTCACGCTCGCGCCTTGGGGTCTCGTTCGAGAAAGCTGTGATCAGGTAATTGAGCAACGTCAATTTGTTCTCGGCGTCGACCGCTGGGCCAGGATCAACCACTGGGCCAGGATCAACCACTGGGTCATGATCAACCACGGGGCTAGAATCAGACACGGGGCCAAGATCATCAGCAATTTCCACCTCTTCGTCTTCATAATCGCTTGGAACAATGCTTTCGATGTCGATGCCAAATTCCGCTTGATAGTCAGGATCGTTCGATGGGTCCTCTTCGAAAGACTCGACATCGCTGGTCTCGGGCCTCGGGGCAACCGCTGTTCGTCTTCGAGATTGTCGGGATAGCGGAGAGGATCCATTCGGTTCTGACGAAGACGGAGACGGGTACGATCGAGCAGGCCTGAGAGCTGAATTTTGCGGCAAACTTTTTTTGGTTGCCATAGACAGAAACAAAGTGTCGATATGTTCACCAAAGCGATCAGACTTGCACGGAATTAGCCCAAGCTTTTTCCAAACCTTCCGACCCTCTGGAGCTTCATTCAGTCGGTTAGCAATGAGTTGCACAAAAATAGAATTCTCCATTCTATATCCCTCACGACTCCCTCTTAAGGCATTCTCCATGACTTGTTGGTACTTTTGGTCAATAGAGACAAGTCTATCTTCCAGCGGAGTAAACATGGAACTCATACCGCGGGGAAGCGCAAGGCAGAAGATGTTTTCCTCCATATCACCAGACACGAAAAACTTTTTGTTCATCGGAATCTTTTCTCCGTCGAAAAGAAGAAGTCTGGGAACGGGCTCCTTTCGCTGCGATCCCTGAGAAAAGGCCTTGGGGTGCTCTCCGAAGATTTTCTGACGCCAGGTGAAAAAGTCGCTTTCCGAAATCCACCCATCTGGGTTATTGACAATGTGAAGTCCCTCATGGCTGTATGGTGGTCCCCCATTCTTGCACTGAAAGGTAAAGAATGGGGCCAAAGGCTTGCCCTTGTGTGGTAGACAATAGAGAACGGATGCCATTGGTGTTGGGCGCGGTTTCCTCTTCTCCGGAGATGAGATGGATGTACTTGTTGTATCTTTGTCGATGTATAGGCGATAGCCACGATTCGAGAGAAAGAATACATTCTCTGGGGCTATGGCCTTGTCTCTCATGAAATTCCTCAGTTTCTTGGGAAATTTCTTGAGCTCTCGCTTTTGCTCATCAAGGAAGTGCTTCGGTGGATAAGGTGAACGAGAGTTGCTCGTTTGCTCTTTGAAAGCTTCCCACTCAGCTTCGAAGTTAGGGTCTTTGGCCATCGTCCTACCACCCCAGCACCCACCAAGCGATAGACACTGCTTCTTATTCACGGCTTCGCTCACTGCCTCCGCAGTATCTGCGAAAAGTCTCTTGTTTGAAAGCGGAAAACCTCGCCTGCCCAATTCGAGCTCCAGTTCCCGCGCTTTGTCGACAATGTCTTGAGAAACCTTTTGTTTGCTTGTGGGTGACTCTTCAGATCCACTTCTATGGGCCGCATGAGAGGGAATCTCAACCCGAGGTATGGGGTACGGCATAATGCCTATTGTCTCACGTAGGAAGGAATGGATACGGCACGCGGAGGAATCTGCCAAAGTGAAAGTAAAGATTAGTATCATGCGTATAGTCTGATCAACAACTCGACACAATTGCTAAGGCGTCACACTTCATCAAAACACGTTCATGCGTACCTCATACCCAAGGGTCCAGAGTTCCAGAAGAAAAAAGGCAGTTGGCCCACGTACAGAATTGATGGAAACCTACTCAAATGAAAGCAAAGATTAGCATCATGCATATCCTGGGAGCAACAGCAATGATAGTAAGCTTACTTCTCCACTGGCTCAAATTCAAGAAAAAGTAATAAGCAAATTTGTAAAGGGTAGCAAATCGAGCATGTGCAATCGAATATGTGCAATCGAATATGTGCAATCGAATATGTGCAGATCTGTTCAAGGGTGAGTTAAAGCTTGCATCATGCATGTACCCTGATCAACAATGATGAACTCATGCGTACCTTTATACAACGGCTAGGACCTGACAGAGCAGTAATGTAGGAAAGGATGAAGGGGAACCTTAAGGAGAGAAAGGATGAAGAAAAAAAGACTTGGATTGGGGGGGATGTGTGCTTTATATAACTATTGCTCAAGGTGTGATTCCAAGCTCATTAAACCCCTTTCTTCTCCCAGCCTCCTGCTTTACCAGAAAATCGCTGGGTCCTTCATTGAAGCCATAGCCCAAAAGTCGAAAATTTCACCAATTGAAAAATAGTGGGGCATTCACATATATGACAGACACGCGAGTTGCCGCATCTGGGTCGCCTGGACCCACCATCACACAAAGAAACAAATGGCCCATGGCTTATGGCCACCTTGGAGTGAATGCGCAATGGCCTGAGAATTTGAATTACCTATATCAACTGATTCCACGAAGAGAGAGGGCGTTACAAGAGCGGATAGGCTCGTAGAGCTTGCGGGTTGCAATTACCACATGTGTAGATCAATGCTGTGAGAACTTTAGCCAGTGGGGAATTTCTCGCAAGCGGCCGGAAACGCCGGTACCGCAGAGATCTCGGAGTTTTCTCGCCTTTGTATCTAGAAAGGAGCAATTGAAGGAAGACTTTGTGTACTAGTGGAATAATGAAGGATATCATGTTTTTAAACTGACGTTCACTTGTATCCTTGACGTATTAGATTTACTTAAAAGTAGAGATTGTCAGAAGCACGGGAAGATCTGTCATAATTGCAGTACCATGTGCTATTCTGCTACCTTGCGGGCAAGGGAAGAGAAAAGTAAGATAAAATCAAGAGAATGGAAGAAAAGGCAGGTGACAGGTCCCATTGAGTCTTTCGTGCAGAGCCAGAATCGAGGATTCAGGAGGAGATGAATCAGAGATAGGAACATCAGAGGGGAGATGGAAATCCATCTCAGTAGTCTGCGCAGCGCACTTCGACTCCTGAATTGGCGAAATAGACTCCACGGCTGCAGGCATGGCCGCATGGTGCATGATGCTAGAAGCATCTCAAACAGAAAGCATGCTCTAGCTCCACAACCCGATGCTCAATTCGGTTACTGTTTCTTAACCTAACTATTACTATTGTTTTTAATTGTCCGAAATGTGCAACTTGCAGTCGCATGTTGGTTTTATCCCAACTTCCAGCTGAAGTCCAGCCACGGCGGAGGGCGATTTCATGCAAACGTACCTGCTTTAGACGCCCGCGAAAGCTAAGAAGGAAAAGGATAGGCTCCTATATGTAGTGTCAATAGGCATAATTCTATAGGCACGAAGCAGATCAGAGGATATAATTCATATGAATTGACACTTCAGTGGCTTTAGGCGACTCATGAGGCTGGATTTATCATACATGGCGTCTTCGCCGTCTGTCCATACCAGTCAGTTCTGGCCAGTTGTTCCATAGTTTCCTGGCTCTGTCTCATTTCACAGTGGCGAAACTACCCGAGAAGACCTGTTCGAGGCATGAATTCAGCGACGTAGTGAGTCGCTCGCGGGAGAGACTAAAGAGCCTCATAATCTATCGAATTGCTGGGATTTGTCCGTACCTAGATACTTTTATTATGCCCTCTGCGGTCGTCCACGTAGAGCGTACAATATAGCAGAATACTTTGTAGTGGCTATGAGCCCTTGAGATAACCGCAGTTGCCTGAATCAACCTTTCTGATTATAAACAGAAAAACTTTCTAAGTCAATCCGCATGCTCCGTATTTATAGCAGAATAGATGAGGATGTGTATCTAAGAACGTGCCACGTGCATTCAAGCTCTCTAGTAGTCTCTCGATGGATAAAACGTCTTTAGCACAAATTGCACTAAACTAGAGTTAGTGTAAGGAGTAAAAGGGCCAGGTAAGAAGATAGTAAAGGAGATCTGAAAGGAATATAAAATAGTACTAATATGGTATGGATTTGAAGTCTAAGGCAATATAGATCATATTGGCTTTAAAACTAATTCTTAAGGAAGGAAAGAATCAAAAGAGAGAGATTCTTCTTCTTCCTTAATATAGAGGAAGTGAGAGCTAAGTGAGCGGTTCATAATGATCTCACTTTAAATATCTCTCCATTATGGACTAGCTCTAGGTAAGCCTAGAGCTTACTCTTGATCTAGATGCTGAATCAGAAGTGATTTAGTTCTATTTCGGGATATCTAAGTAGACTTCCGTAAAGCCTAACTTAACCCGGGCCTAGACTTCTATAGAACCTAACTTAACCTAGACCTAACCCGGACCTAACCTAGACCTAGTGGGGTTTTGGGTCGAAGATTTAGACCTAATACTAGGTCTAGGTTATAATATCTAACCTAGCGTTAGGTCCGGGGCCCTAACTTAGGTTATAAATATAATAGATATACTAAGACTTATGACTTTCTATCTCTACATAAATTATATAGTTTTTACCTATAATATTACATATCTCCTTTATAATAAGGGGAAAGAAGTATACTAGGATAAAAATAGTATATATTCTATTAATAACTCATCGGGGGGCAGCCCCCTAATAAGAAAATTTTATATAATCATTTTAAGTAATACTTAAAGACCTTATCCTCTCAAGCCTTACATTTCTATCCTAATACTTATACCTAGGTACTATTCTTAGGTACTAGAAGCTAGGGCTTATCTACCTTATCTAGCTATATATAATTACTTATCTCTATATCTACCTCCTTAGTATCACTAATTAAGTTAAATTCTACCTCCTTAAGCTTATTATCTTTCTCTTCCTTCGCTATTTCTATCTTAATATAGAGAAGAATTTCTCTAGATACTTTACTTTCTTCTCTTTAATATTAAACCTTAAAGTATAAAGAAATATTATTAGCTCTTTAATTATCTACTTCTTTTATCTCCCTTAATAATAATAATAGATATCCTAAGTAGTATTAAAGAGTTATTTAATATCTATATCTATTACTAGGAAGGAAAGTATATCCTATATAAGGGTAGTAATTACTAGAAAGTAAGTTTAGTACTCTCTCTAGAAGATAAGAGGCCTAAGATAAATAGTATCTATTAATTAATTAATATAATATTATAAAGAATTTATTAAAAATATACTACTATTAAGATATTAGGTAATTTTATTAGTCGCTATCTTTAGTTATACTATACTTTTATTTAGTATTTTATTAAGCTTTAAGCTTAATTAAATAATTAGATAAGTTCTATCTAAGGACTAGTTAGGTAATAAGAGTTACTCTTAGTATAGAATAAGTACTTATTAAAAGGAGTTATAATAAGTCTCACGCTATTTCTAATCCTAATTATTTATTAGAAAGAATTAAAACTTATTTATAGGCATAAGTATTATATTAATAGTATAGAGATATCCTTAAATACTACTAGTTTAGGAGTAATATTTATTAAGCTTAATCTAACTAGCTTCTAGTATATAGAGTATCTCTTACTTCTATAGTATTATAGACCTACTTAGCCTATAATAAAAGTAGGGGTTAAGAACTAATTAATTCCTAGGAGGGGAATTAACGAACCTAAAGTCACGTATAAGATAGGCTAGTATTAGCTACCTAAGTATAATTAGAAATACTACGTCTAAATAAAAGACCATAATGAATCACGTGAGTATTAGTACTTAGTGATTCCACTAAGTAGCTTAGAGGTAGAAATACCTAAAGCGGTAAGGCTAAAGGAAATCTAGTATATAGATTATTCTATAAACTAGATTTCTACTCCCTTACCGCCCGAAGCCATTTCTAGCCTATTACTTACTAAGGTAATATATACTTCCAATTAATACGAGATAGTTAGTTATATATGATATCCTATCGCCTTAATAGGAAGGACTAGGATATATAAGGATGGTTATTACTATATATATATTTAGTTCTTCGTGTTTAATTATATATTATTACTTAGAACCTATAGTTCTAGCTTTATACTTATTTTATACTTAAGATAACTACCCTATTAGGAGAGGTATACTTAGTCTCTTATTACCTAATATAGACCCTAAGTATAGCTTAACTAGGCGCACTATCTAGCGTAGCCTAATAAGAGTCTACTCTATAGATCTAAGCCTATATAAGGCCTAATAGTAATAATATAATTATGACTAAGACTTAAGGATAAGCCTTAACGTATATACACGACTACTATAGGCGATACTTACTATAACTAGTTAGCACCACGTAATATATAGAACGCGCTTTTATTATAGCTATTTTATTAACTATTTAAGGTATTTAAAGAGCTTATTATAGATCTTAAAGATATAATATACTATAATATTATAAGTCTTTAAAAGTTAAGTTATATAATTAAAGAAAGGCTTAGTAATATAAAGAAGATAGTTAATCTAGCGCTACTCTTTATTATTTAGTAGTATCTTCTTATAGTTATACTCTATATAGAATAGGGTAAAGATATTATATAGACGCTTTATCTAGTAAAGTATTAAGAAGGTTAAATTCTATTAAGTTCTTATATCTTAGATAGGCACTAGCTTTATATCTATTATCTAGAGATTATAGAAAATCTCTTAGCGCTAAGGACTTATATTAATATAGATAGCGAGAAAGCGGACCTTATTTAAGGTATAGGAAATTTTATATACTTAGTACTATATATTAAGCTTTACTAGTCTTAACTACTTCTTAGTCTACTTTATCTTAGCTAACTTATTTAATAGATTTACCTTAATATAGCTAAGAAGCTACTAGAGACTAAGCTAGATAATATAAGTAAGGTATAGAATTTAAGGAAGAATTATATTATCTATAAGAGCCTACTAGAGAGACTACTAGAGAGAAGTAACTAAAGTCTTATTATTTAATATATTATCTATAGTAATTCTAAATACTTAGCCTTTAATATTATACTCTATAAGAGTTTAAAGAAGTATAATACTTAGATTTATATCTATATATAAACTATAAATAGGCTTAAAACTAAGTAGTATCTCCTAGTACCTCTAATTAGTATTAATAAAATAGCCTATAATTACTATAAATAACTATAAATAGGGAGATATCTAATAATTAAGCGTAATTAATATCTTTAAGCTAACTAGTAATCTCTAAAGTATATCTTCTTACTAGTCTTTAATTATACTTATTAATTAGCGGTAGATTATATTAGTAGAGGGAATTATTAGTAGGCTTAGGGTATAGTAAGCCTAAGAAATTAGATACTAGAGTAAGGAATACTTAATAAGATATAATTATTATAGTATATCTATAAGAAGGCCCGTAGAAGGGTCGAAGAATAGGCGTATAAGGACCTAAGAATACTTCTATATGCTATAGTTCCTCTATATAATAGAACTAGCTAGAGAAAGGTTAACCTAGGATCTTAGGTAACCTAATTAGATAAGTCATATATTAAAAGTAGAATTATAGAGAACACCCCTAGAGTTCTCTAGTAATTATATTATTATTAATATCAATCCCTATAGTATACTTATATACTACTTATATTATTACTCTTATCTAATTTAACCCCTAGATATTAGTCCTAATATTATAATCACTTCTTAACCTAGACTTAACTAGTAATATAAAGAACTTATAAAAAACGAAATATTATATAATACGCGAAACTATATAACACGAAGCGAAGCACTAGATAACCCTATAGAAGAGTAATAGGAGGTAACTAGAGTAGGAGAATACCTCTATCTAGAAGCGTAGGAATCTATGACTAAGGATATAGTCCTAGTAGGAGAACCGCCTAATATAGACCTTAGCCTAATATAGATAAACCTTAAGGCCGCCTATATCTAAGTAGAACTAATAGAGGATACTACTATAATAGAGTATAATAAATAAATAAATATATAAGAGGCTATAGAAAACTCTAAGGAGGTTATAGACTAGATCCTAAAGACCGCTATAGCGGCTAGGAAGCTAGAAGAGGTTAAGATCCTCCTATAGTACTAGAGATAGGTAGTAGAGGCGTAGAGAGAGATCGATGACCTTAAAGTAGAGGCTATGGAGTAAGAGAATATATATAATACCCGCGAAAGAGGACGATCTC